ATTTGACTCACTTAATTACTTACCAAATATTATTCTTGGTATGGAAGCAGCTGCTAAAGCAGGAGGTGTGGTTGAAGCAGCTATTGCATACTCTGGAGATGTATCTGACCCTACAAAAACTAAATACACTTTAGACTATTACATACATTTTGTGGACGAACTTGTTAAAGCTGGTACTCATGTATTGTGTATCAAGGTAAATCAAAACAAAAAATAATTATATATTGCCTATTTTGTATTATTATAATATTCAAGGATATGGCTGGACTTTTGAAACCTCGTGCTGCTACAATGCTTATTGGAGCTATCCGTACCAAATATCCCGATTTGCCTATTCATGTCCATACCCACGACACTAGTGGTGCTGGAGTTGCCTCTATGTTAGCTGCAGCACAAGCTGGTGCTGATGTAGTAGATGTAGCTGTTGACTCAATGTCTGGCATGACTTCACAACCAAGCATGGGTGCAATTATTGCATCTTTGCAGGGAACTGAATTAGATACAGGTAATAATTTTATAATTTCGATTATACTTTTAACCGTAACATAATTCATAATTCAAAAATATTTCTTGATCTAGGTTTGGATTTAAAAGAGGTTTCTGCATATAGTGCTTACTGGGAGCAAACGAGAACTCTGTATGCACCGTTTGAGTGTACAACAACAATGAAATCTGGAAATGCAGATGTGTATTTAAATGAAATTCCTGGTGGTCAATATACAAATCTTCAATTCCAGGCTTATTCACTTGGATTGGGCGACTTCTTTGAGGATGTCAAAAAAGCTTATAGAGAAGCTAATCTTTTATTGGGAGATATTATTAAGGTGAACAACAATTTTTTTTTGATTTACAAAATTAATAACTTTATTAATTGATATAACTATGTATAGGTTACACCTTCCTCCAAAGTTGTTGGAGATTTTGCTCAATTTATGGTACAAAACAAATTAACTGCTGAAGATGTATTAGAAAAGGCTGAAGAATTAAGTTTTCCCAAATCAGTCATTGAATTTTTACAAGGTGGCATAGGCGAACCATACCAAGGTTACCCTGAACCATTAAGATCAAAAGTATAATAAATTAACATTTTAATAATATTAGATTGTATTATGTATACGATGTATGAATAATATTTTTATGAGGTTTCTCAATCTACAAAAAACTGTTTTTCATAAATTCAATAATACATAATTATTAGTTATTATTGCCTACCTAATTGTTTTTATTACTATTTTTTTAATAATACCATTGATTATAAATACTATGTCAATACTCAATCATTAGTAATTTAGATTCTGAGCGGAGTAAAAAATTTATTAATCTTACAATGATTTTTATTTTTTTATTTTTTTTCTGTGAACAACTTTCTACCATAAATGTTGAGTCAATTTTAAAATTTAGCACATTTTTGGATTGAACATTTTTATTGGGTAGTACTTTAAGGTGGTCAGTTTTTGATTTTCTCAAGGGTTTTTATAATAAATATGAACAATTTACGAAATGTATTATTTTCAAATTGTATATGTTAAGGCCTTTCTAAACATGTTTAACTTAACTCTACTCTTTTTTCATTAACAATGATTAATGGTTGTGTACAGATTTACAATAAATTTCTCATTTACTCACCAATACCTTTCTCCGGTATAACTTGTGTATAATACAGACAACATTTTTGTTTGTTTTCCTTTTAATTAAATAATCTTGTGTATAAAAATTACAGGTATTAAAAGACATGCCACGTATTGAAGGTCGACCTGGATGCACTTTATCCCCTCTAGATTTCAACCAAATAAAAACTCATCTTCAAGAAAAATATCAAAATATTAGTGATTATGACGTTATGAGCTCTGCTCTGTATCCTACAGTCACAGACGAGTACTTGACATTCAAAGAAGAATATGGACCAGTAGATAAACTTGACACTAGAATATTTTTAACTGGACCTAAAGTTGGAGAAAACTTTGAGGTTAGCAAATTTGAAAAGCAATTTAAAAAATTATTTTAATCTTATCAAGTTCAATTATTTAGGTAACCATTGAAAAAGGAAAAACTTTAGCATTTAAAACACTTGCAATTTCTGAAGAATTAACTGCTAATGGAGAGATTGAAGTATTCTTTGAAATGAATGGTCAATTACGATCAGTGTTCATACGAGACAAGGAAGCATCTAAGGTATTTAATTTAAAATATTTAATAATCTATTCTTTTTGTTTCTTTTACATGAATATTATTATTTTTAGGAGATGCATATACATCCAAAAGCATCTAAATCGAATGCCGGAGATGTAGGTGCCCCAATGCCAGGATCAGTTATGGATATTCGTGTAAAAGTGGGTGACAAGGTTGAAAAAGGTGCACCATTAGTTGTTTTATCTGCAATGAAAATGGAAATGGTGGTTCAATCACCTATAGCTGGCACAATTAAACAAATTGATATAAGTGTTGGAATGAAATTAGAAGGACAAGATTTATTGCTTTCCATTGAACCATAATTTATTTTAAAGGAAAAATTGTATTGTTTAAACTGTGTATTTTTTCATCTCCAATTGAAAGTCTGGGAAATATTTTAAGGCTTTATCCACTAGTCAACATTTAAAAAAAAATATATATTTAAATAAATTGGTGAGGATATTTTAATAAAACAATTAAGTTCTTATGTGAGAAATTTTTTTGTGATTTGTATGTACCTATAGTATGTAATATTTATGTTATTATTATACTGAATAATTTTATTAATAATTATTGTTAGTTTATTATTTTACGATATTGATGATAATAAACAATTATTTTTAAGTGTTATTAGTTTTAAACGCTATATATGTTTTAAATTATATTATTTTTGTGTATTCAGTTATTTTAAATTGAATATTTCTTAAAATCTTTAACTAGTAATTAATAATTACAAATAAATTCAAAAATAATTTTGTTTGTTCAAAAACCAATTATTGCATTCTTTTATTATTATTAACAAAAAATAAAAAAATAAAGAGAAATCTAAATCAAAGAAAAATATTAAATACATTTATTTTTATTTTTTCTTCTTATTCCCTTTACCTTCATTCCAACTATTTAGAGTCAGCTACCCTAGTTCAAAAATTTAATTTGACCCAATCTCCCATCTCCCATAATTCTCATTCACATCCAGCCACATCCTTTTCGGTCTTTCTATCCACATCTTTTCTTCTACGTTTCTTTTAATTACAATTCTTCCTGATTCGGATTTCTCTATCACTTTGATATTCCTGGTATCCTATCAAAATGGCAAAAATAAAATGTCAAAAAAAAACAGACTAAAAATTATTAAATCAACAAACATAATATTGATAATTTGACCGTAGTCAAAATAATGAAAAATGAAGTTATACACACATACAACAAATAATTAGCGCTACACAAATATGTACCACCTAGAGTGGTGGGAGCTATGCAATCAATAAATTTGATTAAAAATACATGTCGCCAAATTTGTACATTTGTCTATTAGCAATTTTAAAAGTAATTAAGTCTAATTTAAATCCATAACAAATTATGATTAGGGAGCGGTTTTCAATGTAAATTGCATTTTTTTTTTTTTTGAATTTCCTAAAACAATACTTTCCTTTGAAGCATAAAATTTGTTTTATGTATCAAAGAATTCAAAAATGAAACTTTTATTTTACATTTTTTTGCATTTTTAGAACTTTTTTTTATTTTTAAAGAATATTTTGACATTTTAAGTCATTTTTAGATTTGTAAGGCATGTTTTTCTTATTTTCACCTACTTCATAGTGTTACCAGTTAATTTGATAAAATGTATTTTGATTTCCTACTAAAGGAAAAAAATCATACTTATATTTTTAGTGTATATTATGGTTTTACCAATTGTACCAGATACATTCGATGCCGGATGCAATAAAGAAAACAATATACTATTGAAGTCATAATGTAATCATATTGCATTAGGTATTTACAATGTTGTGTTTAGTGTATAGAATTATTATAATATTTAAGATATTAATAGAAGAAGAAGAAGAATATACATTAATTATTATATAAAAAAATAAAACATTTTTTTTCAATATATAAAATAATTTGAGAGCGTTTTTTAAGATATTTTCTTGTTTTTTAGACATTTAAACTCACTCCCTAATTGTGACAGACTTCATATGTAGTGCTTTTAACACATTCAAATATATTTTTCCAAACATAAAACAATATGACTTCCATTTTCATTTTGCACAATCTATATGGAGACACATTCAACAAATCCAAAGATTACCAACAAAGTATAAATTAGATACTAATTTTTCTTTATAAATAAAAATGATGTTAGCCCTTGCCTTTGACTCCTTGTTTTTATTTGTGACACTGAAGTTTCATAACCACCTAATTAATTATTTTTAGAATATGCAATTTGGATGTCGAGTATTAAATGTTGGCTTAGGGCTTTCGGCTACTTGATAGGTATATTTTATTTGATTGGAAATGAAATTAATAATTAATAATTTTACTTAATATGTTTTGATTTTTATCATCACACCATTCATCAATCTAGATTTATTTAATTCCTTCTAAAATAACGGGATCTGGAGGAAATCAAATTTCTATGAGCAGCATTTATAAATGAATAATACGAAAAAAAAAAAAGAACAAGGATTTAAATATTTTTCATAATAACTTAATCAAAAAACATTTTGTCTTTGTATTGATTTTTTAAACGTATTCATATAGTTACACAAATATGATTAACCAGTTTATTTTTGCTCAAAAGGCCAAGATTTTGTTTTGATTTCGAAAAGATTTTGTTTAGAGATTACACAGTACGAAGCTCACAATTGGAGATTACTCCCTTTGAAAAAAACTTCAAGACTTTCGGATGTCTTTATTCTATTTTTATTTAGTTTATAGGTTTACAAAAAATTAAAATGTTTAGTAATTATTGATTAGTTATCTTAATTAATTAAAAAGTAATACTTACAAAAATACAAAAATAAAAAATAAATAAGTAAATTTTCATGCTGCCAATGGTGTACAGTGTAATATTATATCTTTTTTTTTATAACATTTTCAATAATATCCAAGAATATTTTCACAATAATAATAATAAACATATTATAAACAAAAAATCTTGTTAAAGGAAATTATATATTTTGAAACTAAATGTAATTTTCAAGCTTACAAATACACTAGAGTTTAACCATTTAGCTCAAAAATGGTGAGTTATTCTAATTTAGCACTGAAAATTGCATATGAAATGACATTAATTTTATTTTTCATGAAAGTTGGATTTTTTTCTTTTCTATTTGGTAGGCATACTTGAATAAAATAGTTTGACTTAACAAAAATGTTTGAAAATTTAATACAAGAATAATTTTAAGTTGTACTTAGTGTTCAAAAACAGACAGAATTTGTCTAACCAAATTCCACTTTGAATCGTTTTTCATTAGCAATGGTTTATCGTTGAGAACAAATTTAAATTAAATAACGTTATGGGTTATAATTTCCCAAAATCCCAACTTCCCGTCTACAGCGGTGGCTGCACCCGTCTTCAGTATCATCTCTTTTTTTAAAATATGTTAATTTCAATTAACCCTTTTAGACCTAATGTCCTGCAAGAAAGACATTCATTTAAATGCTATTTATCACCATTTAAAATTGGTTTATGTTTTTAAAAGTGTATATAAACGTGCACCCATAGATTATGTAGAATACAAAAATCATAAAATTAACAACGTAATTCTTATCACATTTAAGTTTTACCATAATACACTTTTGAAAAATGTTAATGTAACATTTTTGATTGCTTTTGACAATGAATGTATAATTTAAAATTGAAAATATGATTTTAAAAATCTAATATTTTTTTCTTTCCATGATAACAGAGTAATCAAGTACAAATCATAAATTCTTCCCAAAAATTAATATTAATAATATTATATACTTATAACTTGGTAAAAAAAAAAATTATTTTGTCTTAAGAAAGCAACCCATTGTTAAAAATTGATAAACGAAAAAAAATGTATCAGCGAAAATGTTATCAACGAAACAATTGGCGGCGAATTGGTTGTGGCAAATCGGCCATCAGCCATACGGATCATAAGCGAAATTTTTCGGCAACAAGGTGTGGCAAAGTGTCCTAGATCCTATATCTACCTAGTAGTCTTGTACTAGTAAATCAATTTAAGGACATATGTTAAATATACAATATAAGATACATTGATATTTGTCTTTTTACAATTAAATACTATTTAAGTATGTAATCAACTACCTACATTTTTCTACTATAACTCACCCATTTCATTCGCTATAATGGCCAATATATATATATATAATATATATATAATTATATTTGGAAATGGGTTCATTAATAGAGATTACAATGTACAGTCAAATTTCCTTATAACGGAAAACATAATTTATGCTTGTACATTTTAGTCTCCTTCAAACGGAAACTCAGTCAGAACAAGTAATTCTGTTTTAAGGTTTTACTGTACATTTAATTTAAATTGGCACATTTGTAGTAAGTGGGTACTTTAAGTTAACATTTTATTAGTTCACATCATTTTTCGATAACAAATTTAGACCAATAATTTATATATAACACAAAAAGTTTAATTAGAACAATTTTTTTTTTATTTATCAAATTTAACAACAGCAATACTTTTAGTTTAAACAAACAAATTGTAATCCTACTAACAAAAAATGTAATTTTTATGTTGTTTTGTTTTAATCAATTCCTATACTACTAAAATACATTAAATTAAAACACTTCTAAAATCAAACTACAGGGTTTTCTTGAGAATCTTTATCAGATTTATTATTGTTTAATATTCTATCTAATTCACCTGACCTATGTAATTGTAACATAATATCACAGCCACCAATGAATTCTCCATTTACAAAAACTTGAGGAATAGTTGGCCAGTTTGAGTATTCTTTAATTCCTACATATAACATAATGATAATAAACAATTTAATAAAAATAAAGTCATAAGGATTACAGTAATGGTTCCTTCAATTTTCTAATACTTTTTATTTTATATGTGTTATTAGCTAGTTTAAGCTAGTTAAAATAGAATTTAATCTAATTTGTTCACTAATATTGATAAAAATTAAAATGTGAGTGTCATTTATAATATAATAAAATAATAAAAAAAAATGTATAAAGATAAGAAATTTACAAATTTGAAAGAAAAAGCATTTTAGGATCCATAAACTAAACTTGTTTTACAACAAGTCAATATTATATTTATTTAATACTTACCATTTCTAAGATTTTCATCTTTAAGTACATCAAGGGCTTCAAATTTCGTTTTGTGAATACTTAAAATATCGACAACAGCATTACTAAAACCACATCTAGGAGCTTGTGGATCACCTTTCATAAAAACTACAACTTTGTGATTTTTCACTAATTTATCTATATATGATTGTACTGGATCGTCATTTTTAGTACTTAAAAATTTACTACATAATACTTTAAATGAGTCAACTTGTGTAGTTTTAATTATATTTGTAATTTGACGGAACAAAGACATAACTATTTCAGATATTAAAAATAACAAAAATAAATCAATTTTATGCAAGTAAAAAGAATAAATAATTCTGATGTTTGTTATTATGTTGTACGCATAGATAAGTGTTGTATGGTTATCAGAAATTCCTAAGGAGTATTATTTAGTTTTCAAACATAACCTCAAACGATTCAATGGAAAATATTTTAACCTTGAATCATAGAATACTAGGGTTGAAATAACTAATTGAAAAAATATGAAGTATACAATTCTTTAAAAACAGGAATTATAAAAATGCATAGCATAAAAAAACACCATTTAATATAAATTTTAAAATAAAAAATTATACTAGTTCGTGGTGGGGAGAAAGTGTTCGCCATTTTTCCCTTCCATCCGACCACGACCGTCACTATATTTAAGATTAATTTACAACTAAGCGGGACGTGTAGAGGCGGCGATACGACCCCCTGATCCTGATTAATAGAACTACGGAAGCATTATCCATTTGAACCGCTAAACAAAATTGGATATTGTTAACAAAACCAGTGAACTTGTGAGATCTGTACAAGTTATTCCGTCCACAATGGCTGACAGTGAACCATTAAGTATAGACAGCATAATCGCACGACTTTTAGAAGGTAAGTTAAGTGAAACTTTTTTTGAACACACCATAATTGGCTTTCTTATTACTATGCAACCTGGTAGATTAATAGGTTTATGTCAGTATATGCTTGTTTGTACGATTTGGTTCAGTTCAAACAATTCATGTTCAAGTATTAATGGGATATTTAGATTCTGTATATAATATATCATTTACCTTAAATTTATATGTCTTTATATATTTATCTAAAGATTATTCTTATTTGTGAAAATGATATTTTACTTTTTAAATTATCAGAAATGTTGTGACTAAGAATTATATTTCCAAAATGAAATTGTCCAATGTAAATTGGCCATGTAGGTATGCTTAGTAATTTAAATGTTATTAAATAAGGATTTAGTTTTAAATTTTATGTACGTTTGGGATTAGTCATTTAATTTATAATAATACATTTGATTTGGAGTAAATATATGGTTTAATGTAAGTACATCACTATGTTCATAAGTATTCACAGGTGCTCTTGGCATGGGAGGCGACAATTTTCAAAAACAAACCATACACAAAAATCAACAGCACAAATATTTTTGGAAGGGGTTTATGCTCCATTATATTTATTATGCTTACTTAATATTACTAACTTAATGAAGACTTTCAGGGGAAGGCAGAGGAGCCTGGTTAAGTTTTCAAAAGGGGTAAATATCTTCCAAAGCTTCTTCCACTATACACAAAATTACAGGGACGTCAGGGTTCAATATTTAGAACAAATTTATATATATAACATGTTTTCAAAAAATACTTTGACAGAAAATCTCTCAGAGAAGGCAGCTGCCTCTCCTACCTACTCCATGCGCACGCTTATAACTGTACCATTTATTGTCATGTCATATAGGAATTAATGAATATTGTAAAAACCTGTTTCTAGAATACCATGATTTTCCTAAAATTCCAAAGATTTGAACACTGATTTACATAAGTGATTAACTCTGTGATTAACCATCTGGATGTATTATTAAATATATCTGATCTATGTAAATTTTTTTTTTTTACCTTTTACAGCCCAATTAGGGCCTTCACTGCTTCCACAATTTCCTGCCACCTCTCCCTATTTTCACTCTCTTTTAGCTCTGTTCCTCTAATGCCACCTTTACCAAATCTGCTTTCAATATGTCCAACCATCTTTGCCTAGGGTGGCCTCTGAGTCTTACTGTTGTTTTTACCTATCAAAACTTGTTTCTAGATACCATTATTTCTCCTTAAGTGGCCTGTCCATTATATTCGTTTGATTTTGATAAATGTTTTTATATTTGGTTTTTGAAATAGTTGGTAGGTTTTCTCCGGTATTCTCCATTTTCAATAATTAGACCATAGATTCTACCATTATTCCATAGTGTCTTCATTAACAATATTAATATATTTTCAAATAAGTAGAAAAACATAATCTTGTTATAAATACTTAGAAAACATGTATATTTTAATGTAATATAACAAATGTATTTATAATAATTGTCCACCTTTTAATAAGCAGAGATTATGGTGAAGGATTATATATATATAAATTTAAATTAAATAACTTATATCACGTATTTTCATTGTATAATGTTTTTTTTTTTTTTTTGTAACCAAAATTGTGACTTAAACATGAAGTATTTGTTTTATAGTAAGAGGATGTCGACCTGGTAAAACAGTACAAATGTCTGAAGCTGAGGTTCGAGGTTTATGTTTGAAATCTAGAGAAATATTTTTGCAACAGCCTATTTTATTAGATTTAGAAGCACCATTAAAAATATGTGGTAAGTGATAAAATTTCTTTTAAAACTAATATATAAGTGATAAATATTATATATTTTATCAACTAGGAGATATACATGGACAGTATACTGATTTATTACGTTTATTTGAGTATGGTGGATTTCCTCCAGAAGCGAACTATTTATTTTTGGGTGATTATGTTGATCGTGGAAAACAGTCATTGGAAACTATTTGTCTTTTATTAGCATATAAGATTAAATATCCAGAAAACTTTTTTCTCTTACGAGGCAATCATGAATGTGCAAGCATAAACAGGATCTATGGATTTTATGATGAATGTAAAATCATTAAAGTTTAGTTATTAATAAAAATTTATATTAATTAACAAATATATATTTGTAGGTAAAAGGCGCTACAATATAAAATTGTGGAAAACTTTTACTGATTGTTTTAATTGTTTACCTATTGCTGCTATTATTGATGAAAAAATATTTTGTTGTCATGGTGGACTTAGCCCTGATTTACAAGGAATGGAACAAATTCGACGTATTATGCGTCCCACTGATGTCCCTGATACTGGTAAATTTTTACTGAATTAATTACAAAATACATATAATTACATTTAATTTACAAAAATATATTTCACTACACAAACTCACAATTTTTTTTTTAAGTTTTAATTTAAAAAATATGTTAGGAACATAGTAAAAACATATTTTCAATCGATTCTCGAATTTGAAATTGTTTTTTAGAGTTTTTCTATGCTGAAAATAATTGTGTTACTAATCAACATTTTTTGGTTAAACGTAGTTTTGACATTATCAAGTTTTTAAATTTTATACACGCCCTTTTTTTTCCCATAAATAAAAACTATTATTTTTATATTATGCTGAGGGTGTTGAAGAGTACCACTCATTATGTCTGCCAGTTTTACTTGCCAAATTGAGTGCTACTGTGGGATACTCCTCAAAAGATAGAGCTGCTTACCTACATTTATATCAGAATTTTTGTTGAAAATAACTTTGAATTTTACTTATTCAACTGTTAGTATACATTTTCTTTAAACAGGCTTAATAAAAGTTAATGTTATTGTCAAAATTCCCATGAAATACTTATTTTTTAATAAATGACGTTTGTAAAAACTTTTTCAAATCATATTATATTCTAAAATGTTACCATACATTAGTTGTTCCTATAGGTTAGTAATTGAAAATTAAAAGTCTAGTATATTATTTTACTCCTAAAAATAAAGATAGTATAATTTTTTAGAATATATAATAATAATATTCATTGTTAAAAAAGATTTGAAAAGCATGTATAACATTAATTTAAATTTTAAATATTTGATGCTGCCCCAAAAGTGTAACTTGTGGCGGATGCAGCTGTTCTGTAACAATATTAGTTACAATTTTAAATCAAAGAAGTAAATAATAATAAAGAGAAACAATAAATAAGACATATTTTAAATAAACATCGGAAGAAAATATACAGACTAATTTGTTCTAAATTTAGCACATTTAAATATTTTTTTAAATGATACTTGCTGTAGAACTATGGTAAATTAATATTAATTGTTTTCCTTTCAAATTTTTTCTGGGTTATTGGCATATTCAGATCAACTCTTTACTTATGGCATGTATAGTAATTATGAGGTGGCAAATAATTTTTTAAGTTTAAATCATAAATGTAGCTTAGTACATTTAATTAATACGCCATTTACATTTTAGATTCCGAGCGTAGCGAGAGAGCTATTGGTTTTACATTGCTGTTTATTTCTTTTCTTTCTTCTAACCTATGGGCATATTTTTTCCTATTAAACTTACTCTGATTTTTACGTGTAGCAAATTTTTTGAAAACTTAAGTTATCTAGATGGTATTTTAAAGAGATAATTTTTTGATTTTCGACGCCATTTTTAAATAAAAGCACTTAAGTGGGAAAATGTATGTTTTCATTGTTTTATAAAAACACGGACGACGTTTTCTACCAGAAAAAATGATTTAATCGAAAAATCACAAGGAACCTTTTTGTTGCCTTTTTGATTTACTTTATTACGGTATCATCGCTAAAACTTTTGAGCCACTTTTGAGCTTTTAAGGAATTTTAATTTTTAGGAGTTTTTTGCTGTAGTTTGGTTATAAATTCACTTAAAGACTTGAAACTTGGTAATAATACTTATATTAGACTTACCTAGACACGGTAAAATTTTCTAAATCATCGAACAACTTTTTTTTTTAATAAGCCTTTTATTCATATTTAAACAATAATAGCAAAAAAAAAATATGGCACTTCAAATTATGTATTACTGAACTGCACTCGGAATTTCGTCAAGCAATGGTTTATCGTTGCTTACAGATATAAATGAAATAACCTACCATCCCAACTTCTCACCTACAACAGTGGCCGCTCCCATCCCCGGTATCAGCTCTTTTTTTTTTTTTTACACTGAGAGTTTTGTAATAATCAGTAACATGAAAATCATAAGATTTACAAAGAATAGATCTCAAAAGGGAGTTTAATCTGATAATAAGTGGATTTAGAGCTAGATTAGATTAGATTAGATGCATCAAAAATAAGTATTTTATTGAAAATTTGATAAATCCTAATATAAAAAAAAACACTTATGGGAGCAGTACCAGAGTGTAATCTAACTATCTTATGTCATTAACATCTATTATGTATGGCTTGGTAAATTAATAACAACAAACTGAATATGCCCATTTTAAAATTACCTTATATACCTATATTTACCTTCAAATAATCACTAATTAAAGTCATATACAAAAAATTCAGATTGTACTATCATTTTCAGCATAAAATAACACACTTTTAAAATAATTTAATAAAAAAATGGTTGATAAAAATATTTAAGCCTAAAAAATTTATATAAATCCCTTTGTTTAACTTAACTATATACTTTGCATGGATCTATATAATAGCCTCTGCGATCAATTAATACATTTTATTCTAATTTATTTAAAGCATTTGTATATTATAATATAATAATATAATACACAATTTAAATATGAATTATAAAATGTATACATATATTGTGTATAGTTTGTTAATAAAAATTTAAATATGTTTAAATAAATCCACAAAGAGACTGTTAAAAACATCAAAAAGTAAAAAATAATGAAGAGGTTTTAAAGTCCTTCCTCTAAAGACTACTTATTAGATTATATTTCCCAGCACTTCAAAAATGATAACACAAACTAATTTCTTTTAAATAAAATTGTACATATTATAAAAAAAAAAATCATATTATTAATTTTTATAGTGTTAGACAACTGTATTAATAAGTTAAATCCATTAGAATAAGAATTATTAAACACCTTCACTATATTTGCTTTTTTGACATTTTCCAATGTTTTTTTGTGAATTTTAAGAACATATAAATCCGATCTCTACTAATAAAATATCTATACAAATCCATACTAGAATTAAATTATTAAAATATATTAATAAATATTATCTGTGATTCATTTGTAGGTTTGTTATGTGATTTATTATGGTCTGACCCCGATAAAGATGTAACTGGTTGGGGCGAAAATGATAGAGGTGTTTCTTTCACTTTTGGTACAGATGTTGTAGCAAAGTTTTTAAATAGACATGATTTGGATCTCATATGTCGAGCACATCAAGTAAATATAATTAATGATTTATGAACTAACTAAATTATACAACATTTGCCTTATATTTTATTTCATGTATTAACAGGTTGTAGAGGATGGTTATGAATTTTTCGCAAAAAGACAGCTGGTTACATTGTTTTCTGCACCAAATTATTGTGGAGAATTTGACAATGCTGGTGGAATGATGTCTGTTGATGCAACTCTTATGTGTTCATTTCAAGTATGTTTTTAATTTATTTAAATCCTCATATTGATTTTTTAATCTTAAACAAATTATTAGTTAACAAGATTACTTACATACTATATAATTAGTAGTTAAATATTTCATTTTTAAGTATTTTATTTTATGTCCAATGAGTCTTAAACCAGTTTTTCAAAATTCTCTATTTTTTTATTCAATCTATTGAATGCTTGTTATTTTGGTATAGGTTAATTTATTTACATCCGTTATATACTTTTTACTTGATTTTATTTTATTTTTATAAGAAACTTGCCCCTTTTTATAGGGATACTTATACTATAGTATTTAAAAATTCTTAATTTATTCTCTTACTTAAAAGCTATTAATTTAACCAATTTAATGTGAATTTGTTCCTTAAGATTTTGAAACCATCTGAAAAGAAAGCAAAATATCAATATTCAGGATTGAACTCTGGACGACCAGCCAGTAACACAACTGCCGTGAAAAAGAAATAAGTCAACTCTGACAAATAATTATAAGCAACTAAATAAAATGTTGTTCATAATATTTAATAACTCTGTGCTTGAATATTTTTTTTTGAAAATCTGGACTTTCTATTTAATAACTGATAATGTTAATAATATATATTGATAAAGAGTTTACAAATGTTAACAATACAAAATTACGACTATATATATATATATATATATATATATTTTTTTTTTATCTATAAAAAAAAGTTTCATTTTAAACAATCATTCAATCAGTTCCTTGAGATCTAATTTATATAATATCCTAAAGTATTGAGTGATTATTTGATTTTAATATTATTTACTTTGTATATAGATAATAACCAATTAATTTAGATAAAAAAAATTAATATAACATTAGCCATATATATATACGGCATAAATAAAAATTATGGGTTAGCTGCTATTTCGTTGTATAAAAAAACATATATATATATATATATATTAACATTATTATTAGTAATTACTGATTATTCTTATTAAATATTGTCATGACTAATTTAATTATAGAAAAAATATTTACCAGTACTAATAGTGTTTCAAATACCATTTTAATAATATATAAATTAACTGTTTTTAAATTTTGTGGTAAAGTATTAAAGATATAAATTTTTTTTATGTCTTGTATAATTTCGGTATTAGATAATAAAAACGTCAAAGTAAAATTAATTTCAAATATAACAGATCTCCCGCTGTGCTTTCTACAAATGTAGATACATATAAATGTATATGTGTAAATATTATTGATGTATTAAATAATTGTAATTTTGACCCAAAACTCAAATGATGATTTTAAAATATGAATCATACTATATGGCTATTTTATTCATTTTTCTTCAATATAATATATTTAAATTATTTATTACAGTTTAACTTCTAATAATAAATAATAGTCTATTGTGGTTTGGTTTGATTGATCTTTAATACATATATAATATATAAATGAATTATTAATTATTTTTTTTTGCTTTTACAAATTTTGTAGAATTTGTTATTATATTTAAAATTATTTTAATAAATCCAGTTTTTTTTTTTTTATTATACTATCAACTGTGTGTACATGAAACAAGATCTTTTTTGAAAAATAATATTTTATACCGTGTTTTATGTGTTTGACCTGTAAAATAGCTCATTATTTAATTCATATTTTCAAAGAAAAAATATATTATTTTAATACTTTATAATAATATGGTCGTTCAATTTTGTAATTCAGTAAAAACCAAGAGGGGAAAAAATGATCAATACAGATATTCATAGTGAAACACCTAGTATATTAAGGTATTGTATATAGGCACACATTTCCATAGATCTGCTATGTTTAACAATTATTATAAACATACTATTATAGTTCATTCAGTGTAATTTTTTTTTTAGTTATTAGAATAATTATGTATTCATTTTTTGGCCAACTAAACAAATTATAATTTTCTGACAAAAAAAATTATTTAAATTGTCAAATTATTAAATAATATTCTGAATACAGTAATACCTAAATGTTCAACAGTAATTATTACTTAGTAATTTATAAAACAAAGTTATTCTTATATATTAGATATTTTTGATAATTTCTATATAACAACGCAATTGTCAAGTACAATCCCAATTGTCAGTTATTCATAGAAGAGTAAAAGTACTCCTAAAAAAATATTAAAATAACATGCTTAATCTATACAATAATAAATTGAATCACACCTATTCAAAAACTCCGTGCAAACCTATGCCTGTAATAACTAACTTCCCTATAATGTACACAGTTACACAATGAAGTGTATAACTAATCAATTTAACTTCAAAATATTTTAAGAATTTATTATGAAAAAGAGAAAGTTATATTTTTGGCTTATTTTAAATATTATATATTTAAATAATTTGAAATGTATCTACACTAACTATTTTTTTTTATTAATAGGCTTAGTTATAATAGTTATTAACTATAAGGACCTTATTAAAATTTTAAAAAACAATATATTGTATTTATATAATTTATTTTAAATAAGTTTGTCCAATAATAATGATAATTATTATACAAATGTTGAATAATGTGAAATGTATATTACCACAAAATGATTATATTTTACTATGCATATATAATTATATTGTAACTAAAAAATATCAATCTATAAATTATGATTAAATATTTTAGATTTAAATGTTTTTGTTTGCACATCTGAATGTGTCGCACTTGCACAAAATCTCAAAATTATATACAAGCTCTCATCAGTGTTATTAATTTTTGATGTATTTATTTTATTGTAAATATTTTCACGTTATTAATACAAATCACTCTTATTTTTATTAAAAAGATTGCTTCATCAATTTTTTATTTTACAGTAATTGTTTTAAAACCAAGACACTAATATTTTGTTTGTTTTATCAAACAAGAAGTTTTTTAGAATATTAAAAACTTATTTAAAAATATCTATTGTAAAATATTTGATTTTAACTAATTAGAATCATTATCAATGATTTTGTAATATAAAACTTGAATTCGTTTTTTAATTCGATAGGTTTTGTAGGTATATATAAAAAAAAAAAAATATTGTATTTTAAATCAAATTTTTGGAAATTTGCATCAATATTCATTGTTAATATTTCTCATTGATATCCGATTTAATAAATTATAACTGAATTATATGGCAACCTGTCATATTAAAACTCATGGGCATAAACAAATTATTTAATTTTTCTTGTTTTTTTTTATTTTATAAACATTGCGTACTATTTTCAAACAAGTTTCATAATTAACTGTTATTATAGTTTAATTTATTATTATTATTAATATTTTTAATGAAATCTAAAGTTTAATTTATGGTATTATAATATATTATTATTTTAAATAAATTAACATTTTATTTTATTTTAATTATACGGGCTGGGTCCTTTTGCACACGCAACATTAAACATTTGAGATAACAGAAGTCATTACAAAAAATGAATTAATAAACATATAAAATTACAATAGTTTATAAGTTATAATATAGAAATTACACACAACTAAGTCAATAAGTCATTAAAGGCAAAGTCCGCATTGGCAGTTAACATTAGACATTTTAGAGGCTCATTAGCCATGTAGTTGGTGGTTGCGTGCAGAACTTAAAAGATGGCAGGAAAACAAAATGAACGATAACGAATTTTGAAACAGGTTAGAGAATAAAGGGTAGGCGAATCAATATTTTAATATATTGATAAAAAATTAAGTAAGTACTACATATTTTAGTTTATAGGTGCTTCCAGAAGATTTTCCAATGTAAGCAATAATTATTTGTAATTAATACAGTGAACATATTTTTATTACACAACTTATCTAGTGTAAAAACTGAACATACAATAGTCTTGGTACAAAAATTGTACACTTTCAATTTTAAATATTTGAAAAAAAGTTGTTTACTAGGAATACAAATTTACTAAACACAACAGTGCAAATAGACTACATTATAACTCGATAAATAGCTTATAGTTTTCTGGCATCGTATTTATCTAGTAAATCTATACCTAATACATTTTGAAAATAGAAATATTAATTTTTTTTTTCTTTTAGGAGAAAATTTAAATAAATTGTATCAAATTTGTTGATAACTCTATGCAATTTGTAAAAAGAAGAAAACTGCCTTAAAAACCTAAAAATGCTAAATAAAAGTTACACATTTTAATTCTTTGGTACATGTATGACACAATTGATGAGCTTGGAAACGATTATTTTAAGACATTTAGAAAAAAATGCAATTTACAATATGATTTGCACCCTAGTTATAATTATTAATTTATAAGTTGAAACTTAAAAATTGTGAACATTGAAATATACATAAATATTATTGAACAAATAATACTAAGATAAAAACAATAAATTGAATACTTGTACAGTACAATTTATTATTTTATTATTTTTCTTAAAAAGCTTTAATTGAAAAATTATGATCTACGAAAAATGTATAATAAGTAATAATAATTTACAGACAGTTGACATTTGTATAAACATGAAAAGGAAATCACACATTTGTGACAACTCATAATATTAATATTATATGAGTAAAATTACATTTGCTTTTTCTTAAAATGAGCCTTTTTTAACCTTTAACTGGTATCATTTTTTTATATGGATATGTGGTGTAATTGATCCCCACATGTATCTATTTCAATGAATTTTATTGACAACAATCATTCTTTTTAATGTAAATTTAGAATGTATTCATATACATCTCACAAATGTATTACCAACCAAAAGCAAAAAAAAAAACATTTGAGTATCTTTCTTTGACTATCCGAAAGGCAAATAATATTAGGCAAATCAATGAACAATATTTTTATTAGAGTATTTCTGGGCCCTGTTTTACCAGTAAAGGGTTAATATTATTTGAGTCGTATTTTTTAAAGAGATAACTGTTAAAAGAGATATGTTTTCTGTATCAAAATTAATAAAATCGTTTTGTCTAGGCAGGTATTAAATATAAAATAAATAAAAACTGATTAATAATGAAAGTAAAATACAGTAACGATATGGGTAGGTAAGTATTAGTGTATTTATTTATGCATATGACACTCAACATGGAAAATATACAATTCTAATAACAAATTTATATTTAACAATGTAATAGATAGGTAGATACCTAAAACAAAAAACAATATAAACAAACTAGAATATTAATAAGATAGTACCTATATGTTTTCAATGTACACCCCTTTAGCTATGATTTTTAATATTATTTTAGATTCTGAGTAGAGCAAGTAATGTACTGGTTTTACAATGGTGTTTATTTTTATTTTATTTTAAGTTAACACTTTTTCTACCGGAAAGCATAAACCAGTTATCAAGTACAGCATCTTTTCTGAAAGAAAATGCCAATGACAATAATCTTATTTTTAATAAAGAAGAAGAAAAAGAAAATCTACTCTGGGTGATACTTTAGAGAGGATATTTTTCGGAATTCATACTAATATTTGAGATAATTAGGAAAACCCGGTTCTTTAGGTTAAAAAAAGTTGAAAGATTAAAAATGAGATTTCTAATGTCAACTGCCAATGCGGACTTTGCCTTTAATGACTTATTGACTAAGTTGTGTATAATTTCTATATTATAACTTTTAAACTATTGTAATTTTATATGTTTTTTAATTCATTTTTTGTAATGACTTCTGTTATCTCAAACGTTTAATGTTGCATATGCAAAAGGACACAGCCTGTAAAAAAATGAGTTCAATGTAATATTTTTTTTGTTAAAGAATTTTAATATATTATAACGAAAATTCTTTGAGTAAAAAATTATGTGGAATAGATCTAATTTTTGATTTTTTTTTTTTTTTCAAACATATGTGTATTGCCGATTTAAGAATGATGGTAAAGTCAGAATTGTGTAAAACTTTTCTACCAGCGATTTCGCTCCGATTTACAATGATAGTACTTTTTCTGAAAGTAAATATGATTAGAAAGGTACTTAAGGGAGGTCATTTTTCGATTTTTCCAAGAGTTTTCTTAGCAAATGTGTAATCCGAGTAAAACACGGGAAAATCGATACAATATTAAACCAATATTATTAAAGAAAGTATATAATGCCTATTTAATATGATATATATATTGTTGACAAAGCATCACTATCGACTGAACTGTGCTCAGAATCGTTTTTCGTTAGCAATGGTTTAACGTTGCTTACAGATATACATTAAATTACTTGTAATAATGGCTGCACCCGTCTTCATTATTCTAGGACGTTCCTTTTTTTCGTATTTTCATTATTATATACACTATAATGAATGCATTTCGTGAAAAAAAATTGTATCTGCTTAAAATATCAATTATGTATATAAATATAATGTATGCTATGCGTACACAGCATACACACACACTACGCTACTTACAAATCTGTAAACCAGATTGGATGATGCTCGAACGTTCTGTATTACTTACAGACCTGTAAACTAACTATAATTTATAGAACCAAATTCGTATCTTTAACTCCTTGCTGAACGATTTATAGATCGGTATTATCATTTTATTAATGTTATTATTGCCGAAATTTCTGATAGTTTTTTCGATTTTGAATTGGAGAAAGGAATGCTTTCGTTTCACAATGATGCTTATTTATTTATGTGAACACTTTCTACCAGAAAACTTGCTCCGATAATCGAAGAATAGCACTTTTTCTGAAAAGAAATGTTCTCTGGGTGGTACTTTAGAGAGGTAATTTTTTTAAATTGTCATTAATATTCGAGATAATAAGGATAACTTGGTTCTGTAGGTTAAGAAAGATTGAAAGATTAAAAATAATGTTATCATTGGCAACAGTTTTTATTATTTTAATATTTTTTTAAATAATCATTGTTATGAAAACGCATATTATTTTAATTATTTTACCTTAATATAACATAATATTATATTGTTGACAAAACCACACTATCAAATGAACTCCGTATGAATCGTTTTTTCGTTAGCAATGGTTTACCTTTTATTTACAGATACACATTAAATTCCCGTCTGTATCTTACCTTCCCACCAACAACAGTGGCTGCACCCACGTGCGAAGTATGTCAGTCTTTTTTTTATTAATTTATATACCTACTGCTAAATTTATTACCGAGGCCAGGTTATATCTGGAATAGATCAAATTCGGTGATTGATTTTAATGGTTTAATGATGTAGATTTCAAACAACAATTCAGATACTAACCTAATGGTTAATAAGTAACAAAATACGTTTGTTTTTTTTTGACCCAAAGATGCCAAGGTTTATTACTTTTCATTGTTCATGTCTCGGTAATCTAATTGAGTAAAATAACCGTGTTCGGGGTTATCAAATATAAATGGTTTAGTTTAAACATGGTTTATCATTATATTTTAATTTACAGATTCATTATAAATTGTTTTGTGCAACATATTATAGAGCCATTATAATTTACAGGCATTTGCATTTTACATATTTCTATAAAATATTATATACAGAATAATTGTGCAACCCGGCCTCAATATTGGTTCCCCGGTTCCTTCTTTAAGCGCAGTTAATTTATTAATATTAATATGTATATGAATATTTATCATTGCATGGGCTATCTAAATATATTTAATAAATGATACTAATTTACTGACCTATTTATTTTAATTCGATAATTTAGGCTAGCATATTATAATGATTGCTAAGTCCAAATATTGTAAATCAGAATACAAGATCCGGAAGGTTATTGATATTCAGCGCTCAAAAGTGTTAACATTTTGTGTTGACACAATGGAAAATATTTATATACTTTTTTGAAATTAATTTAATAACCCGGCAAAATGTTCGTAGGATTATTATTAAATACTACTAATGCCTTTAGAGTTCTGAATTGTTTTACTACGATATTGTTTTTCACAATTTTTATCATTTATTTCATAATATAAGAATTAATAAATTAACTATTACAGGTATAAAAATCTTAGTAATTATTAGAGGTGGGTAGTTCGTGAGTTAGTTGACTCTTTTAGGTGAATTGAATGAATTAATTCAGTGTGGTATAGTTCAGTGACTCAGTGCTACCACTGGTTCAAAACAATGATTCACGAATCGGCTGATTCAATACAATTCACGAATCACGGATGTGTGTTATTAGTCCGACAATTCGCCTATACAGCCTGCTATGTCACAATATACATAATATGAAATTCTATTATTGTGTAATGACAAGTGGTGTTATGACGTTATATTATGATAAATTAAATAGGTATGTCAGCAACTTGTAATGGCAGTGATATTAAAACGTAAAATGCATAGATATTAGATAATAGATAATATACTGATATTGAATGATATAAATGTATAATAGTTTTATGTAGTACAAGCACGTTGCAATTGTTGCAAGTCATTTAATAATTTAATACATTTTGCGTTAGTGTTTGTTTAGAATAAGTTTCTTTTTTCATGTTTGACAAAACAATATTACCGGAAGCATGAGAAATAAAAGATATTTAATACATTATACATTAGGTATTAAGATATCTATAAGTATTATTATGATATACCTACTTAATTAAATTATAAAAGTATACGACAAAATGTATTATATTTATATTTTACAACCAAAAATTTAAATATAAACATATTGTCTTAATATATCATACATTGTAATGAACAATGGCATCGGAAAGGATTAGATCTACAATTTTATTGTTTAATGAAGTATGCATTATCAAATAGAAATATTTTGGAAAACAAAATCTAAAAATAAAAATAATTGCTGACAAAAAATTGCATAAAACTTCAATTCAAGTATTATAGGCTGTGTAGGTACCAAGTAGGTATAAACAAAATATACGTTGTTTTGAATAATAAGGTAATTGGAAACTTAATTTATATTTTAGCCCAGAAAAAACCACAAGTTTACGCTTAAAATATGGAACAGTTGACTCACCGAGTCCACTCTTTAAAATGAACTGAGTCAAGTGAACTGATTTATGGTATTGAGTTGAAAATCCCATCACTAAATAATTATTAATAATTATTTAATAAGTATGGCTACACTGGGTTATAAACGTTGCCGATTCGGGGTATAGACCTTTCGATGTTATCATTTACAGTTTTGCATAGTTGTGATGTCAACGTGAATTTCTTGATAAAGGGCGTTATTTTTTTTTCACGGTTGTAGTTATTGTAATATTACTCGTTTTGGGTTGAATTTGTCGTTTGTTTGATCAAGGCAGGTAATATACATTATTCTAATTTGGAATTTAGTATTTACATTCAATTATAAATTATATTTCTAATTGTATGCTTTAAGTATTACGCAAGTAACAATACATAGACTATAGACTATAGACTTATAATCAAGGATTAAATTGGACAATTAATTATGGATACATTTATTGTCGATTATGAAATGGAAGTTTCCAAACAAAAGTTTAATAGTTTTGCCAAATTTTATGATATCTATACTATACACAATTGATAAATTATAAAATTATTTGTATATCTAGTTTTTAGATTATTTATATTAATGTTATTATTTTAATAATTATATTAGTTACATAATTACTGAATTGAACTGATATCCTGAGTATTCTTGAATACTATTATTCTGTATACTGCTTAGTTATTTTATATATTTAATAAAAGGCTAAAAATGTGTTTGAATAAACTTCATATTTTAGTGTACCTAAAGATCAATTTAAAAAAATGTTATGAACATCATTAAATTTTGCAATTGAAAAAAAAGATTGCGTTTTGTTATATATTTTAATCAGTCTGATTTTGTTAGTAAATGGTCAATTTTGGAACAAGTAAATTAGTATTACAAAGTTCAATTATTTCAATTTGAATTGGTTCTTTTATTATATTTAGTATATATTTAATGTTAACAATTATTACATTTTAAAATAAATAAGGAATAATATTTTTATTTATTTATTTATTAACTGTTATCATTATAAGTATGGCCCAAAATTATATGCACTAAAAACGTACGAAATATGCATGCATTTATGCACTGAGTATCATTAAAATGATAATGATGAAAACTAGTTCCGACCAAATTATCTTTAGAAGTAATTAGATAATATATGTGGGTAACACCAACGAACAATATTAAAACAAATGTGTTTAAAATTTAGGTATTCGACTAATATATTTAATGCAATGAAAAATCGTAGAATACAAACATATGCAGTACATATCAACAAAAAATGATAAAATATGCAAATTAAAACTTTGTATTTCGAATCTAATAACTATTATTCAAACTTGTAGCTTATTTAGCTATTATTTTAGACTGTTAAAAAAACATGCAAATGCATATAAATCTAAGTTCTAGTTATTAGTTTTATAGTATGGTATAGTAAGTTCTATAATGACTGTGTAGGGCGCTAGTAAGACGACATTTGGTCGCTAATATGCGGAATGGAGCAAAAATTAATATTAAGGAACAACGTACTGAGAACCGTATGCAGTTCAATATATGGTTACGATTTGGGATGCTGGTAGAGAAGAAAAAACAAAGAAATCCGAGATATGATTAATCTTATAGCGGATAACTAATTTTGTGAAGCCCAAATTGGTTGAGTGTAATCTAACAGCAAAAAGACTAAGGCAACATGCCAAAAAGCATTGAATAACTAATAAATTTCTAAGAAAGCCGAAAGAGTGAACTGAAACAATTGAGTGGAGTAGAAGGAATAATGTTAGCTGCAAAGATTGTTGAAGAGTTGTGAATTGTGATGCTGGAGAAGATTATTTTTATTATCTTTATCTTCATTATCTAATATCTATGGTTTAAAATAAGGTATTTAGGCCAAACAATAAATCAAAATATTAAATAGTACAAATAAGATAAATTCGGATTTTCGAGCATAAAGGTAGATTCCCAGCTATCCCATATACGTGTATATGTAGAATACGCTGATTGGTTGCGTTATCTGCTGTATAATAATAACACAATAATGTAAAATTGAAAATGCGTAACCTTGAACATGGTAAAACAATCAAAAAGTGATAACTGTATATTTGTATCACAAATACGCCGAATATTCTGCACGAATTTTAGCAGCGTGTACTGTTCAGAAAAACATCACCAAAATCGTAGCAGTTCTTAGACATCGACTGTACCGATAACACCCCCGCCTGCCATATCGTTGCTACTTGCCAGTCATGGGTACTAAAAATCTTTAATATCTATGTTGCCAGTCCATATAATAATAATAATATTTATTAACACCCGCAAGGAGTAAGGTACAGCGATATTACAGAGCTTAAAAAATAATAGTTTTATATGCTTACAATACTTATTAAAACAATGAAAAATAATTTTATATGATAAGATACAAGATATCAATCAATCATAACTTATATTATCTTAGTTCATGATTCATGTTAGAGTCTAGATATTAGGCTCTTAAGTTCATACTATAAGTTATCTAACCTAACCTATCATTCTTCGTCGGTATCACAAAATAAATATAATAATGGTACTAACCACCGTGGTACTACTGTTTACATTAAAGTAATTTCTTGAAAAAATTATTGATTGTTACTTATTTTTCCGTATTCGGGGTAAGATGTCTATCTTCCTTGTAACATTATCCATGATTTCTGAGAAATTCGTCAGAGAAAGATTCATCACCGCCCATTTCAATGAACCACCAACAAATTATCAATTAAGTTACCTATTGTATGTTAACTTGTTTATAGTTTTATTAGAAACATATTAGGTTTTGACGGCCGTACGGTAATATATACCCACTTAATATAATCATTTATTATTACATTACGTTTTATATTAAATGGCTAATTATAACTAAATTTTTGCCATGGGTGAAAGCTGATCAAATAAATTTCTATTTGATTGTGGACTGACCGTACTATTCAGTATTGATGATGATGACGTTACATTAGAGAAAAAATCTCCAATTCGAATTGAAAAGTACATAGAAAATGTTCAACATTATCCTAATGTTTTTCATAGCTTAGGTAACAGGTTAAAATTGGTAATATTTTTAATTAGTGTAATTTATTAGTTTTTATAATTAGCAATAGCATAGTCAATACACTTACCATTACAACTTAAGAAAAACTTTAAAATAAAATTAAATCAAATCAGACGTTAACAATTAACAGTTATACACCTTGTTATTTAATAAGCTTTATAGTAGTTCAAAATTATATCAAATAATTGGCAAAAATAAGTAAGAAGTAGTTTGCACCATACATACCACTGTCTATTCACGGGCTATAGGAATGCGTTAGAGGAAACAAACTATTCGGCATTTCTAATCTGGTTTCTGAACACAAAAGAGGGGTACCCGTGAATTCCTCAACACGCCCTTAATACTTTTTGAAAGCACTACAGAGGGTCTATTCTGCTAATGAAACTACGCCGAGTACGTGCGTATCTGACTTACTTTCTTGACATAGTGTTATTCCACCAAAATTCTTTACATACTCTTTCGTAATTGGCTTTCTTAAAGTATGCCAACTACAACACGTCGAAAGATGTCGTTGACTTATCGTACTTTATTGTATACATTCGATTTGGTTATCTTTCAGAATTGTTATCAATTATCATTGATTGTTTTTATTATTATTTTTTTATCTACGTTGGCCGTTTGTTGACTGTTGGTTATTTATACAACGCACCTTGTACTAAATTTTTACTTAAAATTAATGTGGTGCGACTAAATGTTTTGTTGACAGTTGACAGTTAAGGATGGAGCGAGTCGTCAATAGACAGTATCGGTTGTCCGACGAAGAATTTCGTAACAATTTTCGTATATCAAAACATACATTTGAACGTAACAAATAACTTTATTCGAATTCGAAAAACACTGAACATTAAAACAGACTCGATATTTTATATGACTAACCTCTTAAGATATTCCATCAATTATCACTTATCAGTTAATATCAGTGTTATCAACAAAACAAATACGAAATCTATACTTGTACAAAAAAATAGCAGAATAAAGGCCATCGGTAATGTCAAGTACGCCATGTACTCTTTTCTAGAAAATATGTGAAGTATACGCGCACTTTTTCACGAAAATAGCAGAATAGACCCGCCAGTTTCCATTACACCGTGCATAAATCTATGTATTCTGATTTGCTGAATGGTGTTGATATCATGTACTACCTGATTTATATTTATGGTATGCCGTCCATACCAACAATACCAAGAAGTTGAATTGGATTTTATTTTTCACTGTGTGCCTTGTGGTAATAGAATTTTATGATAATTCCTATTATTTTGTTTATGTAATGCTCGGCCTTAGATCATGGACATATTAAAAACATGTTTCTTTAACATGTCTATGCCTAGTATATGCTTTAGATACCTACATAGACCTATTAACAAAATATGTACTGATCTTTCCGTACTATTGAAGATAATTGATCTATAATTGTCACCAATATAGTCTGAGAAAAATGTATTATTCATACAAGTTTAGATAGTATCTAAAACCCTGATGTAATCATAGATAATAAAAAATAGTTTATTGTCTATAAATGTAATGTAAACCTTTGATCATTCTATAATATAAGATGTAAACAAATAAAATCATCAAAACCGCTAAAATTATAATATGATAATAGATAATGTATTGGTTAATGTTTGTAAAATACTAACATATTTGGAAACACAGAATTCTGTGGTAGTGTTGTACACAAGGTGGATTAATAACAGACCTGATATGTTTATAGGTTATAATTAATAAGGTGTAATCATTTTCACCGGCCTGTCTAAGATAAATTGATTGAAATCATTACTGTTTTTAAAATTGCCTTTAGGTTCCATGTCTACCCAATAGAGAACCAGAAATTGTATTATTTGTTTGTATTTGATTAAGAAAATGACAAAAGTTATGGACATTTTCTATTTTTTTTATTGTAAAAATTAATTTCAAATTATACATATATAAAGATTAATTATGTTATATTTATTAATACATATAAATATTTAATATAATTTTATAAAATAGTTATTTATGAATAATATAATACAAGTACTTACCTAACCTAATTTAAATTATCTGGTATATGACAATAGGTAACTGCTTGAACAATTTGATATGATTATTATTTGGAAGTATTACTCGTAATTTATTTGGTAATATGTAATAATAATACTCTTGTTAATAATATAATTAAATAGAATAAAATATATTTTATTACAGTCAAGAATTTTTTTTGGTTATTATATTTTCTACAGCAAAATTCATTCTAATGTTTAAATAAAATTGTATAATGTAAGTTCTTATTCATGATCCGTACGGCCAACTTTAGACCCAAACCCAATTCCATCAAAAATTACTCCATTCATAACTATGTATTAAAAATAAAAAAAAAAATAATACATATTTATGATAGGCATGTATAGTAAAAAATGACTAAGTACTAACCATATTCTGAATTATTTGTATTTATTTGATTATTATTTAGAACATCGATTATGATTTATGGTTGTTTTCAAGCTATAAACAACTTTTATTAGTGTATTTGTCGATGTGAATAAGTGTCCTCCACTTCTGAGGTTAACAAATTGGTCTAGTCTAAAGTCAGCTGTACGGATCATAAATAGGAATTTACGAAATACATTATACAATTCTATTTAAATACTAGAAAGATTTTTGCCTCTAGGAAATATAATCAAGTGTCGGACCAAAAAAAAAAAAAAAAAAAATGAAAAACTTTTAAAAAAAATTAGACTATAATAAAATATATTTGAATAATATAAAAATATTATTAGCTAAAGTATTATTATTACTTATTACCAAAAGTAATGGCTCTTAAGTAATCGCATCAAAGTATCAAATTCAAGCAATAGTTACATATTGACACATACCAGGTATTTACCTACCTGTATTATATTATTCATAAATAATACAGTGTAATTTATTTTCATAGGTGTATCATTTTTAATGTATTTTTACGATAAAAAAAACATAGAAAATGTCCATAATTTTAGTAATTTTCCTTTTAAAATATATACAAATAATACAATTTCTGGTTTTCTATCAGGTATGCAGCGCACATATTGACAATTTTAACTGCAATAATGTTTTTAATCAACTGATGAGCCAAGTGTTTACACCTTATTAATCCTACTAATTTCATCCGTAAATAATAAAATATAGTAATATACTAAATACTAATATTGGAAGTGTTTTTAATTTAAACTTTAAATTATAGATTTTAAAAATCATTATCTTCAAATAATATTCATTTATTAGGTATTTATTATTTGGTTTCTTCATCTATGTTTAGTTAGTATTTTATTAATATTTTTCAATGTACTATAAATGCTTACTTTATTAATTATTCATACATACTTAAAATTACTAAGAAATACAATCTAGTACTTATATATTAATATACTGAATGACATAACACTATGTTAGATAATATTATTTAAAATGATTTTAATTAACATGATGCATTTATTATAGTCACATACCTATTAACCAATTAGGTGTTAAGTATTTATAGGTAATACTGATGAGAAACTAGTATTTCTACTATCTAGGTATTTGTAATATTTGGGTATTATTTAAACTAATTACCCAATTAACCAACAAATTATGTAATTTTTAATTATGTTCAATTAGATAACCAACTTTAAATTAATATGGAACCCATCAAAAAAGTTCTTTCTATACAGAGTCATGTTGTTAGTGGATATGTGGGTAATAAATGTGCTGTGTTTCCATTACAAGTAAAAATAAAATGATATAACCAATTTTTTGTTGTAATGTATACATTTAACTTATGAATAAAATATTATATTTTTTAATAGGTTATGGGTTTTGAAGTAGATGCTATAAATTCTGTACAATTATCAAACCATACTGGATATAAAACAGTGTATGGCCAAATATTAAATGAAAAGGATTTATGTAAGTTATTTATTTTCATTAAAACCATAATCTATATTAATTTATTGTGTTGGTAATTGTACAATTTCCTCCCTTTTTTTAAACAATTTATTTGACTATGAAATTACTTATTTTTTTCTTAATATAAAATAAAATATACAAAATACATATTTTAATTTCAATTGATCATAGTATATTTAATACTATGAAATCATTATTAAAATAATAAATCAAATAATTATCAACGACTGTGTATTTTGTTTTATTTTATTATACATTTAGACAACATTAGATATTAGACACAATATAAATAATTTCTTATTAAATGTTTGAAAACTATTGAAAAGAAATTATCCATATTAAAAATGTACCAAACAAAAATATCATACTTTAATCAAAATTGTCTAATGTTATTGTTTTTGATAATTAAATTATGTTTAGCGGAATTAATGACTGGTCTTATTGAAAATGAATTGCATCATTACTCACATCTGCTAACTGGCTATATTAGATGTCCACAGTTCTTGAAAAAGATTGTTGAAGTTTATAAAATTTTGAAAGAGAAAAATCCGGATTTATTATTTAGTAGGTATTTCTTTCATATTTAAATATAGATGTCATTTTTATAGTAAAAGCTTACAAGTAAAAACAAAGGGAAAAATTCAGTATTTAAATTCTCCACCACTTCTTTGATGGTCTGTTGTTGTCGAGTTTACTTTAAAGGCTGATGACAATTCTCCCAGAAATATTACTTTACATTCTATTTTGTCATTGTACAGTTTTACCATGTTACCATATTTTTTTGTTATCCTGAAGTAGATCATTGAGTTCCATATCATACCCATGTTTATAGTCTATGAATACCATGTATGTATAAATCATTGACAAATTCATAATATTTCCCCATCACTTGTTTCAGAATAAATATTTGGTCCATAGTTATTGCATGACTTTACATCACCATTTTTAAAATAATAATAATAATTAGTGATTTAAAATAAACTTTAAATAAAAATAAATAAATCAGGGAATATCCCAGAGGAGAAACATTTATTATAAATAATTTATTATTAAAAACTAAAACATTACAGGTATTTAGCTTTTTACACAACTACATGAAGCTAGGGTGATAAAATTGTATATATATATATATATATATACTTTTCAATCATTTTTATGCTCAGATTTCATGTTTTCACTGGAAATACCAGGTTTTAAACATAGACCTATAAACTATAGCTAAGTTAACTTATATATATGTATAAAGTATATATAAAGAAAATTATGATCAAAGATGTGTATTAAGAAGATAATATGAATTTTCAACTCATGATTCTAATATCTATTTGTATTTAGCAAAAATCTCGAGAACTATTTTACTTATTTTTGATAAAACTTTTATAATTCCTTATAGTTATAAAAAAAAAAAAAACATGAAATATTGTAACAGAAATAAGTTAGCTCAGGAAAATTTGTCTTAAGTGATAAAGCTAGCTCTGTTATTTATGTATTTTTTTTTGTTTGAAATTAAATTGATGTATTTTATTTCTATTCAAGATAAGATAAACATAAAATTTATATACATACATTTTTATTTTCCAGTTTGTGATCCAGTAATGGGTGATAATAAAAAAATGTATGTCCCAGAAGAAATATTAGAAGTCTACAAAAATGAAATCATACATTTAACTGATATTCTTACACCTAATGAATATGAATTAGAGTACAAAAATTTGTTTTAATTAACTTAAGTATTACATTTTTGTTTATTTTATCTTTGCTTAGATTATTAACAGGTAAAACTATAATTAACCTTAATGATATTCATGAAGCCATGGAAATATTATATGCTCAGGGTTGTAAAACAGTTGTTGTTTCATCTTCCAGTATATCTCCAAATTCTGAAATCAAATGTGTTGGGAGAAATGGTTCTTGTAAGTGTTATTATAAACATTAAATTAAATTTGAATCTAGTTTTCATTAGAAACATAAAAATATCCTATCTACTTTATTTAATCTATTAACTGATACTTAATATCCAAAACATTTAGTTTCAATTATTTTTGTAAATGTTCAGAATGTCTAATATGTCATGTAAACTAATGGCGTTTTTAATTGTCAATTAAAATGTTTGAAGGACTTGCATGCAGTGGCGTATTTTCAAATTTTTTGTAGGGGGGATCTAAATATTAATTAAGTTTTTATAATATTATCAAAAAAATACATAAGAGTTATAATTTAATTATCATATTATTTATATTATATTATATTTCACTATTATTATGAATAGTGAATACAAATTAATAGTTTTTTTTATAATAAAAAAGATAGATGTCTTTTTTTTTGCCAGTTCTTCAATAACTTCTTTAGGTTTTATTGAGTAGTTTTTATTTATTGATAACATCAGCAGTTTTATCTTTTCCAATAATAAATATTTTCACAGGAAAATTATAATTATATCTGGAATCCAAATTGCATTTAATATATCATGTATTTCATTTTGAGTCAATACTCTGTTGACATAATTGAAAATATTGTGTCTATTTATATGGGAAACAGATCTATGTGGGATATCAGTATCTGATACTGAAACTACTGAATCTGTTTTATATTGTATTTTATAAACTTTTTCTTAAGTAGGTGAAACATTTATAATAGATTTGAAAAAAGATTGAATACTGGGTTGCTTTTTAGAAGTCGTAATTTTGATCTGTTTAGAATAATATATAAAAACAATACTAATAATAAAATATTATGTATACCTAGTGTATACTGTATACAAGCATTGCAAATTTGTAAGTATAAAAATTTGAGTAGTGCATCAAATAAAAATCAAATCATTTTAATATTTTTATTTTACACGTTACAATAAATTAATGTTTGTAAATTAAATCAATTGTCAATTAGAAATTAGCAATTAGTTTACGTTCTTCCCTTTATTTTTTTGTTAAGTGTTCGTATATTTGTGTAGCAACTAAAATATTAATTATTACGATGCTGTCGAATGTCAATAAAAAACTGCAAATTATTATGGCCAAACAAACGCAGACTGCCTATTTTAATAAAAATAATCAAAAGTTATTTATACAAATTGGAATACAAACATTAAAAACACATAATATAAATTAGTATTCTCATTTTCTATATCTACATATCAAGTTATTTATGACTTTTTAATCTTTTTTTTTCTGGGGGTCGAGATTCGCATCCCCTTCCCCCAGAAATACGCTATTGCTTGCATGTATTGTTCTATATAACTGCTTATCACTAAGAAACATAAATAGATCATGATAAATACCTACTATGATGCTAATATGAAAACGTGAAATATATCTGTGGACTTATTTTTTATATTATAATTAAAATGAATTTATATTATTGCCGAAATGCCTTCATTGTATAGTTCTTCACTCACATTATTCAAGTCACAATATTTATAAATATCCATTATGCTAATTTTACTATTATGTATAAATGGTATGTTTTCTAAATTATATTAATGAACACATTATTATCACCTTTTTGTATATGTCATTTTTTATTTAAATATTTATATTTTATCAGGTAAAGAATATATTGAAATAGATATTCCTTTAATTAAACAATCGTTTACTGGAACTGGTGATTTTTTTACCGTTTTAATATTAATATGGATGAATTTAACTAAAAATAACCTAAAAGAATCGATGGAAAAAACAATTGCGACAATTCAATCAGTATTAAAACGAACTTTAGAATGTAAATATTAAATACAATTTAATTTATTTTGTAAGTAATAGATTTAAATTTTATTTTTTACATTGTAGATCAAAATGAAAATAATTCAAAGGATTCAGTATGCGGTAGAGAACTTAAATTAATTCAAAGTTTGGGTGATATTCAAAACCCCAAAGTAATACACTGTGGTACTATAAATAAAATAGAATATTAATTAGTTTTAAAAATATTATAGACTGTAGTTATTGTTATTATTTATTATATAATTACAAAAGAAAAAAATTAATTCACCTAGTACCTAGTACCTAGTAGTGTTCTATTGAAGTCAATGATTAAAAAAAATTATATTTATGTATCTATGTGTTATTTTAATGTATATTTAAGAGAGGGAGTATTTATTTTTAATACTCTTTTGGTAATACTACTAAAATATTAAATACATAGTATTAATATATCCATTTATTTAAATACCTAACTAATAACTGTATAATTTATTTACGAATTATACTAAATAACATTTTTAATAATACTATTGAAAACTTATGTCTTCCGTGTAAAGTACCATATTATAGCTGTATTAAATCAATAAATTAAATGTTATCATCAGCTTAAGAAAGCTATATAATATAAACATAGTAACTTTACTCACATAAATTATGATTTTACTTCTTGGTATTGATAAAAATTATATAATATTGTTTATTAAATAGTTAAAAAAAAAAAAAAAAAATAGAAATACAACAATACTGATGGTAGTAATTACTATTGTGTTTATTTTAAATAGTGATCATGTCTACATGTATTTGGATAAAATTACATTGTATTTATATATTTTTCAAAGAAGTAATATTAGTCAAAAAGGGTGAAAATATATTTGAGAGTAGGCATGTAAAGGAGTGTATTTTTGAAGATAATTTAATTTTATAATTTAAAAGGTTAGTTAAAGCTAGGATGAGTTATCAAATCTACTCTATACAAGTAAATGAATGAATATTCATTATTTATTTATGTAAATATGAGTTCTGTATACATTTAGAAATTATCATATAATGAAAATTTCTAGGTATTAATTATTAACAAATAATATATATATAAACTCAAAATCAGAAATAAACAACCTTGAAGCTCACTCACTCCCGACAGGAGAAAATCGGTCATCTACCTCCACCTAAAATGATTAAAGGAATAAAAGATTTTGTAAGCTTACGCGCTGAACTCATAGACCTCGTGGGTCTTGAAAACTTTTTTAAGTCAAACTGCGAAAGCAGAATACCACATCTATCAAATACAAAAAAATAAAGCCTGCCATATAGTTATAAGAAACCTTCATCCAACAACCAGCACAGCAGAAATTAAAACAGCCCTAGAAGAAATCAGTTTTCAAGTACTTGATGTACTTGATCACAAATATCTTACATAAAAATAAATCTATTGGGTGCTTTATGCCAAGGAGACTCTGCTAACTACAAGAGGTTTAAAATCCATAAGTAGCTTCAAAATCTTTATAATCCAAACTCAAGAAACAACCAACCAATTTCAATCGAAGAATGCAACCCCACATCTTCTCATAATAGAACATATGTAAATTTAGCCCCAAACTAAGAACCTCCAAAATCTGAAACAATCGCAATTGCAACAATCAATAAGACACAGGAACTTTATCATTTAAATTTATCAATGACTTCCAAGCTCTCATAAATCCACTGCTCTCCCTTCTAATAACAGCTCTAGGTAAACTTGTAGCCCAAAATGTCAAATAACACTCCAACCTCTAAATCACTGCTAATTCTCCTTTGGAATTCTAACGGTATTCATAATCATATAGCAGATCTCTCACTTGTATTACATGATAAACGCATTGATATAGCACTCATATCAGAAACACACGTCGCTAACTGAACAAAAATATACATTCCTGACTACACAATACTTAGAACAAATCATTCAAACAACACTGCAAATGGAGGGGCAACAATAATAATCAGATCCATAATTCTCTTTCACAGGGTTTCTCAAATAAGCAAATTCCACATACAATCTTTCACCATCTAAATCATCCTAAATCATTTGCATATCTCTATCTCTGCAGTATAGTCCCCTTCTAACAAAATCGTATCTCCAATATTATGTGAGCAATTCTTTAGCTCTCTTGATAATCACTCTATCATAAGTGGCGACCTTGACACTAAACATACTCAATGGGTATGTCACTTAAACTCACCCAGAGGTAAGTCTCTAAGCCAAGTTACTACTTCTAAAAACTACTCAATCATTTCCCCTTCCAAATCATAATATTTGGTTACATATTTTATGATTCAAGCTCATTTTCAAATTTTTTTTTCCGAATCTGAATGCTTAATCCATTGGTATAACCAAAACTTACTTATAATTACTTTTGAAATTATTGTACATAAACCTTGAAAATAGTATTTTGGGTGCACCCAGAGACCTGGGGGGTTCATTAGGGTTTGAACGTTTGTAACTCTAAATCAAAACCAGGTGGATTTAATCTAACTTCAATAAAAAAAGCTTAGTTAAAAATATCAAAATATTAATAATTATAAAAACGACCACATTTTTGATTAATTCCAAAAATGCTATGTTTCAAGGTTTATGTACAATATCTTTAAAAGTAAGTATAATATGTAAATTTTGATTATACTAATGGATTAAACATTAAAAATCAGACATTTTGGAACTTATTTTTATTATTATTACAAATAAATTAATCATATTAGACATCAAAAATACAACAGGAGAAACTGAGATCTTCAGGATTTAAAACTTATCGTAGTAAAGTGATAACGTGATTAATCAAAATTTCAATTACTTTGTCAATTATAATAGCGTATCTAATAGATAGTAGTGTCGCGTGCGTGCGCATCAGGGCGCTGTTGGCTAAATTCATTTACGGTCCGTAAATATGCATCCTGGGTAGGTAATAGGGGAAAGTAATAATAATTTGCTGAGAATTTTCTAAGTTGGTGTATCTGATTCAGATTTTCTTCGGGAAAAGTGCCCGATGCCATTGTTATCAATACCCGCTACAAATATTATGTCATGTTACAACCATATTATGTTTTAGTACTTCAAAGAATACAAATTATCGAATACATTATGAACATTTATAATTTCATTATTGTCATCTTTAAGTCCAGAAATAGTCCCATGGACTTCTTTACAGAAGGCTTTGCAATTGATGTTTTGCTAGATTTCTTCTTTAATAAATGAAGCCAAAGTTGTGGATCTATTATCCTTTGAACATTGAATTCTTCAACTGTTTTTAAGTACGTTTGCCCTCTTTCATTCATATTTGCTATAACTTTTGTCAATTTTTGACAAGTGAATTGGAATTTCACAATACAAGGATTGAGAATAAATGTAATTTTAAATTAATAAGAGAATCTAAACTTAGAAATATTGTTTTCACCAATAATTCTTAATATATTATCATTAATTTAAGTATTATTTATAAGTTTAATTAATATAAAATACTTATGTTTATGCCTTAGATCATTCCATTATGTCTTATTTTATCTTATGATATAAAGTTTATGCTTATGTTTATGAATAAAAAAATAATAAATTTAAATTATATCTAGATTTAAATACGTGTTTAAAATGTAATAATTATTTTAATAGACTCCCTATTCTTACACAAACTTTGCTTACCGGGAGTAGGTATCAACGGAAAATTAAAAATTGAATGTAAATATTGTATATATGTAAATTTAAATTATATGCTATAAATTGATTTATAAATTAATTAATCGAAAAAGTAATTTCTTTACTACTTGCCAATATTGAAGGAATAAAGCATTATTGTTCAAGTTAGAACAGTGACAACAAATAAAACAATAATTCAAATTCGCGCGTGCATAATCAGATTATCTAATTTGAAAATAACAGTTATAATGGTATGATAAGAGGAGCTACGTACACGGCAGCCAATAAATGTGCAAAATTGCAATAAGACCTTGAATGAGACACTTGTCAAATGATAAGAATTTGTAAACATTACTCACGTAACAAATGGTGGTAGGCATCATAAATCATAATTTTATACGGATTCGGCGAAGTTGTTTTACGCGCTTCTGTCGGCTATTTAGTTTTTATTTATATCTGTATTTGGAACCAGATAACCTTATCACCACTTGACGTTATACTGTATCCAAGATGACAATATACCATTTTATATCCATGCACATGTCATAATTATTATTGGTCCATGTATTTAATGCAATTTAATATGAAAGTTGTGTAACCAGTGTTCAGTTTATCTATTACAGTGGAAATTAATATAATAAATTATAATTCTAATCAAATACCGTGTACTAAACGACTAATTTTTGTTTTTTTTAGTTCCTAGTCCGCTACTAATTCTTGAAATTTTTCAATTGAATTAGTAATTACTAAGTAAGTATAATGTATATTATGTACAATATGCTATATAGTTTGTAAATAATTATTTAACATAGTTACCTAGATAATATTAGTAAAGCTGTTTAGACATTTATTTATCTAGTCTATCTCGGTCAGCAGTTTCCTATCATTTTGTGAATATTACGCATAAATCAGGTTAGATATTAACAAATACCCCTACCCCTTCAATAATTTTTTTTCTTAAAAACTTATAATCGTAGTACATATGACTGACACAGAGTTATGTAGTTATAATAATAGGTGTATAAAGTATATAAAACAAAATAAAAAATTATTTAAGGCATTAAAAATCAATTATACCTTGTTAAGTATATACTTACTAATATTAATAGTATTATTTCTTCTTTAAAAGTTAAGTTAAGTTAAATTTATATTTTTAATATGTTATTGTAAGTATATTTAAAATTTGACTTATCATTTTTATAAATAGCTTAAGAATGCTAATGGCCTTAAAAACACTAAAAAGTGCATGCAAATATGCCCAATAAATATTAAAATGTCTTTACAAAAAACTATGACATTGACAAATTTCATTAATAATTAAAAATATACTCTTAATGTACAATTTTTTATTTTACTCAAAAAATCTGGCAAAATATAAAATAGTGCTCACTGCAGTTTACTTGTGGCACACCATACACTGACTAAAGATTTTGTAGTCACTATGTCCAATTGACATCACTATTCAATCACAATTATTAGTCTTAAAACTGATTAATAATAATTTATATAGTTAAGTGTGAAGTGAAGATTATTATATTTGAAACCAACAATGCTTACTTATGAGTTTGTCTAATATATAAATATCAGTATATTTATTAAGTTTTGTCATCAAAATAAGCATTTATTCATATATATTTTTAAATATGCTAAATAAAATTGTATGTATTTGATTCTGTTATACAAAACAAATGCTTGGTCTGCTATGTGCCCAGTTAAAAGAAAAAATATGGAAGTCATAAACATTGTAACCTTAGTTATAAGTGTTAGACAAATCATCAGTTAATCTAATACTTTATTTAATTAGTTATAATACTAATTATATACCTTCATAACAAAATGGTAACATTTATTTGTATTCATTTTAGATATCATGAGTTATTGTTTCTAGTAAAATATACATGTTCAAATGTCCAACTCCATACCTAACTTATCCTAACCCATACAATTAATTAGTGACAAGCAAAAAATATTTATTAATTATTATTATAGGAAACATTATTTCAGAGTTTATTTTAGTTTAACCTCCAATTACTCATAATTAATTAATTTATTTTCATTGTTTGTAGTTTTTTTCATTTTGTTATGTCTGACTTGGCTGTAACATATTATGTAGCAATATAAGTGGTAATTTTATTAAACAGATTTCATCTGATATTCTTTATTGATTTTTGGAAAATTAAACTGTGTTGTTTATAATCTTTGTAAGAAGTTGTTTAACTTAGGTCACCCTAAACAATTTTTAAAAGATCACAGCATACCTAGAACATGTTCATAATATACCATAATATATGTAATTTTGGGTTGTTTTTTTTTGCCTCTCGCCCCCATTGAGAAATATTGATTATGTGTCTACTATTCCATAATCTAGAAGTACATCTTATTAATTTGAAGTAAATTTTTAACCATAAAATTGAGTACTTAGGTTTAGATCATCAGTTAAAATCATTTATACTTATAATTATTATTTTTTTTTTCAGAATGGAACCATCTAGTGATGTAAGTGTTGAAAGTATTGATGAGAATATTCAAAAGTCAACCTTAAATCGAGTAAGAAAACGAAAAAAACAACTATATGCAGATTTAAAAAAACAAATGGAATTTTATTTGAGTGATGCCAATTTAAGAAAAGATAGATTTTTTGGACACCTTATGCAAACAACTAATTGTAAGTTACCTTTTAATAAAACAATTAAAATATATGGTTAATAGTTTTACTTTGAATCTAATAGTTACCTTAACAATTAATCTTATATAGATACTTTTTATTTAAAATTTGACAATAAAAGTATTTTTTTTTTATTTGAACTTTGTAAAAAAACAATTAGTTACAACAGCTATGATTAAAATAACAGAAAGATAAAGCAACGTAAAAATAGAAAATATATATGTCATTAATATGCGCTTAAATATTGTAAATTTGATTACAAAATAATCATAATGAATTGTGAAACGATTTGGTGAAATAAATGTTTTTGGTTTTTTGTTAATTTTGATTTGGTGACAGTGAAGTTTAAAAATTTATTTTTGAGGGTCTAGGTGAGCGTAGAGAGACTGGGCCCACTTTTTGAATGATTTTTTTGTTCATAATTCTGTTATTAATAAGGGAAATATTTAACAATCGTAATGAATAATAAAAATAATAAAATTTAATGAGCGTGCACAGAGATAATGAAGCGAAACCATACAATGCTACGTGCGTGTGTTCATATTGAATGTAACAATTGAACTGAAACAAGTATAATTTATAATTAATTTTTGTTGAAGTTGCAATTGGGTCATATTTATTTTTATCCCATATAAGTGGGGTCAGCTATTCTTATTTTCTCCAGCCACATTTTATAAACTTATATCTTCTTTCATAACCTTGCAGTCAATTTTTATTTGGCCTTATCTTGTTGCCTGTGACTTTCTATCTTAACTATCATTTTTAATTTTCTCAATGTTTCTCTTCTATTGAAATTTATTCTCTCTTATATTTCATTCTACTTTTAGACTATCTTTTTTAGTCATTATTTATCCTATCCAACCTGGTCAAATAGCACATCCACTTAAACTTTTAATTATAAATAATAACTAAAATTATACTTACAGGTATAGGTGTTGATACATTTTTAAACTGTAATAAAATAAAGAATTTAACTACAAATCCTGAAGATATAGTTAAAGCTATAGAAAGCTCTAATATCCTAGGTGTGAGTGATTGTAAAACTAAAGTATATAGAATACAACCTATTGAAGACAAACAACCAGAAGATATTGAGCGCTGTACAGTATATGTAGTGAGTTTTATTTGAAATATGAATAAATGTATCATGTTATAAGTTTTGTATTAAATTAAATGTTTTTTATAGGAACAATTACCTCTTAAAGCTGATCATGATTGGGTTAAATCAATGTTCGAAAAATATGGAAATGTTGCATATATTTCATTGCCAAAATTTAAAAGTGGTACTATTAAAAGATTTGCATTTGTTGAATTTGAAGATGAAGAGTCTGCCAAAAAAGTTGTTGAAGTAAAATTTATTAACTATGTATATACAGTCATAAAAATATATGATATTTATGTTAGTAGTTCTACATGAGTGTAGATGTAAATTTATTTATGATAAAATCTAATTAACATGTATCAGAGCCGAAGTTAGTAACTATTATATCTGGGGTGAAGCCATTGACATAAAACTTTTTTTGCAATTGGGTCTTAAAAAGCCATTTTTCATAAAATTCACATAGGAAATTATAGTTTCTATTATTCTTTGACTTTGGCCTATGTTCTACTTAAAACAATTAAAATTTATCATTAACCCTGCATCAATTGCGCATTCTACTATTGTAGTATAGTGATAATCAATTTAATTTTTGATGATTTTGGAATTATCTAACCACAATAATAATATTAATACCTTTTAACGACATTATATTAATAATAACTGTTATGATTTCAGAATTTATCTTTCATTGTAGATTACACGACAATTCATTGTTTTACATATGTAGACATTAAGTTACTCGAGTGATATTGAACAACGTGACTGATAAGTTAATGGCCATGTTACTAGATCTTCAAAATTAAAGTCTTCAAATATTTCAATTTCATGTGATTTAATATTTTAGATGTTGAGATATTATGATGACTTAGGTTGCAATTCTGTTTCAAATTCTATAGTTTAGAAATTAACTCTTATTCCTAATAAGTATTATCAAATTCTTTACATGACATTTATTTGTTATAATCTTCTATTTAATTTAAACATCAATGTAGATTTTATACGAGCTCAATTGACACTCACTGACAGTTATTTTGAAAAGAATGGTTTATTTGTTATTTCTATTAAATTAGTTAAGTTATTGAAATCAAAGAACTACTGTTTGATAACCACAATTTCATATATTATAATAAAGTTAGTATACAGTTAGTTTTAAATTTTTTTTTTCCGCACATTTATAGATTCTGACTCCCGAGCAGAGCAAGGAATAAATATATTGTTTTACAATGATGTTTATTTTATTTATTTTTCTATAAACTACTTTTATACCAGAAATCTTGCTCTGATATTTAAGTGTACCACTTTTTCTGAAAGGAAATTTTATCTGGGTAGTATTTTAAGACTTACCATTTTTTGATTTTTTATTGTTTTCATAATTGGGCAAAAGCATAGGAAAAACCAGAAAATGTTATGAAATTATTATTTTCAATTTTGTTTTATCAAGTCAAGTTTTTATGATACTTCAAATTTTTTAATTTTGAATGTTTTTTTAATCAGTTGGTACTCTATGGGTACAATTTTTTGTTCAAACAGAAATGATTTATAATTTAACAGAATTTTCATTATAAGTCATGCTTTGTGTTAAAAAAAAATTCAGTTTTGTAGAATTTTAGTGCCAAATTTTGAAGATAGTCATAAATATTAAAGCCTTTCAAAATATGTATAACAAAACTCCTCAGAATCGTTTTCCCTTGGAAATTAAATTAACTAATTAAACGTTGCGCACATTTATTACAAATTCCATAATTTAGGTCATTTCATTTCGCATATTAATGTATATTTAGAGCATTCAAGTGTAAATTTGTTAAATTTGTATAGTTAAAATTCTTTTGACCTACTCATTACAGACATAGAACTAACTTTTAAGCTCAAAATGAAATGACAACTATGAAGAAGTTTTGTGTGAAATAATAATGATAAATAATATAATAGCCATTAGCTAATACAGTAAAACTTCGATAAATAGTTGTCTCTGTTAAACTATCATTTTTTTATTTTGGTACTGTCAAGTGTTATCTCTCTAGGAAATCTCTAAATAGTGGTCATTAATTTTCGATCCCTTTGGTGACTGTTTTGTGGAAGTTTTACTGTATAATATTACTGTTTGCTAACGATGATTCTGGTATCTCTACTGTGGATAAAATGACCCATAGTCTGAAATTGTTTAAATAATAAAGTAATGATATGCATACATGCACATTCAAAATTGTCATTTTAATGGTTTATAAATAACATTTTGTTTTTGTAATATGTGCCATTGGTTAATTACGTCCGGGTACTTCATACCCCCCTCTTTACTACAGCTCTGACGGACATATACTTGTTACTGATTAAATATAATATTTTGATGGACATAGATAGATCTATTAGACTACAACTATAATACTAACTAATATTAAATGAAACATTTTTTTAGGAACATAAAAAACAACATGAGGAACCCAAAATTCTTCCAGAAGATCTTCAAAGTATAATTACATTTAATGAAGATGAAAATAAAAAAGACACGGGCATCATTAATTTAGAAAGAAAAAGAAAACATTCTATAAACAATGATAGTGTGAAAGACAAAAAAATGAAAAAAGAAGTACCTAAAGTAAGCGCTCTTGGAAATAAAAATAATAAGAAAAAAAAGAAAAAAGATAAAAATAAAAAGAACAATATGGAAAATGAACAAAAAGAATCTTCTTTTGAAATAAGTGACAATGAAAATAATCAAAAAGCTTTGTTAAATGAACAACTTGATTCTAGTATTGAAAAATCAGATGAAATAATGCCAAGTGATGATGACAAAAAGAAATGTAATGAGTCAAATGATGTTGATAGTTTGATAAAAAAAAAAAAAAGAAAACGTAATAAAGGAAAAAAAGGAAAATCCAATATTAATACCACTATTACACCCAGTTTGAGAATAATGTCTAAGTAAATAATTTAAACAAATGTAGGTACATATTTCAATATTTTTTTTTTTTTTTTTTTTAGAACAGAATGGAGAAAACTAAGAAATCAGTTTTTAAATATGCAGCGACAAAAAATGTCTTTATTAAAAGCTCAATTGCAGCATCCTAAATATACTGAGAATCATAATACTAATTTTCATAAAAATACTGAAGACAATTTTGATAAAAATATTAATAGTGTTAACTTGCAGTCGGAAGTTGTAAAGTCTAAAGACATTCGTGTCAAATATGAACCTGGTGTTATATTGAAAATTACATTTTCAAATCCGATTGAATCTGATAAAATATTTAAAGTACCTACTATTCCTTCAAATTATTTGAAATGCTCACTATATTGGGTTTATATATATATATTTTTGTTTAAGGCTGAAGCAAAAACTGACTCTAATGTAAAATTTGTTGATGTTGTAAATAACTGTGAAGCTTATATACGATGTGACTGTCAAGAATCTGCACAAAAAATAGCAGAAGAAAATAGATGGCCTCAAACTACTCTGTTAAAAGGTATGCATATTATGTTTTTTTAATATTTATATTGTTTAAATGGTACATGATATTTATTATTTAATATTATATGATAGGTGAAGAAGAAAAGCTTTATTGGGAAAAAATTTTACGTGATAGAGAAATTAAGTTCACAATTCAAAAAAATACGAAAAAACCACGTGGACGTTTGAAGTTAATTAACAAAGCAGAAAAAAGATTAGCTCAACATGTTACATTTACAGAAGAAAATGATTAAACATATTCATTAATATTAAATTTACATTCAAAAATTATGTTAATTTACTATTTATTTAATAATCCTAAAATTGCAAGAAACCAAGAATATATGGCATCCTGTGTTTGAATATAAATTTTAAGTTTATACTTTAAATGTATTGTTATCATGGTTCATTGTCTTAAATAAAAAATAACTTATATGTTTGGTTTCTTACATTACAGCTATTTCAGAAAAACGTTTTACTTTTTGATTTTTTTAAAGGTTAGTTTATTATAAAGCGTATAAATAATTTTATAAAATCCCTCGTGATTTACAAACTAAAATATTTTAAAATGGTTTTTTCTTAATTCAATTTATAATTTACATGGTAATACTCAAAACTCACAAACCTTATTAAATTGGTTGTTTTAATTTAACATAATTTTAACCACAAAATTAGTATCAAGAAATGAAAAATGTTTATTTAAGGCATAAATACTCTTCTTTATAAAATATATAATGAAGGTCTTTTGCCCTCAACTTTTGAGTTGCAGAATTCTTTGTTGCTATATTAAGCTACTTATTTTGCTGTGGATTGTCAGATGGTTCACCAGTGGCGAAGCGTCATAGGAGACAAAGACAATGTCTCCCCACTTAGAAATTAGAACACGGGACAAATAAATAATTATTTTGTTTTATAAAATATTGACAAATTTGAATTTAATATTTGATTTGTTTAAATCGGCTTTGCGTTATAGTTATAGAATTCTTAAAATAGATTAGATGCGCGCGATACGGGTCATTCCAAATATGGTATTAAATCTAATAGACGTTGCCACTCATTGTCTCGCAAATATGGGCGCGCGGGTACTGGGGGAATGTTAATCTGAGTGGCGTTTACTATCTAGGTTATGAGACGCGTCTCACCGTTCGTAATTACCTCAGTCCTCAATATTTATTATCGACACCGCCATCACTATGACTATCGAGAAGAAAATGTTGGGCGAAGTAGCCACTGACCCAACATTTATTGACAATGTTATCAATTTATTTTCTAAGACAAAAAATAGAAAAATAGATTCAACGTAAATTTGTTTTTTAAACGTCATCTTAATGCGAGTTGCATATATACAGTATATTATATTAAATTTTATTTTGTTGGTTAGAAATTATAATATATTTGTGATTTGTTATTATATTAAATTATCATTTTAAAGAATTTGTAACTTTTTTAAATATAATGTTTCATTTTTTTTTTTTTTTTTAGTTTTTGAACATTTAATTCTTACTGTTAAATAAAATAAAAAGGGGGAAGTCTAGGCGTATAAGTGCCATTTTTTTTCAGTGTCTCCCAACCAAAAACCTCTAGCCTCGCTACTGTGGTTCACTATACTTGTCACTCCACCAAAACATTTTTTTTTTTTTGTACAGTAATTACCTAAATACCAGATTTATCCAAATTTTACAAAAAATATGAGAATGTAACACAGTATATAAGAATATAACTTACCAGCATAAAGGGCAGTTAAAATATCAATAAAGTAAAAAAAATTAAAAAATACCTTAAAAACTTTTGATGCCATGGATTTCATAGTAACCACATAATTTATGTGCCATAAATAGGTATGTGATGGTTGGAGTACAAGCCAATTTTATGAGGATCACTCATTTGACAATAACCTAGAACTAAATGGCTAAAATATCATTTAGCCCATATTTTTCCTTTGTGGTTTGCGATTCGAATTTGATTACAGTTCACTTAGACAGTAAGAGTTTTACCATTTTAGCAGCGTGTGTTCTCAGTCATACATGTTAGAACTGGTATATTCTTATTCTGAATAGAATAAAGATCTGGATAAAAAGATACTTTATGTATACATGTTATAAAAAATCTGTATCAAAAGTATCTTGGGCATACAACAAAGATGATAATATTTTAGTTACAATTTTCAGGATTTTAATTTGAATGCATAGTAAAATAAAATTAACAACAATAATAAAATAAGTATAAGTATAATAAGTTTTAAACATAATTACCAAACAAGCAATATAATTATTCTAAAAAGCCATAAATATAGAATTAAAGGTCTTTACAAGATGTCCACAATAATAAGACTCTTGAATATTAGTAACTACAAATTGCGTTACTCTTTTTATCTAATTATGTTTATATTCTTACCCCCCGAAAATGTTTTTTTTTATTTTTTAAATTTATCTAGATTTTGCCAAATTAAAATAAAATTAACAAGTTTACTATAAATTTTCTGTTTTAATCCAAATTGTATTTAAAATAAAACTACCCCAAAGAGTTAACGCAATTTGTAAATTTACTGTTATTGACCTATAAAAAATTAAGTGTTAACAAACTTTCTTAAGAATACAATTATTATTACCTACTTCATTATAATAATCTTTTTAAAACTATAACACTAAAAACGTTATTATTTTAGTTAAAAATGTATTATATTGGATATGATTAATAAATAGAGCAAATACTAAAATCGTAAGACAAAAAGCATAATTCACAAAGATAAAAATAAAACACCATTATTTGTCATAATTGGCAGTCCTTAAACAAATCTGCAAACATTTGATAAAAGTGTTTTTCAATCATTCATAATGTATTAACACCAATATTATATTTAAAATGTCAATCATGCTTTAATAAATAAATAAATAGTGTATAGTTTAGTAATAAATATTTTTTTTAAAATGTATTCTAGATTCCAGACTATTAGCCATTTAGATAAGCATTAATTTAGTTTATGATTAATTAGTTAATACATTTTGTAATAAACTAATACAATTTCAGTTAATTGAACTACTAGATTAATACACACATCAAACACTTAGAAATATATTCTAAATATCTTTAAATACAAAATGGAAAATGTGAAATATTAAAAATTATGTATACTGCTTTTCAAATTTCAGGTTATAGTTTAACTTCCCATGAAACTGGACTTATCTAAAAAATGTTTAGCATCGTGTATATTTAAATGACAACCTATATTAAAAATTTCACAAAAAGACTGGTCTAGTTTAGATGTACTTTGGTATTAACATTTTTAATTTCTATCAATCCATGATATTTTACTATTCTAATGTAATGTCACGCAACGGGACAATAAATACTACACTAATCTCCTACACAGCGCCACACCCCTACACATACAATGCTATTCTTTCACCAACTTATAAGTGGAATATCTCGTCAATGTGAGACAATGGATAGTGGTTTTACTCATATTCCAAAATTAAGTTATACTCAAATTTTAAAAAGTTAACACATAAATCATTTTTTTGAAGATCAAACATGATATCTTATTTTTGTCAACTTTTCAGGAGGGCTAAAAAATTAATTTTAAAAACATAGGCTATTTCAACAAACCCAAATTTACCTAAGAAAGACTGAAATGGCCAAAGTTGATAAAACGTTCTAGATAGCAGTTATTATGATTAACAAGTCATCTGTTTTTTTTTTTTTTAGTGATTATGATAGTTTCACCAAACGTTCTTCGTAAAAATTTAAGCAAATTTAGGCAAGTTTATTTAAAAAAAAAAAAATTCTAAAATGTTGACAGTAGAACAATGTCAACAATAAATCAGTATCAGTATACTTTTTAAATGTATAATTTAATACTGATAGAAATGAATAAAATAATTAAGTTAATTTGATTTCTATTTTTCAATAGACATAAATATTTTTGATTAAAAATTAAAATTGAATGTTTGCAGAAAATTAAAATTGTCTAAACATGTTTATGTTAATATTAAAATTTATGGTAAATGAGTTAAGTTTTTTTTTTTATAAATTTATATTATTATTGAAATCACAAATAAAACTAGTTTTTATAAGTAAAATAAATGATTTATTGAACTAATAATATGTTTTCCTTTCTAGTAATAAATATAATTTTAACCATTACAATTATAACTGTTTGAAAATCAATAAACTTTTGCTTCTATTTAAATACTTCTATCCATAGTAAGGTTGAATTCCATTATGCATGACCTCCAAGGTTTTGTTACATAAATGAGAGAATCCTTGTAGCTTTTTAGGTACTATGGTTTTTGTAATGTTGTGAAAGAGATCAAAAGGATCTTGTACTGCAAGACCTTCCCCGAAAAAATTATTTCTTAATTTAGTACATCGCTGACTAACATTACCAGTTTTTTTTTTATAAAATCCTAATATATCTGGAGTAGTGGTTGGAATATCAAAAAACTTTTCTTTAGGTATAGCTTCACCTAAAGCTGGGCAAAGAACAAACTGTTTTAGTTTATTAGGATCTGCATAGAACTTGAAAAATCCTAACAACAAGTCCCAACAAGGTATTTCTGGTACTTTCCACATTTGTAAAGCCTTTTCGGGTGTACAAAAAGTACAATCCCAATCTAAAACAAGAAAAATATAAAAAATTTAGTTAAAAATATAAATTTCAAACATATATTATGTTTTAAAATACTAATTTAACCCGTAATTTTAAATTATATTCAATGTACCTTCTATAAACATAACATCTGTGCTTAGTGATGCGTATGCTCTGAGTGATTTCAATGGAGGCACAATTTTTATGGCCATTAAATAAAATAGAACTAACCATGCTAATGCATAGCTAGTAAACATACTTTGATTTTTCAAATCATTCTGTAATGCCCAACGTTTAACAACTGCACAAACAAGCCAGTGAACACGTCTATCCAGTGCTAAATACAACCTAATTAATAAAATGAAAATAAAAATATTATTAGATATATATTTAAACAATACTATTTACTATTTAGTATGTTTCACCTGACTAATTTAGTGTTATGGGTACTAAGACCACTTTTGAAAGATAAATCACAATTAAGGTTCGATGGGATATGGTAAAATTTTACTATGGGTACTCGAGCTCCAGTTATTAATTGTATTTGTCTAAAATCATTAATTTGTGAGCGAAACACTTTTCCAAAGTATCGTACCAAATCTTCTTGTAAATATAAATCATTACTTATTGCTCCAGTGAACGCCTTACCTGTAAAAGTTAATATAGTATTATTGTTAGGGTTCGGGACTTGAAGCATTTGCTTATTTTTTTGGCTTAAAATAAAATCTAACAGAATGCTATGGAAACTCATTGTATAATAATGATCTCAAATATGAAATTTGAAAATGTTTTTTGTAGTTTTTCTGATAATTTTTGGTTGTTTTAATCTGTGATTAATTATAAACACATATCACTGATGAAAACCTAAACAACATTTTAGTTAATTTCTGTTTTATATTCTGAGTGAAGCAATGAATGTTTTGGTTTTACTACAATATGTATTTTTTATTTTTTCTGTCCGTAAACAACTTTTCTTCTTGAAATCTTGCTCCAATCTAAACATGACAAGAGACTTGTCTGAACCTCTAGTTAGTACTTATGAAAAGCCATTTTTTTTTTATATTTTCATTAATATTTTAGATAATGAAGAAAGATCGGTTCTTAGGTGAATAAAAGATAAACATAAGGTTGTCATTGGTAACCATTTTTTGTTATCATTAGGTTTTTATTATTTTAATCTTTTTAAACATTCGCTGTTATCGCAAAAACACACATTGCTCCGCTCAGAATTGTTTAAAAAAAATGTTCATTTATTATTCAAAAAATCTATAAGTTAGAATGTTTTTAAAATTTTAAAAATGCTATTTTATGATTTTTTTAAATAATAAATTTGTTTTAATGTTTTTTACATGCTTTTTTTCTTATTTTAATAATTTTAAGTGCTTTTTCATCACTTATTTTGATGTTTATAAGTGCTAAATGACAGTTCACCGTCAAAATATCTTAGTTAAAGTAATTCAGTAATTGTTTATTACTATTTATTACAAATTCAAAATTAAATCTAATAATAAATTGCACACAATATAAGTATAAATACACTGTAGAGTACTTCTCCATTATCCCCACTACCAAGAGTCTCAATTTTGTTATCTTGACTACTATCCTCGATACCACAAATACCAGCCAAACTTTAGAGTTTAATATAATAATATAGTATAACGTTTATTATCAGTTATCAAATAAATTATCACAGTTAAAATAAAAACGTCCAACATTCTATTTTTGGCGACCGATTTTTCAAAAATATTTTTAAATGTTATAGAATAGATTTCCTTCGATGTTTTGTCTCTAAATAAACTTTTCTAGATAAAACCCCAAATGATAGTGACTGGTTTCCCTATTATTTTTATTTCTCTATTTAGCAGACCCCCAAAGTCGTTCAACATGCAGAGTATGGACTTCAGTAACTGGGCAAAAGTTGCAGCATCGAGTAGTAGTCTGGATAATGTAAAAGTACTAACAGTAGTTATTTCTAAACTACAGGGTTAACATAAAATTAATATTATATAATATCCATCACATGCAAATAGCTCTTTGGGTAATTATAAAAATTAAAATGCACACTGTTATATCTAGTCTTATAATGTAAACTTATATCCTACCGTTATAAATGTAAGCTAAAAAAACAAAAAATGTTTTTCATTTTAGATTTCATTAAAACTATCTTTTAACAAAGTAATTCATAATATTTTTTAAATAATTACCGATATCAAAATACAAATCCACATCACTATCTTTAAGTGGAAGACCTGACATTCGTGATCCAAAAGCATAAACTTTACCAACTTTAAAATGTCTTAAGGGATCAGCACATTGATGTACTGAAGTCATTAATAACATCAATCTCTTATGTACATCAGGATTGATAATTTCCTCATTAATTTCATTGAATAATTTATTAATATTATTTAAGAGAATGTCCTTGTTTCCAAATTCAAATACTGTAAATTTACTCAATTCTGGCAATTTCTCTTCTAAAATTAATAAATTTGATAAATTAAATAAAAAATAAAAATGTGGATGTAATAATATATATTGTTATTATATTTGTATTTAGTAGTACTAATAGTGAATAACGATATATTTGCTAAGAGAATGTTACACCCACAAATACTTTTTCAATTAAATTTACGGACCAAAAAGAAATGAAAACCAAACATACGAAATTAGTTCTAATAGAGAAATTCAGAAAATATTTGGAAAATCAAACATAATAGTGGAAAGACGACACAAGATACTGAGTTGACTTGGATATGTACTAAGGGCTAAATCAATAGCAAATGATGTAATGAATTTCTCAGAGGAGGGGTAATTGGAAAACTGAAACAGAGATAGATTGACAAAAGTAAAAGGGCGCTAAGAGAACTTGGGAAAGACAATATCAATGAAGCAGCTCTGAAAAGAGACAGATGGAAAGAAGTATGCTTTGCAGCCATGGGCCTCAATGGCCTCTAAAACTGAAAGAAGAAATACAGGGAAAGAAAGTAATTTCTTAAAATATAAAATGTTTAACAATTTTTAATTAGCATACATGAACAATTTCAAAAAATATTTTGGTGTAAATTAAATTTAAAATGTATACAAAAATTTAAAGTTGGTCAGTGCATTTTATAGAGCAAGAGTTTAAACCTGAGAACGAGTTTAGGTTAGGTAGAAGTTTAGAACAAGGGTGGCCAAAAAGTTGGAATGAAAGAACAAAGGAGAAGACCTATACACATAATATATTTACATTTCAAAACATTGTTATTGTTTTACCAAAAAAAAATATATTCAAAATATATGTATGTTTAATATTATTTTTCATTTAATTTTGGTATTAAAACTTACCTTCAAAAATAATACTTATAGTAAATTTATGTTTTTTTTCCAAATTTTCTCTGTCCTTTAACAGTTGATACAAGCAGGATCTATAAAAAGATATAAAATAAACAATAATTTTATTTAATAAGAGTTAATAAAAACAATTATAATAAATAATATACCACAAAGTAATCACCAACAAGCCAGTGTTGTAGTAAGCTTAATTTATTATAGTTAATATAATTTATTATATTACAACATTTATAATTACATACTTAATACTAAGTCTATTATAATTATAATATGCTATTGAAGTGTGTATATTCATTTATACTTGACACTTTATATTATTATTATAATATTTTAATTTTTTTTTTTATATTTTTTTGTTTAATTATACTAAATGTTTTTTGTAACACTTAGTATAACATTTCGACATTTCAAACATTACATTTTAATAAACAAAGTTTGCTATCTGTTGATTTATATAAATAATTTTAAAGAGAAAACATCACACATATTAGGACTTTCCATTTATTTTGAATCATGTAAAGTTTAATAACAGAACATGTATAACGTTTTAATTTTTAATTTAATGTATACTTACAATTTACGATATATAACCATGGCAGAGTTGTATTTAGGATATATTCTAAAATATCCATAAGCTGATAAAATCTTCTTGAGTTCAACCCAACTGTTTTGTCTATAATCTGGCTTTACTCCTGATCAAATATTGAAATATAGTTAGAATAAATTGTATACATAAATGCTTAAACAATTCAATTACCTTTTATTTCAATCGTAACTTTACGATTATCAACTTCAGTTTCATCATTTTTACTACTTATTATTTCTTGTTTGTTTATAACTGAAACTGTATTAGAAACTGCAGTGTTCTTATTCTCAATTTTGTCATTAGTTTTACCACAAATTGAATTACTTATAAGAGCAATAATCTCACTTAAATCATCAGTTTTATCAGAAATTTGACTAGTCTTATCAGAAATTGGATTACACACAGCAATCTCACATAATTCTCCAGTAGAAATTGATTTGTTTGGAATCTTACTTTCTTCATTAAGTATATCAACTGTGTTTTTCATATTATTTGAATTATATAATTTTTGAAAATCTATCATATTCAGGTGTTCAATAGTGTTTCTATGTTTATCAAAACTATCAGGCGTACCAAATTGGTACATATTACAAATTTCACAATACACCTGATAGCGCAATTCAATATCATTTGAATGGTCAATTAAATTATGTTCATCCCATTTTATTTGTATTGTAGTAATAAAATCGCAAGTTGTACAATAAAACACAAACTGAGGTCTTATTTCTTCATTCTCCTTAAGTAATTGTTTTAACACATCAATTCTAGATGCATAAAAAGCACTAAAATTTTCATTATTTGATTCAAAAGGCAATTCATTAGTTTTTGTTATTGAGTGTGTTTTATTAATATTAGAACATTCGTTTAATAAACAACAAGCCATTTGAATATTTGATTTAATTTGACATTTATCAGAACTCAGTTTTGCTGGGGTTTCTTTAATATTAGAAATAGACTCGTTTAATCCTTGAAGTAAAATACTACTATTTTGTTGATGATTTGATTCAATAGACAATTCACCAATCATTTTACTAGTAGATTCTAGTAAACTGTTACAAGTTGCTTCATTTTGATTATTCTTAGAAATTTCCATATCATACATATGTTTTGTTCCACAATTTGTTTTTAATAACAAATCATTTTCTTTTTTAACATTAATACATGTATTAAATGATTTTAAAATTGAATGAAAGCGATTGCTATAATGATCAAAAATGTGTTGTCGTTTTCCAAACATCAATGTTTTACAAATATTACAACGATGATCAATGCAATGATCCTTAGCAGAATAAATATGATCTTTACCACTCGTATGAGTTATCCATACGCCCAAGGTAAAACACAAATAATCACATATAAAACAAAAGAAACCTATGCTTTGAGTTTGATCGTATAGTTGTTTACTATTAATAAATTGAAATATATAAGTATCAAGTTTTGAAGGTTTAGGAGAAAGCTTAGCGTCAATATTAATATTGGCTTTTGAGCTCAAAATAATATGTTCTGGAGTTAACTTATGAAATTCATATACTTTATTTGAAGAATAGAATTCAACTTGACAATGTTCACAATAAAATAATTCTATCATGTCTGATGCTACTGCAGATACATGACTGTCTGTATTAAAGTGACTATAATCTTCAAATGTATTCAATATTTTTTTACATGGCTCACAGAAGCACTTAATATGTGAAGATTTTGTATTATTATTTCTCCTCATCAGCTGCTTTGCTAACAATACTGTTTCTAATGGCATGTCTATAATTATTTTTTTATGCTCACTATGCAAATGCAATTCAATATCATTCATTCTACCATACAATAAAGAAGTACAACCTTCACAAAAATACGAGTATAAACACCAAGATTCTATATTTAAATGTGAAATTACATGTTTTTCCCATGAATGATAATTCTTACAATAAAATGAACACTCTAAACATTTAAAAAACTCCATATTTATTTTATGTATATAACTTTCTGGATTTTGATTACAAGCTAACAAATGAGTGAGAAGAGCAGTATCATTAATTTCAATTTGATCATCACATGTTATACAAACAGCTTTATTTTGATTTTCAATAATATTAAACCAATTCAAATATAAATTAGTTATAAATGAATCTTGATTTTTAATCACATCTAAAGTATTTCTTAGAGCATATAAATTTCGATTTTCATCATTTTGTAGCTGAGATTTTAGTGATTTAACCAATGGTAATAATTTCTGTTCTGGAACTGAGCTTTTGGTAGTAACATATTTCAAAATTATGTGCTCACTTGATAAAATATGTTTACTGTATAAATTATTGTCTTCAATACAAAAGAATTCTGTACGACAAGGTTGACAATAAAATCGTTTTAATTTAGTCTTATGACTTTTATTCCAATGATCGGAATTCGAATTGACTTCAGCATATGTCATACAATCTTCACAGTAGTAATATTCCCCGCTTTTTAAATTGTTGTTTATACGTTTAAAATTAAAAGCTAAAAACATAGAAAGGTGTTTTTCTGAATTGTTTGGATGTATATTTTGGTGTTCAGTAACATGATATGAATTACCATAACAATGTAACAAGCAAACTTCACATGTGTATGATACTAAATCAATAATAGCATAACACTTTATTAAATGACTAGGAAGTATTAAATGAAATTTCCACTGACTAAAATTTGTTACAGTTTCATTACAAACAGCACAAAAATACTTCATGATATTTATTGTACATTTCCCGCTTAAATCTGGTTTTACAATACATTCAGTCATATGTAAAGCAATTATTTTGTCATTGGACACCATTTGAAATCTGCACTCGTTGCAAGTAGTTTTGGTTTCTTCAATAATAAATCTACTCAAAATGACTGGAGGCAATTTTATATTAAATATATTTATTGCTGTTTTGTTTATTTTCAAGTATTCCAACATGCTATGTTCAGATGATATCAAATGTTTATCATACACATCTTGATTACAAATGAAATCAATTAAACATGAATTACATTTCATATGTATTGTTTTTTTATTAACATGATTTGAAGAAAAACAATGAAATTTAATAGATGAATACTTTTTACATGGACCGCAAAAAGTCCAAGTTTTCCAATTGCCAGGATCTGTAGTTAAACAATCACGAAATACTTCATTCATACACTTAAAAACATACGGTAAACCAGATGAATCATTATGGGCCGTTCTGCAATGTTTTAATATCTTTTCTCGATTTTCAAAAAATACAGCTTTACAACCACCGCATTCGTAGGATACAAAATCAGGATGATTCCTAATTTTTTCCATATGACAAAGACTAACAGAATGTGTTTTCCAATCAATTAACGATCTCATTCCCTTGTCACACATAGCACAATGAAATTTGCGTAAATAATACAATTTTGATTCGTGAAGCTTTCTGCGAGTGTCAATTAATAATTGTGATTTATGACATAAACGGCAACAGAAATAATCACCATGTTCACATTGGATAAAATTAACTGGATTATTATATTTTAAAATTGTTCCTTTATTACTGTTTTCTAAACCAGAACTTGCATCTGAACCAGTCGAGTGTAGTTCTTGCACCAAATCATTAGATACAGATTTTATATGTTCAGATTTCTGATGTAGAGTTTCAATACAAACTGTAGGTGAGTTTGATATTGAAAGAATTTCGTTTTTATTAGAAGTACAAGGATCTATTAAACAATTACTAGTCATTTTTTTTTTAACATCAGTTTTTTTTGAAGTTACCTGATTATTTTGAATGTTGTAGAAAATGTTGTTTTTTTTTCGTTTTTTGTTTTCGCTAAGACGATTAGTCTTACTTTTGCAATCCATTTTTGTTTAAACTGAAACAAAAGAATTTACTTAATTATTTTGATACTAAATACTAAAATAAATATTGAGGAAAAATATTTAATGCCCAAAAGATAAATTGAAGTAATAATTAACACCTGCAATTTATTAATCTACCAACCTATCAGAGACTCAAACCAAAAGGATTTTTTTTTGTTAACAGTTTATATTTTACTATTATCTTTTATCGGTTTAACTAACTGGTTTGATTACCAATTAATTTCTCCTTTAAAAAAATGAATAAATACTAATCGGTAAAATCAATAATAATTAAGACTAAAAACTAAAATGTATAGTAAATATTTGAAAATAGCATCGATGATAATACCATTTACTTTTGTCATTTTTCAAAATAGTAACAGTTTAACTTATACAACAAAATATCAAAATTCACTTTAACCTAAATATAAATTTATAAAATTATCAACAATTTTTTTTGTTCAAGAATACTAAGTGTGGTTCCATTTTGGGTTTCATTTATATAAATTAGCTAACCTTTAAGCAGTCCAGTGAAGGTCTTATTGACCCCCATAAAAAATAAAACATACTCCAAAAAGTTTAGTAATAATATAATATAGTTTTATATTTTTTATTATTAAATTTGTATCCATATGTATGAACCATATGGAAACCCATGTCTTTGAGTTTAATGAAAATTATCTTTCTATGCATATTTTGCGCATTTTCATAAATGGAGTTTGACGGTCTTCCACGTGACTATAAACTTTTAAAAAAGGTACGCGTCTGCTTAAGCGTTAATATAGCAGATAATTGAGTAACCAGTTTGAGTCCCTGCTACCTATTTAAATTGTTTTGCTAAAAAAAACTAACTCAATACTAAAAATAAACTACAATTAATCAACTTTTACTAATAAACAATCACATTAAAAATAATATTATTTTTTTTTTATGCATTTTTATCATTTTTATTTTTATTTATCTAAATAACAGATCTAATGCGAACCATTTTTACAATTATGTTTTAACAAAAAATAAGTATGCAACAATAATTTAGAAATACTAGACTGGGAAGCTTCTATTTTTTCATTGTTGTAAGATGGATTATACACAAGTATCAAAATTTTAAACAGAGTAATGTGTTAAAGCACTTGTTGTGCAAGTTTCTTTCAATCAGATAGGTTATCGACCATTAACCTAATATTATTTTATTACAAAATAATATCTGTTAGGTTGTCTATCACTTACAGTTATTCTGACTGGTTTTTTACCTTCTTGTCTTGTAGATACATTGAATAAACTGAAATACAATTATCGGTGTTAATTTATAGACATCATAATATTAGATATATACTACCGATAAATGTACAGGCCTACCCCAGAACTAAACTCAAGAGCTTTTCATAATTTACATCCTCCTTCCCATAACCTAACATAACATGGTTTTATGTAAAAAAAAAAAAATTAAAGGTTATTTTCAATTTGCTTTTTACAGAAGAATGTCAGAACTGACCAAGTGTCAAACTAGAAACAGCTAAATAATAATAATATAATAATCAAACCAAAGTAATTGTTATTATGTCCTTTTTTTGCCAGGGGGGAAAGAAGTTTAGTATATAATTTCAACTAGTAGAGCATCCAATAAAACCCACAATATAAATCTAAATTACAAGGCACTTTTTTTTTTTCAATATTTTTTGAAAATATGTATTTTTCAGTGCTGATTTTTAAAGTTTTAGAATTTTTTCAGAAACTGTTGTTAAGAAATTATGGAAGTTTGTCATTATTACAGTTTTGTTTAAATACCTAGTTGTCTTTCAAACATTTCACATATTTCGCCTATGGCACACTGGATAAATCACTGTCTTAAAAATTACTGTATAAGGTTAAAAACCTACTTATCTAAATTAACTTTTACAACACTTTTTTTTTGTAAATTAACATGCATTTAATCTACGTATGTGATTTGAATAAGATATGTGATATGCAACTCCTCTCACCATCAGATTTTTTTTTTTTATTGTTGATAAGTGTATCTAATTAAAACACAATTACATATTCGGTGAAGCATAAAGATCAACCGGGTCTGAAACTGAGTGCAGTACTGTTTATATGTCACCAGGTCTCTACATGTACCTATAATGCTTTTTAACTTTTCCCAGTTACCTACCTGACGTGGTTTTGCACAATAAATTGGGTATTTTTTTTTGGTTTGAAATAAACAATTTATAAATGCTGAAGGATACATAACGAAATATATCTATTAGTTTTATGATTAGCATTTATCTTTATAAATTATATTTATTTAAAAAAGAATATAGGTACCTATTAATATAAAACTTTACATTTATTTATATTATTATTTATTATTACATTGTACCTATAATAAAATAATGATTTTATTTTTTGGAACAGTCCGAGCGAGTAACCACAACAGATCCCTAGGTGCACCAAAAATTCTTTTTGACTTTTCCTGTCATCTACCCAATATTGTTTTCAACAACAAATCAAAGATTTATACAGATCTATTTATATTAGTAGTTATTGAACCTTATACAGCAATTTCTAAAACTAATGCAAAATCAAATGAAGAGACATTTTTCAAAAACAACTAGGTATTTATGTATAATAATGAAAAACTTCAAATTTCCATAACTTCCTTAATAATGGTTTCTACAAAAAAAATTCAAAACTTTTAAAATCAGCGTCATAAAACATCTTTTCAAAAAAATATAAAAGGTGCCCAGTAAACTAGATTTGTTCCAAACCTACATTTATAAAATTGTACTATTTCAATATTTATTAAGAGCTGTGAATAAAAACCATTCAGCTCAACAATATAGTATTTATATACTTGTATTCTTTTTTTCTTAGAATTAATCAAAAATTTGTTTTTTTAAACAATTTTATCATATTATATTTTTCATAAAAAAAAACAGAATTTATTTATTAAATAAAAACAAGAAAAATACCTGATTGAAATTATGGTGTCACAATTTTGCATATTGGTATGAAATGCACTAGTTTCAACTAAAAAAGTTGCTTAACATTAATCAGTATAAAAAAAACGGATTAGTTAAAATTTAAAATATGATTAATTGCGTTATATTAGATTTAGAATAGCTGATGATTTAATATAATTAAATTATTTAAAAAAAAGCCAAAATATAAATTATCTTAAAAAAAAAAAAACTATTAAAATTTAATTACACAGTAAAATGTTTTATTAATTTCTATGGTTTTTAAATCTAATTTATAAAATAAAAATGGATAACATGCAACTAAAAGAAAATCCAATACTTAACTTATTACTTAATGACTATTTTATAGGTTATAAACAATTAATAAATAAGTATATATAATAACTCAAGTCACAGTTTTAAATAAACAATTTATAAGTTAACAAACCCCAGTATTATTTCAAATGATATCTTTTATGGATAATGTGTATAACTTGTAAATAATCACTATACTTTTTAGACAATAATAAAATATCAAAAATAATTACATTATGTTATGTTTAAATTCACAAAACATCCAGATAAAAAATTATTGTTTATATAATATACATTAACTTGTTGCATGATTATGCAAACAGCAATCATAAACCTATGCATGAATTTATGACAGTAATATGCTAAGATATAGGTATTAGATAATTGATTTAATGTGACATAATTACTTAAGCTGTATAACGTTGAACATCCGCACTGACCGTATGCCTTAAATTATTAGTTATGACTTTAGTTGTTATTAATTTAATGATCACTAACGTTGGAAATTGGAACACTAACAACTCCGTAATACTAAAAACAAACCGATTGACAAAATACGCTTAAGTATAAATCTGATAACAGATAATTATCTTAGATAATAGATAAAGATAAAATAAAATCTTACAAAAAACTTATCAATTATTGGCAGACTGTGTTCTTTGAACCAGGTGCTATGATTGGAAAAACAAAACAAATAATTAATTCTGTGAACGATGAAATACAAGCATAAAAATTAAAATGAGGTTCACATGATAAGTAAACACCACTTAATCGAAAAACGTCAAAAAGTCACCCGACAAAATAATATTAAATTCGATATAAAGCCACGCAATATAACAAAACCATTCGATGATATACCATCAACATATCGGATGTTGTATTCATGGATAAATATAATAATGGTTGGTTTATATTATCCGACGATAAACGGGTACCTAATATCTATACAATTAATCTGAAATGTTCAAATCCGAAAAATACAAATCTGGAATGTACAAATCTTGAAAAATAACAAGATCAGTTACACCAACTTAAATTATTATTTAGTGATTTAAGTTTAAAATAATAAACTTACTTCACACAACTTGGCTTCTAAAACTTCTGGCTATTAGATATTGGGAAAAACTATCAAAACAAAAAAAAAACATTTGATAAAGATATGTTCGGATACCTACACGGATAATTAATACATAATCCGATGTAGATACTTTTTGACCATATACCTAAGTACTTATTAAGTATGTACTTGACAGTAATTTATAATTAAATCATTAGTTATATTCAAATAATATATACATATATATTAAAAAAACATCCCTAGCTTCGCCCATATAATTTAAAGTATTTAAATATTTTGATAACGCTAAGTACCTATTCATAGATCATATTAATATATTTCTAAATACTATAAATTTTTTAATAATTTTCATTTGAAGTAAGCGATACTGCGTTGGTTTCCAGATTTGAATGTTCCGGACTTATATTCCAGTACAATGGCACTCCTCAATAAACCATAGAGAATTAATATAGAATTAAAAATATTACTTTATTCAAAAAACTAACAAACAATACTAACAATTTCTTTGATGGGTACACATTTTAGGGAATTGATATGTATTTATGATCAAACATGCCACATGATAATTTTAAATCACAAATGACAATAAACATTATCATTATCAAGAATAATTTATTAATGATAAGAAAACTTATCCATGCCGTATACTTAATAATTATTTTTAATTTAATCCGAAAATACAAGTACCTAATTAATTAAATATTAGTAATAATTATGATACATTTATTTAATACTGTTATGTATATTTGTATAACATATCCAATGCCGAATGAAAGGGAAAGGTTGGAACAAAGGGGACAGTTGTGATAGGGCCGCATTTTTTTTGTGGCGAAAACAACTTTTGGAAGTTTTGTCATGTATTATAATTGTTAAAAAATTATATATTATTGAAAAAAAAGTGTAATAAACTAATAAAAACTTGAACCGACGTATTTCTTTTTTTCATTTTAAATTGGGTAACAATATGTAGGTACAGCAGTATACACACATTGATCCATTATGGTAGGTACCTATTTATTATATTCCCAGGATTATAATTTATGGATATAGAATAATAAAATTGATCACCATGAAAAAACGCCATACAAAGACAATCAGTATTAGTCATACATTTCTATATGGATAATTAGTTGCCAGCTATATATTGTGTATAAATAATTTATTAATTTATATTATCACAAATGTCTACTAACAAGATAATAAAATAACATAATAATTACAGAAATATTTGTTTAATACTAATAATATTATATAAAATTAATATTGTTTGAAAATATTCATACATATCATATTTTTAAACCATAAAAAATTAAATATAATAATATAATATGGTTTGAATTCTAATTTAATAAAAATAATAATAATAATAATCAATATAGTAAGAATAATTTATTAAGTTAAATACAAAATATTTTAAAGCATAAAATGTTGTGTTAATGTTTAATATAACGCGAGGGAACGGCCGTTTTGATGCAAAAAAAAAAAAAAAAAATAAAATAATAATTTTAAAACTATATTGTTTCTCTTTTTCCATAATATTTTACTGTGTTGAGTAATCTTTTTTCTAAATCAATGTATTTTTTTTATTTTATAGCAGTTATTCAGATATTCAAAATTTGTTTATAATGCATTATTAATATTAATTTTTTTTTTTTATGGCATCTATTTGTTATAGACCCAACATTTAAACTAGTTTGACCTATCTATAGTTTTTATTTTGACTCATAAAGGTTCCACTGTATGTAACCATGGTTGCCACACAATTTTTAAATTGACAAATTCCCTAACTTTTCCATGTTTTCCAGGCTATTTTTTTTTAATTTTTCATACCTATGATTAAAATTAAATCTTAACATAAATTAAAATTTAAAATAAATTTGGACTTACTAACCAATTAAAAGAAATGATGAACAAGAACATTTTCATTTCAACAAATAATTTTTATTTAGATAATATAAGTATTAATGAATAATTTATGCTGTAATATAATTGTATATAATGTTTTTTAGTTATTACTTCAATTAAAACAAAAAAATAATAATATTTTTTATATTATATATATAATAACAAAGGACATAGTAGGATAATAGGGACGGGGTGCAGCCACTGTTATAGGTAATTTAATGTATACCTATAAGCAACAATATAAACTATTGTTTAGAAAAAAACGATTCTGAGTAAAGGTCAGTTGATAGTAATACTTTGTCAACAATATATTTGCTATATCATAGTAAAATAATTAAATAGGCTTAATATATTTTCTTTAATAATATTTGTTTAATGTTGTACTGATTTTCCCAGGCTTTCCCAGTTTTTCACATTTGTTGAAAAAACTTGAGGGAAAATGTTAAAACGACCTCTTTAAAGTACCACCTTCCTTGGTGAAATTTCCTTTCAGAAACACTTATCATTAAAAGTTGGAGAAAAATTTCTGATAGGAAAGTTATTCACAGAAAAAAAATTGTAATATTATATTTATTATATTTTGTACATAAAAATAAAATCCTTTAACTGAATATATTAAAAATACGTATTTAATTACTAGGTACATTAACTGCTTCATAAATAGAACACATTGAGTTATTTAGTCAGTGGTATTAATCTGATAATAGTAAAGATAATAAACATTCGACATTTCTGAAAATCAATATCGAAAGTTTGATAAAATTCAATTTATTTTTTTTAAAACCTACCTTATTTAATTTATGATAATCCATAATTCTTGAAACTATAAAGAGCATAATTAGCTAAGAAAACCTTTTTTTTTTTTAAATTCCAGAAAATTCTTGACTTTCCTTGACCAATTTTAAATCCCCTGAATTTTTCAGGTGTGGTGCAAACATGATAACAAAGATTTTTAAAATCAAAACTAGTTGTCAATAACCAAATTTATAATACTTCAAATTACAATTTAAATTATTATATTTTTTCTTTATTGTTAATTTTATATACAATGTGGATAAGCATTATTTGAGGAAAGCAAACTTTTTATCAAATCCAATATTCAAAATTTTATTTGAATAAATACTATAATACTGTGTTATAACTTTAAAATTCAATTGTTTAAAATATTTTTTAATTTAGATATTAGTCAAATAGTAATTAAACAATTTTTTTGATGATGTATTAAGTATTAAGGAAGTAAGAGCAGGAATTTTAAAATTTGTCCCTAGATGACATATTCATTAACCCAGCACTATGTCTATTTAAATGGTTCTATGTTTTATAGTACAATTTGATTTATTGATATAAAATATAGAATCGATTTAGGTATCAGAATGCGTTATCCTAAGGTCAACAAGTAAAAAAAATATATTACAATTTAGAATTCTTCCCACAACAACACAAGACATAAGTATTAAAATTATGAAATTGAATATTTTTTTTAAATTTTTTTTTTTCCGGAATTCAATAACTTTACTTAAGTACCACAATCTAAAAAATTGGAACTCTTATTGGTGGAACGGAAAATTGTTGAATATATTCTATGCTGTTATCAATATATTTATATTTAAAATAAATTTGAATGAAGATATTTTGGTAGAATTGTATAATAAATTATATATTATAACAAATTTTTCGACCAAATATATTTACGAAAAATTTTAATGGGAATATATTCTATCAGAAAAATTAGCTACAAAAAGATAATGAATAAAATATATTTTATCACTTCAAGAATACAAAAATATTAATACAGTTGATCCTTAGTTATAGATTTTAATTATAGTTACAGTTTTTTTTTAAGTTTTTCAATGGGCTACCCCACCATTTTATTTGTTAATATGAAAGAAAATTTGGGTAGAATTTAGTTTTGATAACTCACCCCCTTCAAGTGCCACAAGGGAGTTGAAAAAGACCAAAGGTGTAATTTTATAATTTTTTGAGTCTAAGTAAAAAACTATTGCATTTAACGTAAAACTGTTTATTAACTTTTTGATATATCTTTAAATTGCCAATAAACAATCTTTTTATACATTGTTCGATACAATCATTATTATCGAAAAAAAAAAAATTAAAAAATAAAACATGATTTATTTTGTTTATTTGGAAAAACTGATTTTTATGGTTGTTTAAGTATATTTAAAAAATGATTGGAAATCGGGTAGAACATTGTTAATACATTTTATACAAAATTGAATTGCCTACAAACTAATTTATGAGAAAAAATTTCATATAATCAACCATTTTGTACTTATTAAAAAAAATTATAGAAATCATCCCAAGAACAGAATAAAATAACTTAAAAAAAAAAAAAATAGTAAATATTATACTATAAAATTTTTTTTTTTATAATAAGTAATATTGTACTTATTATAAAGAAATATAGAAGGCGTACCATTCATTAATTCATTGAGTTCGAGAAGTTACATAAACACCAATCAATTCAATTACGCAAAGGCATTTGTGATTGGGATAAAAAAATGCTCCCTTCACTAACTGGGAAAGATTTAGTAGAGAGATTGACTGTAATAATAAGTGTGTGAACTACTCTGTATTCCAAAATTGTCTGCTGGAACTGGAGAACAACAAACTGAAAGTATGTATGATTTACTGGTAGAATGGAGTATTCAGAACTTAGTTGTTGCAGTTTATTGTGATACTAAAGCATCTAATACCAAACATCTGAAAGGAGCGTGCATATTATTAGAACAGTTCATTATTAAATTATTAGAACAAAAAGATCAAATTGTTGAGTTAATTGTAACACTAAATATATCAAAAAAAAAAAACGGTTTAAGGAAGACTATCGGAAGCTATTGGAACTTTCAATCATTTTTCTTGGCAAATCTTCAATTTGAGGAATATCATTTAGAGTACCAGGAGATCCTCATCACGTTCAATGAATGGCCAAGGAAATTTATTCTCTTAAAATTTTCATTTTTCAAAAGCAATTTAATATGACTAAAACCCAGAATTATGTGCATTATATTATACTTAAGGAAAATATGTTTAAAAAAATAAAACACCATTTTTACACCAAAAATAGTAATACCTAAACTTAATAATAATTTATTGTATATTATATTATTTGAAACAACATGTCTGAAAACCTAACAATAAACTTTCAAAATAATAAAACTAAAATTACATGCTTTTTACCACACAAGATTTTAAAATATAACATCACATACGACAAGAATGACAAACAAATTCATAAAATAATAACACCAAGACATAAGTGATTGTGAGCCATATGTAAGAGCAAAAGTTCCCAAACTTTTTATTGTGCGACCCATTTTTAAGAAATTTTTAAAATTTGGCGACCCACAATATCAATGAATGACCTTTTTTTGTTGACATTTATCACTTCGATCCCCATCCAAATGTAACGTACAAAAACAATCATCTGAGATAAGCCTTGCATATCTGTGGACTCGTCTAGTTGTAATGAGAACCATGTACTCAAATTAACTCTTTCGATCAGTTTATATTCTACCCATTCAGAAATTTCGTAGATTCTACGTGCAACTGTATTATTTGAAAGCGATAATTTTTTAACTTCTTTTAAACTCTTTTGATCAAACATGATCCCGACTGCGTCTTTTATTGATGGTTAAAAAAAAGACTCATCAATTGTGACTGGCTTACCAGTTTGTGCAATTTATAAGTAAACTTATTTTATATGAGGCGTACGTAGCTTTTTGGTTAATTGCAGTTTTTAATTTTTATAATAAAATTGATGTTTTTAGAGATTCTAGTTTTCTTCCATAAAAATCGAGTGGTTTATAGTTCATTTCTGGATGGTTCGTATCTATATGTCGATGTAGTTTGTTTGGTCGCAAACTCTCATTTGCAAGTATACATCCACAAATAACACATTGTGGACGTGGGTGTTCTTCGCCTCCATTCCACGAAAATCCAATTCGCAAATATTCAGAACAATATTTTCTTAAAGAATTCTTTTGTTTTGACTAAGAAGAACTTGTTAAAGGCGCATCGTAATTAAATTTTCTTTTTTTAACTTTTGACGCAGATATTGTTTTTGGTTTTTCTTAACTTTGAGACATTGACTATTTGTTTAACCATTTGTCCATAGTTGTACAAAAGTACAAAGAAAACGAATTTATTTGAGAAAAAAAAATATTAAATATACAACTGCGTACATTTATCGTATTCAATGTACCGAGTGTAACTGAAAATAATCAAAAGTTTTGAACGTCGTGCAGATACCTACTAATTTGTGTGTTCTAATAAATCATTATCTTTTTCAATAACTATTAATCTAATTGCGTCGTTTTGACTCGGTCGCTGTAAACTCGTAATCGTCACACTCACAGATAACGATTGACGNACGAAAAGTAATAGATGTTTAAAAAATGTAATATTTAAAAATATAACGCGACACACTTTTGGGTCGCGACCCACAGTTTGGGAACCTCTGGGTTAGAGCTCTGATTTCATACACTGTGACAAATATAACAATATTTTAACAAAATTCTTCTGAGAAATAATATCAACAATTTTTTTTCTACAGTAAAATTTATTTATCAATAATAAATACACATTATATGCATATTATGCACTTATGAACTAATATACAATAATCCTCCAAATATGTAAAATATGCACAAAGTCAAATTTGGTATTTGAATTCGGTGTGATATGAATCATAGACATTTCAAACCCCCATCGACGTGCATACACTATGTACTAACATGCAAACGCATATAATTCCGGGCTCTAAATAGAAATTGTATATCGTGATACATGCATTTTTATTATTTTTATTTATATAAAAATATGGTTTCGATCACATTATTCAGAAACCCTATATCAAGATCTTTCGGAGCCTTATTAAATACAAAAATATTGATGATAGTTTCAAGTTGTGCATTAAAAATGTTTACTGCCCATTTGTAGTACCTAAAATCAGAAACAGCAACCTTCATGTTTTTTGATTCAAACGTATCAATAGAAGCTAAAAGGAAAATGGTAGACACCATTAAAAATACAGACAATTCAGGTGAAATTTTTGGAAAAAAAATAGATATCTATACTCCATTCCAAATAAAAATGCACCAAACGGCAAACGTTAATCAGTCAAAACTTGCACAGTCGACTAACGACAACAGATTATAGAGCATATAGATTCAGCCAAAGGAGCAGAACGTTGCTCCGTGATACATTTGGATGTGCCAAGCAGTGAGTTCTTATATGGAACAGAGTATAGTCTCATTGGCAAATATATAATTAATGAAATATAAATATATTTATGATTTTATAAACATACATTTAAATAAATTATTTCACAGATGTAATATAACTACCTACTTTTTTGGCAAGATTCTAAAGTATATCATACAAATTTAAATTACCTAAAGGGTTTAGAATTATTCAGCAATTTGAAAGTGGTTAATGTTGTTATAGCTGCTGAACCTAAAAAAGTTAAATTCATAAGTGACTACAACAAAATGATAACAAAAGATGAGAATCATAAACAATTTTTAATACAAACCATATATAATTACCGTTGATGCGTTTAATGATGCTAAATAAAAAAATGTTAGCATATGAATATTAAATTAGTTAATATTTTAATTTATATCTTCAAATTTTTTTTCCAATTATGTACATTAAATTTAATTTCACTCTATAACATTATATGTAATATGTTACATAATTTATACAGTAAATGCACTATACATACAATACAATAAATAATATCTTAACGTGATTTTTTTTTTTTCTTAAGTAAGTTTTATTTTATTGGATTCTTAGGATGATTTCTATAATTTTTTTAATAAGTACAAAATGGTTGATTGATCGTATGAAATTTGTTTTCAAAACTTATTAAGTAGGCAATTTAATTTTGTATAAAATATATTAACAATGTTCTATATAATTTCCAATTATTTATTAAATATACTTAAATAACCATAAAAAAACCAGTTTTCCCAAATAAATGAAATAAATATTTATGCTTAGTAATCATAGGACAGATCAGTAGATCATGTAAATTATTTACATCCTAGATTGTGACAAAATATTTTTTGTCATGAATATATTAGTTAAATTATATACTATATTCTGTTCCAAAATAAGAACGCACAAGCTGGCAGATGATTATCTGTCAAAATTTGCGCAGGCGACCAATCATAAAGCAAATACTCAGCCAAGTGGCAGGACCTCACTCTGCGATACATTTGGATGCACCGAGCAGTGCGTTCTTATATGTAATGGAGTATATGGAGTAATGGGATTCTGATCCCTACTTAGTTTGCTCACCAACCCTCTGTAATATTTAATATGTGAGGTATAAAATATCAACATTTTTTTATTTAATAGAAAAGTATAATTAAAATTCTAAGAATTAAATTATAGTTAATTATAATGACACCGGTTACACTGACAAAAGAAATAACTTAAATAAATGCTGTAGTTAAAAAATGATTAATTATTAATTTATATGAAACTGGAAAAAGAAAGTAGATACCTATTTCTTTAACATTATACATTTATTTATATTATTATTGATTATAATATTGTACCTATATTAAAATATTGAATTTATTCTTTGGAACACCAATCTATAAAATATAAAGGAAATTCCTTTATTTATTGTATATTTTCTATACCTTTATGTGAGTGGACAAGTAAATTTTTAATTTTTAATATACAATATATTAAATGTTATAAATAAAACCAATCAATTAATAACAATGAAATAATTTATGGAAAAAAATATAGATAACAATATTGAAGGTACTCGGGTACCTAAACCATCATTAAGAGGTGTTTTTTTCCCCAATCATATAAAGTTTTGTTTATATGCTAATCCAAATTTTTAAATAATAAATACTTAAGTTGTAATAAGGTTATTGTAAATAAATATAAAAAAATATAATACAGAATATAAATGGGTATCATTATTTTAATAATGAATATCAGATAAATAACCTATGTGATCAGGATACAATTACTCCAACGAACAAAATAAATATTAAGTTCCAATGTTTCAAATCAAGAAAATGGGCTGACAAAACCCAAAGTATATACAACAATATTAAATATAAATCGCCCAAAACCAGACAAATATCTGTAACAGGTATTTAGTAAGTAGTATCAAACTATTCACTTAACTAAGTCCGTATTTTATTAATTTTTAAATATTTAATTATTATATTTACCTTATATCCTTTGGATACTTATTATAAATGGCATATGTCAGTGTCAGAAGTATTAATTGTTGTTTTGAATTATCAACCCATTGATGTTCCATTTTGAAAAACAATGAAACGACAAAAATATATTTGCAAATAAAATTATGTTAACATGAAAGTGAAACTAAGAATTAAACGTATTCATAGTGGTAGTACCAATTTTTTAAACTGAATTGATAATAGTAACATTTTTGAATCGAAATGGTTGTTAATTTCACGCATAGAGCCGTAAACTTTTACCATAGTGCTAATATCACGGTCTGGAAGATAATGTCGGACAAGATGTATTCCGCACAAAGAGTGAGGCTTAGGGGTGCGTTCAGAAACGTTATCCACGATTTCTGAAGAATTCGCCAGGGTAAGATTTAGCGCCGCCCATTTCAATGAACCAAGTTATCAACCAATTTACCTAGTATGTTAACCTGTTTATAATTTTATCAAAAATAAATTAGGTTTGGCGGCAACAAGGTAATAGGTAAAGATACTAGTTAATAAATTAATGTTATTATTATTTTATATTTTATATTAAATAGCTAATAATAACAAAATTGTAACCATGGCTACAAACTACCCAAATAAATTTCTTTTTGATTGTGGACTGACTGGACAGTTCAGTATTGATGATGATGATGAGGTTACATTAGAGAAAGAATCTCCAATTTGAATTGAAAAGTACATAAACAAAGTTGTTATACATTATTCTAATAATGTTTTTCAAAGCTTAGGTAACTTATGTTAAAATTTGTAGTATTTTTTAATTAGCATAATTTATTGGTTTTTGTAATTAGTAATAACATAGTTCATACACTTACTACCACGAACACTGTTGGTCGTAAACTTACGATTTTCGTAACCATATCGTTTGTATGATAAGACCGTTCACCCCCCGCTACAACTTGTAATAATGTTATCCTTGCATTAATTACAATATGCGAATTTTAGGCGGGAATAATAATATTTATCTTGTTTATTTTATTTCTCGTGTATAACTAATAAATATTATTAAACATCATAAAACATGGTTTTTAATAACCCATTCAAATTTCTTCTACCAATCATCAGTCATCATCGTGAACTGGTGACTGTTGGGTAAATTCACCAATTATACATTTATTTCGAATTTCTTGAATAAGCATAATAGTAGGAAAAAATTATATCAAATAATTGGCGCGAAATAATGAGTGGTTTTAAATAAACTTATCACTGTCGTTTCACTGTTTACGGGGTACGTTAAGGGAGGTGAACTATCTGGAGAACTTACCTGGTTTCGGAATCCAAAAGAGGCGTGTCGGTGAATTTTCCAACACGCCCCAAATGCTTTCTGAACAAGCCTGGAGAGTGACAACAGCCGACAACTTGAGAAAACATATCTGAACGCACTCCAGTATGTTTAATCAATAATGGTGCAAATTCATTTCCAAATTGTACCACTATAAAATGGAGCACTGCCTTACAGACGTTTTTTGAGGTCAAAGCATTATACTACTAAATAGATTGTATTATCTTAAATCGTGATATTTGAAAACTAAAATATTATTGATGACCTATAAACCATTTTAATGGTCAGCGTCTTCAAGGATACATGAATATTGGTCACAAGATAAATGATTGCAATGTCATGATTGAAGCTACAGAAGTTCTTTTAGATTCCGAGCTATTGATTTTACTAAGATGTTTATTTTTTCTTTGTTCTTTGTTCTAGTCTGTGAACGTTTTTTCCTAGTAAATTTGCTCCGATATTTACATGTAGCAACTTTTCTGAAAGCTCAAGTTATCTAGATTGTATTTTAAACAAGTCATTTTTTGATTGCCGACGCCATTTTTTAAATAAAAGCACTTAAGTGAAAAAAAACGTAGGAAAACATAAAATTTCACAATTTCATTATTTTATAAAAACACGGACGACGTTTTTTACCAGGAAAAGTAATTTAATCAAAAAATCACAAGACACCCTCTTTGTAAGCTTGTTGTTTCTTTCGGTATCATTGCCAAAACTTTTGAGCTTTTAAGGAATTTTAATTTTTGGAAGTTAATTGTAATTCGGTACAGAAACGTGTAATATACGTAGACTTGAAACCTGGTAATAATACTTATATTGGACTTACCTAGACGTAGTGAAATTTCCTAAATCATTGGACAAATTTTTTTTTTTAATAAGCGTTTTGAAATTAAATTTAAACGAAAATCGCAAAAAAAAATTACGGCACTTTAAATTATGTATTATCGAATTGCGCTCGGAATCGTCTTTCGTTAATCGATGGTTTATCGTTGTATCCCCAGTATCAGCCCTTTTTTTTTTTTTGTTACTTTAACCCTGTATCAGGGACGCGGAGGACTACCGTGCGCCATTGATTGTAGATTATTGATGGTAATCAACAATGGGTATATTAATTGGTACATATTGATGATAATATCACATATTTCAAACAATTTGTGGTAATATGAAAGTAAATATTGGGTAATGGGTCACTACTTCTACCTTCATAGGTACCAATGTAAATTTTGAATGAATTGTGATATTTTTTATAGACATATAATTTATGTCTATAAAAATAGAATAAATTCTATTATATGTATATGGTATTTTTAGAACTTCTTATTCCCAGTTATTTGATAAGTTATTGACGACGGTGCACGATTATGTACCATACGCCCATTTACCTACGTTATATGAATTGTCAGAGTCCCACTCCGACCGGTTGCCCAGCAACCCAGTAAATAAGTTCGTATCGAGTATCGAATATCGATCTACGGACTAAAATATAGTCCGTATATTATTATTATATATAATATATAATCTACTGGACATGAACATGGTTGGAGGGTGTGGGAGGTTAACAATAAAATGTTATAGAACGGGCGGCGTACAGGAGAATTCGCCTGTCTAGCATTTACTAGCGCCGTCTTAGTGGATACTTATGGAAATATATAGATCATAGATTAAGATATATACTTAGATCATATACTAGTATATGTTTTAAGAAAATACATTACACAAATAACAATATTATTAACTATTATAGCTCCAGTTCTCCACACAGTTAATTCTATAAATATAACTACTGCTTATTCAATCAAATTACCTACCAACAATAAATAAATTACAATATTTATTAGGTAACTACTAGTTTACAACCAGTCCAACCACCAGGAATATCAATATTCTATGCATAAACCTAGAACAGAGCAAAGATTAAAATAATACACAGATTGTAAGAATGTTTTTATGTTTGAACAATTTTTATTTTATTATGATTTTTGAAGCTTTAATATTTTTTCTTTTTAGAACTATTTTGTTTCAGTTCTCTGTTATGAGTCAATGTAAACTGCTTCATTCTCATAATAATATAATTTTAGAAAATGGTTGTTAAAATGTTTGATCTGTGTTCTGAACAAGGAAATGTTAGCAAATCTGAATGTTTTTCTAATACATAATCAATTGTATTGTTGAAAACACCCATTTCTTGTACATATTTATTTAATCCATATTCATTATTCAATAGCTGTAATTAATTTAAATAAATAAAAATTTGGATGCATAAGAAAAACTTTGCTTTTTATTTGTGTGAATGCAAACTGAGTATGTATACCAGTACCTCAAGTGATTGAAATATCAATAAATGAAGTGTAATAAATAATGGTATAAACTGTGAAGTATTTTAACTAATGATCGGTATAATTACATTTTAAAGTTAATACACATTTGTCACAGATAGATGGCGAAACTACTGATAGAAAGGCAAATTCTCGTACTCCACTCAACCAATAACATTTCGTAACCATAATAATTATCTCGTGTTCTGTATAATTATGGTGACCAGATATAAAAATCCAAAACAAAGTACTTTTTAAAATTTAGGTCCTCCATTGTAAAAAGAACCCCTCCCTTGAAAGAACTGGCTAATGTGTTTGTGTATACTATTCTATCCATTTTGCATTTCTCCATCTAAATACATTTTTTGTTATCTGATTACTCTATTATTATTTATTCTATTATCAACTATAAAAACTAATTATTTGAAATCATGAAATCAATTCATTTGGTTTGTGTCTTTATGATGAAAATATTTGAAATTTAAGTAATTTTAAGTCAACTAAAAGTACACAGTTATAACTAACGTATACATATATTAAATATATTATATTCATTTTGAAAGGTAAACATTTAAGTAAATAAATACAAAACTTTATTAAAATATGTTTCCTAAACATATTTATATTTGTTTATTTATTATTTATAAATTTCAAAAAGTACAAAAAGAGTACAATTTCATGTACTTAACATTATCGTTAAGGACATATGACAATGCATCAAAAGAGAGTACGTTTGTTCACGATATGAATAATGTATATCTTAGTCCGTGGTATCGACATATCATGGTATTATTGAACAATTTAAATAATCGTGCTTAGAAATTGGCAGAGGAATGACTTATTTCAGTAGGGCACTATAAAACATGTTTATTGTGCCTTAATTTCAGTAGTTGATGCTTGAAATACCTATAAATATAACTAGGTACGAGGATATTAAATTAATTGTTCTATTATTTGCATGCCGTTATGGCGTTATAAATTTTATTAACTGGTTAGCTCCTTAGTCCTTGTGTCTTGAAGACTAATTTATTATTAAGTCTGAAAATGACTACCAAAAAAAATTACATACCCATTCCCTTAACAAATTAATGAGGAGGAATCGACTCTCATGCAACCATAGGTTTATGTTTCTGTTAATCACACATAAATTAAATCATTGATATAACATAGTAAATGGTTTTACTGTAGTATTTTTTTTTCATAACGACAAATAGGTAACCAAATAAAACAATTCAAAATTTGATTTTATTGTTGCCATACCTGAATAATTGATAAAAATCAGGGTTTACGGTGATTGATAACAGCCCAGCTAAATTTTTTTTTTAGAACGGAAATGTACTTGAGAAAAAAATTTGTTTGCTAAATTCGTCTGGTCATTTGTTGATTTTAATAAAAGATTTATGGCCTTCAATAAGTTTCCAGTAATCCGGAAAAACCAACCGAAATGACGACCAACATTGTTCTGTTGAAGATGCTGTGAACATACACCACTTGCCCTGACCTATAAAATATAGTATACAAACTAACATTAAAGGTGACTGCAAAAGGTAGTGAAGTGATTGCATTAATACGTTTTTCTGTTATATATTAACAAGTTAATTTTGTTTAGTTTCTAATATGAGAGTAGTAGCGTTAATTAGTGGCGGTAAAGACAGCTGTTATAACATGATGCAGTGTATAGCTGCTGGCCATGATATTGTTGCATTGGCCAATCTGAAACCGCAGAGTAAAGGTATATGATTATATTTTATTCTATTGGTGTCATGATGTACCTATTTGTATTAATTATCAATCATTTTCTTTGCCATTAGATGAGTTGGATAGTTATATGTATCAAAGCGTTGGTCACCAAGCAGTAGAGCTATATGCAGAAGCTATGGGACTTCCATTGTTCAGGCAACGCACAAATGGGGTTGCATTGCAACAAGAAAAAATTTATACTCATACTCCTGAAGATGAAGTTGAAGATTTGTTTGATCTCCTTACTAACATTAAAGTATATATTTAGTGTACAATGTATTTAAATTATTTTTATTATGTGTATGTATAATTTTAGACACAAATTGAATTTGATGCTGTAGCAGTGGGTGCTATACTTTCTGATTATCAGCGTCTACGAGTAGAAGATGTGTAGGTTGACAGATTATTAAAAATAATACAGTTTGACTAATTATATCATTATTTCCAGATGTTCAAGATTAGGTATTTGCTCATTGTCATATTTGTGGCGCCGTGATCAAAAAGAATTACTACAAGAAATGATTGATTGTAATATTGAAGCAATTGTTATTAAAGTAGCAGCACTTGGATTAGACCCAACAAAACATTTAGGATTACGAATTGATAAACTTATGCCACATTTGGTCAAAATGGTAAAGAAATATTGATTATTTTCTATATATTTTTATTTAGATATATTTATACATATTCACTATACTAAATTGCATGAATAACATGCTACTTCAACAATGGAGTTCCTAGAAATGCATTTCATAAGTCAATATATTTAGGAAATGTTAGTCTCCTTACATAAATATTTAGAAGCCGTTTTTTAATTTCATTATAATTACAATAATGCAAGTTACATTGTAATTTTTATTTATTTATAGATTAGGTATAGTTAGAGGAGTTTGGTAGTTTGTTTATTAATAATTTATTAAGTGAATTTAGGTTTACCTCTTTATTTTTTGAGAAGACAAAAAAAAAAAATTGAATAAATTGTAATGCAAAATATACTTATTTTGGGAGGGATAGGCTTGTTATATTTATTTTTGTTGAGTGGAATGTGTGTCTGACACGGAGATACAGTGGGGTTCATCCCGTTTCCTCCCTGACTTTTGTGTTGGTTTCCAGAATGAAAAATATGGCTTAAATATATGTGGCGAAGGTGGAGAATACGAAACGTTCACTCTAGACTGCCCTTTGTTCACCAAATCGGTGATCATGTAAGTATACAAATAAATCCACACACTCGATCACAAACAAATAAAAATACAACATTAAATATCATGTATATTCCAGTGATCAATGTTGTAATAGTGGACAACATTCTAGTTTTAGAAAACAATATAGTATTGTTTGATATTAGATCTCATTTGAGAATTTTTATTTTCTAATCCAATTAGTAAATAATACAAATTTAAAAAAAAGTGGCCTTTACATTACATAGTTGAAAGCATTATAATTATTTGTTATACTTTATTTTTTTTTTTACTTTTTTTGAGATAGAAATATAACTATTAACTGATCATTTTTGTATTATATGTATATGCTTACTATCTATTTTATCAACATTAATTATTACTTTATTAAGTTAGGTTCTCAATTTAAATAATAGTAATTCAATTATTTTTTTTTTCTATTGTAATAAAGAATAATTACAATTAAACTGAAATTATATCTAATTATAATTTTAAAATTTTAAGATTTTAATATATTATTACAAAACAACTTAAACACTATAAATTACCTAAAGTATGTATTCTAATAAAATCAACAAAACAATACATTTTCTTTCTTTAATAAAATTATTTTAAATTATTAGTGTGATCCTTGGTACATATATTTCATTCAGCTATATATCTTTGATGTTTTTCAGTGAAGAGTTTGAAACTGTGATGCACACCAATGACACTATTGCTCCTGTGGGATATATAAATTTTAAAAAATTTTGCTTATTAAAAAAACCGGTTGGTAAAATTTTAAACTTATGTTATGATTGATATTTTTATTATAATATTTGTAATGAACTTAAATGTAAAATATTTTTTTTTTTTTTTTTTTTCCCAAGAACGTTGATGAAAATCAAAGTTTTCGTGATCGTCTAGCTGGTTATCCTGTACGCAGTCCCCTAGCCCATTTAATGGACTTGGAAGATTTGGAAATTGACCTTGGTACTAGTACTGATAGTGACAATTTTGATGATGATATTCCAGACAACAATAGTATAATTGTTGATCAGATTGATAGTCCAGTATATTTCGGAGAACTCATAGAGACAGATTCTGTGTCCTATATTGGATATCCAAATGGATGGTCTTGGATTAATTCATTAACTGGTTATTGGGTCGGTGATAAATCTCCAATTATTGTTGCTTTAGAGAAATTAAGAGGTAATTTTATAGTTAAAAATTAATAATAAATAAATTTACAATTACAAAGAGTTCTAAGAATACAGTTAACAAATTTGATATTATTAAGCATCATAGTGTTCTTAATTTTTAAAAATAGTATTTTTCAAAGCATATAATCATTTAGGGAATGGTCACAGTGTATGAATAAACAGCACTTACTTTGGTGTTCTTGTTTTTTGCTTGTCCAGTTATGGGTATCCATCTTGAAAGCATTAAAAACAAACTATGTTCTACTAAAACTAGTATATTTTCCATTATTTAACTTTTTAAGTTAATGGATTAAGAGGTCATAATATCTGCATTTGTTGTCTCCATTTTACAGACCCACGATAGCAAGTTTGTATACAGCAGGCATAATTTTATTGTTTTTTAATATTCGAGTGAATTGACTTATTTGCAAGCTTAAAAGTAAGAACATTATCTGGAGTTTTTGTGCATTAAGTTTTTCTAATATTTTAAATTTTAAGTATTTTTAAATTGTAATAATACAAATACTCTTATCTTGTTTTAAAAAATTAAAATACTTATATAAATACAGATAATGTTCTTACCTTTAAGTTAATAAATCAATCTTGAAGTTAATTAAGTCTTATATTTAAAAATATGTAAACTGTCCCTGCTAAATGCATATTTAGTATTTTGAGCATTTGTAGGACGGAAACGGTATATATGGATATCACATCTTAAAAAATAGCATTGGATCAAACTGTTTAAATTTTGAATCAAGTCTACTGACAAATTTGAACTAAACTTATTCTGTTGATAATTAAGTATTTTATTTTTGAACAAATATATTTATATATTTTTTTTTAAATCAAATTTAGGAATTCATATTCCTAAAGTCATGAAAGTAGTAATTTTTCTATGAAATATTAAATATGTATCAATGTGAAATCCATATCATTTCCAAAGAAGAATACAAATTTATTTTGAGAAATTTTGTAATATATTCCACATATTTGGGGTATTGTATGTATTTAAATGTCATATATAAATCTTATAAATTTCAATTATTTGCATTCAAGTTCAAAATTGTAAAAGTAGTTCAGTTTGGTTTGATAATTAAAATTAAGGTTTAATTTTTTATTATTAAATTATTTGATAATGACATATATATGTATATTTATAAAAGAACAAGTATTTTTGGTTAAATTTTCCCATATCTATTTTGTATTATAGTAATATTCTTTACAAAACAACATATAACCCAAAATTTCAATAATAAATACCATATACAATTTTCAATTGTGAATCTTTAAATGGTAATAGTGGAGTTGAAAGTTTTAAATCCCAAAATGCATATCCTTGATACTAACATAATTCATGTATACAATTTCACCCTCCTGATTTCATCTGTTAGGTTTATTTAAAGTTAAAAAAACATCCTCCATTTGAAACAACATGCAATTCATGAAATTTAATTCAACTTTTATAACTTCAGTCCACCTATGAATTATTTCGTTATTCTCAAGTTTGAGTTCATTTGTTTCCAGGGGATTGTATAGACGTGTACAGCTGGAAAAAGACATGTATAACAAACACAATAGACTGTAATAATCACTATGCTTTAATAAAAATAATTTGTAATATAATATATTTTTTAAATTACAAACAATTTGACTGAATATTTCTTGTATGAGTTTTGAAGATTAAACTCAATTTGTATGAGAAACTACATAGTTGATGCATATTTTTTTAGATTTGTTGCATGAAAGAAATTTGGAGTTAACTGATGTTGTTGCTGTTACATTATATGTTCGGGATATGACAGAATTTCTTAATATGAATGCACAGTATGCATCAATAATGTGTAGAATTAGTCCTCCTGTGAGAGTTTGTGTTGAAATACCTCTTTCAGAAAATATACCTATTCTCATGGATGTTGTAGCTTATAAACCACCATCTAAATCATCTTCAAATTCAAATCTCCCATCAGTTACCAAACATACTATGCATGTACAGAGTGTATCTCACTGGGCACCTGCTAATATTGGGCCATATAGTCAAGCTATTCGGGTGAGTAAAATAATAAACTAATTATTATAGATTTGTAGATATATTTAATTCAATCTTTTTAATATTTTATAAACTGTCAAATTAATAGTTATTAAAAAAAAATTATAAAAACTCTACAGTAGTTCTGTTCTTTGATTTGATAAAAGAATAAATAAAATTCATTACTAATTGTAACAAAGTATAAAATAATTTGCAAGTCTCCCATTTGATCTCTTTTTTTAGATACAGGTTAAATTTTCAACTAAAATGCTTCTAACAATACTTGTTTACATTTTATTATTTATTATCATAAAAAAGAAATTATTATTTCAGATTCCAAAAAAATATTAATCAAGAGTATAATTATCAAAAAATTAAATTAAAATAATTACTCTGACGGTTCTTCTTAGATGTTAAATACATTATTATTTATTATTATATCTATTACATTTTATTATGGGCGGTAGGGCATGATGTAACACTGATGCAAGGTGGATATATATAAATCCACCTTGCAGTGATGTTTGGTTCTTTCAAACTATTTCATGTCATTTGTGGAACTGGAGTAATTTATTTTTAATAATGATTAGTAATATTTAATCATGTTATATTATTATAAATAATTTTGAAGTTTTTATATAAGTTATATTTTGTAAATGATATTATTTTACTTTTTTACTAATGCACACTAGTGTATTATTTTGTCCATTCTGTTCTACTAATATTCACTTTTCAGTTTTCAGTTTATGTTGGGACCACCAATAATTTAACCATATTTTAGGGAATTTATCTTCATAGGGAATATTATAATACTAAGTTTGGTTGTAATTTACATTTTTAGGTTGGCGATATTATTTATGTTGCTGGACAAATTGCCCTAGTACCAGGTACTTTAAACATTGTTGAAGGTGGAATCAGACAACAATGTAGACTCTCATTACGGCATGTTAGTAGAATTATAAAAGCAGTTGATCCTAATACTCAACTTAGAGATGTTGTTCAAGTAAATTGCATATAAAATAAATTAAATTTATTAATGTATAATACTATAATATTATTTTTTTAGGGTATATGTTACGTTACTCATACTAAATATATTCATCCTGCTAGAACTGAATGGGAGAAAAGAACAAACAATGCTATTGTAGATTATGTAGTGGTATCACGACTACCAAAAAATGCTATTGTAGAATGGCATTTATGGGCACATAGACATAATGCTAGATTTGAATGTAAGTAGATTGTACTATTTTTTTAATTATTTGAAACAATTTTTGTACCATAACTTTTCTTGTAGATGAAGAAACAGGTTGTTGTGTTGACAATTATAGGGTATCAATACGTCGACGTTGGAACTATGAAAATAATGTGGCTGCAATTGTAACATATATATCATCTGGTACTTATAAAACAGAAAATGAAAAATTATTATATATCCCTTAAATAACTACATATTACTGGATTATAGGATCTTGTACTTCATTATCAGCCATCACTGATTCGATTGACACTTCTACCGAATCTATATCTGCTATTGGTTTGGAAGAGGCGTTCCGTTATTCTTTAAAACGATTACTACGCGGAGAACCAACATCAACACCAACTGATGCAATTTGCTCATTGCGAATATTTTATAAAGTATCACAAGATCAAAAGCCTATTTGTCGACAACTTATTAATTCTACATTGAATACTCTAAGAGCAGAATACCGTATAGTTGCTACTGTAGTACCTGTATTGCATTTACACCATCCCAATACATTTGTATCAATTTGTGCTTTAAGGCATAATACTTAACTTTGATAGTTTCAATAGCATAGAAAATTTTATATAATCGCACACTAGAATAAAGAACAAAGACATCACCAACTGTTCCATTCGATATTCAATAATAATCTGCTTTTTATAAATATTTTTACGTATACCTCTATAATATAATTTTGGCTGCAAGTTTCTAGATATATTACAAATTTTCAGTCTTAATATATTCTAATTGAATATAAAATGTTTACAATTTTTCTTAAATCTCACTAAAACAGTCCGTCCGGTTAACAAATTAAAATATTTTCATAGATATGCTTTATCCAAATTAATTTATTTGCTCAAATACAATTTGTTTTAAACATTTATTTATAATTACTTATTTGGTTTGATAACATTTTTTTTTTTTTTAATAAATTGAAGCTATTCATGTATTATTAGTACTTAACTTTTTTAAAATTGAAAATAATATGCTAACATAGCCATACTATATTGATATACTTATGATCATATTGATTTTTCCTCACAATTTTTAAAAAAAAGAATACTTTGTTGATCTTAATAAATTGTTTTACAAATTATACATTTAAAAATAAAATTTGCTATTAAAATTCATTATTACATTTATATAGCATTGTTATTATTAAATGTACACCTATTTTAATCAGTTATTATTAAACTTGTTAGTTAATTGAGGATTATAAAAAAAATAATCTGTAAAAACTTAAGAATTAGGAATAAATATTAAAAAAAAAAAAACCATTTAAAATTATTATAAAAAGTTAATTTTAAATTTGTTTAAAATACATTTAATAAACACTTACCAACTGTTTCTAGATACTCAATAAATTATTTTGTTTATACGGCAATTTTATTTTTTGTAATTGGTATTTATTTAATTTAAATAGTTCTCATAGAGCTAGAACTTCATAGATCATTAGATTACTTATTTTATTTATTATACATAATATGTATGATTATAATGTAATTTTTAAAATTGATAGGTTTAATTGGGTTTATAAAAGAAATACAATTTCCCACTAACATAAGCATAGAAAATTAAAACCAATGACAATTAAATATTCTTCAATTAATTAAAGACTGACTTAAGACAGAGATATTAAACAGTTTAAAAATAAATTGATATTCCTGTGCATATATAACATATTTTACACATATGCAATATGTATAGAGTTAGCATTGTAGTTTTACTCTGAAATAGATTAATATGTTTTATTATTTGTAATTTGTTAACAAGTAATTAGATATCATTAGTAATACATTTTATTATTTGGCTAGTAAAATATTAATTTAAATATTTCACACAGAGGCATCAATATATTTTTATTGTGTTGACATAATGCTTTATTAATATATACTTAAAGTTAAAGATATTCAATTAGATAAATACCAAAGTATTTACTGTTAATATATTGATACTGTTAATCATAAATTGTATTATTAAAATCAAATATTTTTTATTTAGTTAATTGCTAACAATGATTCAATGATTGTTTAATATAATTTTTTTTTTTTTTTTTTATTTGAGTAAATTTAATATAACTTCAAAAGCATTTTAATAAGCGTATTTAAGTTTAAACATGGCAATTCAAATTAGTATAACTTATTGTATCATTGTATATATAAATATACATTTTAATACTTATGATGGATATTAATAATTTTTGCATTGAAATATAATAACTTATTTTGAATTTATTTAATGTGGTACTACTAGCAAGGTTTTGAATACCACATTCATTTACTCAGGGTAAAACAACTGCGTGATTTATTTTTTTTTAATATTTATTTTGTACGATTATTTTAAATGATAGATGAATAATTTTTTAAATATATATTTGAATATTTGTTTAGTTAGTGCTGATAAATAATAAGTGGTTAGCTAACTATGCTCTGTTCTCACAGTATGATTAAAATATTAAAGTTATAAGTATAATAAAATTGAGACAATTTAATTTTAGTTGAGGTTGTCTGGAGTGAATATTCATTCCCTGCAAGTAGTAAGTTCAACATTTTGGTAATAATTTGTAGTTATGTTTAAATATCAAATATCAATCTGTTAGACAAAATAAGGAAAATTCACAGTATAAATTGATAACTTTCTTGTTATACATTAAAATATAAAAAAAGAACAATTTTACAAATTTATACAATCATGTTTACAACTAAAGTTATCATTTTTTTTTCTGGTAATGAAGGCTTTCAATTATTTTTTTATAAAACAAGTGTATTAAAATGTTTTACATAAATTGTTAAAAAAAAAATAATCACATTCAATTAATTAAAAATAAAGACATGATTTATTTTTTAAATTACACACAATAACAATAGAATATAGTCAAACAATACATTGAACTAATATTAAATGCTGCAGAAAAATACAAACATTTTTTTTTTTTTTATCACTGTATATGTATATCTTGTATATAATATTTAAAACAAAATAAATAAATATATATTCAACATTATCTTATGGTAATATATTTTTCTTTTTAACATATATTATCAACATTTTGTAGGTAAATTTAATATTAAATATATTTATAAAATGAAGACTGATTAATAATAAACCATATATACATAAAATAAGGTTATAAGACTAGGGCAAGTAAGTAAACAATTTCAATTTTTTCAGGTATTGATAATAAGAGGGACTATAAAACTTTTCAAATTATACATACATTAAAATTACTACTGGTTATTAATTAGGAATTATTGTCTATAGGAATTCAATACAAATTATACAATAACAAAAAAAAAATTTAAAACTATGTAATGTGTAATATCAATTCACAAACTAATCAAGTAGTAGGAATAACATTTATAGAATTAAGACAAAATAATGAACACTACTAAGGGAATGAAAATATATTTTAATAATGATTAATGAAAAGTAGTAAAATATAATCATTTTTGGCTCATAGTCTTCTAAACAATGTCTTTAAATGATAATTTATAAAAATCAATTTTCCAATATTTATTTTTTAATAAAAAATAAGTAAATTTATTTACTCTGAGCATATCAATTCAAAAATGAACTGCAAGGATATAAAATAATTGTGCGACCATATTTAAATTTTATCTATTTAGATATTTATCTATTTTTTTTATTCAAGACTTTTGGTATTCTTGATTCATCTATGTTAGCACCAGCTAAAGAAGTTGAACTAATTTGTGCTGGCTGACTGAATGGTAATGCTCTCACTAACAAAATTTGAGTCTTGACAGCCGATTTAATGAGTAAATAGTTATTATAGGTTGAACATGCTAGATTTTCTGCAATTTCTGTTAATGACTCATATTCATTTGGCACCATACAGTTACATGATGATTCAAAGAAACTGAACAAAGGAAACCAAATTCGTGTTCTACAAGAATCAACATTATTATTTAAAGCTTGGTTGTTAGCTAGTGTATGATAGTATAGGAACAGTCTTGATGTTATATAAAATGCTATGAATACGTCAATGGAGTAATGTTCATGACCAGACAATATGAAAAATATACCAAACATATTCAAAAGCCAGCTAAAGGTATGTAACAAATAAATATCACGAGGTGTATCTGTAAAAAATAAAATATATTAACAATTAATTTCTATAAACATAATTTTTCAACTAATATATTTTATAAATTATACATACATTCAGTGATAAAGAAGTTCAACATAGTTAATGCCACAGTATGTCCACTGAACATATAGTCACCACACGTACGAACTCCTTGTATCGACATACCAGCTCCTCTCCATATTACATATGCTTGTTGCATTTTATAAATCATTTCTCCCAAAAAATTTCCATCTACAACATTATGAAGATAAATCAATTTAAGATATTGATTTATTTTTAGTAAAATAATGTACCATCTAAAAATGCTGGTTTTTTCCTGGGTGTACATTCTAAATGGGTGCCAGGTACAGATAAGGAAGTGATGATCATTGTGATGCATCGTAACAGGAAGACCGTACCAGAGAGAGCAAAAAACCGTCGCAACAATATGAAACGGTGTTTGTGGAAGACTAGTACTCCAAGCCACACAAAACATAATACGGTGCCGGTCAATTCGCACATGTGAAATGCCCAAGGAATGTAAGGAACATTATCCAGAAAAATGTCTGGCAATGGAGGATATTTCTTCATGTCAGGTACACGATCATGGACTATCACCATAACAAAGGCTGTGATCCATGTTACAGTAAAAAGATAACCCATAGCGATGAGAGCTTTCCATATCTAAAAAAAAAAAATTTTTTTAAACAAAAATTAAAAGACATTTCAAAGATATTGAGATTTGAGTTTAATACTCAAAAAATAAAATAAATATATAAAGTAATATAATATATCTTAATTGTAAATACCTATATAATATAAAATATGAAATTATGAATGCAGGTTTGTGATTATATTTTTGAAATAAAAAATGTTCAAAGTAATAATCCATTTTAGGTTTTTTTTCTATATATCCATTTCAAAGTTTATAGGTATTATAAACTTAACGTTTTAGATAGATAATACAAGTGTAGCATTATTAACTATCAACAAATTATTAAAAAGTAGTTTTTTGAAAAATAATATTATTTTCACAAAATACCCCCAGTCTTTAATATTTTTTCCTCAGACAGAATATTTTACTGAATTCCAAAATTAAATTTTGTGTAAATATAAAACAAAATAGTTGGCACTTCAAATTATTTAATGATTATAATTAGGTATGCACTTAATAAAGAGTAATGAGGCAGGTTTTAGTATATCTAGATACACAATTTTTAGAAATATTAATTTTTTTTTCTCCAATAAAATTGTATTATAATTTATTCATTTATAAAAAAAAGTATTTTTTTAATCATAATTCTACGCCAAAAATTTGTAATTATAATAAATTATACATTGATAATGATAACAAAATATATCTAATACAGTATTAAATCTATAACAATATTCTAAATTATAGTTTTTCTAAAATTTGTCATTATAAAACATGTACCCAAATTGCAATAAACTGTTATGTGGTTTTATGTAGTACTTACTGTTGATATTATATGGGGTCACGTAACGAGGAGGGTGTTGGTAATGTAGCAACAACCCTGTTGACCATGTTTATTTACTACATGTAAACAATACAATTTTACAATATGGCATTACCACCATACATAAACATCACTATGACTATATAAATTACATAACAATGTTTGTATTTTATAAAATGTTAGATGTAGAAGATTGATTATTGATAAAATCATGACAAAATTATAATTATTTATTTTGTTATGGTTTGATGGATAAAACGAACCATTGTAAAATTATGATTTATAGTTATTTGACTGCAGTGGTACTTTAGGAAAGATTTTTTGATTTTCCAAGCAGCACTCATAATAATTGTAGAAAACCAAAAAAACGTAGAATGTAGTTAAAAATATAGGTAAAGACTTGAAATTTGGACAGAAAACTAAAAATAAACTTTTCTAGATGTAAACAATTTTTTTAAACATTTGTGTCATTTTTGAGCTAATTATACATTTTAATTTTACGAATTTTTAAGTAATTTGTATTCTGTAGCTACTTTGTGGATAACAATTTTAGACTAAACAGAAATGCTTAAAATTTCACAGGAGGTTCATTATAAATCGTACTTAGTGATAAAAAGAAAAAAAACCAAAAATTGAATTTTATAAATTATTTTTTTTTTTAACTAAGAATTTTAGAATCAAATTTTGATAAAAATCGTAAATATTATGGCTTTTCAAAACATGTATAACTGAAGTCCAATCAGAACCATTTTTCGTTAGGAATGATTAATCGTTGGGTACAGATATACATTAAATTCCCCTCTATATCCTACTTTCCAAACTTCTCACCTATAACAGTGTCCCACTCAGCCACCCATCGTGCGAAGTATATTCGTCTTTTTTTAAATTAAGATTGTTACTTTTCATAACAACCCCCCCACTCTTAGAAATTTCTAACTACGCGACTGGGTCCAGGACGTTTTTCTGTGACCGTTCCGCCGCTAGTCAATTAACAGTACTTTTGAACGTGAGACGGATTAACAGGGTCAACATTATTTAACGCCAGCGGACATATAATTGAAGTTTCAAGAGAATTTATTTCAAATGAAAATACCTGTATAGTTCGATGAAAACTTAGGTTAAAAATATTGGGCGATTTGTAGAAAATATAAATATAATATTATAATGTACTTTCCTGCTTTATTAATAACCTTTCAAATTAATTTAGCTACTGAAAGTCCATAATTCTTGTTATTGCGATTTGCGACTAGTATATCTTATAAAAAATTGGTTGTATTTATTATTATGGTCTCCACTATTATATTATGTTCGTGATCTCTATGAAAACTTTTCATTAAGAAATAAAAAATGATTAAAAAAATCATCTTTAATAGTCTACTATTAATGCTCTATATCAGTGGTTATTAAACTTTTGATGCACACGGGCCTCTGACGAAAGATTTTTAGAAATGGCGGACCCCCATCAATATCTTTTTATTTACAAAACATCTCATGTTATCATAATAAATATTTACCAATAGAGCTACCGCGGACCCTCGACATGAATATCGCGGACCCCAGAGAACCGTGGATAACAGTTTAAGAACCGCTGCTCTATATAGCAGTTTTAAACGAAAAACTCTATATTTGTTTTGCAAAACCACGATGGGTAGGTAACAAGACAGAAAAATAAATTTATTGTGTGCCTAGTAAAACTCTGCTCGGTCTAATCTTGTTGGTTATTTTTTTATTTTGGAATTCACTACGGTCCGGTCGAGACCTATTCTTCTTTCAGTCCCGTTCAGTACGTCCACTATTTTATGGTCCCATCCGGTTTAAATTTCGATAGAATATAACAAAATAATTGTAACGTTACCTAATACGTAGAAAAATAAACTATTATCTGGGCTCTGGAGTAATCATATTTGACGAAATGATTTCAAATACACACGCTGGAAACGGATAACAGCAATTAAATATAACCATCCCGTGATTAATAATGTGCAATTTGCTCTTTTGTTATCACCTATTTTAAATTTAGAAAACTAAAAGAATTAATATAAATATTTTGAATTACCAATTAAAACATCTATAAAACAGTATTTATAGGGTAATTTTTTCTATTGGAAAAAGTACAAAAACACTTTGGGAAACGGATTAGACCTAGGGATACCTCTGGATAGAGGTATCACCACTACACTACGACAACCAATATAAGGAAAATGCAATATTGAATTATTTAATATAACACACATGTATACTGATTTCAAAGTGTTATAACCAGTGAACAATTTATGGAGGGAGTGGTTTCAGGGAGTCTGGACGCCCCTAGACATTGATATAATTTCATTATATGTTGTCCAAAAAAAAATAGGCATCTATTAATAGAGATCCTTTTAAATAAATATGATTTTTCATGACACCTCCTAGAAAAATATTGAAAATCCGCTACAGGTTATAACTCAAAAACTAAGTTCGATCGACCTAAATAAGTACATTACTTCGGTAAAAAAATATTGACCCCCTACCCCGTTATCCCTCCCTACGATCAAAACTACTGTTAAATGACTGGCGGCAAAATGTCTGGGCCGTGATACATGTTTATATACCTATTTTATATTATAGGTACAAATAAAACTAACTGCAACGTCATCATACCTATATTTTTTTTTTTTAAGAATCACCAGTTTCACATTAATTAATGTTAACAATAATGGATACTAATATTTTAATAATTTAGTGGGTACTGTTATTATAGTTTTTATACTTGTACCTACATAACATTTTAAAATAAAAACGAAATAATACTAAGTTAAAATTATAAATATAATATACATTTTTCGTACGTTAACCTGTTGAAAACTTGGTTAAACCAGGTAACAGGCGAGTTTACAAACCTCATAACATTCTTCATAGTAACGGTACTTTATTAGTCATGCACGCACTAATTCTACGTTTTTATAAAACACCTAAAACTAAAAATACGGACATACTTCGCTCGTAGGTGCAGCTACTGTTGAAGGTGGGGAGTTGGGAAGGTAGGATACAGACGGGAATATAATGTATATCTGTAAGCAACGATAAACCATTGCTAACGAAAAACGATTCTGAGCTGAGTTCAGTTGATAGTGTTGTTTTATCAACAATATATTTGTCATATCATGGTAAAATAATTAACCTAAAATAATATATTTTCTTTAATAATATTTGTTCAGATTTTCCAGTTTTTCCTACGTTCTTCCTGGTTTTTCACATTTTCTGAAAAATTTCTGGGAAAATCAAAAGATGATCCTTCCAGTCAAATTTATTTTTAGAAAAAGTGCTTTCATTGTAATTCGCTGGTAGATAAGTTGCACACAAAAAAAAAAAAAATTAAAAACATCTTTGTAAAACCATAAGCTTCTTAGCTCCACTCAGTTCTTAATATCAATTTGATAACATCATAATTTTTTTTAAATATAAGTAATATTAGTATATTTAGTACGTAATATCTACATTGGTTGGTACAATAAGAAATGATAAACAAAAAAACAAAAATAAACAAAAATAAAGACCAATTCTATTTGAACTCTATAATTTACCAAGGTCATTTAAAAGTTCAAAATGTAGTGTTATGGCTTTAGCATTGATTATAAATAATAGTATTATTACTATTAATATTATTAAATACTAATATTTATAATCAATGGTTTTACATTGTTAGTAGGGTGGAAATTGGGGAATAACCAATTGTGGTTTTTTAATTTGTTTAATTTATATTAATACTAAGCACCAAAACCGGATAAATAAATCTCATAAATGGGAAAAACCGGAAAAATGTACAAAATGTAGATATCAGTAAACGAATATTACGACCTTTTTTTTCATGTGAACAACTTTTCTACCAACAATTCAGATCCGATTCTGTAATTATGGCACTTTTTCTTCTTTAAGGAAATCTGACTGGGGTAGTACTTTACGGAGGTCATTTTTCGATTTTCCCAATAAAAGGCAAAACGTTAAAATCGGGAAAATAGATACAATATTAAATAAATACTATTAAAAAAAATATATAATGCATATTTAATAATTTTACCACAATGTAACATGTATGTATGATAATTGTTGACAAAGCTAACACTATTAACCGAATTCCGCTCAGAATTGTTTTTTCTTAGCAATGATTAATTGTTGCGTACAGATATATATTAAATTTTCCCTCTACCTTCCCAACTTCTCACCTAGAACAGACGCCCACACACGTGCGAAATATTTCCCATCTTTTTTTGTCGCGGTTTTAATATTTTTTGTGTACGTATCGATGACTAATCTTGAAATGAAATCTTTATTACATTTGAGTTGATGGAGTCTTGTTAAAATATATATTATGTTAGTTGTTTGAAATAATGAACAATAACTATAAATCCGTATTCGGTGTATTTACAATAGTGAATTCAGTATTTGTGAACTATTTGTACCGTGAAAACGTTGGTATTTTTGTGTTTTGAGCTAAATTTAGATACGAGTGTTACAAATTTAACAATTGTCAACAAAAACGATTCTGAGCGGAGCTCTGTTAATAGTATTGCTCAGGGGCGTTTTCGGGGGTCAATTCCATAGAGGGGAGAAGAAAAACAATTTTTACTATTGAATACCACCGCTTTGGTCAACAATATCTTAAAACTTTTATGTCTGATGTGAGTTCAACTTATATCAACATAAGAAGTTTGAGAATCACTGTCCTACGCCTATGTATAATCGTATTTTATCTTATCTTTTGTCGTATGAAAATCGTTCTCGTTGCTTATCGACAAACTATGTATTATAAATTATAATTACATAAATAGTATTAATTTTACGACGACCTGAATAATATTATTCACTGAACTCATAGCCCATAGATTTATATCTAAAACCGCAGTATCCGGGTGAAACCCAAAGAGATGACTCATATGCAAGAAGTTGCAGATGCAGATCCTGTTATATTAATCTATTATTGTTATAAAATAAGAACTTAATTTATGTAGATAATACCAACTAAATCGAAAAAATAATACAAATATTGTACAAAAACTGTTTCACACACAGATATAAACAATTGTGTGGTATCACGACTCACCTGATTTAAAATGCTTATCACAACCTTACCACTTTGAAAGATAAGCTTTGAAGTTAATTATGGCCTAATTATTCATTGTACAATACATACATTGATAGACTTATAGACGAAACATTCAGCATGGAAATGCGTTCCAGTGGATAAAATTTCATTCTAAGGACTAGACACACAATAACAATATGAAGTAATAAACGATTTGTTGTAGCTAATTAGCTGTCCTCGAAATGAAAAGTTGTTCTCTCTCTCACACCTCAGTCTATCTCTCTCGATCCGTTCGGACTAATCACGTATGATTAAAATCATTAATTATTAATTAAGATTAGTAAATTACACGGAGAAAAGTCAATACCTAACTGAAAATCAAGGGTGTGAATGATAAAATATCGTTCGCAAGAAATCTTCCGATCACGGTGACAACACTGATTTCAAGGATACGGTCACGTGCAGGACGAGTGAAAACAACAAGCTTATCTTTCCTTTAAGAATATTACTAACCTCGCTGTATGAATCCCGTAAATAATAAATAGATCTTTATAGTATGCTGACGAAAAACCTATCAGTAATCTATAAACCTATGCTATAGGTCCTATAGCATTTATAATCAATGATTATAACCTTTGGCTTGTTTACGAACACTGTCCATATCTAACTATTTAGTCAAAATATGACTAAAATATGATTTACCTACTTAAACATTAGAGAAATCATTTTTTTTATCAAATTTCATTCAATTTTAGTTGTAAATCAAAAATTGTGTGTTAAGTAGGATCAATTAACATATGATTTTTGAGTCACTAAACTAAGTATGGTAATGCTTCGAAACTTGGTACATACTGTATAGGGATGAAATAAGACTGTTTTTATTTAGACTGCACAATGGTGAAAATTTAATAAATAAATGGTTATTAAAAAATGTATAGAAGAGAGTTACCCTCCAACCCTCCTCTTTTGGATAAGTGCCTGATGAAACATTCTCATTGGGTCACATCATAAATAATTAGGTAGGTAGATAATATTACGTAAATAGGCAATAAGTAACCTAGGTTTGAGTACCACAATTGAACAAAAAATCTCCCCAAGTTACATTATAACTTTATTTTGGCCGAGGAATTAGTTTGTGAGCAAAAAAATAGGTCGCATCCAAGACAGGTACTAAAATAATATTACTGTCATTGGTTTTATGATAATTATAAAAACAATACTTATGATACATAATATATTGCCATCAATATTATTTAGTTTTAATTCTGTAAGTATATAAATTATACCGATCATATTATTAACAATTTTAATACTTTTATAAATATAGGTATTATTTTAAATCATATAGGCAGTTACATATAATACAGATATATGACATAATGTATACTGGTAAAGCAATAATAAACTGTCAGTTTTTATGATTTTTAAACATATCCAATTTGAAAATGTTATGTAATTTGTATTTGTTAGAAAATATACCAGTAAATAAGCAGTATAAAAAAAAATAAATATGATATTGAATATCATAATGTAAATTTTCAGTTCAAAGTTTCTTTGTTGGTAGATTTGACATAACTCAATCTGATTGGTAAGTACTTTTTTATCATTTACACTTAATCATTAAAAAAAGATGGAAATTAATCATATTCAGTTCAATGTTCAATATTTATTATATACATGAGAAAATTGAAATAAATTTTATATTTAGTTCAATTTTTTGTTTTTTGTTAGCAATAGTTATCATTGTGTACAAAAACGAATTAAATAACTTTAAGTATCCTAACTTCTAAACTAACTTCCAATTTACAACAATAACACACCCAATTCCAGTATCGACTCTTTTTTTTTTTTTTTTTTACGAATTATATATTAATGATCAGTAAGGAGTAAGGATGAAATAAGTTAGACAGAGAGATTAAAGTAGTTAGGATTTCATTGATTAAAAAAAAAATGGTGGATTTGTGAGAGTATTCTACAAAATGTGGTACTGCATAAAAAAACATGTTTCAAGTTTATAAAAGTTAAAAAAAAAATAAACAAATTACAGCCTTCACTAGGCTTTGAAGGATAAAGTACATTATATAATATATAAATATAGGGTTAATTTTTTACCATTGAAAAATCATTATTTCCCAAAGTATTGACTTCTTTCAAAAAAAAAAAAAAAAAAATGTTGACAATTTAAGAAACAAATAGATCTAAATACATTTACAATATTATTTGTCATTTTTATTTTTGTGGCTGAAATAAATATCTTTATTTGATTGTCAAATGGTAATCTACATTAAAAGTTCCATAATAGATAGAGTATTAGTTTAAATAAATTTTGGTGTTGAATTTCTGCTAACCAATTCATGAGATATTTCACAGTAAAGTTTGGGTTGGTAGAAAGTAGGATAGTATAATAATAGTATAATTTGTGTAGCGGCATGGTGCGCAGCATTTGAATAGTGCTTCACTATTCTTCCCTACCTAGACTTTAAAAATGCAATACCTTGTGAAAGAGTTGGTGGAAATCAAAAATTTCAACTTCAAAATTCGGTAGTCATTTAACTCCTAAAAATATGTCTGATAAAAAATTATGGTATTGTAAATTTTACATCTTTCTGTTTCTTAAATTGTCAAACAATTTTTAAGTACCTACTATATAAAAGGAATAAATTACTATCAAAAGCACTTTTAAATAGTAATGAGAACTTTAGTTAATGCTTAAGATAGTTTGGATGAACTATCAAATATTTTATCCCATGATAGATTATATTCAGAAGAATTATTAAAAGAGTTTTTATTTCAGTATTATTTTCTCATATTATTAAAATATTTGTTTTGATAAAAAAAAAAAAACAATTTTAATAAATGTTACAGTCAATAGGTCTAAGTACAGAATACAGTAAATCTTCCATTAACTACTTTTGATTGAATAGAATTTGAAAATAACTCTACGAAATACTACCACTAGATTCAAGTATGCCTCCACAAAAATTATGCACAGTTGTTTTTCAAATCAAAACTATTTATAACTATTTATTTTATAGAAACTATCAAATAGGTAAATTGTTAGTGACTATTTGATATGCACATCACTAACTACTAATACTATATCAGATTGGTGTTAGAGTTTTCGAAATGCAATAAACTTAAATTATCAAGTTTAGATTGGATTTCATCCAGAATAAATTAGTATACTTTCCTATTAAACAAAATAAAATAATATTTTTAATAAAAAATATATTTTACCTCTGGTTTTAATCTTCTCTCTTCTTCAAATTCTGAGCTATGGGAAGATGCAGCTGTTACATCAGAACCATGATTCATATGAATATCATCATAATAATTGAACGGCTAAAAAAAATATGTATTTTTTAAACTATAGTTGTAAATAAATGTAGTAGGAAAATTGATTATTAACTTATGACTTATTATATTTTTATTTTACAGTTAAAGCGATAAGAAAGTTATTAATTTTTAAAAACACAGACATAAATATATTTTTGATAAATTTACTTAGAAATACCCATTATCTTGGTAAGTTTGGTAAGTATTAACTTTTTTTAGAATTTGTTTTATTGAACATTTAAGAAACAAGCAACTCTACAATTTTACATTTATTTTATTTTTGTCACCCTTATTTTTGGGGTAAAACCACTAACTACTGTTGATTTTCAAATAGCAAACTATATTAAAAATAAGTTTTAGATAAAATAAATTTTGGTGTTGAAATTTATGATTTAATTGTTTAGTACACCATTTTTTAGTTTACGGGCTAATAATTTTCTAAAAATATATAGCAATTGTTAAAATAAGCTAGGTTAACAATTAGATTAAATATATTATAATATGTCTGCTTATTTGAAATAGTTAGTAGTTCTGTTCCAAGTGTTTAATTTTTCTATTATTAAATATATGAATACAGAAACAAAAGTCATTAGTTTTTCATTGCCATGTGAGTTCAACAAAAGAAATGTGTTGAAATATACAATTTGTTCTAAAATTAAATCATATGCTGATGTATTAAATTCTTTTATCTAGTATTTTCAAAATGAATTAACATTTCAATTGTTATTCTTGAAACACAAAATTATAGTATTTAAAAAATAGATTATACAATTTTTTTTTTATCTTCGATTTGGTAATATTTGTTAAATAGTATTATTTGTTTGTTATTATACTTTTAAAAACAGCCCAAAACGAATTAAATATAAAAATATTAAGTTTAGCGCTATATAATGCAAGTACTTACATCTGGTCGGAATTGAGTTCCATACACATGTGGCCCACATATAGGTTTTGTAAGCAACGATATGGGGTCAAATCCAAGTTGTAAAAGAGTCTGTCGATTTTCTACTTTTAACTGACGTATATCTAACATTATGCGTTTTATATCACCTAATACCTAAAAGCGTTTAAAATTAATAATTATAATACATTTCCTGTATAATTGGCCATAATATAACAGTTTAACAGGTAAGTATTTTCATTAACAAAAATACTTACATTGATGTTTATGGGTGGACATTTTAGGTCAGCTTCATTAATAAGTAAAAGAGCACGGCCATCAATGCAATGATCTTCAGTGAGTAATTGAGAATATTTACTATGACCCTTTTTTTCCAGCCAAACAGATACTTCTCGTGGACTCCAGTTGACTACACTACTCATTGTATCACTAGGTATATTATGAATTCAATAAACAGTTAAGACAAAAAAAATATGAATATCTATTTTTAAAAGAAATTAATTTTAAATTCATCGCGCGGAAAACTGATTGATTTTCGTTTATATTTAATGCACTTCGAAAGTTATTGAAATGTAAATAAAAACGATTGAAGACAATGAAGTCTTACACAACATCTAATCTATTCTAAAGAAAAGTCAAATACATCAAGAGATAAAACACTAGTGAATTCGACTGCCATCATGATCAGTACTGAGCTATGATATTCTTTCCTGTAAGGATGTGCAACAATGCAAGACTCAAATAAAAACTGCAACATAGCACAAGTCCCGTAAGTAATTTAGCTATTTTAAATATTATTGTAAATGTGAGTTGTGATTACTGATAATGTTTAAAAATGATAAAGAAAAATCATTTCATCCTAGGTAACTTACTTCATTATCTATGCATTTCATCTATTTTGTGGAAAAACAATGCATACACTATAGAGAGAAGTAAAAATGTCAGGAATTTAGATATTTAATTTAAATTCTAGATTTTAATTAAATTCATAATGAAGATTACAATATTACATACCATATAAAGATTATTATGAATTCAGTTTATTAAATAATTTCATATCAATGTGAAAATATAATTGTTTTTTCCAATAAATACTTGTTCGAATTTTTTTGTTGGTCACATTGTCAAGTGCCGCTAGTTTTCCCGCCTTTATGTGCGACTATCTTTTGTGAACAAGGACCAGGCTTTGTAGTGTGGGATTCTGGTTTAACCAATATATTACTTTAGGTAACACTAATACATCATAAGTTGTCAAGTTGTTACCATTACAGTTTTGTTGGCTCGAATTTACCGTACTCATTTCATTTTTAACCAGACCTTACTTTAGTTTATTTTTTTTAAATCTATTTTTTCATACGTTTTCATCATGTTCGAAGCAAGATTGTTAAAAAGTGGCCAGCTCAAAAAGATTTTGGAAGCTATTAAGGAACTCTTGAAAGAAGCTACATTCGATTGCTCTGATTCCGGAATTCAATTGCAGGCTATGGATGACGCCCATGTTAGCTTAGTGTCCATGTGTTTGAAAAGTACTGGTTTTGATAAATTTCGTTGCGACCGGAACTTGTCTATGGGTATTAATCTAGAAAGGTATTTTGGTAGATTACATTAATATAATACCTGTAGTATGATGTAAACAAATTATTCATATTTGATTATTATTTTAGCATGGTAAAAATCATGAAGTGTTGTTCTAATGACGACATTATGACCATCAAAGCCCAAGATAATGCTGATACATTAACTATTATGTTCGAGACGAAAAACCAAGAAAAAATGTCTGATTACGAAATGAAATTAATGAATTTGGATCAAGAACATCTTGGTATACCTGTATGTTGATAATTCACACACTTACTTTAAACACATTGATTATTTGCCTTAATTATAAACTTAAGCCATTATTAATTAGTCTAGTGTGTACTAAATGATTTAATAAATCACACTTAACTTATCTAATGTAATTTAGCATAATTATCAACTGTGATAAAAGAGCATCCATCAAATTTCACCTTTTTCAGGGAGCAAAAAAAATCAAAAAAGTTTTTTAATGACGTTTATCATGGAAAACAATAAAATTACTCGTACACATAATATCTTGTGCACAAAGTATACATGCCTTGAATATGGTATATGCCCTTTTAAAAAATTAGTGTTGATGCTATTATATTTTAAAAGGGCGCCTAGATATCTTGAATCCAACATCACCAACTTAATTTTCTGTGTTAAAATACGCCCTTTTAACAAAATACAATTGATATAATGTGTAGTGATGATAGTCAATAATATCTTCCCCCTCCTCATATAATGATTGTTCGAGTTTTATGTCACTCTTGATCAGTTGCATGCCTAGATCATATAAAATTAATATAGCATTGGAGCCGCAGCCTGTGTAAATAACTTGAATTACATGTTGTATAAGGTCACATAATGAGATTTGCTATCTGCATAGTGCGAATGTATTAGTATACTTTTCACATATTTATTTTTCTTGGTGAAAATTAAAACACAATATATAACAAATTATAAATTATAATGTGATCATTTTTTTAAAAAAAAAACAAATTTAAATTATCTATTCATTAATAAATTAAGTAATATAAATTATTACTGAAAATAGTTATTTGGATAGATTGTGACAATTAAATTTACGCATGCACAGATTATGTGCCTCAACAAGTAATCCATTGCTTGTATGCCCTTTAAGTTATTTGTACATGATTCTATTTATAGCTTATAATCTGAGGATCTTTTACCTTAGTTAACATTAACCACATTGACCAATGTTAGTACATTATACCAAGTCACTGGTTAATGTCAGTTCTTGTACTTCTTGTACTTTAATCCTTAATTATTATGAAATTTGTTTTGAAGATTGAATAATATTACTATTTATTTTTAGTCAGATATTATATATTATTTTATGTATGCTATGTCAATTTATGATAATAGCTTTAGTAGACCTTTCTTAAAATTTTTTATTAAAAATCTTGACTATCTTCACTAGTACTCACATAACTCAAAGTATTAGTGCACTTTTTTAAAAAAAGCATTGATCAGTTCCATTATCTCAAAATTAGGTCATGAAAAAATGTTCACTGTGCATTTTGTTCTGAAAAAATCTTAATATATTTATATATATTGTTTTAATTTTAGGAAACAAATTATTCATGTATTATTAAAATGCCATCATCCGAGTTTGCAAGAATTTGTAGAGATTTAAGTCAGTTTGGAGACTCTCTTGTTATTGCTTGTACTAAAGAAGGAGTGAAATTCTCTACATCGGGTGACATAGGATCAGGTAAAATGGCAGAAAATGTAAAAAATTAATAAAATATAATTTACTGTTATTTATTTCAATATTCTAGCAAATGTCAAACTTTCCCAAACCTCAACGTTTGATAAAGAAGAAGAAGGAGTAACCATTGAGATGACTCAAGCTGTGTGTTTAACATTTGCATGTCGTTACCTAAATTTGTTTTGTAAAGCAACTCCTTTATCAACACAAGTACTATAAATCTATTCAATAATATTTTTTATTAAATTAATATGTATTTTCTTATTTAGGTTATTTTGTCCATGTCTGGAGATGTTCCTTTAGTTGTAGAATACCAAATCGAAGAATTGGGTTGTATCCGGTATTATTTAGCACCTAAAATTGAAGAAGATGATTAATTTAAATAATTATACACAGATCAATAGTTCATAAGGACTGACTCAATATTTTAACACAATTCTTATATACAAATAAAAAAATTTTCATATATTTTTTTTATTTCTATTAAATATTTACAACATGATAAGATCGTAAAAAATAAAATACTGAAAGAAATATAATGTATAGTAAATTTTATGGAGTTACTGAGCATATTATTATAAAGTACATTTTTAATATTACAAGTTCACATTGTTATTGAATTACATACAATAAATATTTGCCTATAAAAAGAAAATCTTTGAAAAATAATTTAAAATAGAATAATAAGTTCCTAAGTATTTTACATCACTATATACATTTTATTAAGATTTTACACAATATAATATGCAGGAAGACAATCCTTTAATGATATTTTTATCATTATTAAAAAATAAATTGTATATCTTAATCTTTGCTTATTATTTTGTACTAGTATCAAAACTATGATATACTTAAATAGTTTGTACATATACATATATATAAAAAAAATTATTGGAAAGATCAAAAGCAGCATTTTTCTAAAACAGCAGTTTATATAAAGAAAATGAACTAATTTATATTTCGTTTTTCTTCAATAAATTATTTTTTATGTAACAGTTGGAAGTAAAATCTTTCAGGGGCTTATTTAAATAAAAATAAAATTTGGAAATTTGATATTTAAAATTAGAGATGGACCAATACCATGTTTTACTGATATCTAATATTATTGTATAGAATATATGTATGCTAATGCTATTGTATTAGTTATTGTAAATATATTTTAGTGACAATTTTAATCAAAAATCATAACAATTAATAAACAAAAAAATAAAATTTGTTTTGTAATAATATTTAATGAAATATCAAATAAAAAAGGAGCAGATACTGGGAAGATGGGATACATTATTCAAGTTATTTAATTTCTATCTGTAACCAATGATAACTAAAAATAATTTGGAATGAAGTTCGATTATACGTGTTTTTAAAGCCTGTAATATTTATGATTTTAACTTACAAGAACTCTTAGTAGGTCTTGGACCTTCAATCAAATTTTGAAGCATTTTTGTTCCATCCAATAATTTATATACATTGTTACCTATCAAATTATGGTTTTCAATTCTATGAAAATTACGTAAAAAAATTCAAAATTAAAATGTCTATAAATACCTCAAATGTTCTGATACCACAAAATTAAATTTAAGTTTACTGTCAAAATTTCAAGTCTCATCAAACATTTTAAACTGAATTACAATAAAATAAAAAAAAAAATCTAGAATAATAAAAAAATTGTTTTTGTACATTTTCCCATCTTTTCAATCAAAATTCAACAAAAAAGATCTCTTGATATTTTTCTATTGAAGCTATATTTATGGTAAAAAACTTAAGCCGCACAAATTTAAAATAAGGAAAGCATTGTGCTGTAATTTTAAAAAAAATGTATATTTCGTTTTTCTCTGTCAGTGGCTAAAAGAAGCAAAATCGATGTCTGAATTTAATATGTATACATTACATAAGTATATGCATAACAAATACATACATTTATTTAGAAAAAAAAACAAATATAGCCTAGAGTAGGTATTATCGTTGTTGAATTATAACCGCCCAATCCCTAAATCACAAGACCAGGGTTTATGAGATGCCACCACTTCCTATCAGCCTATTATTATTAGAGTTACCCAGGAAAGAGCTTTTTGTTCAACGATTTCTTTGGTTTTAATCAGTTACTTATTAATTTTGTATAAGTCTCAGATTGAACTTCTAATAACTATGAACATGTGTTATGCTGGTTAATGTAGAACAACATGCTTAGTATTATTTATAATCTAATGTTACATTATTTAATTAGATATCTAGATAACAATTTTGATGTGGTACATGTATATATTTTTTTTTATAAACATTAAATATAGTATGACTAGCTATATTAAAGTCTTTTGATAAAGGGATAATCGGACTGCAACTAACCTAGAGCTAAAATGTTTACTAGGCTTGAATTTACCAGTCTCCATGTTGAAAATAACAAACCAAACCGCAACTCACCTATAGCTGGTATTATAAAGGGTGTACATTGTACCACCAGTTTTGATTTTATATTCAGTTGTATATTTTCTTTGTCTTAGCTCTTCTATTACCTGCTGATGATTTTTTTAAATTGAAATTGGTCATATTTACACATGACCTTTATAATACTCCAAGCTTTGTTTTTTACTTTTTCTGTATAAGATATTTATTTATTTATTTTGCATATATACCAGATACCTACCTACTTCTTTTTACTTTATTTGTTTTTATTAACTTTAATTTTTTTTGAAACAGTATATTTTATCTATTATGATACTATAGCATATTATATTTTGTTTTTACTGTATCGGTTCAATTATTGGTTTTGAAAAAAAAAAATGAATATTGGTTCACTCCTATTAAAAATAGATGAATATTAGGTTCTTATATTATTACTCATATAATTTAGACCAAACAAAATATATATATATTATAATATATATATATATATATATACACACATATTTGCTCTAAACTCGGAAACAATATTTCTATTTGAATATTCTATGAAGTTGGTGGTACTTCATCTTGGGCATTACAGTATTCGACCATTGCATTTGGACTTATTACCGTATCATGCAATGTTCTCATGTGCCTCAGTAAATTACTTTTTACATTAAAACCTTTACTACAGACACCACATTGATATGGTCGTTCGCCTGTATGTGTTCGACTATGTATCAACATGCTTGCATGAGATGGAAATGTTTTCGTACAAGTCGGACACACCTTTCGTCCGTTCATTATTCTTGGTCGTGGTCGTTTAACTGATGGTAAAATACCCGACCCACCGCTGGCTAAACTATTTGTAATAGCCAACTGTTCTTCTGTGTGTGCACTTTGAATGTGTCGCACCCAATCACCGGGTGTCTGGTATTCTTGTTGACACAGTTCACATCGTAAAGGGGGCAACTCACCTCCATCATCTTCATCCTATTATTTATGATAGTTAATCGTTGACACATTATTAAATTATTACCTATAACAATAATGATAATAATAATTTAAAATCAAATAAATATTGTACGCTTACCGTGGTTTTTCTCCGTTTTCGTTTTGGTAAATCGGTAATTGAGCCTAATTCATGAGTTTGTATGTGTCTAACCCATAGGGCTGGAGTTCGAAATGTTTCTTGACACATGTCACACGTTAATGGAGCATAATAATCGGAATCTGCTTCCTCGTCATCATCGTCGTAATTCGAAAACAGTTCCTAAAAATTTGGTTAATATTTTAAAAAGTGTGGTATTTTATATTAAACATCAAGTTTATAGGTGAGTTTTCGGTGCAACGCTGATGTCTATATATATATAACATAAAATATTGATTGGAGTCTCCACATAAATGACATTGCATATCTCTACCTGCAAAACTACCAAATTAAAAGTGGAATATCTCGTCAAAGAATCAAATATTAATTTAAACTGAGTCTATATATGCTTATTTTTAATATAAGTTGTCATTTGAGATTTGGAAAAAAAACCTTAACTATTCTTTTTTAACAGGAGAAAAAATTAATAAATGTCAAATAGATTCAGAATGTATTATGATTTTCTATTTTCTATTTTGTCACAGGTTTATTTTTAAACATCGGTGCCAAACCTCTAACGGTCAATATTGTTGTTTTATCGTACCGGTTGGATTGTCATTTCAGTCCTATCGTTATCGTTCCACTCCAACGGTTCTTCCTTCACAGTGATCTCTAGTTGAAGGGCATTGTGCATAGGATCTTCGTTTTCCGAGTTTTCCTTCTTCATTTCGCCATCGTCGTTGTCTTTGTCTTTTTCGTTTTCCTTATTCTCGTTGCCATCGGATCTCACTGACAACGGCATGTCTCCCAATTTGGATCTACAGGGATTTGACTTATCGTCCTTATTATTGTCAGGAGTTTGCTGTCTAGGCACCACGCCCACAGTGTTCTCGTTGCTTCGGCATAGCCCTCTGACCCGCAATACTTCGCCAGCTTTTAGTACCCGATCCAACTGGCTATTGGTGACTGTCGCTTCGCCGCTGTACATGTACTGGAGTAGTATGCAGAGTGTACGGTAACTGATATCCGCAGGCATAACAATGACCAAATTGTTAGACAAGCAGCTCTGAAAAACTTGATTCAGGTACGCGCTGCACGCAGACAAAACGAAACGGTGTGCCGACACATTACGTCCGTCAGTCGTACTTAGGGTTACGTCGGTGAATGCTGTGGTACCGTGTAATGTTGCAATGGTAGAATGTAAATGGGCACCATGACTATGCCATTTTAACTGGTAGTTTTCGGTATTTGCCATGTTTGACAAAGGTAGGTAAGGCAAATAATCTAGAAAAAAAAAACAGCAATCATTATAATATTAATATTGTATAGGTAGGTACCACCCACCTAAGTTAGAAATACTATTTTGTAAGAGAATATCTATAACTTTAAGATATATTCTAAAAATTAGTCATATTTTTTAGTTTGTAAATGTTAAGGTCAAACGAAAGTGCAAAACCGAATTTATTTTATATTTGTTTTCGACATTTAATTTTTGATAAATAATAATAGTAAAAATAATTAAAAATAATACCTAATTGTTGTTTGTTTTGTCACATTTTAACTAGGTTTCAGTTAGTTTTAGTAGCATTTCATAATAATAAAATATTGTAATTGATTTAGCTAAGTCTTTATTTTAACAATTTAAATACGAGATGGTTTTTAACATGCATATCAGTGTGTGACATTGATACATTGTTTAACATTAAATTTGCTAAATGAACCATGTAATTTTATAATTCTGTAGGAATAGATGCAGGAAGCGGGCATTTTTAAATATTTATTTTTACCTATGATATAAAAATAAATTAAATTACCACAGTACAAAATACAATATTAACTGTTTTAATAACTTTATAAATAAAATTTACATAAAATAATAAAATACAATCCATAATTACTAGACCCATAATAATTAATTTTATTACTGTCAAGGAATAAACGTTTTTAATGTAGGTACATAAATCCTCAAGACGGTTTTGGTCAACATTTTACAAACAATTTAATCACTTTCACGGAGATATCTGTATAGCCTATTAGCCTGTTAGAGTTTTTCGCCTGGGTACCTATATATAAGATATCAACCATAATTTGTCTAATCAAAGTTATTTTGCTCAACTTATCTGTGGTTTTTGATAGACTCCGTAAAAAAACATGAGCTTCATTTAAACTGAGTATGGTTCCATTCGTATAAATAATGATCCTACTATAAATCAACGAATCCATCTTAAAAATATTTTCGATAGGTATACTGGAACAAAGAGAAAACAAAGGTGAGAAGGACTTGGTTCTAAACTATTTTAAGAGAGTTCCTGCATTCTCAAAACCAGCTGCTATTCTACTCAGCGGCTATTATATGTTTATTTAAATATATAGGTTACCTACCTATTAGTTACCAAAATGTGAAATGTTCAAATATAAAATTTGATATTCTTGTTTGTAATTAACCTCTAAATAATTGACATTAATGTCCTTAATAAAACTTGGTATACACCTGCTGTTTTTGATTTTCAATTTGTTAGGCACCCACCCCGCGCGCATAGCGTAGAACAGCGGTTCATAATCTAGGATACGCGAAAAAATTGAGTAATAACGGAAAATGTTAAATTTGTTTTATTTAAAGTTTTAAAACGATTCGTTTCAGAAATATGCAATATATGTTATTAAAATTGAAAACTTAACCATCAACTTATCGTACAGAAATGGATTACAGAATGTTTTTTTTTTTTTATTTCTGTAAACAACTTTTCTTCCAGCAATTTTACTGTAAAATATATAATGCCTATGTAATTATTTTACAATAATATGACATATTTATTGTTGACAAAGCAACACTATTAAACGAACTCCACTCAGACTTGTTTTTTGTTAATAATGGTTAATTGTTGTGTACGAATATACATTAAATTTCCTCTCTACCATCCCAACTTCTCACTTAAAATTGAAGCCCACTCATCGTGCGAAGAATGTACGTATTTTTTTTTTTTTTTTAGTTGGTTCATAATATTCGAAATTTCTCTCTCGGAAAAAAAATAAAAATCAAAAGAAATTTCGAAAATACTAATATATTTGATGACAGAAAACTTACATTTTGAAAAAAAACAATTTCAAAATAATATCTTGAGTAAACTAGAAGTGTTTCAAAAAAGTTATTGAGTAAATGGTTTTTACTTATATTAAATTTTATTACGGCGAAAAATGATCTCAAGTTTTCTTGTTTTTCTAACAACACTTTTTTTATTTTCTTTTCGCTCTTCTCACAGCTTTTTATACTTTGCACTACTTTTTCTTAATCACTCATTATAATGCCATTTGAAAAAAAAGGACGGAAATACTTCGCACGTGGGTGCAGCCACTGTTGCAGGTGGGAAGTTGGGAAGGTAGGAAACAGACGGGGATTGAATGTACATCTGTAAGCAATGATAAGCCATTGCTAACGAAAAAACGATAGTATCATCATAGATTTGTAGCATATTAATTATCATCGTTATTCGTCGATGAAACAGCGAAAACATCGGAAAAACATATTTTCTCAAAAAATTAAAATTCTAGTTTTCCGTGTTCATGGGAGCAATACTTCGGTGAGTTAATATAATATTATACCTTATTATATAGACATATAATGTATAATAAAATAATAAAGTAAAAACAAAATTATTAAAATAATTAATACTTGTAAATAAATATATAAAAAATTAATGTATTTATAAAAATAAAATAAAGAATCAAATGCGTCGCGTTATATATTTTGACTGTGATATACCTGATGATGAGTTTTTAATTCGAAACCGGTAGAAAAATACACTTATCATAATACTCCAGGCGACACATTAATTAATTAATTTTATTTTTATGTGTGCATTTTTTATTTATATATTTATTGACTACATTTATTTACTTTATATATAATATATTTTGTGTTTTTTAAGGACAGCAATTTCGTGGTAATAAACTAATAATCAAAAAGTCATAATTTTACATTTTATAAGCGTCGACCATTCGTGTTATAGGGGCGGCAAGTTTGTCGCTCCAATCATCTTTAAAGTAATCCGCAACTGTGTTATTTATAGGTAGAGACTTGTCAAAAGTTTTGACTCCATAAATCATGGAATTCTTATTTCAAAGTTAGAACAAATGGGAATTTAAAACTCTATATTTCCTTGGTTATTATTTATTAATTGTTATTATATTTTTCATGTAGGAAATGATTTTTGAAGTATAAAAATTGTTTTTCTGATTTTTATGTGATGCCTTTAGATGTTCCGCAGGGCTCTCATATAGCTTTAATCTTATTCATCTTGCGTATAAATGATATGCCCACCACTTATAAAAAGACGCTTCTCTTTTCTGATAGTCTGAAAATATATTAGTCAATATAAATCAATATTTGGTATTCTGGTTTTACTAGAACACGCCAATCAGACAGACTTACTTATAGAATGATGGTGTTGCCTAAATAATTTATCCTTTAATATTATGAAATGTAAATTAATAACTTTTACTCGTTTACATAGATATAATATGTATACAAATTTATCATTCGATTATAATAATAGGTAATTACTCGAAAAATTGATATTTTGTGACGAAAAGATATGTGTTATGTTTAAATCTAAAATGATTTTTCATCTACTTATAAGATAGGTATATAGGATGGGTTTTTTTATAATGAATCAGCAATTATCTCAGAGGATTTTAAGTGAATTTGATTTCTGTTTTTCTTATCATTATGGAATCGTTTAAGCTTTATTTTAAAACCATTTATAATTTTTACCTCTATTCCATACACCTTAAATAAGTGCATACTTTTGATTTTCAAATAGGAACCTCTCCCCCTTTTGAAAAAAAAGATTTAAAAAGAGAATAATTTTTTGGAAATTTTGATATGAATAACATTAATATCAGATTAACCATTTACGAGTAAAAACAGTTTAAAGTTTAGACCGGAGAAATAGAGAAGGGTAATAAATTGCCTAATCAAATTCACTTAAAATCCTCTAATATAATTACTGGTTCATGATAAAAAATTCACCCTGTATTGCATGATAAGTATAATACTTTAAAAATGCTTAGTTTTATTCGTCATTTTTCAAAAATCATCGCTTTACGAACTATTTATTTGTCGTTTGTTCAATCTATTTTGAAGTATTCCTCAATTGTAAGACTTCTCCATCTTAAAGGTCACCACATCATTCTAAAAGGAGTCCAGAATCTTTTATTGTAGTTTTTGTATGTTAAATGTATTAGAAATATTCCAGTTAACCGGCAATTACTCGATGGCTAAATAGTCGATGTTATATTTAAGACTAGGATTCTACTCAGTAGGTACCCGGCGTTATACTAAATTTTTACTTTATCTATTAGATAAATGCTCTGTTGCTTCGAGTATATAATTACTTTGATACAATCGGCTGTCTCAAATTCTTCATACATATTAAATGAAAATCATTCACCCAAAAGAAACTCGTACGATTTGTCTCCGAATATCAACTCTTAATTGACAAAAAGCGAAGAATTAATTCTTGCTGGCAAAGATCCAAATAATCCATTGGACAAGCATGCTTTAAACATATGTTCACTTCAATCAAAAAATTGATACTAAATTATAAATCAGATTGTTTTAAATCCAATTACCAAGCGTTAAAAGTACAAGATGGCACAACAGTGATGTAGTTAATTAGGAATTAGCCACCTTCAAAAAAAAACTCCCGATTAAAAAAATAAAAAGATATACGTTAGTATTAAGAAAAGCTGTGCCACTCGATAAATCTAACGATTCCATTCTGTTCATGACTTCATCAATTTGTTAGAATACGTCATAATTAGAATTAAGATACTATTAGTAATTACTAATAACCGCCGAGTGGAAAAAGGATAATATTCCTTTGATCAATACCAAACTTTCGGAAAAGTAAAAAAAAACTGTTAAATTTCCTTTTATTTGAATAAAAAAGTTGTCTTTATACAATATACATAACCATTAACATCATAAAAATCAATAGTTTTTTTTTTTTTTTATAGAAAAGTCCTTGACGGCTTCCTCGGTTTATTTTTCGTATTTTTGGAATATTATCTGTATTTCACTCAGCTGTTCAATTTGAATGATAGCGATACTTCAAGTAAAGCAAATAATTTAAAACATTCTATTTTACAAGCCAAATTTATAGTATTACTTTTCGTTTTATTCAAGATGTTTGCAATTTAATTACCATTATCAATATAATTTCAAAGTGTAGACATTGATTTAAGAGCAGCTTTAGGTTTGGCTAATAAAAGATTAATTTAATTCAAAAATATTAATGAATACTTTCATGAAATATATTCTAAAGCATCTAAACTAGCTGAAGAATTACATTTTTCAATATCTCTATACTTCAAATTCCAAGTAAACAAAAAATTGGGTTGATTTTGTATTAAAATAAATATTTTAAATTTTTGTTATGATTTTAATATTATGCTAATTTATATTAAACTTTTTCATTTACATCGTACCTATTAATTTACCACAAATAATAAGTAGATGATGTAAAATCAATTTAGTTAGTAATTGTGTATAAGTCAAACATAAATATACAAACATAAATGAAAAATATCAAATATTAAATAATAAATAATAATATTGCAAGTTCCGTTAAATATATTTACAATAAAAATTAGTTTTGTTCTATCTTTAACTCTCCCCCTTCTCCAGAAAAAATTGTATCTACGCCACTGCGGTACAAGTCTTGTCTAGAAAATAACTGCTTCGGCGTCTTTCTAGATATCTTCCAATAAGTTTTCAATAGGGTTTGGTATACTGATCTTCTTTTAAATTAAAAAAGTTTCTTCCGGTATTATTGAATCTATTGGTGTATTTCTACCTTTCAAACTGCACATTTTTTGTTAGGCATAATGCAATTTCATCGTACTTTAAAATTCACGCTAGAGTCCCTCTGGATAGAGATCTTTCGCCTGACCTCTATAATACCTCTATGTTTACCTTAGTCTTTTCTACTACCGAAAGCACTTTAATTGAAACATGCGCCAATGACAGCTATCATGTGTACGAATTCCGATATCATTCTGTAGCATATCAAACACTGTAATTATAACTCAACAAAATTGAAGAATGAAAAATAAATATAAATTATGAGAATTTTTTTATGATTCCCTTGCCTATTTTAAAACCTAAGTTCTTTAAACAACAAACTTCTAATATATAGAAAATATCTTACCAACCTGTCCCGCCAAATCAACCCACTTATTTCAACTCTAGGTAAAAATAATCCCAAAAAATCTACCTCATCGTTTAAAATGTCGCTGATACCATGAACTTTTTAACGATTAAATAAGGAAAAAAGAGCTGATGCTAGGGATGAGAGTGGCCACTGATGTAGGTGAGAGTTGGGAAGGTAGTATATACAAGGTTATTTCATTCATATCTGTAAGCAATGATAAACCATTGCTTGATGGAAGAAAATTCTAACGAAGTTCGGTAATACATAATTTGAAGTGCTGTCATTTTTTTACGATTTTCGTTTAATTTATTTTCCAAAACACTTATTAAAAAAAAAGTCTTTCGATGATTTTAGAAATTTTACTATGTCTAGGCAAGTCCAATATAAGTATTATTACCAAGTTTCAAGTCAATACGTGTATTTATAACCTAATTACAGCAAAAATCTCTCAAAATTTAAAATTCCTTAAAAGCTCAAGAGCGGTTCAAAAGTTGTGGCGATGATACCATAAGAAATTAAATCAAAAAAGGTATCTTGTGATTTTTCGATTAAATCATTATTTTCTGGTAGAAAACGTCGTCCGTGTTTTTATAAAATAATGAAATCGTGAAACTGTACATTTTCCTACGTTTTTTCTCACTTAAGTGTTGTTATTTAAAAAATGGTGTCGCTACGTTCGGAAACTAAAACACAATTCTTGAGGGTTCTGTTTATAGATAATCTCTCTCCTCATACGAATTCATCTTCATAAAAAAAGAAAGGTAAAATAATGGAGACAGGTGCAGCTACTAATGTAGGTGGGAGGTTGGGAACATATGATATAGACGGGAATTTAATCTATATCTGTAAGCAACGATAAGCCTTAGCTTACCAAAAAAAGATTCTGAGCGGAGCTTAGTTGATAGTGATGCTTTGTCAACAATATATATATATATATGTCATTTTTTTGTAAAATAATTAAATATGCTTAATATATTTTCTTAAATACCATTTTTTTAATGTTGTACCAATTTGCCCAGTTTTCCTACGATTTTTCCGGTTTCCCATGTTTTATCCCGGTTTTTCACATTTTCTGAGAAAACTCTTGGGAAAATCAAAAATTGGCTTCTTTAAAGTACCTTCCTGGTAAAATTTTTTTTTAGAAACATTGCTATCCTTAAAAGTAAGAGCAAAATTGCTGGTTGAAAATTTTGCATAAGAAAAAAATAGTATTATTTTAGCAATATATTTCGTACATTTCCCCCTTTTTTCTTTTGGGTTTTTCAAATTTTATAAGAAAAACTTTGAGAAAATCGAAAAATGACTTGGTTGAAAATTGTGCATAAAAAAAAAATAGTACTATTTTAGTAATATATTTCGTACATTTCCCCCTTTTTTTCTTTTGGGTTTTTCAAATTTTATAAGAAAAATGTTGATAAAATCAAAAAATGACCTCCGTAAAGTAACTCCCCACACCGATTTCCTTTTAGAAAAACTGCTTTACTTAGAAATCCGAGCAAGTCTTCTAGTGAAAAAGTTGTTAGCAGATAAATAAATAAACATCTTTGTAAAAACATTTAACACAAGCTTTTTCGCTCAACTCAGAATCTAAAAGTGCGAAAAAATAGAGGGTATATTTTTGGAATACGGTCATTATAACCATAATGTCGTTAAGTTAATAAGTTCATTAAGTATTTAGTATTAATACTTAGGGTGTATAGGGAAAATAATGATTTAAAAAATATATCCTAAGATAATGAAGACGAGTGCAGCCACTGTTATAGGTAATTGAATGTATATCTGTAAGTATCGATAAACCATTGCTAACGAATAAACGATTCTTAGCGCATTTTAGTTGATAGTGATATTTTGTCAACAATATATATATATATATAAGTCATATTATGGTAAAATAATTAAATAGGTATTATATATTTTCTTTGATAATATTTTTTTACAATATGTACAATAATATGTAATATAAAAAAATATATTTTTCCCGATTTTTCCCATTTATTGGAAAAACTCCTGGGAAAATCGAAAAATTACCTTCTTAAAGTACCTTCACAGTCAGATTTACGTTCAGAAAAATGCTATCATTTTAAATCGGAGTGAAATTGCTGGTAGAAAAGTTGGTTTTTGAAAAAACGACTTCTTTAAATTAAATCTTTCTTTCAGAAAATAAGCTACACTTGATACATCGGAGCAAGTAGAAAAGTTTGCACAACAAATCGAATGGTATTTTGCGATTGAAATAATCCGAGGGAGCAATGGCTTGGGTCTCTAGGTACATCCAAAATGAATTTGTTTTTTTTCTTGTTAAGGTAAAAAGGAAATAAAATGCAACAAATATTTTTAGACACACTGGTTAGACCACGTGACCCCTAGGATGATAATAGGCATATATAACCATTAAACCACTACAAATATGATTAAAAATTATACAATATAGAATTATTTAACATAATATATAATATCTGCATAATATCAGAACTTCAAAAAGCTATAATTTCGAAACTTAGTAAATCCCCTTAATTCTGACTTCCTCATCGTTCCTAAATCGGCAATATATTTATATGTTCATAAAGCAAACAATTTTTTTGAAAAATTAGATTTGTTCCACATAATTTTTTACTCAAACGATTTTCGTCAAAATGTGATATTATAATTATATTATAAAAAAAAAACACTACATTAAACTCAATTTTTTTTTTTACTAGAAAATTAGCAATAATTGATTATGTTCAAAAAAAAAAAAAAATGTACATTATAATTACTTAACTAACAAAAAACTTTAGTTTAATAAGTAATACATAAAATCCTTTTCTATATAGGATCATATAGCTTATTTATTTATAGAACTTAACCAATATAATAAACATTTATTATTTATATACTTAAGAAAATGATGTTTTAAATATAAAATAATGGACAATACATTATATGGGTATCAATACTTATGCATAATTATTATATTCAAGAAACATTATAGTTAAATTTAATCGAAAATCCTACGTCTCTAAAAATGAGAATTAAAATATACATGTTAGGTACATAACCACATAAATTTCGGCCAATAGATATACATGGTGATCAACATAGCGTAAAACACTCATTATCTCCAAAATTATAGTATAGGTTGCTATTTGAAAATCAAAAGTAATTAATAGTTTCACCACTTAAAAGTAAGACAAAAAAAATAATAATCTTAATGTAATATTTTAGAGCTACTTAACTATTCTTAAACTATCAAAAAAACAAATTCCAAAAAAGTTAACACTTTCCAATAGATAATGAGTCTCTTACGTTATGTTGATCATTTTATAATAGGTATATTATAAGTTAGCCTATTTTTTTTTTTTTTATAAACGATATATTAGACATATTAGATATTCATTTACATTTCAAGGTGGGCCATTTTATTGGGAGGGCAACTATACTTAGATGATTTTCTGTACAAAAATAAAAATAAAGTTTTATGCGACACGCACATCATTGGTTATTCTGCATATATTATAGAGGCAATATAATTGTTGTACATATAAACAATATATTGTTAAATCTATTTCGCTTCTGATCATATATAGATAATAACAGATTAAACACATATTATCATATTGTATAGGTACAGTTAAATATTTCATAATATTATGTATAATTGTGTTGGTTTACTTGGTGATAATAAAAAAAAATTTATTTATTATTTTCATTATTTATTTTGTATACATTATTATTGATAGACGATAGTGAATAACTCATACAGAAAAGTAAACTTATAATAGTTTAAAATAATAAATACGTTAATTGTGTGCCAGTGATTACCATATTTCTTGTGTCAGGAGGGGGTAAAATATCACAAGGGTAAATTTTCGCGTCATACCGGTTAGGTTATAATATAGTTGTACTACAGCACCCATGGCCATGTGTGTAAGCATATTTTACTTATTACTTTATATAAAATGTACATATTTATTGTAATAAAGAAATTAATGTAATATATAAATATAGTAGATGGGTAAATTGTTATACAAATATCAAGTATTGTATATTATATTGATTGAATTCGTCCAATATTAATTTTCAAAGCCTTCCTGTCGGAAAATGTATACATATATATATTCTTTTTTAATTCAGTATTACTTATTTATTTACAAGTACGATATTATATTATTTTAATTAAACAGGCACCTGAACGTATTTATGCTAGTATTGAATTATACGACGATTATACTTTATAGTATTTATATATTATATAGTTTTGGAAAGAAAAATGAAAATTGTGTACATAAACCTTATAACACGTGTGACATTTAACGCGTACGCATATAGGCCCAATTAATATTTGGGAGGGTCATAATAGTTATGATTTTGAGTCTCGTGAATTTATTTCTTAATAACACCGAATATCTAACATTAAATACGAGGATTGATTAAATTTATTTGAAAAATCAAAAAAACTAGGCAAGTAATGTATAACAATTAATAATATTAATACCTAGGTATAACTATGCATTTTATAGCAATAAATAAGCTGCCAAATGGGTTCTTTTTTTTAAATATATAATTTAAGCGTAATAAATATATATCATGCGGATTATTATACATGATAATCCGATTAAAAAAAATATAGATATTTAAGAAGAATAATAGGTAAGTAAATAGATATATTTATATTGTAGTACATATATCTTCTTACCACACTTGCTGTGTAATATAATAAAGTACCCTATCCCTCAACGTAAGTACGTTAAAACATCGTCTACGAAATGAAACGGCACATGTTTCAGCGTTTTCGATTCGAATGTGCTACAATTTCGCGCCTATAAACCCTTTAACTGCTCATATAGGTACATAAATTATTATTATATAAAACTTATATAATTATGGCATTTACTTATTGCCTATGTAAAACCCACGGGCAAATCGGTTTTAGCAGCTTTTATTTGAACTGAGAAAAATTAATACCTTGAAAATGTGCAACCAGCACTAGCTGGATCCTATATGTATTTTTGTCAGTCAACCGGTTTCCGGACGAACTTTTTACACAGCATGTTCGTCATAGAGTCAGTGGCGGCAAATCGAAGATGTATAATATATACATAGGCACAACATTATGTTGTTTATAGTATTTATTTACCTTGGCGGTTTTGCCCTGCTCCTCGACGGCGATCCTCAAACTGCTTCTCGGTCCAATTGCTCCGTAGCTGCGCGACGCGATTACGGCGACCGGTCAACGACGAGTCCGCGTGAAAACGGTCGGCTAACGCATATATACGGTCACGCACTGCACACGGGGTCCTCTGTATATGCGGGAAACGCGCGCCCGATGTCGGAAACGTTGGGGAAAAAAAATCGATAAACAATACTGATTATTGATTTTGGCACCGCCGATGACGCGGCGGCCGCCACCACCGTAATCGCACTATGTGCACGCGCCGCCACCACGCGTTGTATCCGAGCGAGACCCTCCGCCACCGACGACGCTAGGCGCTATATATACAATACGTCGTCACTTCCACCGTCACCACGTCTTGCTATGGTCGTGCGGAAAAGTTTATTCCCGAAAAACCCAACCTCTTTGGAAAACCGGCGGAAAATATTATTATAACGGTACGGCGATCGCGATCCCGTCACCGCCGTCACGTCACGCACATATGTATATCATAATATATAGGTACGATAATGTTCAATAATAAAATATCTTTTACTTATAGTAGAGTTATATTCTCTTAAAGTTCACAAAAAGGTGCTTTAGAACGTCAAAAAATCCCTGAAAGAACCCATTACAAATGTTTAAAAAAACGAAAATGATAGAGGAATTTAAAGTCCCTCTTCCCCACCAATAGCTTTTTAACTTAATAAATAAAACACTACAAAAATGATTCACACAAAATAATTTATTCTAAATAAAATCGTACATATTATAAAAAAAAAACAATTTCTTTTTAGTAGGTAATTATTTTTGTAGTGTTAGCAAATTTTATTTATAAGTTAAATCCGTTAGAAGGGGGAATTTCAAACCTATTTATTTTTTTGGTTTTTTTCAATATTTTTAAGTACTTTTTTGATGTATTCAATGATTTTATGTGGATTTTAAAAGCATATAAATCCAGTCCCTACTTAAAAATAATAACAATAATAAATGGGCAGGTAGATATTATATTGTTAATATGATTATTTATTTAAAGACTTGACGTTATTGCCAGATTATTACATGATTCCATTTTCAAATTTTGATAAATCGGTACCTACAGTTATATTATTCAAGGGTAGGTATATATACTCACTACTCAGGGTTTAATTAAGGGATTTTTCACCAGTAGGTTTGGGTTCATTAGTGCTCCACTTGGAGGGAGGGGGTGTCTACAGCTCCAGAAAAAGGGATTCATAAAAAACATAAAATAAGTGCTGTACAAATCCGGAACGCAATAATCCAGAACGGAATAGGTATTCCGGAAAAATATTAATGGTTTCAAAAATATAATACTAAAAGTAATTAACGATTTTTATAAATCTGGTCAATAATGATACTTTTACATAGATAATAGTTTATTAATATTTATGAAATGTGATAAACTTGTATAAAACGAAAGAGGAAAGAAATCGGTAGAAAATTCGAGTTAGTAAATAAACTCATCGGTAAAGGTAAACTCCTTGAATCTAGGGGGATCATGCGATGAAAAAAGGCCGATTGTGATGAAATAAAAACTACAATGAGTGACCTATCAGTGAAAAAACTGGAGGTTGCCGTATTAGGAACAGAAAGAAATCTTAAAAAAATTAAGTAACCATTGATTTTTACTAAATTCCGGAATTTAACATTACTGAATTATTATGTACCAGATTATTGCGGTATTAGGTTTTCTTTCCAACATTTTACATTCCGAGTTTTTATCATTCCGGAAAATTAAGGTCTATCTTTTACATATTGGAGAATATTAATATATAATAGACACATACAGTTACTTATTATAATACTTGTAACCAACGATAAACCATCAATAACAAAAAACGATTTGGAGCGATGTTCGGTTCATGCTTTAAAAATCTTATAAAAATATAAAACATAACTGACACAGAATTTTTTTTTTTGACCACTAAGTACGACTTATAATGAACCTCCTGTCAAATGTTCAAGAATTTCTGTTAAGTCTAATAATTTTATCGTATAATCCATGTGTATGTATAAATCTACGCGTGATAGGTGAATATTTTAAATTATTTTTCTTATATCATTTAATATAAGACACCCAAGAACACACTTATCTCTTAATTTTCTTATCTGACGCGTATGTACTACTATGTACTACTGCATGTTTAGTTTAAATTTCCCCGTTGAATCCAGTACTATAGACATTATAATAAATACTTACTACTTAGGTATAATAGATTTTTACTAGTATGTGTATTAGGCTGCTTTAATTTTTAACCTTTTTTTTTCGTATTAAGAGTGAAAATTCGCTTCCTTGTGGTCTAAAACTTACCCCCCCCCCCAAAAAAAGTAACAATACTTTCAATTAAATCACATTTACTCATTAAGTTCGAAATATACGAGGTCTTACATAGTTTTTTCTGTAAAAAAAAAAAAAAAAACAGTTAAAAATCAAAATAGCCTAGGTATATCGTTGTATTGGTATAATATGTCATTGATATACATAATATATGATCTACTTCTGAGGAAAACTTCTTACTGCAGATGTCGTCAATATGCATATTTTTATATAACTACGTGTATATGGTTTTTCTTCCGTTTAAATTCAAATGTGAATATTAATCCTCCAACACGCATTATTCCTAAAGAATGTTAAACCATTATTCAGTATTCATAGACCGTGACGGTTATTCATTGTACACGTTTAATGGCATGCTAACATCATTCAGTATGGAATTATAAGTCTAATAGTTATTAAATATATACATTGTATATTATACAAGTATTCATTAATTTAGGTACCTAATTCAACTTTACAAAAGTCATGTTTCTATAGTTGTCCAATTAAAAAAAAACTGCAGTCTATAGTATAGTACCTATACTATGGACTGCTATGGATTATTATGGTGACAATGTCTGTCAATGCAGTCTGAATTATACTGTATCTTTTCTATACGAGTATAATAGTATTTAATATCCATCATTGATTAAATAAATGATATTTTTAATTGATGGTTTCTCGTCAACGTGTCATCACATGCACTAGCTGCTTGCACTGGTAAAAGTGCAATACCCGTTTTTATTAAACATGTATTGCATCACACAAAAATGCACTCTAATATGGATTCGTGATCCACGTTAATCTATTATTAGACAGATATGTTGTTTGGAAATGGATTTTTCAAAACAATGTTCTTAGATCTTAGATACGTTAAAAATCCACTGTTGAAGTATTTATAAGTAGGTATAGATATCTTATATGTTTTAAGTAAATATAATATTTACAATATATTTGTTATCTTTTTATACGTGAAAGATGGAATAGTTACTATAAAATCTAGATTATCCAATAGTGTAGACGATGAGAGATTTGGGTCTGTATCAATATAATTTCATCATAAGCACTCCATGATTGCATGTTATCGTCGTTGGGTAAAAATTATTTTCCAACAAAATACGGTTCCAACAAAATATTTTCCGACGAATTATTTTTCTGAAAAATATACAGTTCCAATATTTTACGTGACCCCGGCTCTTTGCTACCAATACCAAACTCCACTACTTCTTTCTATTACATAGATGGTTAAATCCTCATGCCAGTCTGGTATCAACTTATGTATGTCTCTTTTGACTACATTTAATCACCGTTGCTTCAGTCTAGCGCGTGGTCTTTTACTGTTTAAGTTGTTCACAAGCACCGTCTTGACAATACTTGCCAACTTTAACTGTAATTTTTAAAATTTGTAAACTAAAATAATGATATATGTATGGGATTTTTTTTAAATTTTATAAATAGCTTATACAGTTATATATATTAAAATCGATTATAAATAGGTACTTTATTTTTTACTTTATTTATAATTAATGATATTAATAATTAGGGCTGTGAATTTAATGCATTTAAAAACCATAAAAAATGCACTTAAAATTCAAATGTTTCGAAATTTCAAAAATTGTAGTATAAAATGCACTTAAAATGATTTTTAATTTAATTTTTATATTTTTATTGATATTAGTAAATTATACGCATAAAAATGTATTTATTTAATAAAAAAAAAAATGCTGATTGAATTTGAATTTCGATTTTGAAGTTTATTGATTCTTTAATAATTCTATTCGCCTGAAACATATTTAAAATTGTTTTTATGTATTTATTTTGTCAAAAAAAAATGTTTTTTAAAGATGTTAATTGACGGAATTTGAGCTAAAATATAGGAAAATAAACTAAAAAAGGAAAATATGATCTAAAAAGGTAAAAACATGACCTAAAAATTTAAAAACGTCAAAAAATGCAAAATAAAAGTTTTCTAATTGGATTTGTTGTTACATAATTCAAATTATGTATCACCAAAAGAAAAAAAATGTACTTTCCTATAAATTCATAGCCCTATTAATAATACATCATATTATGATATAATTTTCTAAAATATCTCATTTCTCTCGTCGAACTTATTCAGTTATTAATAAATAATCTACAAGGATTAATATTATACTTATAATTTCTTAGAACTCGTCTTCCTAAATTCGCGCCTGTTCCACAATAATATCTACTATTTTGGCAATTGTCATTCCCATGTCTGCAGTTGAATATGCATGTAGGTATACAAAACGCGCGTTATAATATTCAAACCTACCTACGTTATAAACGCATCAATTCAAATAATAAACATCACGTTTTTGTTTGACGGTGCATCGGCAGCAATGCGATATAAGTTATTGTTACGAAGCGGTTTAATGTTTAAAAATGTGCATTCCAATTTCCAGCCTTCTAGAGGATCAAAATGTTGTCAAACACGAAAATGCTACATAGAAAAAAATTAAAATTATGTTTTCGTACAGACACGAAAAACCAAACTTGAAAAATAATTAAAACCACTGGAGTCTATTGGGCATCGCGTAAAATCGAAAAAAAAATTATAATCGTTTTTAAACTCGGAATATTATATTATACATATAACCTATAAATATCGAAATGGTATTTTTATATTTTGTTTATTATAATTGTATAGTATAGGTTCATTTTTTTATAAAAATTTAAAAATAATACAATCATACATTATTTCAATTTTAAATTTTCTGTATTTTTCCATCTAAAATAAATATAATGTTTCGCAGGGGACACTTTGCAGTTCGCATCATAGGTGAGTAATTGTTCTACTCGTAAATGAAAAGTTGGAAAAATAGATTATAAATATAAAGAACAATGCTTCCCAAACTTTTTCGAACCAATATGGCTTTTGATCTAAAGGTTTTCTAAAGGTTTAGAAGGTTTTCTTAGGACACCCTTGTAATTTATTTGTAATCAAAAATCTGTTCTGATCAGAATATCGCGGTGTTTATCCGCGTTAATTGTTGTCAGTTATTTTTTTAATTTTAGAGAAAAAGTAATGAAAATCTAGACATATTTTAGATTTTGAGCTAAGCGAAGAATGTATTGGTTTTTCAATGATGTTTATTTATTTTTTCTTTTTATACTTATACAAAAATTCTTCAAGAAATCTTGCTCTGATTTTTCAAGTGTAGTTCATTTTCTGAAAGAAAATTTTATCTGGGTAATATTTTATGGATATAATTTTTCGATTTCGCATGGAGTTTTCATAATAAAACGTTTTTCCTACGTACGTTTCTTCCCAAAAACGTAGGAAAAAACGGGAAAATTTACAAAATGTATTAATTTTTTGTTGTTTTCAGTTAAAAATATTTGTAGTGATTTAAAAAACTATTATGTCCATGTATTCATTATATAACATAAAAAAATCTGGGGGATTTATCTATCCTCACCCTAACTACGTCACCGAACTGACGTAGATACCAGTGGCGGTTTTTGAATTTTTTTCTGGAGAGGACCTTTGATATTAACTTATAATATTTTTAACATACAAAAAATATTTACTCAATGTTTATTAATTTATTTTAACTAACTGGCATATTATTATTTTTTTACTTATCTAAATGAATGTATCTAAGTTTAATTTAAAAACTATAACACAAAATAAACTTTTCTGAGTCTAAGCTCAGAGTCTAGGGGAAGGTCGAGACCCTACTCTGGCCCCCTCCCTCCGTAAAACCACTACTGATAGGTATTGAGATAGCTAGGTAATTGAACTGTAGATAATGTATGATCATTGTTTATATTTGATTAAATGTATTATTCACGTTTTGTTGAGTAAATAGGTCTTCAAGATGTTTTATAAAAAACGAAATCATTTTAAAGTTTAAATTCTAAAATCACTTTCGAACAAGAAACATGAACAAGTTATTAGACACGTATTATACAAGTTATTCGAAAAAAGCTAAAAAAACATTTTCGTCGTTTTCGTAGCTATATGAAAACGCAACACGACGGAACGGAAAAATGAAAATGTTTTCGAACACGAAATTTCCCTACACGTTTTGAATCTGGTTTATCCGATCGTGTCAGGACGTAAAGAAAACCGCGTTTGTTTTCTTTTCCTCGATGACGGCGTCATTTTGTTTACGCCACACAACACATGGACCACCGCCGCCTACTCAAATTATAATCATAATAATAATTGGCCAAAATCGTCAATGTGTGTTTTGTGTTTTGCGCGTACCGAATATATCTAATACTGTAGGTTATATGTGTATAATATAATATATAATACTTATACAAATATATAAATATAATAATATTATCTACGCAGTGATTGTATATTGAATATAAAAGAACGACCATGCGACGCACGCACTTTTTGTGAACACTATTGATTTTTTCCCCTTGCAAACGATATACACATACGTATATTATAATATTATATTTCTCGGTGTTACGTATAATAATAATAATATTATTATTATTTGTATAAGGTCGCCATAATAAAATATTATACAATTTCTATGAAACCGTTCTCGTGGATCGAGCTATTATGTTATTATTTATTATGTTTAGTAATATACTGAAGGTATTGGCATACGTATATATATACTTTTTATATGTATATGTTACTATGTTCTCTCTACTGAAATTGTGATGTATACACAAGAGTTCTATATACAGAGAAAAACTGCTTAAAAAAAAAAAAAAAATAGAATTAATGCTGAGGACGGGTGTGCTACTGTTCCCACTAGGTGGAAATTTCGAAAGGTAGGACACATAAAATTATTTAATTTGTTTAATTTATTTATATAAGTAACGATAAACAACATTGATAATAAAAAACGATTCTAAGCGAAGTTCAATTACACATGTTTTTAAAGGCTGTTATAATTTTTACGATGTTAGTCAAAATTTGATATTAGAATTTTTATAAAAAAAAAGACGTCTTAAGATAATGGAGACGGGTTTAGTCACTGTTATATTCAATGTATATCTGTAACAACGATAAATCATCATTTACGAAAAACGATTCTGAGCGTAGTTCAGTTAATAGTAGTACTTTAACAACAATATATATATGTCATATTATAGTAAAATAATTAAATAGGCATTATATATTTTCTTTGATAATATTTGTTTAATATTGTACCGATTTTCCCATGTTTTTCCCGATTTTTCCCATTTAATGGAAAAACTCCTGGAAAAATCGAAAAACTACCTCCCTAAAGTACTTTCCCAGTCAGATTTACTTTCAGAAAAAGTGCTAGCATTGTAAATCAGAGCAAAATTGCTGGTAGAACAGTTGTTTATAGGAAAAAAGAAGACTGAAATATTTTTCAACTAATACCTACATTTCGTACATTTTTCCACCCAATTCTTCGTCTAGTTTTGTGGCTAATTCTCTCCATTTATCGAATTTGGCTTCCAATCGTCTTCTTTCATTTGACCTTCTTCCAGCTCCATCGTCAAAGTCATCAACTATAGCTAGTTCTTCGCCGTCAGAGGTTACAGAAATAGAGCGTTTCGATTAAAAACCATCCCAATCCAGTTCTTTGTCTTACGAGGTTGTTTATGACCATTAAGGTGAGCCAACCTTAGCTGCCGTTTTTTGAGGTCTGACCTCCTAGTAGGTCAAGGCGAAAAAGCCCACCCTACCCTGATTTTTGTGCTGTCCATGACTGCTTATTCAGCCAGATTCGTAGTGGCTCATATCATAGCTAATCCATATATCTGAAGTCGCTGTCACTCCGCCGATATTAGACCAACGGTGCGTGGTCCGGGTAGCCTAACCTAACCTCCTGACATTTCTTCCTCATAAGACTCAATAAGCTGCATATGATTTAATTATTTAAAATGTTAATGCTTTATGTTTTTTAGCAGAAATATTGCTCCAATAGAAATATAACAAAAGATCTTTTTTTTGTCATATTTTTAAACTAGTTGGTATCTTATCTATGTAAGTCGTTTTTTGATTTTCCCAGTAGTTTTTAAATAATTAAACAAAACCGAAAAAAACGTTAAAAGAACAGGACAATTTACGAAAATAGGTAATAGTTTTATTATTTTAAATTTTGTTCTTTTGTTGTCATTCAGTTTAAAATAATATACATAGAGACTTTAAATTTAGATAGAATATTTAAACTTGCCTTTTCTATACGCGGTAAAATTTTCAAAAAATTTGAGCCATTTTTCTGCTATTCATAATCATTTTAATTTTGCGAGTTTTTTATGTACATAATTTTTATTTGATAGGTTCTCATGGATAAAATTGTTAGGCTAAACAGAAAAGGTTGACAATTTAACAGAAGGTTTATTAGAAATTAAAAATTGTCAAAAAAAAATTTAGTGTAATGTACTATTTTAGCTTGTGAGTGTAACTTATTTTCTGAAAGGAAATTTTATCTCTATGATAATTTAGGAAGGCCATTTTTTGATTTTTCAAGTGGATTTTATAATATCTGGGAATAACCGGAATAAAATGTCGGAAAACAGAAAAAGGAAAAAATGTAGGTATTAGTAAAGAATAGTAAAGAATATGGCCTTTTTTGTTTTTCTGTGTAAAGCTTATTATTAATATAATAAATTAATGAAGAAGAGAAACGAACGAGTGAAATAAGAAAGAGCAAACCCTTCGAGAAGGGTTCTTGCGGGTAGTGCGTCGAAATATATGCACAGATAATGGGCAGATGACTAGGCTCGCCGCCGCGGCTAAGGCAATGGTCGTAGTGATCAAATCGGGGACTGGGGAGTCGAACGCGTCCGTTATGAGGAAATTCAGGACGGGCGTGAACGCTTATACTCTCGACATGAACATCAGGTTCATGAGAAAGACGCACATTACCCAATGTGCGGCTGCAGTTGAATCGGAGCCCTGGCGAGGCTGAGTCATTGTCAAGACTCCGGGTTGCTGCAGCCGCCGTCCTCGGTGAAGGGGTGACGGTGAAGTCAAGCCTCATCCAGGTGGAGCTCATCGTCCACAGATAAACGCGGAGACAACAACGGAGGATGTGGAAGAGACCTTGCTGGATGAACCGGGTGCTCAAAACGGAGTTTTGTCCGACTTTAGTCCGGATTGTTCTGGGTTTTTAGGGTGGCAGAACTGCCATTATTAGAGTCCTGTGAGCGCTCGGGTTACACTTGGATAAGAGAGGTCACCTATACTCGTAGGGCTAATGAGCTAACAAGTGAAGCTTCGGCTTCGTCTCAACAGATGCTATCGGTGTCATGAGTATGGCCACTTTGCGCGGAGATGTAAGAGGCCACATAGGAGTCAGGTCTGGTCAGTACCTATCATGTGGTGGGACGGGCCACCGAACAGTAACATGCAAGGCCCCGCCTCATTACACATTATGCGGTGGCTGTTCCGTAGCCTCGGACCACCTCTCCGGGAGTGGCCGCTAAGCGGCCTATACCAAGAAGCGGCTTCAAATAGTAGGGCCAAGAACCCTGACTGAACGCGAACTCGAGGGCGGCGGGCGAACACGTCAGCCCGTGAAGAAGCACTATTGCAGATGATAGGCATTGTAACATTGTAAGGATCACTGTGGCTGGGGACTGTCCTGTCACATACCCAAATTCCTTGTATAGTGTGATTTTTCAAAAAATAAACGATGCTAATCGGGAAGGAAGTAATGCTAACATGGGTCGCTTCCCGGACCTAACTATACCGACATGTATTTAAACTAATATTCCATATGTTTATGGCATTTTTAGTAAAAATTGTTATTTGAAAATCAAAAGTAGATAGTGCTATGGAATGACCTCTTAAAATAAGAGTGAAAACAAACAATTGTTATGTCATATTTTAAAACTACTTTATGTCTTTGTTTCTTAAATGTTCTAAAAAAACAAATTTTGAAAAAAGTAAATAATTTTCGAAATATCGAGTTTAGACACTGACATGGTTCACTTCGTAAATCGTTAACAACGAATTTACCGAAGTTAAAAGGATTATCTTTAGGTAACTACTATTGTGAATCTCAAATTGAATTTATTGCTGTACTCGGACATATCAAACTTAGAATGAAAACGAATGCTGATTGCTTTAGATGTTGTAATTGTTACTAATCAATAGATCAAAATTAAGTAAATATTATAATAATAATATTGTATAATTATATTAATTCTTAGCCAGTGGGGTAATTAAGAGAGAAAAGGGTGCAGTCATACCCTGGCATGTCTGCGTAATACAATTTTTCTCTTTTAATAATATTCTTATGAAACTATTAATTTCATAAATAATTAAAAACTCAAAATTAATACATTATATTATTATTATATTAGGTTGTAACTTGTATGAGTGTAAATATTATATAATTAGTATCATAATTTTCAGTAGCGCCGAATCCTATGTTAAAGTTGGGCCTTCGTTTGACTTCTTTTAAAAATTAAGCATACGACTTAATTTTAGGCCAAAATGTGGTTGCCAAACCAAATGAATACTTTGTTACAGAACTAACTATTATTTTAGATATAAAATGAGCTGTGTTTAGTTATTGGTGCCTCTAGAAATGTATGACACACGACTAAATTTTTAGGACTTCGGCACCATTTATAATGTTTATAGTCAAAAACTATATGACTTAGTTTTATCATTATTGTTAAGAAAACGATTAACATTTAAAAAGATGGGATGCGGGACGTTATACCCGCATGTACTGTCTCTGTCTTACTTACTATCACTTAAAAAATATATAAAATTTATACAATAATAATTTCAGTAAGGGGATGCAACCATCTCAAATTTCCCTATATATGCCTGAATGAGGGAGACCCGTTTAAAGTTTTGTTCCCTGGCCAAAATTTCGAAGTTACACTATTAGTAGTATCTTAACACAATTTAATCAAATACACGGTTAGGTTACTTATTATATCAATTAAGATAATATGTATTTAATATCATAATTCTTGATTATATATCAAGTATCCATAATAGTCTATTATTATGAAATATTATAAATAAATAGGATTATAAATTATAACTGCATATTGGCTATTGCATACAAATGAGTAGTAGGTGCTTGGTAAGTGCTTATTTATATTGTAAAAATATTAAAAATGAAAACCATCTGTTTTCAATTGGAAAAGCGCATGCGCTTTATCACTAAACATTCTTATCATTGTTGGTAATTACTAATTAGCTTGTATCGTTGTGTCTTGTGTTTTCGCATTCTCTACTGAATTACTGAAACATTATACTGCATTAACGTTGTCAGAATTACTTTAGTCTTTAGTCGATATTCGATACTCGATAGTTACGGTTGTGCGTTGTTTTACGTTGAAATTTTTTGATATCTTAAAATAAATTTGATTGTTATTTAGTTATTTTTGCATCTATTGGTCAGTTAAAATACACTTAAAGAGTGGTAAAGTGACATGTGTTCATTATAACAATGAATATAGTTTAAGTTAAAAAAAAAACTTCGTGACAACACAATTAAAATGGCTGACTGCGAATTACGACAGAGGAAAAAGGAAGAATATGAAGGAGTTAAACTTCGAGAAGACAATGAGGAAATCAAATCAGCTATGGAAGAAGATCAGATTCAAACAGAAAATAAGCCAGAACAAGTAAGATTCATTAGTAATTTATTTAACCCATAATAAGGCACAAGTGTTCCTGTATTTTTAGAAATCGTTTATTTTTTGACAATTGTTTTAACATGTAAGTAGTTTAATTAATGCACAGTTTTATATCATGTAGTAACCTAAGTAATAACGTAGATATACTCATTAATCATTTTATATAACTTCTTATCTGTATAAATAGATAAATAATATTGAAAAACATAATTTATTCATTTCTAAATAGATATTTGAATGTTAAACACACTAGTAAAAATCGAAAATAATTATTGTTGTGGATACCTAAGCTTTTATCTGTCTAATAAGATTTAACCTTAACCGAGTTCCTATCTACCTATTTTTATAATTTATAAACTATTATTATCTTTCCATTAAAATTTAATTTCTTGACATTTAATGAACATAATAATTTATATCTATAGTTTTTGCTTTTATTTTTTGTTTTAATTTATTAATTTTGTTGTAAATTAATTTAAATTTGCTTATACTAAAATATAGTTACCTAGGTTTAAAAAAATGCTATACAATTTTTTTTGATAATTTAAATTTAAAAGGAGTATAAAAAAAAAAATGTATAAAATATTTTATGGTCTACAAAATAGGTATATATAAAATTTTAATCGAATATCCAAATAATTGTACTTAGTGTTTACATTAAATAATTTAATTAACATTAGGCCTATCTATATATTTTTCTATTTAGGGATTTATATATATCCAAACATGATTTATTAATTGATTTAATTTTACTATCGGCTTACAGATTCAGTTATAATTCTAAGACACCTATAATTCGGCGAATTTTTCAGATTGATGATTGTATTCAATCATGTGTTGTGACAAATACTATGCCGCCTATGGTTAGACGTTACAGGCCTGTACATAAGATATATAGCGCTTATCAAAATTTACGGAAATTAAAAGGCCCTAAACATTGGTATGCAGGCTCAAATTATTTCAGTAACCAAGCCTCATTCAATTTCCGAACAAATTATTATCGTAGGTTTAAAGTAAGTTTTCTACCCAAAAGTATTTGGGTAGACCTAAAATGTTGCATGATCCTGGGAACAATTTGTAAAGTACATGGTGATAGTACAGTTAAACTAAATGCTTTTTAAAGGTTTAAATAATTTTAATTTTTAAAATTAAATGGTTTATATTATAGTCATATTTTATTTGGCAGTCATCAAACTAGGCAAAATAAAATCATATTTTTCTATGTTATATATATATGTTTTTTTATGAAGTTTTATATTTTAAATTTAGCACATGCAATAATTAACATTAATAATAATTTATTGTATGAAATGTAATAATGGTTTGTTGGTATAACTGATTATAATTATATGACAATAGTGTATGCAGGGCAACATTTAGGGTTTAACTGCCCTGTGGAACAAATGCCCTCCCCCCTCTTGAGTTTTAGATATTAATATTTTTTGTTTTTTTGTTTTTTTGTTTTACAAATGATATTTACATGCAACTGACAGATAAATAAGATAAATTTAGAAGCCAGTATTTAATAATTTAAACAAGAAAAACCTATAATATTATAATATGATTTGTTTAATCGGTATTTATAAAATATATAAAGGTATGCCAGATGTACGGTTTGTATTATAGAAGTATAATAATTAAGAGTAATGTACAATGTGCATTAACAAAATTTATATTGTACTCTAAAATTTGATAATCAGGACAATAATCAAGATTGCCCGCATAAATCTGCCACCCAATGCGCGCAATTGTACCCATTGCAACCCTCTAAATGTGGCTTTGAGTGTTAGAGTAGGTTTAAGAACGGGGATGCCAAATTTAAAACATAACAATCTAAATAAAACAAAAAATATACCTGTTTCTTTGAAAATATGAAATATCCATCCCTAATTTACAATAGTTGAATATTTTAATTACAATGCATGAAAACGCTTCAATTAAACAAATCATTTCAACACTTAAATTTAATTTACTTAACTTAATATTTGACTATTGAATAAGTATACAAATATTTGTTTACATATTTATTTTCTTATAATAGTTTCTTAACTAATCATTTTTGATTATATTAATATTTCCAATGTATATTATCTGAAATAATTATTTTGTAAAATGATGAAATCAGATAATTATTGATCAATATTGATAAAACAAAATGTACAATTTTTAAGTAAGTAGGTATAAATCGGGTTATAAAGTAACTTTCATTCTTGCCATATGATTCTTTTATTTTATATTTTTTAAAACTGGAGATAAAAATTGTTTTTAAAAAATTCAATATATAGAAATATTTTCTAGTGATAAATCATTAATTTTTTACCATTTTATGAAGTTAAAAAAAATTTTGTCAATGATTTGAATAAAAAATTCAAGATATAGAAATATTTTCTAGTGATAAATCATTAATTTTTTACCATTTTATGAAGTTAAAAAAAATTTTGTCAATGATTTAAGAAAATTTCAAAAATTTGTAAAAACATAATGATTCATTATGAGTAAATATTTATAAAACCAACATTTTGTTTCAAAATATAATTATAAAATGGTCATCATGGATTTTGAAAAATAAACATTTTTTTATTTTTAGTTTAAAATATATATATATAAAATGGAGAAATTAAAGTGCAAGGTTCAAGTAATTATAAATAAGAATATTTAACAAAAGTTTTTTAATGTGTCATATTTTTATGTTACAAGTGGTATTGTTTATTTAACAAAGATATTCTTATTATGTTTTTAAAAATTGTAACTTTAATTGTTTATTAAGGAAACAACATTATAATCACATTAATACATTACCTATATTATTTTCTTTACCGTCTTCTAACTTATTACATTGTGTTATGCCCTATGTATTTGATACATTGATAATAACAAGTTAAATATATCCAATTCTACATAACACAATGAATTGATATTAAAGAATACTTAGATTTATTATCAGATGTAATCATTTTAAAATATATATAACCAAACTTCGCTCAGAATCATTTTTGCGTACAGATATAAATTCTATAATTTTAATTATTCTACCTTTTAAACTTTCCATCTACAACAGTGGCATACCCATAAACAGTATTAGCCCTTTTTTAACTTTGTTAAGTTTAAAGTTTTTTTTTAAAAAAAAAGTTTTGTTGGCAATGAAAAAATTTTAATAGAAGTTAAATCAAGGATTTCCAACAAACTGGATTAAATCCTAAAAAAAAAAAATTGTATTACTGTTTTTAATTTAAACTAAAATAGGTAGGCAGTTATAGCTTGGCCGGTTTATTCAAAAAGAAAAAGATTCAAATTAGGTTTGAAATCCCTGAGTTAAAAGAATTCTACAGATTTTTATTTAAGCTTATTAAAGCTTTATAATAAACAAATATAGTCTATAACTACATAAAATCAATTGAAATGCTAATATTTTATAGAAAGTCCAGAAAAATAAGGCTATGACTATTATGCTTCATTATATTGTTGCACTCATCCCTTTATGAATTTCAAAAAATAGAAAACATTACTAGAAATTTGTCTAAAATTATAGATTTATCATGTAAGATATAAAATGTAGGATTATAAAAAATTGACTTTAACTAAAGTTTAACTTAAAACACTCTAAATTAATTTGAAGTTAACAAAAAGGCAACTCATTAAGTTAAAAGTTAATGATATGAAAAGTAACTTATTAATTAACTTGATTATATATAACTTTTAACTTATTAATGCATGTGTGTCCTTCAAAATATTATCGAACAAAACTTTTTGAACATTATTACTGTATGAGAAAAACTAAAACCTATGCATCATAAAATTAATAGCTATCTTGCTTAGAATTTATTTTAAAGGTGTGTTATAATTTAAAATTTTGTTTGTATTAGGGAATTTTAAAGGGTATAATATATTGTACTAAACATATCATTCAAATTTGTATTTATCTTATCTAATGTTTGTATGTATGTATTGCTTAATTTGATTTGTAGTATATATGCATATTACATATATGTATTTAATTTAAATCATTTTTTATTTTCATAGAAAGAAGATATAGATTCTGAAGATGACAAAAATGGGGATCTCTCTGCAAAAATACCATCTGGTACAAATAAAATGCCGCATATATTAGAAACATTATTAAGTGGAATATCTGAAAGGTTAGAAATTTAGAAATTATTATGTATGATGAAATCCTTTTGTAGTCAATTAAATATATGTTTAAGTTTATAAAAATAATTATTTTGTAAAATTAAAAGACAAGTTTAATTAGAGATTTAGGTTTAAAAATAATATTTCATTTCCAGGGTTTAGGACATAAGCATTTAAAATCAAAGAAAAAACTCTAAAAAACCTCCATTATATACCCTTTAAATGTTAATTTAAACGTTTTTTTTTTTTTTATACTATGAAATAAACATAAAAATCACTTAAAATTATTTTATATTAGAACTGTTGAATATTTTTAAAATTACACTCGTAGTTTTGTATTTCTCTATACCCAGTGACATGGTAAGTGTATAACAGAACATAAAGACAATTTTTAAAATTCATATAGGCAACAAATTTGGCATTTTGTTAGTGACTTACATAGTTACAAAGTACATAATATGTAGAAAAAACCACTTTCAAATTTCATATTTGTTTTTTTAACATGATATAAATTTCCATAGAATTTACAGATTTAATGTCAAGCCAAATAAAATTAGTAATTGTTATAAGTTCTAAACCTTGGTCATGTCAATTATGTTTATCAAAACTTAGTTTAACCTATTTCGTCCTAAAATAATTACTGTCAAAAATATTACTTTTCATTGAAAGTGAGGCATACTTTATATTAACTAAATTATTTTTTGTTTATTGAATCAAGAAATTAAAACAAAGTTAGCCAAAAATTAATTGTGAGTAAAAAAAAAAAAATTAAAAAAAAATTTTGTTTTGTTAATTAGAATCATGTAGAAATTTATGTTGATAGCATATATTTGTTTACAAATTGTCTTCCTATCATATTCGATTAACAGACTAGTATTTGTTACAAAATCTAAGCTCTGTGTATAAGTATAAAATCTAAGTAAAATTAAATAATTACATTTTTTTACAGGTGGAGAAATTGGATAATTCGAGGTATATTTGGTTGGCTGATGATTGGTCTCTTTTGTCTCCTATGTTATGGAGGACCTCTAGCATTAATGATAGCTGTAAGTGTTATATAATTTTTATTTCAGTTATATAATCAGGAAAACTACAAATCAATAAATCATTTACATGGCTTCGTGATTGGCCAAATTATTAATTTAATTTGTGTACTATATCTTAAGATATGTCAAGGTTGTATATTTTCATTTTTATTTCCATTTAGATTTAATTTAAATTATTAACAAATGTAATATTACACTTTAATAATAATAACCTAACCTAACTGTGTATTTAAAACAAAAACACTGTAACTAATTTATTAATAAAATATTAAATTTATACAATTTTTTCTCATTATAAATATCATCCCTTTAAAACTTAATTATTTGCATATCTATGTTTAAATTCTAAATTTAACTCTGCATAATGACCATGGTGTAATTTTGTTATATTACCCATTTGTATATAGAGACATTAGGTACAGTTTCAACATAAAACACCACATAATATTACATCCTCTTAAAATATATACTTAATTAAATACATTTTGAATAAATGATCATTCTTATTAATATTCTAAATATTTTTAAAGTTTGTATTATACGTTTAAGTGCATTAAATAAGGTAATTTTACTGATAGTTCACATAAACCTATGAATCATGTTTATTCATTAGCCAAAATACTTGAAAAAAAAAAAAGAAGAGATTATTAAATAATTTTAATATCAATATTTACTTAATATTTTCATCTTTATTTGATTAGTAAAATTATTTTTAACTCAATAACCTCAAGTAAAGTATTATTTTATTATTAAAGATTTATATTCACAAATATAAGTGTTTCAATTTTTTATTGGTTGACCAATTATGTAATCTGTTGAAACCTTAATTTAATTTATTTTTCATATAACTATTGATTTTATTAATTTTATTCAGTGATTAAATTCATTAAAAGTATCAAATGTAAAACAAAATCATTTTAAAAATAAATATATTGTATTTTATAACAACAAAGAAGAAATGTTTATTCATATTATGATTGTTATTAATTGTAACTTAATTGGCTATATGATAATTCATAATTTATGTGTATTATTGATTTTATATGCTTACTTTTTGTATTTTTTTGTATATTGTACACTTTAAATTAAAAAAAAAAAAAAACATTTTTTTAAAAATTTGTAAGATTTTATATACAATCTGTAGTAAATGTTACAATAATTATATGAGCTAAACAATTAATAATATATATGACCTGAAAGCTTGAGGAGAGTAGCTACCTAGCAATATCTCAGACGAGATAAATTTTTAGGCTATTTTATACACAAATATTATGAGTACATTTTTTTTTATTTTTGTGTATCAGTGTAGTTAAGCTAAATCGCGACATCAGCGCCTCTTAAGTCTTCTCTGCGAGTTCCCAAGAATATTTATTTAGTTAATTGCAAGGATAAGTGGATTCTGGTGGTTCGTAAGATGAAAATGGAAAAGCTTGTAAGAGAATATAGCCACTTCGGCAGCAGTCTGTTGTGAAGTGTATGGTTCGATACATATAAGGATGCATTAGTAATTACACAAGTGATATAAACTAAAACGCAAAAAAAAGCATTTAAATTAAAATAATTATTCTTGTTATATTAATAAAAACATAATTTACTCAAACATGTATTAAAAGTGAAACAAACAATATATTATGCATCTTAAGCAGGATAATAAGACAATATTTTCTTATTTAAAAATTTAAAATAATACTCAATCTGTTTTCTCTATTTTCCTTGGTTTTTCAGTTAATCAAAGCATTGAAAAATTTAAATAATGAATTGAACAAAATGCTATTCAATCTTTAAAGTTTCTAGATAAAACATTATTAAATATATTTACGTATTAAGTACTTCATTAAGTAATTTCCAATAAAGAAAAAATATAATTTTAAAACCAATTGTTTCATCTATTAACTCAGACTAAAATAGTTTGCAGTTATTACTTATATTTTTAAATATAGAATAAAATTAATTTGTTAAATATTCATAACTATATATATAAATTAATTGCAGGTTTTAGCTGTGCAGGTGAAATGTTTCGAAGAGATTATTAACATTGGTTATTCTGTTTATCGCATCCATGGTCTGCCCTGGTTCCGTTCATTGTCGTGGTATTTTTTGATGGCATCTAACTATTTCTTTTATGGTGAAAGTCTTGTTGATATATTTGCTGTTGTTGTTAACAGAACAGTAAGTGTTAATATTGGTTTCTAATTTCTATAATGGTGTACAGTAATATCATTGATGATTTTAATTTAGGAATATTTGAAAATGCTGATAACATATCATCGATTTGTCTCATTCAGCTTGTACATCGCTGGATTAGTATGGTTTGTCTTGTCGTTGGTACGCAAATATTACATGAAACAATTTTCATTATTCGCTTGGACTCATGTGTGTCTTTTGATCGTCGTATCTCAAAGTTATTTTATTATTCGAAATATATTTGAAGGATTAATCTGGTAAGTAAATTATTTATTTATCGCATATTGAACTTAGTAGTTTTAATGTATTTTGATATTTTCATAAAAAGTGTTATTAACATTTCAAATTATTTGAATTTTAGGTTTATTGTACCAGTGTCAATGATCATACTTAATGATATTTGGGCCTATGTATTTGGATTTTTCTTTGGACGAACACCACTTATACAAGTATCACCAAAAAAGACATGGGAAGGATTTATTGGGGGTGGTGTGGCAACTGTAATTTGTGGTATTGTAGTAAGTTTATTTTTAATTTTATATCATTAATAAATAATTTCTTAATATTTTGTTAAGTACAATAGCATTCTATTTTCATTATTTATATATAAGGCATTGAATGTATTAATTAAATTTTATGTTTTGAGTAGATTGAGAAAACTGTTACAATTTGTATTTGTTTTTGATTGGCTAATTTTGATTGACAAATTTTTATTTAAGATGTAAAAAATTGTTCATCAAAATTGTATGTAACAACTTTATAGGTATAGTAGGAATATTAGAACTTATCAAACTTTAAAAAAGTAACTTTTTTAATGGTTTAGTAATTTTAGATTTATTACCATCTTACATTGATGTAATTCAAAAAGAAGGCCTAAATAACAGTTTCTGTATCTTTAATTATGTTTTTTTTTTCTACAATAACAATATCTATTCATTTTTAAATATTTAAATAAATCTAGATTGAGATCTATGCATGTATAATGTTAACTAACCTAACCTCTAACATTTATAAAATAATTAAACTTCTAAATGTGTAAATACAAACAGTAAAAACAGTAAAAATAAAACTGAAAAAGTTTAAAAATATCAACTAATAATTTGATTATTATTATTATTTTTTTTTTGTTCCCTTATAGATATCATATTTTCTATGTCAATATCCTTACTTTGTATGTCCAGTTGAATACAGTGAAAAATTTGGTAAAATGATTATCGATTGTGAGCCATCTCCATTATTTACTCTCCATGAATATGTTCTCCCAGAATTCATGGCAAGATCAATGAGTGTAGTATGTATTTAACTAATAACTTCTAATGTATATATATATATATATATATTGTATATACTGTATTAATACTTTAAATTGAATAATATTTTTTTTTGTAGTTCAGAGTATCCAACACAGTTACACTTTATCCTTTTATGTTCCATGCTTTTTGGATGTCCTTGTTCAGCTCTATTATTGGACCATTCGGTGGATTTTTTGCTAGTGGATTTAAACGAGCATTTAAAATAAAAGTATTTTATTTAAAAATAATTTTTGTCGTCATTTACTTATGAATTCTTTGTTTTATTTTAAGGATTTTGGTGATGTGATTCCTGGACATGGAGGCATTATGGATCGTTTTGACTGTCAATATCTTATGGCCACATTTGTTAATGTTTATATCTATAGTTTTGTAAGCACACCTACCTTACAGAAGACCATCCAACAGGTATCCTTAGAATAATATATAGTTTATCAAATATAATATGCAAAATGTAAAAAATAAAATTATTAGTTATTAATGGTATTACTACAATTTTAGGTATTTACTTTACGGCCAGAAGAACAATTACAATTACTTCACATTCTGAAAGGATCATTGGAAAATCGTGGCATACTCAATGTGCAATAATAATAACAATAATAATAATAATAGTTATAATAATTGAAAATTCAATAGTCAACCTTCACATTCCTGTTTCAAAAACTATGCAAATGTTTGAGCAACTGTGTTTCTTTTTGTATACTTATTAAATTCATTGGTCTATTAAAAAATGTACCAAATGATTTTCAACTTCAGGTGCAGACACTTATTTATTAAAAATAGTTTGTTATTTAGTATAATTAGTTTAAGTTTGTTTAGTTGTTTTCCCATATTTTAATTTATTTGCATTTGATATATTTATTATTTATCTGATTGTTTAATATTGAATATCACATTTTCTGTGTGTCAACTAATCTGAATTTCGAGTCCACACTTTCACATTCCCTTTTTGATGTGTTAGATTTCTATATTAACTTGAAAGGACTTATTTTAAAATAGTTGACAAATTAGAGATACAGGTCGAATGTGTATTTGTTTACCAAACTATATAAATTTAAATAATTTTCTTTTCTTTTAAATTTTTGTTGATTTAATTTTTGTTGGTGTTTTGTTAATTTTTGTTAATTATAGTTTTTATTTGTAATTATTACGAAGTAAATTTATAGAATACATTGTATTATTTATTATAGTGTTAATAAATACTTTACAGAAAGCGGGTGTACCGAATAAAAAATATAAAAATATTGATTAAACATGATTGGTTGAAATTATAAACTAGAATTTCATCGAATTGTTTAGTGCATTATTATATTAACTTGTTGAAAAATTTGTCAAGTATCAAACAAGTCAAAACTATACCTGTAATAACCTATTGATTAATGAAATTGTATGTGTGTCTTATAACTTCTATAAATAAAAAAAATATCTGTTAATTCCTACATACATATTTTTATTAATTTTTCAATATCCATGTAATACATTTTAGATAGTAGAAATAAGAAATGCATTGGTTTTAGCATATGTGTTTATCTTTTATTTTTGTGTTTATTTAACTTTTCTACCAGAAATCTTGATCAAATCAAAAACTGAAGACCATTTTTCTTATTTTGGATCTATTTGGTACATTAGAGGCAACTTTTTTGATTTTCTGAGTAATTTATAGAAATAGTAATAGAAACAAAACTAAAAAATGTAAGACTATAAAAGTTAAATTAAGTACAATTATTTTAAACAGAAATCTTGTTTCAAATAGTAGGTATTCTGAAAATGACAAAATTATGTCTAGTAATTGTATAATAATATCATATTTTGATTTTCCTTGTAATTTTCTTAATAATTGTTGAAAAACGGGAAAGTTTACAGCAATAACAGTCATTAATTTAGATTTTTTTGTTGTAAGTAATTAGGATTAAAATAAATTTAGATATCAGAAATTTTCACAGAATACTAATAATCAGATTTTTTAAATATATTACAGGCATTTGGTATTTTGGAGTTTTATTTGGTTTTATGTGAAGTTAATTGTTTTAACCGAGCAGGAACGTTTGAAAATTTATTTGAGGTTCACCATGTAGTATTGAAAAAAAATTTAGCGTAATGTACTTAGTTTTTTTTACACAGATTTAAAGTCTCAGAGGTTATTTCAACCTATTATTATACAATCTTAATCAGATTACATATTGAGCTATGTCGCAGCATTATTCAATGTGCAGCATTTCCCTGTGTTCTAATGTTTTTACTTTAGATACTACCATTAAACCGAGCACCTAACAAAATTATACTTATATTTCATTGTTTTGTTTTGAAGTTTAGTTGCTATGGTGTTCATAAACACTGATATATAATATAATGGGTATACTTATCAGTGTACTGAAACATCCTAAATCCACCATTTAAGTTTTTATCATTTATATGTATTTCGATTATCTGCAATGTATTGTTGTTAAGTTTAAAAGAAGATGGCCAATGAAATTATTGTCCAAGATTTAGAACTGCTGTCGTTGATTGGTTTTGATGGAAATCCATCAAATGGCCTCATATTACATCCAGATGGTATTCATTTAGTTTACCCACTCGGGACTAACATCACAGCCTACAACTGGTCCACCAAGGCTCAACGATTTTTTGATGGACATACAAATGTCATATCTGCCGTGACTGTGTCAAAATCCGGGAAGTACGTGTGCTCTGGTCAAGTGAATTATATGGGTTTTCGAGCTCCAATAATTATATGGGATTTTAAAACTGGTCAAATTATTACTAAATACGAAGCCCATAAAGTACGCGTCGAGTCTGTGGCGTTTTCTTGTTGCGAACAGTTTTTAATATCCTTGGGTGGTCTCGATGACGGTTCCGTTCTTGTATACGATATCGAGAAAAAAGAAGTCCTTTGTGGGGCGTCGTCTGTTAAGTCAACTGCCGGCTGCACGACTGTTCTTAAACCCGTGTACTTGCGTGGCGAGTGTTTCATCGTGGCAGGAGATAACATCCTAAGACTGTGGACGTTGAACAAGGAACAAAGGAACATCCAAGGGATGGATGCTTCATTCGCGAAGATTAAACGGAAAATCCTGTGCGCCGAAATCGATTATTTAGACGAGTATGCATACTGCGGTACAAGTACGGGGGACATCATGAAAATCAAATTGAACTTCTCGTCAGACGCTACTGTCGTAACGCCGTCTCATTCCCCGACGTTGGTCGGATGTTTTGCCAAATATCCGACCGTCAAGAAACGAAGTCCCAAAGCCGTAGAGCTGTACAGCAAAGGGATAACGTCGTTGTATCTGATCACCAACGATACGATGGTTGTGGGATCGGGCGATGGCGTAGTGGAACTAGTGAAACAGAAACCCCTGACCGGCAAGAAGACCATCAGTTGTAAATTCGATACCCGGCTAGCTACACCCACGTGCCCGCTGCTGGTGGCTCTGAAATCGGCCAACGTCGATTCGACCGTGACCAGTATTCAACTCATGAACAACATCCTACTCGTGGGCACTGTTAACTGCGAGCTGTTTACCATCCATATGGACGATTTCGACGTCACTTGTATGTTCACGTGCCACACTTCGGTCGTCTACGATTTGGCGTTCCCGCATAACTATAGCAGAGTGTTCGCGACTGCTAGCAAAAACGATGTGCGCGTTTGGTCGGTAGATACGCTCCAGGAACTGCTGCGGATCACCGTACGGAACTTCACTTGTTCTGGCGTGCTGTTCTCGTTCGACGGCTCGCAGATTGTTACGTCATGGAACGATGGCACAATCCGAATATTCACACCGGAAAATGGGAGGCTCCTATACGCTATAAACAATTGTCATAACAAGGGTGTTACTGCCATAGCCATGTCCAAGGACGGAAAGAAGTTGCTGAGCGGCGGCGGCGAGGGCCAGGTCCGCATATGGCACGTGGAAAATCTGACCGGCGCCCTGCAGGCGGTGCTAAAGGAACACAAAGGCCCTGTGAGCTCGATCGACGTCCACCAATTGGGCCACGAAGCCATCACGGCCAGCGCGGATGGCACTTGCGTCGTTTGGGATATCGTCCGGTTCACGCGATTATCGATCATGTTCTCGTCCACGATATTCACCAGTGCCAGGTACCATCCAAATGGTGCGCAGTTGCTCACATGTGGCACCAACAGATATATAGGATTCTGGGAAGCACTCGACGGATCGTTGATCCGTGAAATCGAAGGATCTTCGGCATCAGCACTTAATTCGTTGGACGTTACGCCTAACGGTTCGTATTTATACTTAATTTGGGCTTTGTTCCTAATTTACTATAAAATACTTAAGGTCCCATATTCGTAGAAATTATTAGTCTAGCATGAGTGTTGTGTGTACCTATAGTAGAATTCAGTATTTGAATTGTTGAAATTGAAAAAAAGAGACAAAAAAATATGAAATACAAATTAATTTTAAGTCAATTTTTATATAAATTAGAAGAAATACGTACTTACATTTTCATTTTTCAGGTATGTACTTAGATACCTATACATTTTAGATTCTGAACGTAGCGACCTTTTTTGGTGTATTTTGGACCTAGTTAGTGCATTAAAAAGATCATTTTTTGATTTTCTAATAAGTAGTTTTCATTGGCAAAACTTGGAAATAATTGTACAGGATAAATTGACAAATATTTACGGAGCGCCCCGGCGTTACCGATTTCATTATTTTAAATTTGTACAAATTGATTTTTACAGGAAATCTTGCTTTTAAAAATTCAACATTTTTGACGTGTTTTAATCAAAACTTCTTAAATAATGGTTTTGACGAAAACATTAATTTTCAAAATCAGCGTCAAAAAACTAGGTTTAAAAAAATAATTCGTGAGAGGCACGGTAAAGAAGTGCATCCTACCTTTCTAACTTCCCACCTACAGGTTACAACAGTGGCACACATGTGCTGTGGAATTATTTTTTGAAATTTTGCCGTTTTAAAAACGTTTTTAATTTCGGAAATTTTAGGGTGTGTTAAGGTCACTGCTTACTGAGATGATGACTTTTTGGGTACCAAACATTACAATAATCTTCTATAAAACTGTAGTTGTTTTATATATTTTAAAAGTACTTTGTGTATTTGAATGGTAATCTATATTAGTCAATAGTTTATATTACTACGTCCTACATATTTATATTATATTTCTGTAAAGATAATTTTGACCACTGTTCGTTTTTGCTGCAGGGAAGTATATTGTGACCGGAAGTTCAGATCAGATGGTAAAGGTTTGGCTGTACAACGAGGGGGTGCCCACGCATATCGGAGTGGGTCATGCGGGAGTCGTTACCAACGTGAAGGTGAGCCCGGACGGCCGGTCCGTGGTGAGCACGAGTGCGGATGGCGGCATATTTTTGTGGCGTTTTCCGCACGCCGCGGACACCGCACCGTCTAGCAGTCGGTGCAGCGTGAACAGCGTCGGAAGCAACAGCCTGCGCGCACAGCAGCAGACGGACCGCTCGAGGCAGCTGTCCCTGAAGAAGGCGATGCCGGCCCGGAAAGAGAACATCGACACTATATCCAAGACGCAGAAAGTCCGAGCGGTTGCGAATGGCGGCAGCGGTGGTCGGACGACTAACGACTGTGCCGGTGACGTGAGCAATACGGACGGTGCTATTAAGTGTCTGTGCCGGAGCGAGACCACTTGCACCTGTACCGGTGATGGAGACGACCGCAGTCGCGGCCGGAAGAGCAGCAGATCATCCGTCCGATAATTCGCGTACGCGTCCATTGTAGCCGACGCCGGTTGTTTTTTTATTCGATATTATTTTAAAAATGAATAATATAAGTAGGTATACGTACAGAGAATATTCGTTTTGGCAACAACAAGGTGAAAATATCGGATAAATAATACCATAATATAGCCAGTGGCGTATTTGAGGGCGGAGGGGGGATCGCCCCCCCCCTTTTAAATTATTTGAGTAGTTGTACTAAATACAAACATTGAGCATAGCTAGAAAAGTGTCATCATTCACAATAATAAAAATAAAAATACTTCATGGTAAGATAAATAGGGTAGAATATAAGCTTGTGAATAATAATAATTTTAGTGCCCCCTCCCCTCCCCCATAAAACCAAGTCAAATACGCCACTGAATATAGCTGTTGAAATAATTTTTATAGTGCCACATTTCACATATATTCAGTGATGGAGTGCGAAAAAAAATCTTGAGCATTGAGGTACTGCTGATATAAGTAAAAGGAGTGGTCGCGAGTCAATTATCACTCTCTCCTAAAATATTTTTCTTTTAGATTCAAAAATCTTATTTTACATTAATTGTTACAATCTTAAAAGTATTCCTAATACTTTCCGTTACATATCAGAATTTTAAGTAATATTACACGTAATATAATAATATAATTAAATTAAATATATAATTCGTATTCGTTTTTTCGAACACGAGGCACCAAATCTAAGTAAAAATGCGAGGTCTAGGTCCCTACCCCTACTCCATTAATGACGATCTTTATTTGGTATATTATAAATACCCTTGCGGTAGCTACGTCTCTGGCTGAATGGTAACTTGGATACTTTGAAATGGTTATTTTTTCGATATTCTCGATAGTTTCACTTACGAACATATGAAAAAACCATACGCATGCACTATAGGTACTTAAAATCCTAGCGAAAAATGGTATTTCGTTTAGTAGAACACGATCCACGTGGTATTATAATTTATATTTCAACGTTTCCACAGTGATCGAGTCAAGTAGGTTTCCTAGAATGTTAAAAAATAAAAATTGAGTAGATACATAAAAGCTAGTAGGTAAGTACCTATAGATAACCCCGGCACTCAACGTCTGAAACTATAATATAGGTACTTAAGTAGGTATGTCTTATTTGGACAACTATTATCGAAAGCCTAGCGCCATAATACTGTGTTTAACTATCATCCAAAATAAACACAATATGACGCCATTAAAGTCCCGTAACAATTTTCAAGTCGTTAGGTACCTAACTCGTATCTTACTCTATGGGGTAAACCTTTATAATTCTTTATCTCCGAATTTTTTTTTCCGGTTAACGGCCACCTAGATCTTCCAGAGGAACTAGACCTAACCTAACCTAATCAACCAAGGCCGCTGTAACTACTTTATGAACAAATATGATGACTAAACACTAAGAGATAGTCCGGTGTGTGATTGTGGAGCCCAGCTACAAACATTGTTAGCGAATGAGAGAAGAGAAAATTCAATGGCACTCTTTAAGAGTTATATGCAACATCAGACAAAAATATTCTTTGGCTGGACAACCTGGTCACCTGAACATTGATATATGACGACTCAGACAGAGAACCACTACAACGTTACTACTTTGACTTTAATTCTATACAGTAGTTAATCTATATTGTATTTCCATTGAACTGAAGGTTACACGAAAACATAAAGGTACTAGTTCTCTGTAGTCATTTAGATCTTAGGGATCTAGGTGACTGATCACGAAGCTCTAATTTACCCATAGGAATTTAATTGACTCATGAGAACAGTGGCGGCGCCAAGATTTTTTCTTAGGTAGGGCCAATAGGAGGCCAACAATTATAAGGCAGGGCCACAAAAAAATGAGATTTCAACAAAAAAAAAAAAAAAACCATACTGATTGTCCAAATAGGTAAATTGTATTTAACTTCTATTTAATAACCTATTAAATATAAACCAAACATAAAACATATTCAATATAAGTACCTATGAATCATGAATGTATAGGTGTGTATTACACATAAAAGTATCTCAACAACCAAATATAGAAATATTTTGAACATATATAATAATTATAATAATAAATTCTATCATCACAAATTTAAGTTGACTCTTGTGTTACATTCTGAAATAGTATAGCTGAACTTCGTCATATAAAATATCGACATAGAAATCTAGGAATAATAAATAGGAATATATTTTAGTCCTAGAACTTTTAGGAAATCAAAAAAAAAAAAAAAAAAAACGACCAGATAAAAACAAACTAAACATTTTTAATTAATTTTTAAAAATTAAATAGGCTATACTATGTTTTGGAACTTAGAAATTTGTATTAACAAAGTATGAGACTAGCAATAAAAAAATGACCTAATATCGATTTCGGCTGAGATTGGACGTACTACATTTTGCAGTTGGTCGACTCTATTATCATATGATATAATATACATAGTATAGTAAGTAGTATATTAAAATTACATACGGCGAACAAATAATATTTTCTATTCAAATTATTATATTATTTTTATATTATCACGTCAAAGGTGAGGCCAGTGGCAGGGCCAAGCATTCGCAGGTAGGCCATGGCCCTACCTGGCCCGTCCCTGGTGCAGCCAGTGCACGGGAGTATAGTTAAACACAGAAGATCTAGATGCCAATGGAGATATTCTAAATGAACGTTGATTTGTCTTTTATCTTCTTATCATATGTTTTGAACAGATATGTGATAATACAATATCATTTTTTAATATTTTGTGCCCTAGAATTCTATAGCGTTGATTAAGTATATCAATGTCTATAGTAAGCGTTATGATACGTATGATTTTGCGTCCCAACGAAAATTTAAAGTCTATTGATCATCAATATTAAATATTAATGGAATTAGTAACTCGTTTCACAAATACTACCTTTAAACTTAAGCATTTCCTATGCATAAAATGTTTTTTCCGAAAGTAAATGGTTCAATTTGTAGATACTTACGAGGTCATAGCATTCACTCATATAGATTTTTATCGACTCCACTGAAACGTCAAACACCTGAATTGTCGAATGTTTTAACTCAGCCGTTCGTGCAATATTTGCCAAATCTGTCCATTACTCGGATGTGTCATGCCAAGCCAACTGAATTGACTCCAAGTGAAAAATTAAAAAAGGCCGCGAAAGAATATGGTTCAGTGTTAATAGTGTTCCATGTTGGTATCTCATTAATATCATTGGGTTCAATGTATTTTTTCATTTCAACCGGTGTTGATGTCCAACAGTGGATTGGTTGGATAGGTATGTCAGGTGCAGATGAAAACACTAAAATTGTAGCTGGAGCCAGTCAGTTTATTATTGCGTATGCCATACACAAATCTTTAGCACCAGTTCGCATTTCAATAACACTTGTATCTGTACCATTAATTGTTCGTTATCTTAGGGCTAAAGGCATAATGAAAAAATAAATGTTACATTAATTGTTATAAATATTTTGTTTAGTTTATTAAATATTATGTATCCTAATTTTGTTGTAAATAAATGGTGTTGGTGTTATTAAAATAATAATAATGTTAAAGCACTTTTGTGTTAGCTGAGCAAAATATTTTTTCTTTAATTCTAGGGAATTTAATTGTACTTATGCCACATGTAATTTTATATTTTTTTAATAAATACATGTACAAAATAAAGTTACACAGTTATTGTTGATGAAAGTGATCAACGACTTCTTAAAGTAAACTCCAAGGCAGAAGCCTGGTTGGAATAGGTATTTGATGCAGTGTTGTTTAAATTTGTATAGTGTTTATTTCAAATGTTAATTCATGTTAGTTAGAATTATAATTTGGTGCAAATTGAAGAATAGTGTTAATTTTTTTCTCAAATAAAATTAAAATTAATTGTATTTTGAAAGTTTAATTATTTTATATTTATACAACATGAAGATGGCTTAGGTCAAAATTAGAAATAACCTCTATTATCTACATTTTCAAATTATTTTTCTAAAATGTGTTTTTTAATGCTTAATTTATTGGTATAATCTAAACTCACCTTACATACTTTATCTCACATAACCTTGAAAAATAGAGTGACCACATTAGGTCTCTTATTCCACCTACAAAAATTATAAAATTAAGTATGATAGATGAGTTTTGATTATACCAATGAATTGAACATTAAAAAATACATCCTAGAATAAAAAAAAATCTTAAAATTTTAAATTATAACTAAGAAATACGCAAAACAGAAAACGTGCGGTGAGATTTATAAAGTTATAGTATTTTTAATATTAGTAATATAGAATTGGTATTTAAGTTTTTAAATGAGTAGGTAATAAATATTAGTATATGATTTTCATAATGTATTATTTTCAGTCCTTTAATTTCTCATCATATATAACTGCATATTTTTTGAAGTTATATTTTAATTTTTATAATATGGTCTGTTAACTAAATACTATTATAGATCTCGGGCTTCAGATTTAGCAAACTTGGAACTCCAACTTCCCACTGGTGGATGATTCCATTGATTCCAGCATTCATATGATATTGTTTCTGCAAGTGAAGAAATTCACCTTATGGTTGACTATAGTACTATACTATTCTCCCTGTGGGATCAGAATCTTTTGAACAAACAAACAATGGTTTTGATAAGGATGTGCAAAATAGTTTTAAGTTTGATAGATATGGAGGATGTGAAGAAAAAGAAGAACTATTATAATAATAATTTAGTTTGACTGATGTTAATGAACTATTTTTTTGTGAGTGAACCCAGTGCAAATTCTCCATTTGTCCACAGATAAATATGATCATGAGTAAGGACAATATATTTACATATACTGATAAAAGGAAAAACAAATAAAAAACACATAAATTATATACTCACAAATCTACACATGTATAGTTTTTATTCTAATATAATTGCATAAACTTAAAATTAATTTGTATGTAATCAACAAAAAAAAAAAATACAAATTTATCAGTACTAAATAATGGAAACAATGTAAATTTCTTTCTAAAGTCATATAACAGTTGAATAATAATAATAAAAAAAAGTATAAATAGTAATGTCCCATTATAGTCTATAAAAAAATACACGTACATTATATGTTAATTAAAACTTTTTGAAAGTTTATCATACCTGTATTAATTTCTTATCCTTTGTCTTACAAATGCATATCATATATAATCATACTTTCAATGTTTTGAGACTGAGCTAATGTAATTAATAATTGATTATTTAACTGTTAGATCTTTTACAATGAAAGAAAAAGTAAATGTTTATGTTTACAAGATACATCTAATTAAATTTGTAAAAAAAAAGATGCCTATTAAATCTTATCAGAGGTGAAAACAAATTTGATGTATTTAATCCAGCTATTGTCCTAGGAAAATACCGAAAATGATTATTCAAAGGAGAATGCAATTATTGAACAAGTTATAGTAAAAATAAATAATGGTGCAGAACACAATAAGGAATGCATGAGAATTGCAATTGAAAATCAAATGTTAGGTTAGATCTAAAACTAATTCTGGATATAGGAGTGACAACATTTCTAACAGAGAAGAAAATTTCAGAAGACTTGGAAATATTTTCTTGCTTGTATTGTCCAAATTTAAGAATATTCCTTAGAAGTTAGAATACAATAAAATATAAGACAAGAATAATCCACTACTAAATAACTTGAAATGAATAAAGTAAAATAAATATTTAGTCAATATGTTGTATATAATTAAAACATCATAAAATTATATTTTGTATTCAAGTATAATATAATAAAATAAAAGCAAAATAATGTTTGTGTTTTTTTAATATTTGTATTTTAACTGTTAGTATTTTTAGTATTCACAGGTCTGGTTTAAAAATATAAGTTAAAACGCGTCAGAATCTATGTTGGTATATGATATGCATTTGAAAGACACTACAGGTTTAATACCTTCTTAAATAATTGACCTTCCATATACGAAATGATCACTTTGTCAGTAAGGTAATTGACAGTAAAACTAAAACTTTCAACTCCGAATATTTTAATTTAGAAGTCAATGTAAAATTATTAACATCTGATCAATATCTAGTTAATAGATGTCAAAAACCATTATACTTTGGTCATATTTAATTTTTCAATGTTCAAAACAAACTGATCACTTCGTGCATGGAATGCTAGATGATGAAATACAAAAGACAAGACTTACATCATATACAATAATAGGTAATAAAATACATAAGAAATATGGTTTGTTTTATTAAAAAAAAAAAAATTTAATTATAATAATAATAATAATAATAATAGTAATAGTAATAAAATAAAGTAAAATATAATTAGGGAAATTAATTTAAAATAATAGAAATAATAAAATTAAAATAATGAAAATATATGAATATAACATAATTTAAACAAATCATATACTGTAGAATAATATGATAATGGGTACGAGATTGATTTTTATTGTAATTATTTATTCAATTTATTGGCGAGACTAACATTTTTATATATAAATGATTCCTTTTTTTTGGGCTGATAAACGATTAAATCATGATCATATTTCTTATTGATATAATCAATTATATGTTGTTATTTCTCTAAAACTGTTAAATTCTCATTTTCTTCTTTAATATGGTTTGATTTTAAACTAATCAAATATAAAAATTATGTTCTGTTTTAAAAAACTACCTATTATATTATTATCATTTAAAAATCCTATCAAATCAAAGTTGAATATTTTATGCTATTAAGATTGATAGGTTCTATCCACTACCATCAAATAAGACAGGAAATAGGAGTATTAAAGTGACCTCACATGTAGTGTAAGTTTTATAGGAACATTAAAAATATTATAACTTCAAAAACTAAATAATAATATGTTTTAAATATTATTATTTCTAATTTAAGGCAATGTACAACTTGAAGTGAGGACTACTTTTTTATTTTTTATTTGCAAATATAAAATGGTTATGAAAAATAGTTTTTAAAAAACTAAACAAGATTATCAAAATCGCCCCATTATACAGCAATGTAAAGAAATTAGTATTGAAAAAAACTATAATTGGATTATGGATAATATACAACAATAATGTGAAAATAGATTAATTCTAATGTGGTTACCTACATTGTTTTAAGACAGAAATAAATATTATCCAGTTAAATTCAACGTTTATTATCAATATTTTAGAATGAATAAATTTGCAATATGAAGTACTCTAATTTACAATTTTTAACAAATTATTAACCAATTAAAGTATCATATAAATCATCAATATCTATTTGTTGGAAAAATGTGTTATGTAGTTGTAACTTGTAGTAGACTACTTTTCATTTGTAAATATAAAATTGTTATGAATAATAGTTTAATTATCAAAGTTGCCCCATTATGCATTTTAATGTGAAGAAATTAATATTGAAAAAAACTCGTTTGCATTGAAGATAATATGTAAAAATAATGTAAGAATAGATTAATTTATAATATAGGTACAACCGAAATAAATATTATCCACTTAAATTTAACGTTTAATATCAACACACAAATTAGCAACTGATAGACATATCACAACAAATCATTGATTTTAGGTATTATTTAAACGTGTAAAGTAGTTGCAATTAGCATATTTATGCATAATATGTAACCATCTACTATAATGATAATATATTAAATATATAGGTTTTATATAATGCTATAAATTTTTAAATACTAAGTGTCTATGGACACAAAGAATCCCTATGAAAACTAATCAATTATATTATTATAATAACTGTTCATTTAAATAACATAAACAATAATTCAAATGTAAATTAATAAATGAACCTTAATTTTTAAGCAAGCAATATAAGTAATATAAATATCCAATTTGTCTGGTAGCACAGCGAGCCAAAAATAATTTTAGGTAGGTATATATTATATAAATATAGATTAAATCAAGACTATATATGTATTTATTGTATAATATGTTAAAATAATGAGCATAACCCTAAAATTAAATATGGAACTAACCCAAAAAAAGACATGCGAAAAATCTAATATTTTTTCAAATTTCATCAACAATTTTGTGAGTACTCTTATTATAGTGATCATTTCCCAATGAAGCATTTATTATTATTATTTTAATATTCTTTTGCTGTAGAAAAGTGCCACTACCATACATTTCCTAATATGTTAATATTGACCTCTAAGCTAACCTAATGAAACAGACATTGTATTGAATGTAATTACTTTTTTTTTTTACTTATTATACCTACATTATACTAAAATTATGTTGAATAATTAGCAGATATTTATCACACATACACACATACATATTAAACACAAAAATTATTATTGTTATTTTACATAAAGTAATACATTATTATTTATAATATTATAGTTTATGTGCGCCCACATGCTGGTAAGTAGCTATTAAACACCTTATATAGGTTTTATATCTTTATAGATACATGAAATATAATAAATATTATGTGTGTTTTAAAATTGATTAAAGGAACTAATAGTAGGGTAGATATTAATATTGTAGAGGCGATAATGAATGAGTATTACAGTAAATGCACATTATATAATATTACATGTATATGTGTGTATTTATTAATTTTAATAGATACCTAATAATTTATTTAAAAAATATCAAGTAAGTGATTGTTCAATACATAGTACAGACACAACAATAGAACTATATCTGTTGGCTCTTATTTAAGTTAAATATACGGGAAAGCACTATTCAATACTTAAATATAAAATGCGATATTTGAACGTTTTCTCGTGATGATCCACAGTAACTAGGTAGGTACAGATAATGTACACACTTCAGTCGATTAAAAATATTTGCTTATTTCCTATTAAAGGGAAACTTGCTATATGTATATATGTATATATATTATATATATATTCTATAATGTTAAGTTCATTTTAACGGTTTTTGCAATGATTAATTGTATGCGAATATACCTAAATTATTAAGAGATATAGATAAATATAATATACTATACGTGTATAAAGTACGCGATGAAGAGGAATGTCTGAAGGGATCTGTAATGTAGACCGATTTCCAATGATTGGAAAATAGAAGACATGACATCATAAAGCGAGTCCAACTTATTTGCGTTTTGAGTTGTGATTAGAAGTGATTGACGGTCCTACAAAATAAAATAAAAATAATTACATACATCTGCGAATACTTTTGTTCTATATAGTTGTAAATAAATAGTAATTTGAATGTTGTTGAGTTCATTTTATTCAACTGAGTTTTGTAACATAACTTCAAAAGTCTATACAATTATTTTCAGATTACAATATTACCATAAGTCTAAGAATTAGAAGTAACTTTGGTAACTGGTAGGACAAGAACACTTATGTATAGGAACCAGTGGCGTATTATTAATATTTTCTAGGGAAGGCGATCTATAGTTTAGAATAGTTCAGTACTTTAATATTTTTGGAGTGAGTTCAATATTAAATATATATGTAAGTTCTAATTGTCAAATTGCCTAACTATAATCTATCAATAATCAGTTTTTTCATGTGATAAATTCTTTATCATAAAAGGTAGGTTAAACCTTGCTTTCATCACACTTAATATTTAGATTCTTTAGCCACAAATTGGAAACCTAATAATAAGAACAATACTACTATAAGTAAAATGTTTGTAATTAATAATGTTGTAGAAACATTTATCTGATTTTGATTCAATTTTATTTTTTGGCACTGGGTGGGATCCAGTACTCCTAGGCCCCCTCTCGCCACTGATAGAAAATTGTATATAAATTATACCGATGGTAGATAACAAATTCTACAGTAAGGTAACATTTTGATCAGGCTGATCAAATTGTTGATAGAGAGATTTTAATTTTACCAGTTTTATCACTAGGAGGCATATTATCAGAGCCTCTGGTAGTCCAGCATCATTGTCCAAATACACTGCTCTCTTTGCAGATTTGAATTATGCGGTTAAATATGATTATTGTTTGTCAGTTAAAAAATAGTTTGCAAAACAGATAAAAATATCCAATTAACAATTTAACATAGCATTTAACTATGTGTAGTTTTAGCAACTTAAGTTGTAATAAGAGCACTAGGGCACTATAGTTATATTTTTTGTACCGCTATACATTAAATATTTCTTTTTGAATTAAAAAAAAGAGCAAAAAATTATTAAAAAAAAAAAAAAAACAATAATTTTAATTAATTTTTCAGTTCTATGATTCACCGTAATATGATATTGTGACATAACAATGTTTTGTAATTAAATTTAATCTAAAATTAAGATTACTTAATCAATTTTAACAAAATACCAACTTTAAAAGCAAACAAAACAAAATGGTCTAAATTGATGTTAAATAATTTCTTTATATACAAAAGAAATACTAATGTGTAAAATTCTATCAAATAGTATGAGGAGTTCTAAACTAGATTTGGGCGGATTGTACTATCTTGGATGGTTCGGATCTTTAACCTCAGGACAACAGGTGAGAAAAGGTGCACGATGTTTGCAGATGATATAGCTCTGATAGGAAAAATCTGGAATATGTTAATAATAAGCTTGAGGAATTGAAAGTAACACTTGAAGGAAAGAGACTAAGAATAAGTACAAGTAAAACAGAGTATGTGTTTAGAGAAACAGGACAAGACAGCTAACGAAAATAAATGGTTATAGGTGAGTTTGAGAATCTCTGAAGTACCTATGATTTTTTGTACAAAAGAAAGATGGCTTTCATGAGGATGTGAAACATATAAGATTAAGTATATTAAGTATAGTTAGATAAAGGGGAGAGGGTGTCAGGTGTTTTATGTGACCAGAGAATTCCAATGAGACTTATTGGTAAATTTTACAAAAATGTGATGAGACCAGCTACGTTGTATGGTTCGAAGTGTTGGGGTATGGATGAGTGGAGTGATGAGAATAATAGGATAAGGACATACGAGGTAGCTTAGGTATGGTTTTGATAACAGACAAAATGAGAGAAAAAAATACTGTGATGGCTATGCCATGTCATGAGGAGAGATTAATCTGAAGCAGTAAGAATTTGAAAATATGAAAATAAATTTAGGAGGAAGGAGATGAGGAGCAATACTGAAAAAGAGGGAGTTGAATTCAAAGAATGATATGAAGAAAATCCGTGTATGCGAGATGGGTGATTGGGTTAGTGAAAGTTAAGAATGATGGTGCCCGACCTCAAATAGTTGAGATGAAAGCAAAGAAGAAGAATATTCAATATGTTGGAGAGAATACTATAAATTGATAAAATTGTATATTAAAGTACAATATATTTAATTTTAGATAAGTAGTACTAAAACAGAACCTATATAGTATATTGTTTTAGTACTTTATATAATGTATTAGCATAATAATTAATCTATATTAATAGTATAAAATTAGAATCTATATATAAGATAAAGATTTAATATCTAGATAAAAACAATCAGAGACAGTGGTTAAATTAACAAAAATATCTAAATAAAAAGTAATAAACTTAGTCCTCAATTATTTAAATAATTCAACAACAAATTTAAAGTTTAAAGAGACCACACCAAATTAACATATTTAAAATACTTTCTGTGATTAAATACTATATTTCAGTCACAAAAATGTCATTGCTACTTCATTGTTATTGATCCAATTCATTAATAGGTAATTATGGCTAAAAAAAGAAAAACACTTTCTTAAAAGATAATACATCAATATAAGCTTGCGTAGGTGTCATCAACCAGTCGATCGAGATCAACTGGTCAATCTTTCTAGGAATATAGGTCGATTGTAATAAAAATTAATTTTACCATTATTGGTCAGTCATGATATAAATAATCAGATAATAAAATATTAATTTTTTAATCTTCAGCATTTATAATATCCCAGAATTGTCTAAGCATGCAATTACTCAAAAATACTCAAATAACTTCATTTTTTGTTCAATAAATATCGGTCAAGAATGATAAACAGAAATTTGGATTCAAGTTTACGAGCAGCTGTTTCTAATTATACACCAGAATTCTTAAAACTCGCAGACAATCAATGTCAACTATCACATAGATATAGAAAAAAAATATTTACATATTAAGATTAACTTAAAAAAAATATAGGTTTATATATATTATGTGCAATGTACTGTCTACTCTATACTGAATGTATTTAAAAATATAAATAATATACCCAAAGTCTAAATAAATAAATGTCAATCATCTTAGTCTAAGTTAAGACTTAAAATTTTGAATGCTGTTCATTAGTTGGAAAAGGATGGTGACCTTTGGGCTAGTGCAATAAAAAGCACATAGTAATTTAGATTTCTGTACATGAAATAACTATAATATGTTATTTGGATTATAGTTCGCCATTATGAATACTATTAACTAGTTAATATACATTAAACTTTATATACAATCAAAATATAACAGTCCACTGCATTGATATTTGGTGTCGCTAATTGTTAACCTGTCTACAGAATATAAAAAAACTATTTATATTCCTATAATAGCACACACTAGAATACAATTTATTAGTCTGTGATTAATATGAAATTTATTGGTATTCCAAATATTATTAACTGGTTTAAACATGTAACAAAAACATAATTATAATATCTGGTAACAGATTAATTCAATAATTTTCACTAAATTGTGATTGTACACTTAAATTGTAAAATGTATAAACATATAAGAGAAAGACAAACAAATTCAATATGATGTCTTTCTAATTATAAGAATGTTCTATGAGAACATTTATGTGATGCTGATGACTGTGTACTAGACAAAAACGAATGAAATAAAAAATGTTACAACAATCTTTAAAACTTTATCAGGATAGAATAAAATAGATTATAGTTATAAATAAAAAGTACCAATAAATGTTTTTACTAATTTTAAAATTTATATATGTTTATAATAAACAATGTATGTAATAGGTATGAATTTAAGATGTTATGAAGTAAAGAATATAATTTTTTAGATCAAAAGGTAATCTCTTATTGACAACAGTATAATATATTATACATATATATATATATACAACTGTACATATACATATGCAGATTTTTATAAACCAGTGTCTAATAAAGAACTAAAATTTTTAAGTGATTAAAATAATGTACATTTTGTTTTTTAACTTTTAAATATTTTATCCTTTCAATTACCTAATTTAATGTTTGTTAATTTTTCACTTTTGCTCATGTTTTAAAAAAATTTCATATATCAAAAAAATTAAATTATATTTAAAATCAATTGTATAGTTATTATATTATTATGACCCCAAATAGTTGGGATTAAGGCGAAGGAGAAGACAATGTACTATCAATATTAATAAAAGGAAGTGCTTGATTGTTTGAACGCGATTTACAGCTAGATCTATCTTATTGATCTGAAAATTAACATATAGAAGCAGATTAACAGGTCCATATATACTTCTCAAAGCAATATGTTTAAAATTCAACCACTAAAGAATGACAACATTGGTATTTTTGTTGATTCATGGGTTACTCTGGTGACATGGGTGAAATAAAAAACAGTTAATACAATAAAGACACAGTTTTAATTTTTTTCATTCAATACTGTATGGGACAGATGGTAAATAAATCACAAAATTCACCTGATTTTATTATTTTATATTTCACATTTAGAATAGTGGTATATAATGATTACATTTCTCCAGGCAAGATTTTCATTATATTTTAATTTTTAATATGTTCTAAGCAACAGTTTGTTCATTTATTATTTGCTTTTTATTCTTTGTTCTCTTAATTCAGTAATACTCTATGAACTCTGTTTTACTTCTGCTAAATCTCTAACCTTTACATTCAAGTGTTTCTCTCTATCTCTCTATACATCAGTGTAAAAATAAATAATCAAATTATCAAAGGTTATAAATCTAGGTATGTAATGATTTTCAGTAAAACCACAAATGGAAAAATCAAGTATTTATATTAGAAATTGACTAAAATATGAATTAGATATCAACTAATATCTTATTCTCATAAAAAATCAAAATTTGTACACACTTAACAATATTACAACATTTTAAATTTTTGATAGTTTATATTTTTCATATTTCACTGTATTTTTTTGGTTTAAATAATAATTATTATATATATATTTTTTTTTAATTATAGAAAATAGGGAAGTTCAATAAATTTTAATTTACTAATTATTTGTACATTTTTAAATGTCTTTTAAAAAAAACTTTGTTTATTAGCAGTATATGTTTTTATTGTGTTAAACTAATATGAAACTAAAATGTTTACTTAGAACTGTTAGATTTTCATTTAACTTTTCTAGTGCATTCCATTTTTTTTTTTTTTGTGATCTCACCTTCTGTCGCTTGAGAGTACACGTGCATCAGTTTTGCGTCTTGACATGCCCGACTACTGGGCCGAAACAAACCTAAATACCCTTTTGGCCACATTGAGTGAACAAGACTGTAAATTAAAAAAACAACCATGGGGGATTTCATAGATGGAATTTAATAAAATCATTTTTAATAAAACAAAACAAAAATAAGTTAAAAAGAAATCTCGGCCAATAATAACGAAGTGCCGTTCGAGTAAATTTAATTTAAATGCCAAATGACCCAAATCTAAGGATAATAATTATTTTGGTTGTATTTGGCATTTGCATTTATACTGCATGAGTATCTTGCAATTTATTTACCTTCTAAACACTCTACATATCACGAATGACTCATCGGCTAAACTTATCTTATTCATGAGTTCTATTCGTATATTACTAATATTTCACTTTTCCAGTACAATAGTTTCTTAAAAATACACATAAAAATGTGGCTGTGTGAACTTAATTATTTAAACATACCTCGTGTGTATTTCGAGTTTGAATTTGAATCATTTAACGGCTCTAATGTCGTCTGATTTTTTAAAGTTATATTCTCGTTTTTCATAATCTAATTGTGATTTTACTCATTAATCAACTTTTTATTCACTAACAAATTAATATGTACTCAATTTTCTAAACACTATTTACCTTTAGTTTGCTTTGTTGATTTATTTTTCTGATTAATTCCTCGCCAAGTGTATTCAGCACCACTATTATCTTCTGCGTCATCCGAAGACCATCTTGAATCTTCCCTGTCACTACCGCCATCATGATTTTCATTCTAAATAAATCAATAATATTATTTGTAGAGATGGTTCGAACCCGATGTTTTGTAGTCAAACTACTAAACTTTTTATATTGATACCAAAAATATTTTAATATTACATTAATTTAAGCTGTGTGATAATGTTCTGTCAATCTGGATAAAGCTGCCTATACAGGATTATTATCATGAATAACCCATTTTAGAGGGTTAAAAGTGAATTTCTCTCTTTTTTTTTTTTGTAATAAATTAAGCTTTATTTTAAAATCATTTTTTATTTTTTATTCTACTCCACATATCTTAAATAAGTTTATAGTTTTAATTTTCAAATAGAAATCTTCCTTTTTGAACACAAATTAATAATATTTTTCTAGAAACTTTGATATGCATAACACTAATATTAGATTTACTATCTGTAAGTTACAACTCTTCATTACTTCTCCGGTCTGAACTTTGAACTAGTTCATAATAAAAGAATCATCCTATATAATAAGATAATATAAGATTTTATTAAAATTTAAACTATACACAGGTAGGAATTTGAGCACATAAAATGAATGTTGGGTTTTCCAATCGCTAAATTTATCAGTTATTATTTTTATTATAATAAAATACGAACATTTTCCAGTTTTAAAATAGTTTATTCAAGTTCAGTTTGATTCAAAATTTAGGTAATCAAGTTCAAAAACACAGCCAAATTGAACATTATAGAATCATTTCAAACATCAAACAGTTTGACCCATTTCTAATTATTTGTTATATTTCTTATTTATATTTTAGATTCAATTCTTAAAGAGTGTAAAGATGTGTATAGGTTTTACAATGATGTTTATTTATTTTTTATACTGTGTATAAAATTTCTACCAGAAATGTTACTCCAATATATCAAGTGCAGCACTTTTTCTGAAAGGAAATTTTATCAGGTTGGTACTTTTGGGGGGTCATTTTTTTGATTTTCCATGTAATATTTATAATAATTGGAAAAACAAAAAAAATAAAGACGAAAAATGAAAATGGATAAATTTATAGTGTCACAATTCCTTTATTTTAAATTTGTATGCTTTGTTTTCTACCAAAAATACAATTGGACATAAAACAATGGTTTATTTATATAACTTAATGTATCCTGTCTTCTCAACTTACCACATACAAGAGTGGCATCCTCATCCTCAGTACCAGTACTTTTTAACAATTATATTATACAAAATATTTAAAGTAAATGAATATTTCCAAAAAAACACATATCAATATGGATTTTTTTAAATAAAAAATTGCTCACATGTTGTATAAATAAACTACTTTTCAAATGAATTTCTTCTAAATTACGTGTTAGGTATAAATCTCAATGCTCAATTATCATAATTATATTTTTAATACTTAAAACTCTAAAAATTCTGTACCAATACAAAATTATTTTCATCTTATTCTATATGAAGTTTTATGAAAATTATCTAGTGAATGGTGGTAAGAATATTGTTGATTAGCTTAATACTTTTTAGTGTCTATGGAAATTAGTTGTTAACCTCATCTATAAATACCCATTAGTTGATAACTTGATATAACACATGAAACATTAACTGGAATTTGAGAATGTTAAGCATTACTGACGTTCTAAATAGGTAAGTTAAATAGTATCACAAATGAGTCCAGGTACTGATATGATTCCAAGCTGTTTCTTTATTAACTGTAAATATGTGTTGGCTATTCCTTTATCATATTTATTTTATTTATCTTTTTCTAGTGGACTTCATCTAATTGGCAAAAATTAGTTTTATTAAGACTATCAAAAAAGGAAATGATTTAACTAATACAATTAAGTATTAGAATATTTCCATTTTTCATAAATTATTTGAATCTATTTCAGAATATATATTTATTTCATTTATAATCAGCACAGTGTTTTGAAAGACAAATCAACAATAACTAAATTTCTAATTTTTCAAAAATATGTACTTTTGTATCCAGATATCAATGATGTAATTTTTACAGAATTTACAAAGACTTTTGATAAACTAAACCACCTTGTTCACTCAAATAAATTGTATTTTATCGGTATTCACAATGAATGTTTTTTCATGATTGTTTTTATACTTTTGTAAAAGAAAGGAAATTTTCAATTTAAATATTTTTTTCCTTATTCTTTCAATATTTTATCAGGCGTTACACAAGACTCTAGTGCAAAGTTGTTTACCAAGTCTCGTTCACCAATTCTCAATGATTATACCATAGATACTTCAGGTGTGTGATTAAAATGTATGATATAGGGGTTAAATTCGACTCTACTCTTTCTTTCAACAAGCATGTTAATATCTTGAACATTTTATATTTTTCACTTTTGTGTTCTACTCTAGAATTGTATGACACTATGGCCACCCTTTACATATTGTACATTTGTACATATACAAAGTATTGAAGCTATTCAAAATAGATCACATTGCTTTATTTCATACAAATGTGGTGTTCTTTGCAAACCTTATTCTCAATATACATTTTTATTAAACCAATTATATATACGACCAATCCATCTGATAGGAAAAAAACCATTTAAAGTCCTTATATAAAAGTAGTAAACTGTCATATAAACTATCCTGAATTACTTAGATTTTGTAGTTTTGATATCCTTCAAAGTCAAATTAAATTTACAAAAATGTTTTATATTAAAAAAAAAAAAAAAAACCTAACGTAACCTAACCTAACAACAAACTATGGTTAATATTTTTAATTTTCACTCTTTTGAGTCTTTTTGTAATTTTATTGTTACTTGTATGAATTAATTTTATTATTTTTACTGTCTAAATAAATTTAAGTTCCAATACATAAATATAAAACTTAAGACATTTTTATAGGGTTCTGGCAGTTTAAATATATAAAATAAAATAAATATACATTTATTGAGATGCTATCAATTGATTAGTATAATAACTAGGATGATGTGTTAATAACACAGGGGGATTGGTAATTATTGGATAATCTGAGAAATTATCAAAATGATCATGAATTAATTAATGTAAAGCAAAAAGAATATGTATAAGGTGTTTATAGTATGCAGGTAATAGGATAAAAAAACTGTGTTTATTATTATAAAAACAAATTAACATATAAATAAATAACAATATAGTTTTAATTGAATTTTAAAGTAATAACTTTGTCCACTTTTAGAAATAATGTTATAAAATTAGTTTTTATTATTATCTTGGGTAGTTATTAATTGAAACATGAAGAACATAAACATAGAAACATGAAAAAAGCTGCCCAGGATAATGGGTACAGTGGATTCACTGTTGTTGATGAGAAATTGGGAAGATAAAATATAGAGGGGAAATTATTTGTAACTGTAAGCAACAATAAACCATTGCTTACTAAAAACAATTTTAAGCACAGTTCAGTTGATAGTGATGCTTTGTCAAGAATATATGTCATATTATGGTAAAATAATTAAATAGGCTTTATTTATTATTTTTAATATCATTTGTTTAATATTGTACTAATTTTCTTGTTTTTCACGGTTTTTCACATTTGCTGGGAAAACTCTTAGGAAAATCAAAATATGACCTCTTTAAAGTACCTCTTCAATCAAATTATTTTTGGAAAAAGTATCATCATTGTAAATCAGAGCAAAATTGTTGGTATACAAGTTTTCCTTGTATTAATATTACTGCAGTTGTATTAAGAGAATCATAATATTTTTACTAATATATTTCATAAATTTTTCTTTCTGTTTTCCCAGTTTTTTTTGGATTTTTACATTTGATGAGACAACCTTTGAAAAATCAAAAATTAACTTGCAAAATAACCACCCAGAGAATATTTCCTTTTAGAAAAGGGTCTACATTGTACACATCTGAGTAAGCTTTCCAATAAAAATTGTGCATATGAAAAAAAAAATAAACATCTTTGTAAAACAATCATTAAAATCATTCTTCCACTCGGAATCTAAAATGATAGAAATTTAAAAACTGTTTATTATAAATGATAAAAAAAATTGAATTCTCAAATGTTTTACCTATAATTGATATTTATTACGTAGTATAAGTTGTAAACTTTAAAAATTGAAATTAGTTCTAAAAACTTACAGTTGAAGGTAAAGTAATATCGCTGTTATTTTCTGATAGTATTTGCTTATTTGGTACAAATGAATATGGTATATCAAAATCATCTTCTTCATCTGGTTTATCATTCCATTGCCTGTCTTCATCATCAATAACCTAAGAAAAAACATACAACCAATTGAGTTAAACTTTACAAAAATATAAACATGTAAAAAAAAAAAAAAAACAATGGTATAGGGACTTTTATTTTTAGTTAAGACTATTAGTAGTGTACTAAAAAAGATACAGACATACTTTGAACGATAGTTGGGCCATTGTTACAGGAAAGAAGTTGGGAGGTAGGATATAGAGGGGAATTTAATATATATTTGTATGCAATTATTAATTTATACTAACGAAAAATGATTCTGAGGGGAATTTGGTTATACATACAGGTTGTAATAATTAAGATTTACATTTCGTAAATTTTTGAGTTTTTTTTTTTATTTTCATTATGAAAACAGCTGGGAAAAACCTTAAAAATGACTTCCCTCAAGTCAGATTTACTTTCAAAATGTGCTTTATTTGAAAATTGGAACAAAATTGCTGGTATAAAAAATATTCAGAAATTAAAAAAAAAAAAAAATATTATTGTAAAATCAATACATTTCTCGCTCCGCTCAAAAATCTATAATTAAATAATATTAATAAAATAAATTACAGGAGGAATGGTGATGTCACTTTCATGGTTTGTTTGAATGCATTCTGCACCACCATCATTTCCAGCGAGCATTACATCTACAGTAACAGTTTCATTTGGGCGGAAACTGTACGATACATTTGTTGTCTCTTCTTCATCATAATAATTTTCATATTCTTCATCATAATCTGGACATTCTGATTTAATATTTATGTCATTTATATATGTTTCATGCGATTCATAAACTGCATCTTGTTCATAATCATCATCTTCCATTAATTCAGGTTTAACACTTGATACATTAATTGCAGGAATATCATAATCATCAATAGTTTCCTAAAAATAACAAATAACATAATTTAATAATTGCTGGTTCAAAATTGAATATAACAATTTTAGAATTAAATTAATGTTTACTTCTACAGGTTCTCTTTTTATTTTTTTCCGCAAACTTTGTATGTCAAATTCATTCATTTCATTCGGCTAAAAAAAAAACCAAATTAAAAATAAAAATACCAAAAAATCTAAATAAAATTAGTAAGTTAATTAACTTACTAATTTATCAACTTGTCCAGGAGGATTTACATTTCCTTTTCCACGTCTGAATCTAAGTACAACTGATCGACTATCAATAACCAAATTATATTTCTCTTTATATGCTTGTATCGCATCTTCTGCATTAGAAAATTTAATAAATGCATACCTAACAATAAATAAATAATTATATAAAAAAAATCAAAATAAGAATATTATATTTAATTATTTAACTAAATAATTGCATTAATAAGAAGTTACCTGGTGTACTTCATTTTTTTTGCAAACCCAATATCAACACGAGTAGCTTTTGGAAATTCATCTTTAACAGCATTAGATGTAATATTTGTTGGCAAATTTCCAAGATATAAACTAAAGTAATAAATTAAGAATTCTATGAGTCAAAATAAAGATATTGACTTACATCTATAAATGTATATTATGTATAGATATAACATACATTTAGACTTAAATTTAGATTGAAGAATAAAAATAAATATGATTAAAAAGTTATTTAGTACTTATAAGAGTACATTTCTATGTTATAATCAGTAATACATACGTATATGGATCAATGCACTCTGGGAAAGCTTTTTCTTCAAACTGACTTTCTTTAATTTCTACACGTAATTTTTCATGTTGAAAAACTGTTTCATTTAATTCATGTGCAACACTTTCAATGTTCGCATTTGGTTGTACTTGTACATAACAATATCTAAGATAGTTTAAAAGTAAATATTTGAAAATTCATTTAATAGTTTGTTTATTTCTAACACAAATATACTTATTAATCTAAGTTAGTATACATACCTTGGATTGCACGGAGTGTGGAAATGTACAGATTTAATGTCAGAATGGAAGTTTTGTACGATTTGCCTAGTAATTTCATGATCTGGAAATCTAATCATAATTTGTTGGTTGTTTTTAGGTGTTCTAAGTTCCATCTCAGCAGCAATAGCTTTTACTGCATCTTCACGGTTCCATGGTTTTTGAGCACGTTGTGGTTCACCAGATTGTTGTGATTTTAACTTACGTTTTCGTGTTTTGCATTCTGTCACAGCATTGGATTCCTTGGTTTTTTTATTAAATTAAACAAAACAAATCAGCAACATTATATAAGAAGTTTTTAATGAGCATTCACATATTTTTAACAAAGATGCACACTGTTTAATAATTTAAATAAATTACAATAAATAGCAATGAATAATAAATACCAACATATATAAATATTTTTAGCACAATATTTTAAATTTAGATTTAAGTCAAGAAATTTTTAGTGTTACTCTGATTTATTAGTCTAATAAAAATTTAGTGTGCTACTAATTTTAAAAATTAGGTATTATTATGAACTAAAAAAATCTCAATTATTATTAGGTTACTAATTAAAAATGTTGTTGTAATAAGTACTTAATGTTACATTCAGTAGTTAAAATAGGAGAAACTTTGAGGGGGACTATTTATCAAAAATTGAGGGCATTCTAACTATACCCAACCAAACTTTCCGGACATCATCATTTTTTCTCCCACATAAGTTTTTTTTTTAGAATTATTATTGGACCGATTTTCAATTGAAAATATATATACATTTTTTTTAATATGTGATCTAAGACAATGCTTTCCAAGTACATAATTCAATTTGTATAACATATATTTCAAAAGTAAAATTTGAATTTTGTATTGCTTCAGTATTTACTCCTGTTTTTCATTTTTAGAATATGTTTCAGTGATTTTGTTATTTTTAAGTGCATTATTAAATGTTTACAAATTTATAGTTTAAATTTAAGTAATTTAAAATATTATCTCAAGAAATTTGATTTAATATTGCTTTAGGTATTCTTCATCAATATAGAATGCTAATAGTTTTATTTATGATTTTAATAATCATAAATCAAAAGAAACAAATACAAAATAGCAACAATAAAAGTGACTTTTATTCTACATATTTTGTTATTTATCTATTCTTAATATTTTTGGGTTATTTTATAAGGGTATTATTTACTTTTAATAACTAATAAATCATACATAAAGTTTTTTTTTTTTAAAAACAGTTAGGTTAGGTTTTTTTGATACCAAAAACTTATTTTTCAATTTTTAGTGTCATACACCTTTTTAACAAAACATCATGGATATAATTTTGTACAACCAATACCAAATAATTTATATTTAAGTTTTTAAAATTTCTTTAGAAATACATAAGAATACTATCTTCTCTAATACATCAAAAGTTTAATAACCCAACTAGTTGTATACAAAACAAACAGCATTTTAATATCTTATTAAGAACCTCATTTAATTTTAAATAAACAACAGACTACATTTTAAAATTTCTCAGTTAAAAACTGGAACTCAACTGTGCACAAATAATTGTAGGAGAAACCACTTGTTTGGGTTCAACATTTAATAGAAGAAACAACTCAATGGTACAAAAATATTATAAAATTAAAAACTTGTTATTACAATTATAAGCTAGATGTTTATATATACATATTATTATACAACCACACACATGCAGACAATGATATTGGCAATAATAAAGGATTTATGATTAAAACTAAACTTGAATTAAAATGAATAAAAAAAATAATCTACTAAGACTATTTTTGTCATGGAAAAGAAATAATACAAATAATTGAATAGGTACATGTATATCCATGAACAACTCATGAAAAGCTTCCAAGGTAAGTCTTTAAAGTATTTAAAATAAATGAAAAATATTTATTGACAGTCCTAAGTCTGTATATGTAGAAAGGAAAATGTGTGTGCAAATCAAGAATTACACTAGGAATAATCTGTGTGCAAACAAATGACTGCACTAGAAATAATTTGGTGACATAATTGGTGGTATTAAAAGGTATAAAATAAGGAGCAACAGAACTAGAGCTTGGATAGGCAACTCTAAATTCTCTAAAAATGATATGGGGGGGGGGGGTTAAGGACCTATAATAGTCAATAGTCTTTCTAAAATTTTGATTTTATAATATACAGTTTTTTTTTTTTGAAAAATACGAACTTAGAAGGTAAGTTCTTAAGCTTATTAGGTTAAGGTAAAGGACAACTGGAGATTAGTCATAGGTAATAGGTAAATAGTTAATGAATAGAATATAGTCAGCAAAACTAAGCTGAGAACCACGCTTGGTGAAAATGGGATTCCAAACTACAGATACGTATTCTAGATTGGAATTAATAGATCAATAAATGGCTTTCAAAGAAGCAAACATCTTATATTTAAAAGCAATTTGTTTATAAAAACCTAATATAACATTGATTTTTGGTATCATAATATTTAAGCAAAAATTAAAAAATACTAGGTTACTAGTAAAAATCTTTAGTCTTTCTTAAGTGATGGATTCTGGGGAAAAGTTGTCAACAGAGTAGATAAAATGAGATCTGTCCTTCTTATTCATATGATGGGCAATGTGAATCACTCAAGTATCAGAGATCTCCATTTAATTTTTAACTCTGAGGGTTTTTGAAAATTTTTTTTCGTGGAAAATATTAAAATTTAGCACTCATATTACATATAAAAAAAGACATCATAAGATAATGGAAACGGGTGCAGCCATTGTTATAGGTAATTTAATGTATATTTGTAAGCAACAATAAATCATTGGTAAAAAAAAAACGATCCTGAGCACAATTCACTTGATAGTGATGCTTTGTCAACAATATATATATGTCATATTATAATAAAATAACTAAATAGGCATTATATAATTTCTTAAATAATATTTAATATTGTACTGATTTTTCCCTATTTTTTGGGAAATCTCCAAGGAAAATCAAAAATTACCTCCCTAAAGTACTTTTCCAGTAAGATTTTTGTTCAGAAAAGTGCTATAATTTTAAATTGGAGCGAAAATTGCTGGTAGAAAAGTTGAACACTGAAAAAAAGGCATAATATTTTTTTATTGATAAATATTATGTACAAAACTCTCAAAATTAAAATGACATAGATACCTCAAAAGTGGCTTAAATTTTTTGAAAATTTTACCACGTCTAGACAAGGTAAATATTAGTGTTTTGTCAAAATTCGAAGTGCATCGAGTCAATACGAATATTTTTAAACTAAATTTTAATAATAATTTTAAATTTTTTATAAAAAACCTAAAAATAGCTCAAATGTTTTGAATATTTTATCTCGTTTAGAAAAAGCAAATATGAGTTTTCTGTCCAAATTACAAGTCTCGATGAATATTTTTAACTGAATTACAACAATTAACAAAATTAATAAAATAATAAAAGCATCCTCTTCGTACATTTCCCGGTTTTTTTTTTTAAGTGTTATCCTAGTTTTTCCCAGATATTATGAAAACTGCTTGGAAAATCAAAAAATTACCTCCCAAAAGTACCATTGGAACAACATTCCTTTTCAGAAATGATGTCGCGTCTAAATATTTGAGCAAGATTTATAGTCGAATTTTCATACACAATATGAAAAAAAAAAAAAAATCTTAGTAAAACCAATAAGTGGGCTACTGTTGTAGGTGAGAAGTTGGGGAGTTGATTATTAATAAATTATAAATAAAGTTTTTAAGTCACAGTGATAAACAAGTATATAATATGAAAAAAATAAAAAAACCCAAATTTTAATGGTGTATAAACCAAAAATATACTAAAAAATAAATCTAAAGAACCTAGATAACTAAGTAGTAATGTTTTCAAATATTAATTTGTTAAAACGTAACTTTAAAATATCAATTCGGTTATAAAAATAAATACTAGAATAATGGTATATAATAATATTCATTCTATGCCCTGGTTTCAAATTATCATAGTTTTCAATCACTCTACTTAACCCTATATCATAGTAGATTTTGCCTAATTTTTAACTTATATTTAACTCTAATTCTTACTAAATAAATTCTAAATTCAAACCTGATTAGTTCCATTCGATTGATTTTGAACTGAATTTCGAGGTCTGTTCATGCGCATGTGTTGCCGTGGTATAAAACGAGGTCTTTGATTAAACTGTGGCCAATTTTGTGCTGATGATGAAGATGGACTTTGTGGATTTTGTGGAGAGTTACCGAAAAAACTCCCATTCTATTCAACAAATATGAAAAACAGTTAAGTAATACAAATTATTATAAAATTTATAATATAGATAATTCAGTTTTAGTCACATACAGCACTTTGGGCGAACTGTCTTGGGTAAGTGTTTCTTGGAGCATTTGCATACTGATAAGGTGTACGTTGACGTGAATTAGTATTAAATGACCTCCAGCGTGGTGAGGGTGATCTAATAGTACTATTGCTAGCTGAACTGAACGTAGGTGAGTTACTATTACCCGCTGTAGAGTTTGTCACTGTAGTTTTAGTCTGTGGCACAGGGCTGGGCATACGGAACTGAGCTTGCCATGAATTGGGAAAAGCCTGTTGTGGCCAGAATCCATGGGGGTGTGTTGGTGGTGGAGATGTAAAATCTGTTTGCAAGTGTAGTTGACTGTTGTGCAGTGAAGGTTGTTGCGGTACATAGGTAGGCAATACCTGTTGTCTTGGTGGACTTATGATGGTTTGTTTGTTCTCAATTGATTGGTTTTCCACTAAAATAAAAATGTAAAAGTTAAGTTTATTCTAAAAGGTAGAATATGGTAGACTTATGTAGGTTCTAGTTAAAAGGTTTATCATTATTAATATGTGCACTGTAAGTCTCACTTGTACTTTATTAGATCAAATTCTTTTTGTTGACATTACAATTATAGGTTTGAAATCGGCACCGACTTGCAAATAGGTCAGATTTTAACTTACTGCGTTAGAAAAATATAAATCGATAAATAGGTAGAAGTGAAGTACAAACTACACATACATATATCAATTATTACAATAACACAAGTTACTTTACTTTAGCACAGCAGCTTGTCACCGTCTCCTGGTGGCGGAGAGTGGAGACTGTGGCAGATGTATTGATAAGAAGCAGTGTTTTCAAATACAATCTGGCAACGTTGCAAATAATATGTTATTGTGTTGATAGCATTTGATGATAACAAAATCATTTTGTTTATGTTTAACCACGGTAGTAGTGTGTTAACGTGTGTTATTTGTTTTCTAATCGTATTTTTCGGACGTGTTAGGTCTGGTATTTCATGAGCCGATTTCTTAGCCATAGTCAATATGCTTTACAATTGAAAATTGCTGACTCTCTGTACCGGCTTATCGTAAGTAGCACACAATTTATGTTGCAATTCACGCAAATCGTCCGCCCTAGATAATGGACTTGGTATATTCTATATTTCGGAAACAAGCTTGGAAAACCCAGTTTCAAAATGAACAAATGGAAGAAGATATGTGTTTTAAATGTCTGGCCAAGATATCTGCCAACAACATAGTCGCCTGGGTCACCACGTTTGATCTGGATGATCACGTCAACATAAACTGGGGTTCACATGTCTATATAGCCGATCTAAACGTGCCTTGGAAGTACCATAAAATCACATCCAATAACTGTACAGTTACCACATTAGAATGGGATATGTATGGATATTCACTATTGATTGGTGACAAGAATGGTGCTGTATCAATATGGACATGCAGTACTGACCACAATCTTACTAATTGGGTGCAGGTAGGTTCTAAAGATTTTCGTGGAGAACCTATTATAGCTGGAACCTTTTTCCATTTGGGAAAAAAATTAATGCTTGTCAATGAAAAAGCTGATAACATTAACTATTTTGAAAAATTCAATTATGTTCGGTTTACACCATCACTACGAACATGGGGGGGCACAGGTTTACCTGGGTGTTTAGTAGTGTCTGCTACAGGTATGATTGCTGCCCTGTTAACTAATGATAGTGGGGAACCTATGATTTCAGCTACTACCAGTTTAGCCGTAGCTAGATATCGTATATCTGTTGTTGACATTAGTTATCGTCAAAATGGAAATTTCTTAATTGTCACATCTGATGGACGGCCACGATCACCAATTCATTGTTATGAAGTATCAATAAAGCTTCTAAATGAAAAAAGTTGCACGATTGTATCACAGTGGCTGCCTAGCTTTTTCTTAACTTTTAATGAAACGATGGATAGAGTTATTTCACATGTAAAATTTTTATTGAGAGAAGGTTCTGAATCTCTTGTAATTGGTAGTAATAGCAGTAGTGGATGCATTATTGAAACCTGGGAGCTGGTTAAAAAAACCAATTCAATAAATAAAGTATTCAAAAAAGTCATAACTGAAGATCACCCTACTGTGTGTTGGATTAAAAAGAGTTCATTTACAGTTGGAGCACAGTTAACAGCATTGGCTACACCCAAAATGTCCATATCCTACAATCAATCTTCTAGTAGTCAATATGTAGTAGCTGCCTTCAGTAATCATCAAGTATGTTGTTTATCTAGAGAACTGACCCAACAATGTTTATTTGAATTAAGTAGTTATTGCGAAGATAACATAGGAAAAATAGGCTTACAGCACAGTTCAAATATTCAGTTTTCAGACTTGGATATTTCTTATCTAGGAAATGTATTTGTTGTTTGCGATAATATGGGTAATTTATATTTATTTCAATTACTTTCTGTGGCAGAACTAAATGGGCCTTTAACTGTCGCCTATGCCACTTTACAGCTAGAATATTGCTTGGTGACTGGCCTGGATTGGTGGGATTTGGCTATATCATTAAGACCTAATATGTTGGAAGCTGTGTGTAATCGTTTTAGTGAAAACTTTCAAAAACAATCACAGGTTCTCCAACAAAAAGAATACACCACCTATTTAAGTATTCGTTCTTTTCTTTACAAAATGATGCCTGGAGCACAATCTAAGCGTTCAGATCTGATGCACTTAATGACACTTCATTCCATATCCAATGCATTTAAAAATGTACTACGTGTCAGTGATATCATGGCAGACCGAGATCCAGCTGAAAGTCTTTCAAATGTATTGAAAGAACCTATCGTGGATATAGATAAAATTTTAACCAGTTTGGGTGGTAAAGATTTTACTGTAGAACCTAGTACTCTTCAATCACTTCATCAACTTATTCAATGGATAGCACAGCTTGCTTTAAATGTAGTATCTAGAATACCAGAGCCGCGAGACAATGTTGGTTATAATTTACTAAATGATTTGTATGCTATAAATACAATACGTGAATTATTGGTCATGATACGCATATGGGGTCTACTAAGGCCTAATTGTTTACCAGTATTTATTAAAAATATTGATAATTTAGATGTATTGTCTGTTACATTCCGTTTACTTTCGCGATTTGTTCAACTGGGTGGTGAACACGATGAAATGTTATTTGATGAATGTTATACTCTTCAAAGCCAAGTCATAATTACCCCGCTTTCATCAGTTGCTGCTGGAATTCATGAAGTTGCATCTCCTGCTCTTTATTATCAACATTTGCCATTGAAGTTAGTATTTGGACAAGAACCAGACTGTCTGAGATATAATACATCCACCATAGATACATCAACAAATGGTAAACAACATTCAGATTATGTGAAAGATTATGATGTCATTAGGAATGTATATATTGGTAAATGTCCATTAACTGTGAAACAGTGTAATAGATGTGAAGGTAAAATGCAATTGGTAGGGAATTCCCGAACAGCAGCAATTAGAGTGTGGGAAAATAGATGGGCACGTAACTGTCGATGTGGTGGAAGATGGAGGACAGTTAAGGTGGGAGTGCAGTAAGATTATTATTAATAGATAATTGCATTATTACTAAAACTATTAAGTATAAGATCTAAAATTCAATGTATTTAACAATTTAGTCGAATTTTCAACTACATCTGGCAATTAAAACTTCATAATATTTTATTTGTAGTCTGATATTAATACCTATAAATTGTTTAGCATGGTAAATTCAAAAATATATTTATATTATTTTACCCACTGGAAAAATGTTCCATGTATTTTTCTCTTTAAAATAAATAACAACTCAATTTTAGATTCAACTATGATTTGTTAAATTTGCTACCATAACATCAATTAACGACTTTATCAATATATAACTGTATTCGTATTATATTATTGATCAGATTTTATCACAAATATAATTTATGAAAATTTTTTTGTACAAAAAGATCTTCCAGATTTAAATTTTTGATCTCTGAAATGTTAGTTAAATATAATTGATAGTATAATTTTAGTTTAGTTTAATAATGTATTTACTATTGTAATATCATTTTTTGATAATTAAGTTACTTATCACTGATAAAAATGTTTTGTGCTATAAAGTAACTTAAAAGTAATATTGTTATTTTAATTTACTTATATAATTAGGTATATTTTAATTTATAAACAAATGAATATCTATGTACATAGTCCCTGGTAATTAAACAAATATTTTAATTTGTAACTACACATTTATTTGTTTAAAGTTTTTCTTGTTATGTATTTTTGTTTGTAAATTATTTAAAGATAAAGTCATTGTTTATTTATTCAATTTGAACAACTAATTTTAATAAAATATATAATACATATTGCAATATTTTCTATCAATCTTTTGGTATTTGTTCTTTAGGCTCATCATAAGACTCAGTTTTAGTTTTTGGTGTTTGTCCTGAATAGTCTGTGGCTAAATAAGTCATTAAATCTGTCAAGCCTTCAAATTCTGTGCGAGAGTTATGTACAGTTGGAGTAAGTCTTGGGAGCATTGAACCTACTTTCATTCTAAATTCATGCATCTGTAAAACAAAAAACACAAAAGTTTTTCAAAGTTTTAAAATACAATAATAAAAGCTATTTATTTCCAGATAAATACATCAAATATTAGAGTGCAAATTTTAAATATTTAAAGTATGCAGATATTTATAAGATTGTTTATAAATGTATAAGACTATTAAATTTAAAATCTAAAAGAGTATATGAGAATAATACTTAACTTATAATATCTTAAAGGTTTAATGATGTATTAAAAGAATCATCTTGTACTCTGAACTATTTAATTCTAAAATAACTGCTCTTTATTTTATTTGAACAAAAAAAAAAAAAAATGTATCATATAATGTTAAACGAATTCCTGTAAAATAAAGTACCTACTTTTAACTACAATAAGCTAATTAAATAAAAAATAACATCACACAAATGTATATATTTAAGGAGCAACCTCTACACATAATTTGTTTTTTCCATTTGCCTCTTTCATAATATAGAAACAAATAAATTTTATAAAAAAAGAGTATTTACAATGGCTGAAAATTTTCATTTTCATCATGAAAAAATTAGTTTTTTAATTTCTCTTAATTTTAACCATTGATAACTTATAAACAAATGAAAATATTAAAAAAAAAAATAATTTAGCCAAGACATGGTAAATACTCTTATAAAATATATAATAGGTCTCTTGTTCCAAAATTCAACCAAAATCATTGAAGTGCGATGTGTATTTGTTGCTATATTACACACAAGACAGAAATAAAATATGTATAGACTAAAAAATACACTTAAATAGTGTTGGGAAGTCAAACACTAGGCGCTAGAGCAAGTGGGAAACTCAGATACAGTCATCTGGTTTTGAGCACTAATTTTCAGATGAAAATGGTCATGTTAAGTTCAATCAGAATTTATGATTATTATATTTTAAAATTTAAATGCATAATACAGTGAAAACTATCCATAAATGGTATTTCAAGGGTCCAAAGAAAATGTTCATCCATTACAGGTTTCTGTTTATATAGATGTTTTAATCTGTGAAATTCTATTTATGAAACATTCAAATGTCCATTTTATCAAGGTTTTGATTTTACTAAATTTAAATTAAAATTAAAAAATACTTGCATCGTTAGCACCACTCATTTTCCATACACCATAAAAAAATAATCCACATCCGCCGACTGCATAAAAAGTTCCCCATTTGAGTGCTCTAATAGCTAATTGAACACCCGATTCAGCCATAGGTACTGAAGCGATTTGTCCTTTAGAAAACATATCAGGATCTGTTTTTCGAGCCGATGCCAGTGTCGAAGCAAATGCAAAAATACCAGCACCAGCCGCAACACACGTCAAAAACGTAGCCGAAGCTAAAATTAAGACATTTATTACAATAAACATTTGAATAAGTCTTTATTTATAATAATTTAAAATACCAAGAGTATCGCTGGAATTTTTAGTAACCTGTGGTAAATTGAGCGTTTCATTTGCTTCTTGACTTGTATTAACCATTAAAACTAATGTTTTTTTTTTGAAAAGACAAACAAAAATAATTAAAAACCGTAGTAAAATGAAAAAATACCGGCAGTTTTAAACATTTTATTATCAAAAACCATAGTCAATGATAATTGATAACCATATATATATATATATATATATATTATGATAACACATTTTTTTTAAATTATCTACATTAAAGGTGAAACCACGATCTCAGAAGAACTTAAAACCGTGGGTGAAACCATAGATAATATAAAAATGAACAGGCCATGAGAGTTTATCATAGGAGAACGAACACTTTTATAATTTCAAACTACAAGGGGTTTTATCAATAATGTTGTAAACTCGATCAAAAGTAATCAATAGTTCATAATTAATTTTACTTTTATTTAGTATGAATAAAGCGAGTTAGTTAAACTTAATTAGTGCTTTATAATTAATAATGTTCTATTCTGTGATAATACGCTATTAGAAAAATTATTTACGTATAAATCACAACTCTGGTTTATGAAAATTTGGTAAACCTAATACAGTTTTAGGCTATTAGGCTATTATTAGTAATAATAGTAGCCAGTAGGTACAATGTTCTAGTTACTAAGGTGAATAATAATAATAATATCAAATTCTATTGATATACCTACTTTAAATTGATTTGATGTACAAAATCAAACAATGTATTAAAATACTTGAAATTGTTTTGATAAACAAAATTCAAATACAAATACGTTGATTGAGTTATTATTGTGTAATAAAATTATTAATTAACGATAAAACCCCTTGCTGTGTAGGTGAGAGCGGTATAAGCAGTACGTCTCTCATTCACATTCCACGACGCAGCCCCTTAATATATTAACATAAGAGTGGCCTATCCATTCTTATATAATCTATGGGTAAAACAGAATGGGGCACGAGTGCACAGTGATAATATAAGAATCTATAAGAATTCTTCTATTATCTATGTATGAGTGTCACATTGCAACACGGCTGTAAATAATATGGCTGCCGAACGACCAATACTACACAACAACACAAATCGTCGAGCCGGAATGTCATTAAAAAGTCACGTGACTAAAATAACGAACCTGTCGCGCCATCTACGGCATTTAATAGAACTTGTACTACAGCTGTAGATATAATGCAAACCATTATGACGTATTATAAACTATAAGTGTACACAACTAACTTTCCCGCGCAAATTTACATGTTAAATACCAATTGAAATAGCAATAGTAGTATTTCATTTAATTCTTTAAAATGGCTAATTTTTGAAAGAAATATCCACATAAAGTTTCAAAAACCACTTTCGGAGTCCCTAAAAACGAATATGAAAAATATAAATGGGAAAATGCATTAAAAACTGTTCTTAAAAAAAATGTTACAGAGTGTGTGTTTCAGATTTTAAAGAGTGCAACATAAAATCTACTTGTTATTCAAAAAATATTGAAACCAAATAATTAAATAACATGAAAATTTGTCACTTCCTAAAACTAAATTTCTAATTAATATATAAAATAGTTAGGTACTACCTATTGATAATTATCAATTAATAAATAAAAATACTTGAGTGAGAACTGTGTACCTGACTATTTATTGCATACCTATTCGTATTCGTATACACGAACATAAATATTTTGTATTATTAATTAGTAAATAACAATTACTATTTACTATATTTTATTTCAGTAACCCTGTAGGAGCCTGAACAATAATATATTTATTAATGCAGTCATACTATTTATCACCTAGAGAGCGCTGTCTGCTGGTGTGAAAATTAATATTCGTTTTGAGTTTCACATTATAACGGTTTTAAAATATAAATTCTATCAAATTTGTACTACATCTGTTATCAAAGATTGAATCATAATAGCGCCTCAAATTTGATCACATTGAACTATTATGGTATAATTATATGTTATTATGTTATGTTATAATATAATGGAATGTAGCTTATAGAAGGTAGTAGAGGGAAAATTTAATATATATCTGTAAGTAACGATAAACCGTTGCTAAATTAGATATTAGGTTAGGTTAATCGGAGTAAAATTGCTCCTAGAAAAGTTGTTCACATGAAAAAAAAGACCGTATTATTTTACTTTACATTCATACATTTTCCCGTATTTCCTCAGTTTTTTTCGGTTTTTTCCAATATATTGAGAAAACTTCTGAGAAAATTGAAAAATGACCCCCTTTTAAGTATCTTCCCAGTTAGATTTATTTACAGAAGAAGTGCTATCATTTTAAATCTGAGCAAAATTGCTGTTAGAAATTGTACACAGAAAAAAAAGGCCATATTATTTTTTTACTTATACCTAAATTTCACGTACTTTTTCTCAGCTTTCCCCCTTATAGATTTTTTAAATTTTTAGTTTGAAATTTGTATTTATTTGTATGATGAAAATTATAATTTATACGCGTTTATTTTCAAAAGAATAAGCAAAACAATGTGAAGAGCTGAAAAAACACTTCTTCAGAACAACTTTTTTTCGAAACACGGGTTTAAACTCTTGAACCCTAGGATGACACTAGGTATGAAATGATCATTTGGCTACGATAAACATGTTCGAGCGTAGACAATATATAACTATTTAATATAATATATACTTAATATCCGCATAATATCAGAACTTCAAAAAACTATAATTTTGAAACTTAGTTTGTCCGATCAGTTCTGATTTTTTCTGATCACAAAGTAAGACTCTTTATGAACCTCCTGTTAAATTTTCAAGCATTTTTGATCAATTTATTGAAAACTTGAAAATCTTGTTTCTCCGAATCGGTGCCTAAGTCGCCTTAGATATTACGTGGGTTTAAATATGGACTTTCGTGCGCTATTTTGATCTCATGTCTAGAGTTCAAAGTGCTTCGGAACACCTCAGCATATCTGTTTGAAATTTATACCTACTATCATAATAAGCGGCTGGGATTTAGAGCCATGGCTCTAGTACGTTATTTTTATATACATCAAGGGACCATGAATTTCATTTACCAATTACCTTTATATTTGACCAACATCGTATTAATAACTCATATTTTACTTTTCTGTATTTAATCATCAATCAATTTTTTATCATATTTTTTTTCTAAAATAGTTTGGATCAATATTAATGTTATGAGATACTTTACTGTCATCTAGCGTCATAATGACGATTGCTGGTGGCTTTCGGTTTCCACAGCATTACTCCTTTAATATTTGGAGTATAGGCAATTTAAATAACATAACACCATCATTTCTTATCGAAACAGACCCCTGACTCTAGTCCTCTAACTTCACACCCGTAACTTGAGAGGTGCTAAGATTATGGATACATCAAAAACCCATGGGAGCCATGCCCCCACAATCCCCTATACACGTACTTTCTTACAATAAGCAACTACGCAATTTAATTTACAATTGTATACATAAAAATTTATCATAATTATTTTAACATTATTTTTCATGTAAATAGATTTTCTGTAGGAAATTCGTATTTTATTCTGCTCATTCACAGGCGTAACTCTTAAACCATAAGGTTTAATACCTTTGGTCGGAGGTCACCAAACTTCCTGTTTTCCGATTTATTGAGAAAACTCTAGGGAAAATCAAAAAATGATTTCTTTAAAGTACCACACAAGTCCGATTTCCTTTCAGAAATAGTAGTATCATTGTAAATCGGAGCAAAATAGCTGGTACAAAAGTTGTTTACAGATAAAAAATACCGTAATTTTTTTTTTTTTAACTAATATCTCTATTTCGTATATTTTCCCGTTTTTCGTCAGTTTTATCTCTGATTTAACAATATATTGAAAAGACTCTTGGGAAAATATAAAAATTACCTTTCTAAAGTACATCTCCAGTCTGATTTATTTTCAAAAAAAAAAAAAATGCTACAAAGTGCTTGGAAATCGGAGCAAGATTTCTGGAAGAAAAGTTGTTCATGGATAGAAAAAAAAAAATAAACATAATTGTAAAATCAATAAATTTCTCGCTCCACTCAGAATCTAAGAAAATATATTATTTAAAAATATAACGCGAAAAGTTGGTAAGACTGGATTAGTAGAAAATTATTATCTTAAAGTATGCAGACTACAATCATACTTACCTCAAAAACGTACCTTTACCAACTACTCAAAACGTTCGATATTTGGACTTGCACCTTGACTGACGTCTTACTTGGGCAACTTATAAAAACACCAAGTGTTTAGCCTTAAACAACCGTTCCCGTCAACTATGCTACCTTCTCACATTGCAACACCTCAATCTTAAAAATAAATTACTCTTAAACAAACTACTCCTCAAATCTCTAAAATCTGGACTTATGGCATACAGCTATGGGAGCTGCCAAATTATCTAAGGTCAATAAAATTCTAATGTTCCAATCCAAATGCCTCCGCCAAATAACAAAATCGCCGTACTATACTTCTAGTAGTACCCTCCACAAAGATCTTTCTACCCTAATAGTCCAAAACGTTGCCAAAACCGTTTTATAAACGTTTACACTCGAATACTTACAAGGCTACAACCATCGGAATCCTCTGATCTCCGAATTATCCGTCCATACTAAATGTGCGTATCCCTGGCGACCCTTATAAATTAAATTTTGGTTGAAATTTTAATAAATTTTACAACAAAATTTAAAACAATACAACTCTACTGAAGACAATTCATTCAACTGAAAAGTACAATAGTAAATTTAAGTGTCAATTTTAATAGTACATAATAATGTATCGTTACATCAATTAATAAATACTTAAATAAAAAATGGCCATTCAATATGTCCCGATTTGATGATTTAAAAATTTAGAAATCCTAGTGAGTTTAGGTATCTATCTAAAATTTTAAGAAATTATTATAATATAGAATATATTTACACAATTTATACAAACAATATAATATGAAATTATACAAGTACGATTATGTTTGAACTGTTTAATAATAAGTGTGAAATTAAATTTCGTAAAATACAATTTTCCGAGGAACTGAATCTCAAAGTATATAGACAATATAATTATGTTTTATTTTAAGATTAAATACAGTCTATGCATTATTTATCTACTTTCATGTTGGCAGTTATTTTGTAATTATTTGTATATATTTGACTAGAAAAATTGCTCCAATCGAAAAATGATATGAGACCTGTACTGTTCTAATTTTGGATCTAGTTGATCACAGTGGCACACCCGTCCAAGTATTAGCTCTTTTTTTATTAGGTTGTCATGAATGTATCGATATTTTACTTAAATATCATAGATACCTTCAATTAAATTTGCATTAATTTCTGTTTAGTTCAATATCAAATAAATCAAATAAAATTACGTAAAAAATTCGCAAAATTAAAATGATTATAAATAGCACAAAAATGGCCCAAATATTTTGAAAAACTGATCACGTCTAGAAAAAGCAAATATAAGTTTTCTGTCAAAATCTAAAGTCTCTACGAATATTTTTAACTGGATTACATCAAAAACAAAATTTAAAATAAAAAAAGAATCATTTTTTTAAATTGTCTCGTTCTTTCTACATATTTTTAGTTTTGCTCAATTATTAAAAAAACAACAAATAAAATTAAAAAAGGACTTTCTTGGTCATCAACTAGATTCTAAAATTCAACAAAAAATGATAAATTGATATTTTTCTATTGGAGCAATATTTATGGTAGAAATCATAAGCTGTACAAATTAAAAATAATGAAATCATAATTTGTCAATTTCATTTTGTTTTTTCCTAATTTGTATAATAAAACTACAGAGAAAATCAATAAAACGAAGAACATACTCATGAACTAGATTAATATCGCAACAAAAAATAAATCTTGATGTTTATTTATTGGAGCAATATTTATGGTATAGAAAAGATAAAACGTAAACATTTAATATAATAAAATCGTTGTGACATAATTTGAAACAAATCGTATATTTTGTCTTTTTGGTTTTTTCCACTTTTTATGAAAAATAATTTAGATATCAGAAAACGACTTTCTCTATTAGTGGCTATGTGTTAAAAAGAATAAAATCGATCTTTTGTCATTTTCAGATTGGAGATATTTTTTTGGTAAAACACATCGTGTAAAAACAGTGAAACGGTAATGCCGTGGTGCGCCGTAAATATTTGCCATTTTACTTACAATTTTCTTTCGCGTTTTTCCCAATTATTTTGAAAACCTCTTGTAAAATCAAAAAATGACCTTTCTAATGTGCCAACTAAACCAAAATTTCTTTCAGAAAAGGTATTCATACTCTATTCATCAGAGCTTCTCACAGACACAAAAAAACTCGCTATTCTCCGAATTTAAAAAATAAAAAAAATGAATGGATTTATAAGTTACAATATTATAGATACGTAGGCAGTAATGTTTTGTCTAACACTTAAATTTGAAGATTTCTGCGTATATTTAAGTAGGTACCTACCTACCAATACGAGGTGAAAGTTCAAATACACCGGTCGCGCTACTCCTACCGACGCATTACCTAACATCATAATAATAGTGTTTTTAACAACATTATATTGCAGGTACAATTGTATTATACTTAAGTCCGCTAGGTTAGTATGCGTACGGGTGTCTTTAAGACATGTTTTCGCGATGTGCTGTCTCTGATGTCGTTTTTTGTACACGTTACATTTGCTAATATTATTATTATAATATGTTTGATTAACGATGAAAACCAGACGTGAGTATATTCAAAATTTAAATAAAATACATACGCTGTAGGTACAGCGGTTATTTAAAAGTATTCGAATAATGGTTAAAAAAAAAATCTATAGGTTTATTATAATATATTAGAACACTTTATTATCAATATTTGTGTTATTCGCTATAGAACAATACTTTTTCTCCGAACTCAATGATTTATATTTATGACAAAAGAAATAATTTTAAATTTTAAATCGAAGATAATAGTCATACAGCTATACAATAAATTAAAAATTATGTTCTATTTAAGTTATATAGTTGTAGTATAAGTTATAGTTATTTCATCTTTGATTGAAATAATATAATATAACATTATTGGCCTACCGCCTACACTTCTGATATTATGGTTATGTTTAAACGTTGAAATTATCGTGTACAGTTATTCGAAAATTCACGACATAATACGAATTATCGTGGCGTGTACAGATACTAATTAAATTTTCCTCTGTATTATACCTTTCTAACTTCTCATATACAACGGTGGCCCTGTAATGCGAAGTATGTCCGTCTATTTTGAGATTGTTTTGCAAAGTAGCCAAGTAGATTTATAATAATTTAAGGGTTGCGGAGAAAAATTATCAAGACAATATTAGATTAGTATGGATTATATTTCCCCTTTTTTCGCAGACTATGGCCTTTATTTGCTATCATAGACATTTTTAAATCGTTATAGCACAGAGCCACGGACCATGATATTTTTTCCCTAATTTGAACTTAATTCGATTCATGCATTTATTCGTTTAAGTCATAAGGATAAGATGATCTTATTTAACTATTTTTATTATAATGATCGATTGACAATGATTATTTTTCCTTGGAAACTTTTTTTATGTTATTCAGTTTTATATATATAAAAAAAAAAAAAACCTATATAAACTATATTATTGTATACAGTAGTGCAAATGTGTAAATATTATCGTTTTATGAGTAAGTAATATCAATAAGTTTTACATGATGAATAGTTTTTTATGTTTTTGATTTGGAGCGTATAGCAATGGTTTTACTATATGTGTGTTTTCTTTCTGTCCGTAAATAAATTTTCGAAAAAAAACTTGTTCCGATGTATAGAGTATATTTACTTTTTCTGAAATCAGATTTTCTCTATATGATGCATTAGTGAGGTCATTTTTCCAAGGGTTTTCAAAATAATTGGGAAAATCCGGAAAGATAATTAGGTATAGGTAAAACGGCATGTCGTTAAAACTGATAAATCTATACGACGCAACGATTTCATTATTTCAAATTTGTATGTCTTATGTTTTAATTCTACAAAAATTATTGCTCTAATAGAAAAACGAAAAGAGACATTTTTTGTTGCATTTTTAATTTAATTCGTGAGTAAGTAATTCGTTTTTTGATTTTTTTGGTAATTTTCATAATATTTGGGAAAACCACACAATTACGGCGCAACGATTTCATTGTTTAAATTTTAAATATTTACAACACAGGCAATACATGATTATACAATTCTATTATTTGTTTTTTGTGCGTTTTAAATTTTAATGTTATTATATAATTTATTATTATTGTCTATGAGATGTCGAAAATCAACTGGTAAAACTCTTACCTACTAAAATATAAGGTCATTGATCTTGGTACCTTAAAATATATATACTACGATATTAAATATTTGATGAAAAACAACTGTAGCAGTGAATATTTATTTCTATTAAATATTTATTTCTTATACCTATTTAATATACGATGTTATAATATTTAAATTAATTTTCATACATTCTTGTTATATTCCATTAACGGTTATTAAGTATTGTATTAAATTGGTATTGAACGAAAACAAAAATGAAATGTTATAATTAACTTTTTTTTAGGGTCAATTTAAATTATAATTACACCTTTAGCAATTCAAAAATATTTAAGATATTTTTAATATTGGTATTATATAGCAAATTTTAGTTTACAAATTGAATAGACAGGGTAGGCAGCTGCTGAGCGCACCGAATTTTTATTCTAAAAAATTTTTCCAATATTTCGAAAAAACTACCGTAAAATTTGTCATAAACAAGATTTTCATAAAATAGACTTTAGTCAACTAAGTCAAGTTTAAGTCAAAACTTCAAAGACAGGTAGAAACTTAATATGTTCACCAATATCTACAACACTATTACACAGACTAGATACATAGATTTAAAATAATTTGACTACTTGTAAACTCAATATAGAATTTTCAAAATTGATCAGTTTCATAAAAATAATATAATATTTACTCTATAATGCATACATACCTACTTAAAACTTGTATTAAATATTTTCAAATGTTCATATTGAAGCCTCAAATCAACAAATAATAATTAGTGATAACAGTATTTCAGTTTCTGTTTTCAATTCTCAGCGGAGTGAGGAATGTATTTGATTTATAATAATGGTGTTTACTATTACTATTTTTTTTTTAATTTCTCAGAGGGTTTCCTAATAAATTGGAAAAATTGGGGAAAACTGTTGGAAAAACGGTAAAATCCATTATTTTCAAATCGTAAATGTTATGACATTTCAAAACACGTAAAACTTAACTCCGCTCAGAATCGTTTTTCGTTAACAATGAGTAATCTTTACCTACAGATAGACATTCTATATCCTCTTTACCTTCTCTACTGTGGCCCACCCATCGTATGAAGTATGTCCGTTTATTTTAAAATATTTATGTGTCTCTCCGTTTACCTATATTAAAATCCCCCTATTAGCCTTTTATTTTTCAAGATATTCGCCTCATCATTTGCAAGACTAACATTTTCCGTTAGCAATGATTTATCTTTGTTTACATATTTAAATTAAATAACTTTATGAATCCTATAATTTCTCCACATGTCATCTACAATAGTGGTGCACCCTGTCAGATTTTTTTAAAACATACTTCTATTTAAAGACAAAAAGAATTTGAGGTAAAGATTTAATTTGCACCTAAAGCTTACTTAAGTATATACGCATTTTTTACCGTATAAAATATGAACTCTTAAATTGTTCTTGTGTTTATGTGAGTTATTTAATGTTCATAATAAAATTATAAATGTAGAATTAAGTAGTTTTAACTTGATAACTTAAAAAAAAAACAAAACAAAAAAATGTTAAATTATTAATTTATGATTCTTCTTCTTTGGAAAAAATTTTTTCGGTTTGTAAAAATACTCCAAATTATTTACACTATACCATAAAAAAATACGGATTTTTCGGTCTGTGGTCTTAAATTCCAAAATAATTTAGATTTTTAACATTTTTTCTCTAAAATTAAAAAATTAAACTGACAACAATATTGTAGGTACATCGGTTTTATTTTTGTTGATAATTTCTGCACGGTTACCTTGGTTACATAATGGAAAAATCACCGCGTCCATTACTACTTAACCAGAATAGGTTTTTGATACCAATGATTTGCAAGAACATCCTCAGAAAACTTTAGTTAAAAAAGGAAATTGTGAGACGTTCAACTTTTTTCTGAATAATTGTATTTTACGTGACGTAAAACTGTATTGGTTTTTTGTTTTTTATTTGTATTAATTTAAAACATCAAGTGCTGGAATGTTGGATACTATTAAACTATTTTGTATAAAATGTACGTAAAAATATAATAAAATTTACAAGTTAATATATAATTGCAAGTACCTAACATATAGATAGCATAATGACACTAGTAATTTTTAATGATGCACACGTGAAACGGATATACAGCTGATTAATTATCATATTTTTCCCGATTGTCATTATTCATTATACATAAGACCGTTTAGAGGGCTCGGGCAATAGAATAATTTTGTTTTAGGTCCCATTTTTAAAAATATTTAAGGAACCCCCTCAAAACCAAATCCCTAGTAAAATCCAGATGGACTTATGATTTTTAAATTATTGTAATATTAGTCAGATACATATATGGTTAAAGTAATTTGAGAAATCATTCGACGGTAGTATTAGACGGCTTATCATATTTTAAAAAAATATTTTTTATATGAAATATCAATACAATTTTATTTCGTCTCTGTGATTTAAAACTACGTATACATTTTTTACGTAATTAGTAATCTGTTAAATTTTTATTAGCCTATTAAATTTTGATCTACGAATAAATTGTATATTATTAAGTCAATGAGGTGGTACAAATTATATATTTGCTAACATATTGCAGATCTCGAAAAATATTTTTTTAATACCATATTGAATTATAAGATGATTTTAACCTAATAGTTTTCGAATAGTAATCAGAAATCTACAAATAAGTCACGAAATGAAGCTGAATAGAGATATTATAATGCAATATTTACTTATGTAAATGGCATCATGATAATATTGCGGGAGTTATCGAAAACGATGTAATAAACTATAGAGAAATAATTAATCGAATTTAGCCGTAAAATGGGCCTTGTATTCAATGAACATAAAACCAAATATCCAGTAATAATATTTAAGCGTGTGACGAATAAAATAGATCCGAAAGTAGGTTCCCTTCTCTTTTGAGCAATTTGGTTGTTTTTAAATTAGAGTCAACATAAACAGTAGAAATAAAATGCTTAAATAAATACTATTACGGACAATTTACAATCAGATCCTTTTTTACCATGAATATAAAATACTCAGTTTTAGGTATTTGAGGAAGTTATAGGAAAAATCTCTCAAGAGCATTTTTTTTACAGAGAGAAATAAAATTGATAAAAATAAATAAATAAAAAAATTATAATACATTTATTTTTATAAATGTTCAGAAAACTAGAAATCTGGTTCCAATTATTAACATCAGGGGTGGCTTATAATAGATAATTTTGTCTATAGTAGGTGTCTATAGGCTAGTCCTTTTTTTGATTTTCTTTTCACTCTTATTAATAATAAAGAAAACTGTAAAAAAAGTCGGAGACATTTATGGAACAACGGTTTCTGGTAAAATTTTGTTTTGTTGTAATTTAATAAAAAGTATTTCTATATAGTAACCTGACATTTTTTCGGAAGACTTATATAAGTATTCTTTAGACGTGGTACAATTTTAAATATACTTTGGCGCTGTATAAACTATATGAACTTTTCGAATATTTTTAGTTTTATCTGGCTAAAATATTTTAGCTTGATGATCTAATGAATTGTTTAAAGTTGCCGCAGGTTGTCATTTGAGATAAAAAAAAAAAAAATAACCTAGGTATTTACGTATAATATGTCACTATATATAAATGTGTGAACTATGTAACCTCTCCCAAGATGAGCACTCAAATGCGCCACTGTTAGGTTATTGTCTAAAACCTCCAAAGAGAAATTCTATATATTTGCTGTTTTTATCCAGTAATAATGTGTGCATGTAAGACAAAGGGAGACGAAGAAAAATTACAAGTATTTGAAAATACAGTTTCGCGGAAAATACAAGAACCTGTGTGAAACCAAAATGAAAAATATAACTAGAACTTTAATTTTAACAAGAAATACTGTACAACAAAACTAAAAATCAAATATCAGAATGTCGCTAAGAGCAAAACAATTGGAGTGGGCTTTTATAATGAAGTATTAAATTTCAACTTCAACTTTCACGAAATCGTCAAATATATACCAACGTGACGCATTTCATGAATTCCTATAGCAGCTTCCGAATCCGAATAAGTTCACGTCTTTACACTCGAACCAGTGTCGAAATAGTCACGTCATATATTTTGTCTCTGACCACCACGTACGGGTAGCCCCGGGGTTGTTTGCGTGGAAACGTGTAATAGGATTCTCATATGATTAACGTGTTAACAGACTTGAAAAATCGGAACACGATGTCTACGTTAACTATATTATTGTAATATCTCGTTGTCCGTCTCGTGATTTTATTGTTATTCTGTTTTCGACATCCGGTATAAATCGTAAAATATGTCGGCGTACCGAAACATATAACAGTATAATATAAAATCAGCTGTCGCACACTCGCACCACCGAAAACCATCTGCAGCCGTTCGCGCAATGTCGAATAGTCCGTTAAATACTCGCGATATCCTATAAGTAAACAATCGGTTGCGATTGGACTATATTTTGTTCTAGCGTTTGCGTACGTTTTTCAAAAGGTTTCTGCTAGATAGCTATTAGGTACGCTTAACGTACCTACGCACGCTAGAACATGAAAATAAAAAATTCATACAACTATCAATTCAAAAAAAATCGTCCTCGATTACCGTGTTGCGCGATCATTGTCGCTCGTATAGACAAAAACTAGGGCGTCGTCACTTATCCATTCATTATATTATACGCGATTCAGGACACGTATTACCTCATGGTGCGATACAGTTCCCGAAATTCGTTTTGAAATCGATGTCGCATCGTTCTAAACGCGCGTCCGACTGATTATTATACGTACACAATACACACTTAATATTAGAATGTGTATTCTGTTACGTGCTCGTGAAGCGGATTTCTTTCGGTTGTACCCAGGTGTTGTCAGCCGCGGTTTTCTGTTTTGAATTAAGCTTCAGTTTTGTAAAAAAAAAACACACGGTAGTCGATGAATGTCATCTACAATGGATGTACAAATAGTATAATATACGTAGGTACCATTGGTATTGTATACACTCGGTTCTCTCCGCCCGTTTTGGGCCCTTTGCCCGGAAAGTCAGAATGACGTTTACAGACGGATAGGTCAGTATTACACCAAACAAATTCGGTTACGGCCGCGGATGCGTGGCGGCGGCGGCGGGTGGCGTTATTTTTTCGTCGTCGTCGGCGTCGCGGCCAAGTGAAATCCACGGGAACCGGATTCGCGTATACGAGAGCAAAGGTAATTATAATTATTGTTGTCATTTTCTCTCTCTCTCTTGCTTCACGCGTACGCCGAGGTCGAGGGGAAGACTGTCGCGATTCCGGTATATGCGCCACTGCCACTCGGCGGACGACCGCGTTACGTAACGCGGTTCGGTCGGAGGACGCGCCGCTGACCGGCCGACCTGCGGCCGAAAACCGGGTGGGGGAGGAGCGGAATCTTTCGGACTGCGGCTCGTCGCATATTCCGTGAAAAAACGCGCGAACGCGTGTCTATATTTATAATGTATAATAATAGTCGAAATGTTTGTGTAAAACATGTCGACGCGCGAGGAACAAAACAAATCGCCGACACGTAGGCGGGTGATAATATATAATAATAATAATAATAATATTATACACGCGCCGGGAGATGCGCACGAGAAAACCGGTCGAAATGTTATTATATTGTGTGCTTTTTGTTTTCGCGGCCACTTTCCATTGTGCGCGCGCCGGGGCCAACCGATTGTTTTCACTATCGAAACCGTTTGCGGCGTACGGTCGTGCGCGTTATATTTTGTTCGCAAGAACGAAGAAAATAAAACCGCGGCTGAGTTCACATTCTGCGTCCGACAATAATAACGCATATCGTTTATTTTGTTTTCTGTCTACCGGTTCGCGGTTCTGACACGGTTATCCGCAACGTCGTATTATCACGCGCGCAGGAGATTTTCACGCTATCGCAAATGTGTTTTTCATACAATTAAATAGCCGGTATGCACAATATTACAATATCGTATTTGGCGTGCGAAAGAATCGTGTAATAATAACCCGCAACAATTTTTTATTATTATACACTACGACGGCGGTTACGCCGCGGCCGCACTCGCGCGCTACCGTACAGAGACGGCGGCAGTTATCTTTATTCTACGATGACTGACACACTGCGGCGGCGGCGTCGTCCTTGACTCGGCAATATAATTTCGTGATCGAGGGGACAAACAATAATAATAAAGGCGAAAGCGTAAGTTGTAATAAAAATAATCGAAAAGTACGGACAACGGTATACTGTCGGTATCTTATTAATACAGGCACGCGTTGCATTCGCGACGTACCTACACGCACGCACACGTGATATTCACAATGGGAACATTCGTGTGCGCAAAACACACGGGCGCGCGCGCGCACCCTTGCAGTATTGCGCACGTTATTGTGTGTCCGGATGGCTGCTACGCGCTCGCGGACGGGATCCGTTATTGTAACGGTCCGTCCCGTTATTATATCGTTACACACCGTACTTGTGTGGTATACCTACACACAAGTTGGATATATTATTTAGGTACTCGTATTTTTTTTTTTTTGGCAATATTAATTAGCTACTTTTTTTCTATCGTCGTTGAGTAGTATTTTTCGAGTGTTGCCGTCAAACAAAATAATGAACACCAGGGGCATACTTGGGTGAGGGTCGATGGAGGTGATCGCCTCCCTAGATCTGTGTGTAGCGTACATTATTCCAAATATACGTATAAAATGTCTATTATGAAATACGTGTTATGTTTAAAATTGTTCTGTATAATTCGCTAATCACATCGTTATCGTTACCAAATCTATATAGGTAGGTACTGTACAATTTATCGCAACAACGTGAATTTACCTCAATCCTGACTATCGAATCCTAATTTTCACCTCTTTAAAGAAAGACGAAGTGCGCTCCTAATATACACTCTATATATATATATTACGCCCGTCCAATTTTAATATTGTGACGTGTTTGTACATTCAGTATTTTCGAACTGTATTCATGTATTATAAAATATGATTTTTCTAAAAAATCGTCAGGTATAAGCCATTAGGTAGATACCATATATTGTGTTGAGGTATGTTTTTATTTAAAAAAAAAAAAAAAAAATGGCAGCAGCGTCTTTGATGTACATCAGCCTATAAAAGTATAAACATACATGTACGATATTATATATTAATGTATTATATACGATATAAATATGAGTTTATAGTATTTCACAACTGAAAAAAGAAAAAACTTAGGTGTTGGGCTTTTTACAAAATTGTTGGTGTTGTTTCACCTTCAATAAGGGCTTCTAAATTAGTAGATATACACAGTGGTGTATCGGTGTAGATAAATGTATGGGTATACGCACATAAAAAAGGGATTAAATACCACCTTAAAAAATGTTTCTCGCTACGCTCGGAATGCCATTCCACTTACTATATCTTATACACATAACTATCTAACCACTTAACTACACATAAACATTGTCTAGATTTATATGTACCAACATAAATAACTTTTTACTGGCTTAATTTTACAATTTTATAATGGTAATTTCTTTTTGTAATAGTTTTAAAATGAATATACTTAGTGTCCAACAAATGTTCGCATAATTATGAATTTGTTATAAAATTTAAACCAAAATTACGAATTTAGTAATATTCAATCGAACCATAATATAGATAAAACGGTATAAACGTGTGTAAAATTAATTTGAAAGAGAGTCGTAACCTGACAGTTTAAGGTACGGTTTCCCTTGCGCGATCGCGAACGCGGTCAGCGAACGCGATCGACGAACTAGAAGATCGCGTTCGCATCGTCTTGGTTTATTCTGAACGATTTTACGTCGCGATCGAGAGTAATTTATATTTCATCATTCAGTCGTACTTAATGTTTTGATGTGTGAAGTACTCTAGTGAACGGTATAAACGAACATACTGAGAATTTTTAAATTATAATGGATACATCTGACGACGTAAATATATTGAAAATTCTTTTTGAAGAAGAAGATGATGATGACGTTTTGCTCTTATATTTGTCAGAAGAAAAAAGAAAAGGCCATGATCAATTAATCAACGGTCATTTGAAAAATAATGAAATCAAATTTCGAGAATTTTTTAGAATAAATCGTAATCAGTTTGATTTTATTTTAAATTTAATAAGAGATGACCTAGCCTTAAATCCGACTTTTTTTATAAGGAAACCAATAACTTCATCTTCTACTTTGCTAAATTTGGTCATTGGAGCACTCATTGTTGAAAGACCCGACCAACGTCAACCAGCAGTCAATCATAAATGAATGTCATATACTCATATCATAATTTTCTTTCAAAATAACAAATTAATCGCGCCGCGATCGAATTTAGATCGCCGACCGCGATCGCGCAAGGGAAACCGTACCTTAAGACGTCCGCTATGAAGATCTAGAATTATAGATTACCGGTCTGCTCTCTTTTGGGACAGATTATAAGTACATATAATAATTGTTATTGTTATTATTACAGTTTTATAGTGACGATAATTAAAAATTCACCTACCTTTAATATACATATGTTTAGTAAGCGTATACCTATCAACAACAAGTTTTCACACGGGTATACGCATAAATCCAAAAATAGAGATTCGCGGACCGTGATAGTGGTAATAAATATTTAATAGTGTATTAAGTTTATTACACGAAATAAATAGTGAATATTTTCCAATACACCTATACACTATCGAATGTAGATGAGTGCATTATTTTTTGGATGGTTAAGTTAGATTGTTAATAATTGCTGCATCTGGGTGGAGGTTCTTTGTTGATTGTTGTTTGAATGCTGTTATTACGAAAATAATGTAACAAATAAAATTATTATATAGATAATAATTTTAGACGTCTAGACGCGGTAAAACTTTCAAAACATTTTTGCTATTTTACAAAGTTAATTTTGAGCTATTTATAGAGATTTTAATTTTGCGAGTAATTTACGTAATTTTTATTTGGTAGGTACTTATTGTAAAAAATTGTTAGGCTAAACAGAAATGCTTGAAAATAAGGTACATCATAAGTATTAGTGAACAAACAAAAATTGTGTGTTATGTAGTACCTATATTTTTTTTTTTTTTGTAAGTGTTTTATAATCAAATTTTGATGAAATAAACTAAATATTACGTAAATAATTAAAGGCCGTAAATATTACGGTTACAGTTATAAATTAAATAACTTTATGTATACCAGCTTCCCATTACTCATCTACAACAGTGGCCTCAACCGCCCCTAGTATCAGCTTTTTTTAAAATTATTTATTCGTAGAATATAATATTACGTATATTAAAATATCTGCAGTATTTTATTTATTAAAGGCGCCCAGCGATCATGGCCAAAAATCCAAGATATATGTATAGTGTAAAGCTACATGGATACTTTAAATATAATTTTAACAAAAATAATCTGCAAAAAAAAAAAAAAACAAACATCTTTGATAATCAAGTAACCAGGTGGTTTTTTTTTCAATCCGAGTTAACTATAATATAGAAACCATTGAACGCACCCGGGGAGGTTCAACGGACCGTTGCAAGCGCATAGCCAATAACTCTATTCAAAAAAACATATGCGTACAGATTGCAGTGTATGTCATACAGGGTGTTATTTTTTCATATGTATTGTGTTGATATTTCAAAATATTCTCTAATAACCATACGAGTATAATTCTTAGCGAGTATCTTATACAAAAAAAAAAAAAAAAAAACCCAAACCGATTTTTTCATAGTGTATAAATGAAAAATAATGCGCGACCACTGTACAACGTTATTATATTTTGTATTTATACGAGTATACCCGTAAAACCGAATATATTTATATATTATAAATACATATATAATATACTGTATATTATACTGTAGGCATATGCACGTTAAGCGGTTTTATTTAGTTAGGTGCCAACGCCGTGAAAGTAAAGAAATATGTTATTATATCTAAATTTTGTATGGTACACATAGGCATCGCGATGACCGGATGACTTTGATAAATTGCGATTACCAATTACGAATTGTACATATTCGATTTTTTATTAAATCGTACATACAGATATCGGTGTTCATTTTACATAGTTAATTTGTGTTTTATAAAAACATTGTCTGATATCATTCGTGATCTAATAATTCTATTTTTCATTGGGCTCTTCTTTTTTTCATTAATCGACGATTATGTTAATGCACTTGGACTATGACAAATATTTAAATAAGACGAATAGGATATTAACAATAAACATGCATATGGCTCAGATACCGAGGTATTGCTGGAATAAGATTTGAATTGCAAACATCAATTTAGATAGGATGGTAAATAAATAACCATAAAACAGTGTTGGGAATGAATGCGTTACTTTTATGTAAGAACGAAGGTTAGATCTCATTGCTTTTCAAATATAGGAACGAGAAACGGGAAAAACTTCCATTCCTTCTATTGCGAAAAAAAAACGCACGTTATTTTAGTGATGATATTGTTTAGAAATTATTTAATGTTACTAATAAACTAACGCAATGGCACAATATATTATTTCTATTTTCATTAACATATACAAGGTTCGTAATATGATAATATAAACCACGCGGTGCATACCTACTTATAGAACTGGAACATATATTATTTTCTGGTTTTTCATTTTCATTTTTAAGGTAATAAATTAATTTAATTTAATTTTCAACATGTCAATTCTAATTTTCAATTAGTTCCAATCTAGTTTCCAATTTTAGTTGACTTGATTTACTCACACTATAGTCGTATTTATACATATATAAATACACGCATAGTATTGCATACATATGTACATACATACATGCATAGGAATCTGAGGCCACATAAAAATAGCTATGTATACGCGATAATATTGTGTTCGCCCACAGACGATTGTTAAATATGGAAATGGAGTTATTTCGTCTGTAGGGATACCTACAATAAAATAATATTATATCAATAGCTCATGGAATTATAATATTTTATGGTTAATTATTAAAAATAGAAAGTTAATATTTAAAAGCAGAACCTTAAAAAAAACGTTTAGCCTTGATTTATGTGCATTTGGATTGGAAAAAAGAATAATGCACCAGAGAAAGTTTAAATTAAATATATCGAATAAATATAAATGGTACCTACCAAACATACATTTTACGGGTGTTTAATAGTTATACAGACTGACCTACAGTGTTATCTGAATGTTAATAACTTTACCAATGTTTATTTTTTTTTTCAGATTTTGAGTCAGGGAAAACACAAATGTAGAGAAAAATTAAATTTTTTTTTCATCCCATTACTGAAAAAAAATAAGTAACTTTATTTTTTACTTTTTAAAATAGCTAATTCGTAAAATATATTATTTTTTAAATTGGTGTAAAACAATTAGTTTTCAATAGAATAACACGTTACGCTATATTAATTACAATCAGTACGGTAATTCCCCTATTATCTCTTATTGAATATTAATCGTTTTCAAGCCTAATTTCTATAAATTTAAATGGATATTACTAAGAAAGTATATTGATCGAATGTGTAAGTAATGATACATTAAAATGTTTATAATAATACATTGTACAAATTGCAAATGGTTATTTGGCTAAAATTTTATTAAGTGAAAAATTGTTTTTTTCTTTCAGTAATTAAAAGTTAAAAATAAAATTTAATTTGTGTCTTTCTAACACAAAATCCGATAAAAAAAAAAAAAAAAAAAATGAATATCGAAACATTAGTTATTCACATTCGTATAACACTGTAGAACACTCTGTTTATTACTATGTGCATATGTGATATGTTTGCATGTACCTATAAATAACTAAAAACGGTTGATAAAAAAATGTTTAAATATTTATTACAATGTTTATTATTTAATTAACGAAATTTAATTTGATTATTTTCGTTTCCAAATGACAAATTTCAGAAAAGGTATGTTATTTAATAATGCACGAAATTTTGAAGACAACTGGTAATATTTTGTAGTTTTGACTACAAAAACTAAAATGAACATTATTCGCTTATTAATACGTTTACGATGTCACCTTAAGTGAGGTTTATATTACGTGAATTTGATGTCTCACAAAACAGCTAATTTGCCAAATTGTTAACATGATATCAGGGTGTTCCATTAGTAGTAGCGAAGAAGGAAATACAGTTTACATGACACAAATCAAAATAGACGTATCGCCTTTGATGCGTGTTAAGAGACCGGCAATAGTCCGGTTCGCCACAAAGCCGTTTTACGCTGAGTCACAATTCACCTGAGAGAAGTTCCATATTGGTCGTATCATGTCCAATCTCGTCTCTCGCAATATGTTTCGCGCATCAGATTCACGTCATGTAAACCCGGCTTATTATATTTGATTGCACAGAATTCAACTGTGTAGCTTAGTAGTTCTCATACTCATATAACATGTTAGATTAGGTTAAGTTGCAGATTACTCGCATAAGAATTTTAATACCTAGTTGTAAAACATTCTTAGCCAATAATGATGTTTTAATAGGTATTTCTTCATATTTTATTGTTTAAGTATACTTTTTTTGAAAGTTTTGTAAAAATTAAATTGTAATTATTCAAATACATATATTAAGTTAAAAGTACCTATCAAATACAGATAACAAATAAAACCAAATTTGTAATAAAAAGTATTTATCTCTCGTTATGAGTATCCCTATTCAATAATTACGATTATATTATAATGTTTTATTAGTAGAAATCAAATACAAATTATACAAAAATATTAATTATTAAAATATAAAATTCAAATTAATTTCGATAGCTTTTTTATTGCGATTATATATTTAAATATATTTCAATATACAAATAATCTTGGAACTATTTTGGTTATACGGTTTGTGTAACACATAAAATGCTAATGTCTATTATGATACAACATTAAAAGGGTTTTAAAATAAATAAATTAATAATTGGTTTTTGTTGATAAAATAATGATATTTCATGAAAATATTTATTATTACAACGCATGACCGTTTTCCATCAGTCCATCGCCTTTGTGTTGAGTACGACTGTGATACACTGCAGTACATTATGTTATAATGTATAGTTTTAACGTGTTTATAGAAAAATATTAAGATTTATTAACTATACACTGAAAAAAAAATGAACATGAAGGCATTTAAATTTGTTATTTAAGTACTTGCCTGTGTAATATTATATCATTGTATATTGATTTCGCCATCATTTTCTGAATTGTTTTATTTGCGCCCATGGCCCATGAGTCGGGGCTTATCGTTTATACAATATTATTATTATGCTGATATTTAGAACGGAAACAATAATAATAATTGTATTCCCTGTTATAAATTTGTAACTGTCGGTTTTTTGCAGATGGTTAACGAGCGGTGGTGGGCACTGATGTTGATGTTGTCTGTAGCCCACGGACACGTGCCTTGTCAACACTCGTATGGCGGCGGGTGCAGATACAACGAGGAGCTCTTCGTGCCGGCGCCCATCGGCCAAGTTCCCAGGTGCGTTCAGAATTATCACGATGACGTCACGTTCTGCGAAACTATTGACAGATATCCGGAGTGAGTATTTATCATCGGAATATATTGGTATCAAGTATAGTAAAAGATCAGAGTTCTACAATTAATATACAATATATATTTTGACCGTATTTCCTACATAAACTCACAGTATACACGCATATGCATCAATAACACTTGCATATACTCTAAACGGAAACACCGTTTTTTAACGTCAGATTCTATAAGCCCTAGCAACTTTTACTAATACATTTTTTTTTCCTATTTCAAAAATTTACCGCGATACAACCATCAGCTACATAATGTTTAATCAAAAAAACGTTCTTTTTTTGGATTTTAAAAAAATGTAGTACGCATTTTATTATTAAATGTAATTTTAAAATTAGCGTTACTTATAACCTTTTGCCCATAAAATACTAAGCGGGGATCATCATAGTTAAAAAAAATTCCCATTTCAATAAAGTTCATCTGACCAAAATATTTCATGTTAACATTACAATGAAAACAATGTATACTATTATACTGCAATTGGACGTAACTCATAGAGAATTCCCCACATTATGGTTAGTGTAATGTATACGATATTTAAACAATGGTCGATACTCGTAATAATTTCGTTGTCTTATAGTCCTATTTACATCATATTGTATCTACATGAATAATTCCGTATAAGGTGGTGTCTCTATCAATTATAAATTACAAATACCGTTTATTGTATTCACAACGAGAGTTATGATTTGTGGGATTTTGCAATATAGAACAAGGAAATGTATATTCTCATGCAATTTAGCAAATATAAGTAAAGGTATATTTTTTGGAAAATGCGTTTAAAGTCTTGTACAGATATTTATTATATTTATGTAACCGATTTTTTTTATGTACTATGATTTTTTAAGTGTAATAGTACAACCTAATATATTAGGTTGTGCTAAGTTTAGTTTACTGAAGTAATATTGCAAGTGCTCCAAAAAAACAGTATATTATTAGTGTATCGTTCGTATTCATTTTTATTTGCATATATTATATACGAAGAAATAGGTTTTGTATTTGTAAAAAAATGTATGAAATAAAGCATCAGTATTATAATAATTTAGAAACTTAATCAATATGTTATAGACGGTTGATAAGTTATCTGGTCACGAAATCGGACAAGAACTTTAAAACTTTTTTCAACGAAGAAAAACTTGTCGACAAACCCTATTATCAAAAGTAACTTACTAAATAAAGTTTTTTTTGTATCTTCACCAATATTTTTTAAAATATCATATTTTATTTCAGCAAAAATGTAAATTATAATCACGACGGTTATGGCGATTACAATGATTATCAAAACGACACTCAAAGCCAATTTGCTGGCTACCCGGATAGGACATATATTCTACCACAGGTATCTTTAACAGAGGCTCCGAATGTAGATCAAAATCGTCAATTTATCCCCAAGTAAGAAATGCTACTTCGGTTCAATAATAAAAACTAAAAAAAATATTTTATTTATATTATAATACGTATAACTATATAGCTGCCACTTTTTTTACAAGCATATGAACATGAAAATGTATACGAAAATAAAAAGTTCTATTTGAAACATAAAATATATTCAAATTAAAGTTTTATACTCTGCCAACAATATAATTTAAATCAAATTTGATATTATACTAGTAGCCTTGTAAAATCATGAAATTCCCAAGAAAATAATTATATCAAATAACAGTGTGATAAGATCTTAGTGGTAATTTTTTACAAGGTTAAAAACTACACATTTTTGATGCTTAAATTAAATGCAAAACATAAAAAAAACTGATTAATTATGATTTTTAAGTATCAACCATGGTGGTGGTGGGAGCTACAATAGGAAAAAAAGACAAGATGACATTCAACTATGCCCAGTTAGAATCAACAACATATTTCCTAAAGCGGCTTTAAATACCCAAGGTGAATGGAAATATGTAGTTAACATGGTACGAACATTGTCTGACATGTACACTCAATCCATAAGGTCGGAAATTTGCACGTAAGTTTAATATGTACTATTAAATTTGATAAAATATAACATTAAAATATAACATTTTTACCAACATTAAGTACCTGTATAGTATAGTATTACATCTACACACGTATGTTAGTAGGTTTGCCTATTATAAACGCCGTTCAATTATTTTGCAAATTTTAAATTCTGTGTTTATTGGTTTTTTTAAATCATAAGTAGAGTGCTGAGTTAAGATATTTTAAAGTTAATTATATAATCATAAATGAGATACATTATATCATTATTCTAATGCCTATCTTAATTTATAATACTATACAATTTCGAGAAAACTTTTTAAAAAAAGTTCGCTCGTGGGTGCAGCCACTGCACCCAGGTGGGAAGTTGGTAAAGTAGAATACTAACGGGAATTTAATGTATATCAGTAAGCAAGGATAAACCATTGCTAACGAAAAAACAGTTCTGATCGGAGTTCGGTTGATAGTTTGCTTTGTCAAGAATATAATATATTTTTTGTAATATGACGGTAAAATGATTACAACAATGTGCGTTTCCATAACAATGATTGTTTATAAAAGATTAAAATAATAAAAACTTAATAATAAACAAAAATAAATAGAAATAGTTGCCAATGACAACCTTGTTTTTAAACTTTCAATTTTTATTACCCCAAAGAACAAGGTTTTCGTCATTATTTTGAATATTAATGAGAATTTCAAAAAATGACAACTGCAAAGTACCACCCAGAGAACATTTTCTTTTTCAGAAAAGGTGCTAAACTTGATAATTGGAGTAAGCTTTCTGGTAGAAACAGTGTTTACATAAAAAAACAGTAAAAAAATATAAACATCTTTGTAAAACCAATACATTCTTCACTAAACTTAGAATTTGAAATATTATAGTGAACCATAAGAATTTAAACTGTTATTCTCTCATTCGTGAATCATTTTATGAAATCAATTATCTATCAATTATTTTCGATTACAAAATACGATTAAGAAATTATAGTTTACGAATTCCGTGCATAAATAAAATGGCTCAAATAAAATATATCTTACAGTTCAGATTATATTTAGAATGTTCTGAAACACATATATAATAAAAATAATAATTCATTATGTATTGTACAATTTTTATATAAGTGTATTATTTAACCATTGGGGAAAATGTATTTAATGTTACTTTTATTTTTTGTACTCGAAAATTTTAAAACACATTATATAGATAGAAGCTACCTGTACTTGTTTCACCACACTATATGTATCATAAAATTAAACATGTATTAAACATTTAATGTCACACAAAAATTAATGACGTATTCTGGTTGACAAAAAAATCCATAATATCAGTCATAAATAAAAATAATATTTTTTTACGGAGTCGTAAAACTATTATTATTTTAGTAAAACGACTAAATCCTGTTCTCTGTTAACAAAAACCATTATGTTATATTATTTTATATGAACGTTTTGTATAAATTATTACTAAAATAATAAAAACAAAATCCAATATAATAGCAACCACGAACAATAATAACAATAATAATGGATTTAAAAATTTGTGCATTATAAATAAACGTATTAATAAATAGTAAGAAAAAATAACAAAACGCAGGAATCAAATACCGTTGGAATAATATCAGTAAAAATATTTTTAGATTATAATCTTGAAGATAATTTTAATCGGACACATTTTACCCAAAATATAATATTTATAAAATAATAATAATAATAATAAACGTTAATTTGTAATATTTCGTCTAAGAACATTTCTCTTAGAACAATAAATTTAAACCATGTTTGTTACAACTTGTATTTTATTTTAGTTTCAAAATGACCCCAAAGCAAAATGCGTTTCAAACATCAACAATAAGATATTTATTATTATTATTTTTTTATTTATACCTAAAGTAAACCAATTATATTTCATTTTTGGATACGAATAAGAATGTCTATACATACATAGTTTTTTTTTTTATAAAACGATTTCACTGGGTTGAAATGAAAATGGGTTTACAAAAAACTGTAAAAACCTTTTTTATTTTAAATAATTAAGTGTGTTGTGTTATTAATGTGAAATTGTGACAAAATTAAAAAGTAGATATATAGTCGCTGTTGTAATATGTAAGCTGAAATAATAATAATAATAAAACAAACTACCATTAAAAAAGTCGGATATACTTCGCACGATTGATGGGCCACTGTTCTAGGTGAGAAGTTCGAAAGATAGAGGGGAAATTTAATGTATATCTGTTCGCAATGATTAACCATTGCTAACGAAAAGTGATTCTGAGTGGAGTTCAATTCATAGTGTTGCTTTGCCAAAAATATAAGTATCATACTATGTTAAAATAATTACAATTATATTATATTTTTTTTTTAATAATATTTATTTAATATTGTACCTATTTCTCGTTTTTTCTACATTTTTTCCCGATTTTTCTCAAGTCTTTTCCTAGTTTTTCCCATTAATTGAGAAAACTCAAAAAAATAAAAATCTCTTTAAAGTACCACCCCAGACAGATATTTGTTCAAAAAAAGTGCTACAATTGAAAATCGAAATGAAATTGCTGGTAGAAAAATTGATCACAGTTAAAACAAAATAAAAAATAAAATAAACATCACTGTAAAACTAATACATTCCTCACTCCGATCAAAATCTAAAATATGAAATAGATTTTGAAACATTTTTGATGCATGTCCTTTTTAGTGCATAAACGAGATCTAAAATGCGTACAAAAATACCTCGTTGAAAAAAGATAACTTTTCGGTCCATGCAAGTTTTCTGTTCGAAAATTTATTTCCAGAAAAATAACACACCTAGGTAGTAAATCCAATAAATCCTTCGTTCCGCTCAGAATCTTAAAGAAAATTATAATTATATTTCTTTAAAAAGGTATATTAAACTAAGTTTTATGAGTATTCTTTGTGATTTTAACATATACTATTTTAATTTAATTGGTTCAATCATAATATTATATCAGAATCAGTAACGTGCCCAGGGATTTTTAGAAGGGAAATATAACTTTTAATTATCCCCCCTTTCCATGTACGACAGAATAATTTATTTTGTATAGTATACGTGTTTAATATGTATAAAGACAAAGAATAATATGAACATATTCGTGTAGGCAATTTTTTATTCTTGATCTACATATTGTACATTGTGTTACATACATACATATATTGCATGTTATTGTTATTATGGTTTAATATAGATTATAAGTATAGCCGTGTAGGTAATAATACATAAATATTATTTTCTAGGGATCCCGATCAGCCATGCAACGGAATCTGCGAAACACCGATCGGTTTCAATACGTCGTGTAAACAGAAATTCGTTCAAAAACGGTTGGTAGCATTGCAAGGGACCGGAGATAATTTGTACATAGACGTTTTTTGGTTTCCACATTGCTGCTCGTGTACCATAGCCCGGGTCGAACAATAAACGATATTAAAACACCTAGTACGCTGTATTATTATTATTTTACGTTTTTGCAACTGGTATATTTCGCTTCCGATGGGAATAAAACTCGACGAAAATATTATTTTCCTTTATTATTATTGTATAATTTAATATTATTTTGTGTACAGTGCATACTATATAGGTATAAATTTATCGACGTTATTGTAGCCAGAGCAAATATTATAATATTATAATAGCATAAAATATAGCCCATAGGTATTAAACCGTGTTCACGGAATGAATATTCAAATGATGGTAGTATTTACTCGTACCTATTACCGTAGTTCTTTCAACCGTAGTAAAACCGTATTTATAACTTATTTACTAACTAATTACTTTTATTTTTCGAACAATTTGTTTTTAATTTTATTCAGTATTTATAATATCATTATGTATACTTTTTTTTTCAATGAATACATTTTTTTTTTTATGAATATCACTTTTTTTCTGAAAAAACTTAAGGCGTATGCCCGTATACGTTTAAATAATATACATATACAATATTATTGAACTTTAAACAGGCATTTCAATTGTTTTATTATGATACGTATTACTTATTTTAGTTATTATAGACCTATAGTATAGTTGTATGCGTATTATAATAGAGTTGTATTATGTTGGTAACACGATATTGAATTCAGCATGAATAGACTTGTACAACAATATAATATATTATATTAAAATAAACAAGATTTAATTAAGTACGAGCTTTTTGAATTTTCGAGTTCATTTAAAAACATTTTAAAACGTGTAGTGAATCAGTTAATTTCAATGAGTCCGTTTCTCGTAGAACGCGAATATTAAAGGTAAATTTATATATAAACGTGACGACGCTGTTCATGTTAAAACGAATAACCTAACCAGTATAAAAACTTATAGAATTTAATCATCACGAAAAAATCATAGCCGTGAAAAATAATAGGAAAAGTATTATCCGCAAGCCGTAATTACATGCTCACGGTACGGCGATGGCGACAGCACTGATTTCATATACATGAAAATTCAATATAATGAAAATTTTGATCTTCCCCCTTATAAAATTCACCTAGCAAGAGGCGGGGGTAACATTTCGTGGTTAATATAATACTCCAACGGTAACAAAATTTTTTTAGCCCCTTTATGGTTTTTATCTCTTGGAATTTTTCGAATTTTGTAAAATTTCGCTCAATTTAAATTTCAAAAACGGTAAATAGAAATGTTGACCCTTTTATTATTTTACTGTACTATAATATATGAATATTTGTACTGTTGTAAATCTTAATACGCAAATCAAATTAAATTTTTTTTTTTCATTTTCGTAGTGAAATAATTCTTTTCGAGCAATCAGTGTTTGGAAATAAATTTTTAACTTTCAGATTTGTCCAATATTAGTATCTACCTTAGTATATCTTAGTACGTACAATGGATGGGCCACTGTAAGTTGTAGATGAGAAGTTGGGAATGTAAGGGGAAATTTAATATATATCTGTACGCAATGATTAATCTTTGCTAATAAAGAACGATTTAGAGCGGAGTTTGAAAGGCGGTAGTATTTACGATTTAAAAATAATACATTTTGTAAATTTTATTGTTTTTCCTACGTTTTATCCTGGGCTTTCCTATTTATTATAAAAATCCAAGGGAAAAAACGACCTTCCTAAAGGAACCCACTGTAGTCAAATTTCCTTTCAGAAAAAGTGCTACACATGAAAATCGGAACCAAATTTCTAGTAGAAAAAATAAATTTTGTATAACTTTTGATGTTATCACGAAAAAGTAAAAATTTGTTTTTTTGGGAGACTTGGACAACTTATACAATATTATTTGACTTTAACTTTTCATACTATGTTTTCCGTTCGCGGACCATTGCTGATTTTGATAAAAATCGTAAAAATTGCGGAGTTTGGTGTACTATTTTTCGATTTATGCTGATTATACTTTTTTTGTTTTATTTATTTATTAGAATATATTTAAAATGTATAAAAATAATTAAAGATTTGAGACGAATAACACGAACAATAATTGTTTTATATTTTTCCGTTACAAATTAATACAATTTTAAATTTAAATTTAGGTATCGAAATATGATTAAGTGAATTCGCTTAGAGTCTTTTTTATTTTAAAAGAATTTATCATTATTCGCTGTGTAGATATAAATATAAATTAAATTACCTTACTAATCCCACCGTCCCAATTTTTCATTTAATATAACAGAAGTTGATGGCCTTACTATAAATAGTATCATGTACAACTGTACGAAGAGTGTAACGACAATGTATAAAATACCGGTAACTGTCTTTTTAAATATTGCATTTAATATTATTTTACGTTTATTATAAACATCTTTTTTTAAACTTTTTATTTTTTCTTTATTAATTATTATGCTAATTTTAGAGGTTAAAATTATATTTGCATACGATATCAAACAAGTCAGACGTCAGTGAAGGACAGTAAAATTTCAATGACTTTAAAAAAACTTTTTCTGTATTAATATTTATTTTGAACTTGTCTGTCCCATATATACTTACAGACTACAGTTAGATCTTGTGATATTAATTATTATTACCTATTCAGAATTTTGAATATTATTAAAAGATAATTTATAACGTGATATGAAAAAATTAACTTAACAATTGTTTTCATCCAATAGAATGACTTATTAATTGCTTGTGTACGAATCTCGAGTGTCGAAATTAATTAATTTTTTCCCCCTATCGCAGAGAAACTAATTTAGAATTCATCGCGAGAGAAAATAATGACCTTTTATTGAAAACACGCGAAAAATTCATAATATAGTTATATTACACGTCCGGACTTATAACGCCTGCTACAATGGAGAAGGTCGAATTTTTTTTCACTATCGACGATGAAAAATGTCGTAACTCTCATCCAAATAGATGTGAAGTTGAAAAAAAAATGACACGATCTTTTTCGTTGCGGCAGGTGTTACGATAAGTGACTAGAAGATTTGGGATGAAAACTACCTGGAAAATCCAAACACATTAAAATAAAACCAATATATTCCTCACTGCGTTCAGAATTTAAAAAATAATACAATCATATTTCACTCGATCGATAATTTATTGTAGTAATCCCAACCAAGAATAATAACAGTGGCGGCGACTTGTGCGTCAATTATAATGTATATAATTAAATTAGTGGCTTGAATTTGCGGATGACGGACATAAAATCATAGTTCTCTGTGCGGACCATACGCAATAATAATATATTGTGCTTTTGTATTACCGATCAATAAAATCACTTTCATAGGTACACGTGTAATTCTCTTATATATATAAACACACACGCACACACACACACACACACACACACGTTCTATACCGTGTATCGCGTTTTTTTTCACTTGAAATTCGTCAAATGCATTCCTCTGGCGGCCGAACAATAATATATTTATTATTATTATTATTATTATAATATGTGTACACTTTATACGGAGTGATCAAGGCAATTTTGCAGACAGGCTATTACCACTATCCCAACGTGTACGACCCTGTACACCCTAACCGATAATGGTGGTGGTGGTGACTGTTGACGACGAAACCCCATCACAAACAGACACACACGCGCGGTATATTATCTTAGAAAAAGTCTCCTCGACTATTCTGATAAATTTAATTGTCATAGGGATGATAAGTTATGAGAGTGAAATTCAATAATAATTATGGTTTATTGGTATGAACCTAGTACCTATAAAATATAGGTTTAACCAAATTTGTTTAATATTGGCGTTGAATAAGCTTATAAAGAGTTATTTTTTTATTTTTCCAAAATATTTAGTCGCACAGTTGTGAAATTAGAAGAGAGGGTTGTAGCATATATTATTATTAACTTTAGCAGATTACGTAATTTATTATTCATACTATTCGTATAAACAGTTTCACATAATAACGTTTATTAAATTTTAAAGGACCTTTCCGGCGATACTCTACATGAAATATGAAAAGGCATTTTTATTCCTCAGTTGGTTTTAAATTTTTGACTACACAATCGTATGATGGTTCACCATATTAAGCGGTGAACCCATCACCATACCGACTTTCGTTTTTCAAATATTTTTTTCGCGATTAAGTTTTTGTTCCTTTTTTTCGGCTTCTATATCGTGGTGTCGTCTTGGTTTTTTACAAAACATTGAAAAAATTATTTACGTTTCAAATTTTCTTTTGTTAGATATTTTGGGCCTCTATTAAGGATCTGAGAGATTGACCTCTTGGGCATCGTCAACACCAGGAATAGATACACATGTACGATTTTTCATTTTCCGGTGTCGAGATCACCGGATTATACTGTATTTTTGTGGCTGCGATCTTACATTTTATTAAACTATATTATTATATTATTAGATAGATTTCAAAAACTTTGATTATTATTTCTTATCAATAGTTTGTAATTTTATATTAATAGCGAGATAAATATCTTTTTTATACTTTTAATAATATTGGAATATATAAACTTATAAACTTAAATTTAATATTGCAATACATTTTCTATAAGTAAACTAATAGAAATTTTAAAATTAGAAACAAAGAGGTATATATATAAGGTGTATATGAGGTGTATGAGAGGCATAGGTATCTCTAAAATTAAATTAAAAATCTGTCTCCTTATTTAAATTTTGCAAGGCGTGTTTTAAAAAATAATCATACTGTTATTTCTGATATAATAATATTGGTTTAGGAATGTTGAATAACCAAGAAACCGTTTATATTAAATCTGTATTGGAAGATTTGCATATTTATAACGAGGTTAATAAAAATTAAAATTCAGTTAAAAAATATGTCGAATGTTTAGACAGATTTATGTAATAATATTTCGTAGATGATTATAAAACGTCTTATATCTATGTCATCTGATCGCGTTTCTTGTAATAGAATTGGTTTACTCTCTGTGTAAAACAAATAGTAATTTTATCTATGTGTTCTTCATTTTGATTTTATATTCAGTCACGTATTATAGATTATTCTATTACCTTATGATGAATTTTTAAATCGAAATCAATTATATACACACAAAACTTTTTTAACACTCCAGACTTTATTTATTTATTTTGCATATATATTTATATCTATAAGCATTTAGTATTAGTAAATATTATTTGTATTTATTTGGTTTGTTTACTTTATCTTTAATTTGTATTCGTGACATTTTATTGTGAATTAATCTAAAACAACTTTTTTTCACAGTTTTGTTTGTTAACATCTAAAACTGCTTTCCGCTTGTAAATCGTCTAATTCGAAATGTTTAGTCCAGCTACAAAATTTTGGAATGACGTTATTATACAAAAGCATTATTTTCGATATTTTTTGTGTGAAGCACTCGATCCGTTATTTGTATAATTATTATTATTAAGTTTAATTCGATGTCATTTCTTATTAAAACCATATCACTGTAACATCCGTTACATATATGCACTATATTACAATATACACTATTTGATATGTAAATAATATAAATCATATTAAACATTTATGCTACATTAGAACTTCTCGGCGCGGGCCAAACTTTATAACAATATAATATTATTTCACCCAGACGGGAGGACAGTTCGCCGACTACAATCAAACACGAGCGAACTTGTTAACAGCCATCCTACAGATATAGTCTATAATCAGGATATAAAATATAATATCAGAGTTATAAACAAAATAAGTCATTTTAATTCTTATTGAAAAATACTTTGTACCTAGTGTTAACCCTCAGTTACGGGAAACTCATTTACAGGGCTCAGAAAACCCTCTCTGAATACCTTATATTGCAACGTTGGTCTTTCGACCACGTTTCAACACATTTTAATGTTACATGTTTATTAAAAATAATAAATCACGTTTAATACGTCTATTTAAAAGGATAAAAAGTAAAAAAACTTTAAACGTGCTTGAAATAAGTACTACAGACTTGGCAAAAAATCAAACACGTATGATTAGTTATTGTATCTATATCGGACAAGGTTGGCCAAACTTTTTTGATAGAGATCTTCTAATAATATATTTTTCTTCTGAGGATCGACTTCCTAATAATAATGTAAAATTATAAATTACCTTATAGGTATTAATAATACACATACTCACACAAAATAATAAAACTAAATTGTATAATTAAATGTTTTTCACACTATTATTAAGACTAATATAATAATATTGTAAATACAATTTCCAGGATGAACTCTGTTGAATTGTATTACTTGATAATTTGATAACATAATGAATATAATATATTAAGATAACAATTATCAGCAATTGTTATTTATTTACTAATTATATAAAAATAAATACTAAGAAAATAGAGACCGACATTTAAATCATCTGCGATCTACCGTTCGATCGCGTTCGACCATTTGGCCACCCCTGATATAGAAGAAGAAGATAATAAAATCTTACTGAAATGGAAAAATACCTATATAGCTAGGGTTTCCTAATGTAATATTGAAATTATTTATCTGTAAAGTACGAATATCTTAGTGGTGATGTTCTTAGAAAGGATAGTCGGACCAGAGTGAAGTTACGTAGCTACGCATTAAAATTATGGCTTGTTTATTTTGATAAATTAACTAATACGTATATTTTATTATAAATATTGTATTTGCAACTCAATGGAAAAGTTTGAAATGCATTATTTTGTATTAATAATTATATTATGTTTATGTAGATCACTAAAAAAAAAAAATAATAATAAAAAAAAAAGTTTTGACTTAAAAAGAATTAATATTGAACGTGAAATATTTATTCACCACAGCTAACGCATTATTAAATTTTAGACGTTGTGAAAATGTTGTGAAAATGTTTCGTGTAAAAAATATAAAATATTTTTTTAAAAGTTATATACGTTAACGTTTGCGTTTATGAAAATGAATTTTTATATCAAACTGCGTGTTTTGAGTAATGATTTTTAATGTTTTAAAAGTAGGTATTATAAAAAAAAAAAAATAAAGGTAATAAATAAATAAATAAAAAATTAAAATTAATAACTATTATTTATGGTCCTAACACAACCGGGGGAATATATTATACAGCCACGAAAACTCGACGGATGATTTTAGTGACTCCCAGAGGAGTCGACTGCGAATAGTCAGTTTTTTACGATTCTGTTTTGATAAACTAACGTATACAGTTAGTTGTAACTTTATAGAGTAAAAAACGTTAAAATATAGATTTTAAGTTGTACAAGTTAAAACTGCATTACAATGGATTATTTTTTTTAAAGAATAGCTACCTATATTAAAATATACATTTTTGGAAAATGTTCAACAGTAGTGGATCTGAAGCACATTTAAAGTGTAAAGGATGAAATAATAAAATACAGGTACTTACAAAACCATAGTTGAAAACGAAATTCGGAAGGGTGGGAGACAAAAATTGGTTCAATTTAATATTAATGCACTCATATGTTTGACGTCCAAATATCGTACAACCGTTAGACATACCTTCGCTCAAGAACGAAGAGATAATTTATTAAAGGTTTTATGGTCTTCATATTCGATTATTTACTTATGTATTTATTTGTTTTGGTGTAAAAAAAAAATTATTTTCACTAAGCTTTCCATTTTACCTTTTATACATAAAAAGTAAAAACCGCATGAAAAAACGATTACATTTCTGTGAAATGGACCTTTGAATTATTGAATTTTTTTTTCTTTATTACAGTTTACATTAAAATCCAAAAATCCCAAATAATGATCGTCGTTTGTTTAATCGTTTCAAGAATTTGAGAAAAAGCGTACCTACGATCGAAAATAACCGGGAGTTTCAAATAATTATTTTCAACATTTTTGGTAGTCGTTGATTTTTCAAAAATTTCAATTCGAATCCAAAGTAACGATGTTTGAAAATTTAGTGGCAATATATTAGTATTATACTCCTTTAAAAGTGTGTTTACGCCAATTCAGCAAATACTTGTGATCCAAAGATATCCACAGTAAAACCGGAGAGCCGCCAAAATAAGGAAGATGTTGAAAAGGAATTTATACTATTGGAGAATGATAATTTAATATGGAATAATATTTGAAAATAACGGGAATTTACGTGGGGGTACAATTATTAGTAGTGTTACTGGAGAAAACGTAAATTAGATACGGGAAATATTAAATAAGAATATAAAATCGTATAATTCAGGAATAATATTTTACTTAGGTAACGTATTTTTTAGGATTATGATAACCATGTATTATTCAGTTTGTTAATATAAGTTCTCCTCCGTACAAAACAAAAATCCCCCCAAAAGAACGGGATTATAATATGGTTATCCGAGGGTTGGTATATCGAGCCTAAAACCGTTTTAAAACCATTGATTTGTAATACAATAACCATCTGTAATGCCAATGTTCGATAAATAACAATTCCTAAAAAGTAACGGTTTTGGTATTTTATTTATTTCGTAATAACTCATTCATTTCTCAGAAATACGTTTCGAAATACTACCAACTCCTAGAGTGTTGTTTTATCTGGATAAATTTATACATATAGGCGTATTTTGTTTCTTTTATCTTATATAATTAAATAAGAAATATTTAATATGTGACCGTTATCTAAGATGAATGATTGAATTATCTGGATAAATCTTTTAAAATATACAATTACAATATAGTATTTCATTTACATTAATAATTGTTTGATAAATAAATTTTTAAGTTACATCAATCTTACAACCTTTATGCGAAATCTAAATATCTACCGAATCTGGTACATTTTACAATCTAGTTTTAGTAATCAGTTTTATACTATTTATGCAACGAACAAAATTATCTTCATTTTATCTGGATTAATATTCCTGATTATTTGTCGTTTCATAATTGGATAATTAAATTTGTATTTTCTCTAGACAATCTTCTCTTTACCAATTATCTAGCTATTAACTTTTGTTTTTATTTAGAGATTTTAAAATTTATTTTTATGCACTACTATAGTCCTAAATCAAATATGTTTAATTAATTGCCCGATTCGTTCACGCTCTCATAAAATCGCACTCTTCACGACGAGTTCAGAAGGCTGTCGTGATGATTTTTAATATTTTTCACGTTATACCGGTCGTATATTATATAAAACTTTATCGAGTCCGTCGTCAGAGGCCTTTATTGTTAGCCCGTTAAACTGGTTTTGTATTCCGATTAAAAACAATAATTAAAACGAAACGGAATGGACAAAAAAAAAAAAACAGTAGAGAACTCTACTCTGCCAGTCTGTAGTTTCGCGCGGGGACACAAAAGGGCCGTCGTCGTACGTCGGCGGCGACGGTGAGACGTCGAGGGGTGGCGGTGGTCCGTTTTGATGCGTTACGCACAGGCACACACTCACATACATACACACACGCGCTCGCACGTATACGCATAGACGCACACAAATACGGTATTGCATCACAGTGATGCGGTGGTGAACGCACGATAACCGCGTGCGTGCGCGTATATGTGCCGGTGTGTGCGTGCGCGCGCGCGCGCGCGCGCCCGAGACGATTTTACAGCTGCCACCCCGTTGACGGGGGCACCTGGCAGGGGGATGCCACGGCCGTCCCCCACCATGAAGCAGCGACGGCCCAACGGGAATACGCGACCGACGAATGTATACGCATCGGCGGCGCGAAAAAAAAAAAAATAATAAAAATAAAATACACGGAAAAAAAACCTACCCCTCTAGCGGACCGGCCGACAACTACTGGGCGGCGGCGACGCTAACAGCCGCAGCCGCTACGCGAGCGCCGCCTGCGCGCGGCCGAATGCGTGTGCGCGCGCCGCGAACATACCCTGTGTATGCAATGTGCGTCGTGCATGATGCGTGTATGCCCGTCCGTCCATCCGTCCGTCCGTCCGTCCAACGTCTACACCCAGGCAACAGTCGTGTCGCGGTGCGTGTGCGTATGCGAGCTCAGTGAGTGGCGCGCGCGTGTGTGTCTCTGTCGGCCGTTTCGCCGTACTATTTTTATACGACTTTACTGACCGCCGTTCATTCGGAAAAAACCGTTTCGAATTTCGCGTTGTTTTTTTCCACCCCGGCATCTCTGATCGCCGTCCGCGTATGTGTTTTTTTTTTTTTTTTTTCAGAGACCACGGAAATCCCCTCGTTATTTCACCAGACGAAATTTCCACCCCCGACCGGCATCCGCCGCACACCCGAGAAAACTGCATATTTTTGAGTGAGTATTACGCCGTCGTCTTCGTATATATTTTCTATAATATAAAATTAACACGCGTTTTGCTTAGCCGTCACGCGATCGCCCGAAAATCGCACGTTATGTTGTACAGTGCGGACGCGTCGTGTTTACCCCGGAAAGGACTTTTGGAAGTTTTGGCGGGCGGTTTTTTTTTTTTTTTTTTTTTCGAAACTCCCCGTACTCCGGGCATCCATCCCCGTGTAATTATTATATCATCCCGCGGTTACGATCGGTATGGGCTCACCGTAGACGAATTATTCGCGGTGACTAAACGTGCGCGAGAAAGACGCACACGCCGCCGCCGGGTTCGATCGGCGCCGGCGGCGGCGGCGGCGGCGGCGGCGGTTGCATCGCCCGCGAAAATTTCACTCTCGTTGCACTTCCGTACCAAAACACACCCCCAGCCACCGCCGGGCGCGCGGGCCGAAGCGAAAGCGCAACGCCGGAAACGACGTTCCGCGTGACGGTCTCCTCTGTTCCGACACCGCGGTCCCGTTACTGTTCGCGATTTCGCATTTTCCGCGCGCGTATTCAATATTGAATGGCCGAACAAATTTCGTAAGCAGCCGGGAACTGGGAAGGCGCGTCGGGGATTTAACGGTAATATCGCTTGTACACCGCGACATAATAAGCCGCGATCGATCGTCGAAAACATATTCTGAGCGTAAACCGAGATTATTGATATAATGGCGTAACATTAGCCGTGTTTACCCCCTACACCTACCTTGTACAACCACGGTGTGACCCGTATTAGAATCTGCGTACAATAATATTCTCGGTTGCCATAGGTGGCCTATTTATTATTTTTTTCTTTCGAATGTCCGATAAAAAACCCCGTAGTGGAAAATCGTTCGAATAACGCGTACCCTTTTAAAACACCGCCGTGGACGCGAAAACCGCGTCGGATTACTTTTGAACGCACAGTGAAAAAACTTGAAATCTGAGCATTTGGCGTATACCGAGAAATACGCGTTTTCTTAAGGAATGTAGGAATACGCCGGGGGGGGGTTCTTCTAAATTTTTCGTTTCCTTTTTCGTCCGTTCCGCAATAATAGAACCGCAATAGTTGTCACGCGGCCGCCGCCGTTTATTGAAAAATATCGTGAGCTATACTTTACGGGCTCGTCCGTTTCGCGTACACGACGCCGGTTACGAATTTCGGCGCGCGGTTTTCGCGAACGATCGATTGGGATTTTTAAATAATGATAAAAAAAAAAAAAATATTAATAATAATGTCCGTCCCCGTGGTTAGGTAGGTTGGACTTTTCGGTTTAATGTGTGACAACCGCGAGGGCTGCGCACGCAAATACGCGCCACTGCTCGGTGTGTCCGGTTTGTATCGCGGTTTATTACAACTACAACAACCTATAGGTATGTAAGCGTGTTACGGACGGAATTTTCGTTCCGTACGAATTTTCCGCGGTTTTTTTTTTTTTTTAATTTTCTAAATAACGCGGTACAAAACATATACGCGTCACGTTAATTTCCACTCGGCGGCGGCGGCCGTCGGGTCGGAAAATAAATTTTATCGTTCTAATTGGCCGTCGTCATATTTTAACGCGTGTTAGACTAAAAAGTCGTGTGTGTGTGTGCACGCGCGTGTATTTAGTAGCGCAGTGTTTATATCAACAGCGCGGTAAAAAAAAAATAATAATAATAATAATAAAAGTGATAAAAAAAAAAAAAAAAAAAATTAAATAATCGTATATCGACTACGTATGCCACACGTATAATATTATGATGTTGTACACACGCGAACGTGCGCGCGACGTTTTATTAAATAAAGCGTTTTTATTCGACAATAAAAAACATCCTTCCTGATTAACCGACGAGAGCACACGGCCGCCGCCGCGCAGATTATTAATAATATTATTATTTTATTATAATATATTATTATTATTATTATTAATATCGTATTAGTTATTGCGATGGGCCCGGCCGCGGCGCACCGGCACAGGACCCGGACGCGCCGTCGTCGTGTGTGCGCACACAGCGGCTGCGGCGTTGTTTTTTTTTTTTTTGTTTTTTTTTGTTTTCACCTCGTCCGTTTCGAATTACACATCGTAACGCGGCCGTGGGCGACCGCGGTGGCGGGTTTTCGGAACGCGCGAGAAACAATATTATCATTAACGGCGTGACAAAAAATGACGCGGAGAAAAAGAAAAAAAAAAAAAACGAGACCCGAAACACGGTTACCTCGGTTTCGGTTTTCGGTACACCCGACGAAATCGGTAGAATCGCCTCCCGAATCCGAGTGCACGGTTCACTTATGTATTATACGTGGTCCGCCGTGGTGCCCGTTACTCGCGGATCACCACCGCGGGCAACTAAGTCAACCGTCGTCATCGATATGAGTTAGACTCAACGTTACCGTTGTCATTAAAATGTATAGAACATAAGTATGTAGCGTAAACACCTACGTTGTACCCGCTCTAACAGTTCAATCTTACCAACCCGTGAAGGATCCCAAATTATACTCCCGTATTCTAATATAGGTCTTACCAACGAGTATTATCAAGTTTTAAGGCAGTATGTGTTATTGAGCTCCTGTGTTTTGCGTATAATAAAGCCCAGGGCTCTTAATCCTTTTGATCTAATGTGATTGATGTGCGAAGAAAACGATAAGTTTGATTCCACAATTATTTCTAAATCACCCGGGTAGATGATCTTTCGTGTAAAGTGGTACCCCTAACGTTATAAGTATAGTCAATTTCGTTTGTAGTCGGGTAGCAAAATATCTCAAGACATTTAGATGCGTCTGTGCACAATCCATTTACAACGCGCCAATTAGTAAATCTATCTAAATTAAGGCAATCGTCAGTGAGTTTTACATACAGCGCGCACAGTACTCATCCCGATAAGAAACAATAGTTTTCATTTTTTATTATAAAATAATACATATATAATATAAAACAAAAAAAAGAACATTTTTAAAGTAGTAGATAATAATTTATTTTACTTGTAAATTTATATTCATGAAATTTAATTTTTTTTTTTGTTTCGCCGGTTAAATGTATCTACTTGTGTATAAAATAAACTGTTCAAATCGATTGTTTTAAACACAGTTCGATTACTTTACAATAGATTCGAACACTGTATTAATCGCGAGTTTAAAACACGAATTAGTTAGTCATATCATCAGGTGCACACGATTCCCTGCAACCGTTATGCGATTGTGATTAGAAGTGGTCCCGGACCCCTCGGACATTCCACAGAACCGTTTTCGACGCAGAACACGTCGCCGACCGACCGTTTTACTAATTCGTTATAATATTCTACGCGCTTTTAGCGGAAAATATTCCGTTATAACCCGCGTGAAAACGAGGGAAACTATATATTATTACACTTGGGGTCGTTTTTATAATGTATACCGTCGTCTCGGCATTTCAAACGCGTTTCGGCGTCAACCCTCCGGCGGTGAGATATACAGAGTGATTCGGTTTACCATCGCGATTCAGCGGTTGTCTTTACGAGAATTTCGAGTTGAAAAATGATATTTATTCGCAATGAATTCGAACATTATATTCCCTACAATACCGTACACCGTACAAACACTAGTTATCCCCACACTAGCATTCCCCTCACTCTTCCAAACGAAATTCGAAAATAGAACATTTCTGTGAACATCTTGATGCATAACGCATAACACGCGTGTAGTGGATTTATTGAATTCGGGTAAGTTATAAAAGTTTTGAAGGACCGGAGAAGTAAGTGACCTACTGCTAGTGTTACCTGCACACTATTCCGTAATACTCATCCGGTCTACTTGTGCAGTTACTACTAACGATTTATTCGATATTATTATTGTTTACATTTTTCGAATCCGTGTTCACAACGAGAGGTGGCCATATTTTGATAATTAAAAGCCAATAGCTATTATAGTAGTGTATCGTTTAAGTTATATAATGAATACGGGCGAACATTTTTAAATCGCGTTAAACGAAAAACGTTTAAACAATTCCCCGCGATGAAGGGGGAAAAACTACAGACATCGACGTAAAACGCATAGAATCCTCCGAGAAAATCACGACGGAAAATATCACTCTGTATACGTAATACACACATACTTCGTCGTGGCGTAGGTCGCGCGCGGTGTGCAGTGCAGTATTTATTATTATTATTTTCTTTTTCTTTTCTTTTTTTTTTTTTTACCCGGGAAGTTTTCTCTCGTCGACATTTGACGTCCATAACAATAACAACAGAAGTGCGCGAGCAACAACTGCGGCAGTTTCACGGGTTTCCGGCAATCCGTAAAGTTTAGTATCCGCGTGTACATATAAGTTTAATATTTTACTCGTTATTTTTCGCGTTTTACCGGCTCTGTTATTGTTGTACGGTTTACACACAAAATACCGCACTGCATTATCCGAAGGGGGGGGGGGTTTCCTATTACTCTCCGCGCTCACTCAGACACTCGCCATATCTTTTCTGTCTCGTACTCTCCCATTATTGTATTATTATTATTATATATTATAACTGTGCCAGGTAGACATACCTCGAACGCGGGGTATAATACAGAAATCGACCCCTTTGCTATTATACACACGTATATTATATTAATATATTGTTATACGTACAGACATACACCCGTGGACCACGACGACGCGTAGGAAAAAAAAAACCGCATCACGTCGGATTGTATAATACGAGTACCCATATTATTGTACATATCAGTCGTCGTATTTTGTGTAACGCCGTACATCGTGTACACACCAGTATGCGGTCCGACCTTTTGTATGTGGTTTGCTGACCAATTTACACGTTACTCATACGTTCGTAAACATAAATAATATGCCCCGTAGAAATAATAATGCCCGGTCAATACGCCTTTTTTTTTTTTACCTAATTCTTTTTTTTTGAAAAACGATAAAAAATAAAAAACTATTGTCCTTTAGATTATATTTACGGGTGAGGCGCCGCGGTTTTTTTCTAATAATACTGTATACAGTTTGCCGACAATTGTTAACGTTTGAATTTTTGGTTTTTGTTTTAACAGTGTACGTCAGAAGTGACGCGATGGGAACGTGACGCTGGCTGCAACGTCGGCGAGTATGAGCGAGGGTGGCGGGGAGGCTATGGCCTCATATGGTACGGCGGGTTATCCGCCGCCACAGCCTGCCACCCCGTCATCAACCGTACCGGAGTCGAAGACGCCGGGCCCGGCACCGGGCTTACCGCCGTTTAGCTCGTTCTCGGCGGTCGAGCTGGCCGAAGGCCTAGGCGCCCGGCTCGGTCCGGGCGACGGGTACGACCCGACCACCGGCCGAATAATGGACATGCACTGGGACTACAACCCGGACGGGCTCCATCGGCCCGACCTCTACCCGACCACCATGATCATACCGCAACCGCAGTCCTATCGGCCGTGGGAGAGCAAGCTGGACGGCAGCAACTCGCAGGACTCCATGTCCAAGGGGTCGTTCGACTACCCGTCGTCGCCAGCTGGCAGCAAGTTGCCCTCATTCCAATCACAGTTCAACTTCCAAAACGACCAACAACCGGAAACCGTGTCGCTAACCACGCTGACGCCGGCCGCCGTGTCACCAACCCAATCGCCAGGTTTGCCTAGCTTCCACACGCTGTCCACCGTAAACGTGGCCGCGGCTACGGCACCCCGGGGTTATCCCGCCCTGGTCCCTAGCATCCAGCCACAGTTCCTGGACGAACGAGCCGGCACTATACACTTGTTCCAGAGTCCACAGTATCCACCACCTCCGCCACCACCGCACGCGTTTACCACCCAGAACCATCATCACCAGGGCACGATAATTCAGGGCAACTTTATGGGAGCCCCGCACCATCAGTCCGCGAACCAGGCCACGCTACTGACGGTGGTTAAAACCGAACCGGTGGCGATCGTGTCCGCTCAGATACCCAGCCACGTGTATCAGAACGCGGGCGCGGGCACATACATCGACTCGATCAAGATGGAAGACACGCTTTCGCCGCGCGGGCTGCAAGAGTCTCGGAAAAAAGAACGGCGAAAAGTGCGGGCGTCCAGCATGGATAGCTCGGTGGAGAGCGACGGCGTGGGCAGCTCCAGCGTGGAGAGCTCGGGCCAGGTGGCCGCCGTTAGCAGTACCGCAGGGTTCAAGTCACCGCTGGTCCAGCACAACGTTATCGGCATGACCGGCGGCGGCGGCGGCGGTGGCGGCGGCGGTGGTGGCGGCGGCGGTGGCGGCAACGTCAGCGGCGTCGCCGGGTCCATGATGGATTCGGATCACTGCGAGACCGGTGCCAACGGCCTGGACAAACAGACCAAGAAAAAACGGAAACGGTGCGGCGAGTGCATAGGGTGTCAGCGGAAAGACAACTGCGGCGATTGCGCGCCGTGCAGAAACGACAAGAGCCATCAGATATGCAAGATGAGAAGGTGCGAGAAGCTCACGGACAAAAAGGTAAGCCGGACATCAGAAAGAGGCGCGTCCGTCGGCGGCCGCGTCGTGGGAACCGTCGCGGCCGCCCGGCGACGATAATAATAATAAATTAATTAACTGATATACGCATTGCGTGTAAAACATATTATACATTGTGTATATGAGCGTGCGTAGAAAACGCGATAAGAATAAGAACTGTACCGTACAGACCGGTGTGAAAGCGCGTGACAATGGGAACGATAATTATTCAAATCCGATTTAAAAAAAAAAAATAATAATATTAATACAAAATGTCGTTTGCCTATCTCGTTTTTTTTTTTTTTTCGTGCGCGTCAATTTCGCATGTGTGTCGGCCGATAAGCGCGATAATACTGCAGCGTTACCTGTGTATTGTGCGCGGAGCGCGCGAATCCGAATTATGTTACGTTCGTCAGCAACAGCGTGCGCGTAATAATATGCGGCGGCGTACATTACAATATACCGCGACATAATATTACGTGTTTATCATCCCCTTCGCGCCGCGTCCCGGGCGCCGCGTAAATACGACGGCGGCGCGCGCATAATATGTCACACGGAAAGTTTAAAACGTTCAACCCCTCTGCCCGCTCGACGGTTTACATACGTTATTACGTACGAGTGAACGGGCGCGCGCGATACGTATAATACGTGCACACGTATGTACGCGCCGACGACCGTAAACTACGTTTATACATACAATGTGTTGTTTTGACGATTCGTCAACGGGACCTTCCCCTTGACACACATTACGGCGGCGGCACCTGCGTAACCCTTCGTCGCCTCGGCCGCCGCCCCACAAACACCCACCCGCTCACACACACACACACACACACACATACACATACACACACGCGCACGCGCGCACTCGCACATATATATATATATATATACATATATTATATACCGTTCATACGGACGCGGGTCGGGCAGCCGCCGCCGCCGCGGCCGGTGGCTGACGCGCGCGGACCCGGTCCGAAAGACAAACGGACGGTGATTAGCGCAGACGATTGCGGTGGCTACAACACGAGGGGGGCACTGGGTCAAACGGCGCGGGGCCGGACACCAGACGGACGGTATCCGATTCTCGTGCCGAACTGGAGGGCTCCTCCGCGACGCGCGTAACCATCGTAATAATGTGTACGTAATAATTTTTGTACGCGTTCGTTTAGAGGTGCGTGTGAAACGACACGACAAAAGACAGACGCGCGCGCGTTTACGGCGGTCCCGTCGTTTTTGTTTTTGTTTGTTTCGAATTAGTTTTTCTCCCAGTAAACTCGCGCACCTATACGCCGGACGATATAGCGTTTAGTTATTCATCCCGTTTGACAAAATATATCACGTGTATCGTCATTTGTTATATCTTCTGGTTTTTTTCCCCATTTATTTTACGCATTCTTAATGGCATACGTGCGTAGATTTTCCGTTATTATATTGTACGATTACGCATTATTGTACGGCCGCGATAACGGGTAACACATTATATTAAGGTAATACGGAAATAACCGATTGCATTGTAATAATACAAACTCTGTTCCTTCATCCCCTCCCCGAACTGTACCTGTTTCATCGCTCTCGCGTTTTACGAAAAACGGTTTACGGTTACGTACCAAATATCGTATAATGAAAAAACCGCGAAAATGTTTACCGAAAATGTCGCGACCTAATAAAAATAATGATATTATATTACGCGGAAAACAAAATATTTAATATGAAACGGAATGATGGGGATTTGGGGGCGGGGGGCGGGGGGTAAATTGTAATAAACCGGAATTATGCGCGTTCGTATATAAAGCGATTTAAATTTCTCCGTTGATTCGGGTCACGCCGCACAGAGCCCGGAAATCCCGTGTAAAATATTTTATTCTACCGTATATTATGCGCACAGTTGACATGTACGCGCGGTGTATTATTTTCGACGCCTTACGCGTGACCGCGAAACGTATTGCGAAAATAATATTATATTTATATACTACCGATGTGTAATAAATTGTTTTATTTCGCGTAATACATTCAAGTGCGGCAATTTAATATATTTTAATTATATTTTATTCGATGTCACCCGAGAACGTCACCGCGATAATTATATTTATCGTACGTAATAATTACCATAAATACGTAAAAAACCATTCGAGAAAACTAATTGGTTCACGTACATTTCTATACACACACACACACACAATATATATATATATATATATATATGACAATCCGGAAGTCGCGAGATAATATTATTATAAATATTTAAAATTTGCATTCCGCTTAATGGTTTTTTTTTGAAAAAAACAAAATATGCGCGATAGTTGCCTGCACGTATCAAAAACCAAATAATATACGAACACATTAATTAACTTCCGGATACTTATCGCGCGCGGTATTATAGTAAAGCACTATGTACTATGCGGTATGCACTACATTGTAACACGCCGAATGAATAAATAACACACGTATTTCGTAAGATATATATTATAATGATGCAACTACGCGTACATTTAGTTTTGAAATCAAATTAGAATTACAAATGTGCACGCGCATATCTACGGTCCCGGGGAAGGAACGCTTAATTTAATTTCGGATAGTTTTCAATACATATATTACGAGCATAATAATTAAATTTTCAAAATGCATACGCTAGTACCTACACTGGCGTACGCTTATTTTGGAAATAAATACGGGCATGCCATTTATAGTGGAAAATGAAGGGGAAAAAATACACAAAACAGAATTATATATACATAAAAAATTGCTTAAAATTGACTTATGCCCTCCTTTGCCGAGACCAAAGATACATGGATGTATAAATGGAATTTTTTTTTTCATTCGTAACTCTGTGTATAGGATTGGTGTAAATGTTCGGAACGACAACACGTCTACATCAACGGACATACAGAGTATGGTTGTAGACGAATAGAAAATATAAGTGAAATATAGAGATAGGAAAACAAATGGAGAGAAATTCGTTTGAAATCGACTTTACTCGTTCGATCGTCGGGATAGAGTACTACGATGATTATTATTATGTAGTGATTTTTTAAGCCACTGTTTTATAATATCAATGGGCTTGTATATGGAAAGGATATGACAACTTACTATAGGTATGTTAAGTCAAATAAATTACTCGTCCGTTTAAATTTCGCTCTCCTGTCTCATGACGGTGACACGAACCGTTTTTAAATCGTATGGGTGTGTGTGTGTGATGGCTTGTCGCACCCGTCAATCTCATTTAATTAATAATAATTTACATGTTTCAAAACACTTTTTATAGCGAGAACTCACGATAAAATAATAATATAATAAAAACATAGTCCGGCAGATTTTAACGGAGCTTATATGTATACTTAAAAATTATCGTCAAACTTTTTAAAAATTCACGAACTTCGCGTGATGACGGTGAGTAATCGTGGGTATAAAAAATTAAAATTGCATATCATGTAGTTTATTGAAGTTGTTTTGAAAAATACACAATTGTGTATGTTTCAAAATATAATTTGTACTTAGTCGAGTTATAGTATAGTGTAAATGCTCCATGATTATTATTTTATTAGTAAAACTAGTTATTACCTAGTTCGTAGTGAAAAAATCCAATTAAGCGGTTTATTATAATACACATAAGATGATATAGTATTTTACAGCGGTCTCGAACAGTTAAAATTATTGTTTGGTATATTAACGAGGCCGACGGGACGGAGGGAAAGCGTGTACGTCCCTTGGCCAATTCCTGAAAGACTACGCCACTGACCCGAGTCAATAAGATCGACGTTTTGACTAATTCGATAAAAACCCACAAGAGATTGTTAAACCGTTGCCTACAACTGCCGATAAATAATGCGCGGTTAAATATATGAGGGGACAACCCCCCCTATCACCATTAATATTTCCTAAACAAATAAAAAAAATCCCCCCCCCTTATCATCGATATAAATTACGAAATGAGCCGCGGGCCCCGGGGAGATGGTTTCGGCGGCGGCCGACGTAATGATAATATCCGTTGTCGCGCGAAATCCTTACGCGAGGAACACTCGCGACGAAAACTGCATTTCCGCGTCTGTAAATTTCCGTTTGAATTATTATTGTCGTCATCTCTCGAACGTTTTGCCGTCATAACATTACACACACGCGCGCACACAAATGCGTGCGCTTACCTATATACACGTACGTGTTTACAACGTGTGTGGAAAAAAAAAAAAATCGTTTTACGTTATATTATTATCGTTTTGGCGCGGCGTCGTCGACGTGCAGTCGTGTGTACGCGCGCGGCGGCGGCAATGTAGTTAAAGTTTCGGAGGGTCCGGACGTCTACGGCGGACGGTGAGGACGGGAGACGAAACCATATTATGTACAGAGAGCGATAGAGAGGGGGAGAGAGCGAGCGAGCGAGCGCGAGAAAAAAAAAAATAATAATAAAAATATCGCGTTGGCCATTGGACGATCGCGGGGGGCACGGCGTGGCGCGGGTGCGAGCGGAGGGCGCGAGCTTGGACGAGGTGGCGGCGGCGATCGGATCGATACGGAGAGAGGCCTCGTAATGGCGTCGTCGTCGTCGTCGTCGTCGTCGACCGCGTCGTATAATAATACGTACGGCTCGCGTATATAATACGTACGCGCGTATCGCGGGCAAAAGTAATGCGGCGGCGGCGGCGGCGATGACTCATCGCGAGCGAGTCGCATCATCATCCCTCTTTCGGCGCACACTTCGCGCGGTCTTTGTGCACGCAGTCGCGCCGCCTTCGGCGCGTTTCGCGCGCGCTGCGTGTACACGACGGCGTCAGCGGCGGTTGTCGAAGGTTCGGGAATTCTCGTTCGCTACACCAACGCGGCGGATCCCGCGCCCGGATTTTGCAACGGGCCGGACGTTCCGTTTCGGGTAAATCACCTCACGAGCGGTCCGCGGCAATTGAATTCGCGCAACAATAAAACGAACGAAAAAAAAAAAAATACAAGTCTTTCGTCGGGTGTAAGCATTCGTAGTTCTGGCACCGAACTTTAGGCGGTACGAAAATCCGCATTCGGGGCGTACCGGGTCTCCCGCCGTGTTATTACGTTTAGTTTATAATTTAGTTTTTCCGGGTGTCCTTGCACGTCACAGTGCTCTCGGGTTTCCGGTTTTGTGCAACGCGGACGCGCGTGCAGTCTGGCCGTTTTCGCGGTTATTTTCCGGTCCGCGATGCGTTTTATTATTAAAATTCGATTTCCCCGTATTTCCCGTAAATCACAGTGGTAGTTAGGTTCTCGGTGTTTCGGGAAAATGTTTTTTTCTTTGTTGTTGTTTTGTTTTACGTACGTCACCGACAATAATAATAAAATATTGGACGCGTAGAAAACGAAAAGAAAACTTTCTTTTGGCTCGTGAACATTATCATAGGGGACTGCGGAAATCTCGTCGTGATAATATTTGAAAAAGAAAAGCGAAAAAAAAAAAAAAAAAAAAAAAAAAACAAATCTCTCAATCGCATAAATATATATCGCGGCGTAAGTACGTGTGTAAACACGTCCGTCGCGTTGCCGAAAAAATATCGTTTGCATGCGAATTCGACGTTTAATACCTTAATAAAGTTCTTATCGTGCGACGACGGTTTCGTAATATTATGAAAAACGTCGTTTTTGAAAGTCGGTATTTTTTTCTATATTATCGAAACGATACGTACATATTATAATATGTACACAAGTTCGCCATACACACGCACGCGCGCGCGCGAGGCAATAAAAGTTCTTTTAAACTGCTCAGCTACACGTATATGAATATAGTTTTTTTTTCTTTTTTTATTGCACGTATTTACGTGTGCCGATGCGTCGGCAATACGTACATAACGTGTTTTTCCCGCTTTGCCGAGGCGGATACGAGCGAAAGGCGAGTGACGGATTTCGTATTAACTGCGCGGCGGGAGCGGTAAAAAAAAAAAAAAAAGGGGGAGGGGGAAAGCTTTTATTTATTAAACTTTATCGCGCGCATTACTTCGTCAGCAGTTCTTCGCGAGTGCCTATATAGGTTGTTTCGTAACAGTTAAAATGACAATAAAATTACGAAAAACAAAAAAAAAAACCGCGTCCGACTGTCGTCGTTTATATACACATATGTATCGTAAATAATTGCGTGTTACGATTAGACCACTTTTTTTCCCCTCTCGTCGTTCGTTTTACGCCGACAAATATTTCCGCGTCTGCCGTATAATCTCCGCCGACGCAATCGATTGTTTTCGTGAGTGTATACCAGGTATACGAGACGGCGATGTGCGCGAGGATATTTTTTCATTTTTCACGTTTATTAAACCGCCTCCGGCCGAAAACCGAAAATTCCTCGACCGCACGCTGTGCGAAGGTACGACGTGTGTATCGAAATATCTGCTCGCGGACAAAAAGACGATTGAACCGGAGCCGTGCGCACACAATAAAAACGTATATTTTTATTATACACACGGTGTCCGAAAACCGATTCTTATCTCGACTGGATGATGCCTACATAATTTATACGACTCCCCGACTACCCTCGATTTTCGGAACGTCTTTGCGTATATACACCTGATGTGCATCGATAGATAATAGATGCACATCAGGTGGATAATAGATCGATATGGTCCGACGGCCGGCGGGAATATAATATTATATAGGCCATATACGCTTCTGCGTTATATTTTACTGTTTTAGTAGGAAATTCGCATCGGCAAAATAATAAAAACCGTTTTTACCGGTGGAGTGTATCACAAATCCTCCAGATGGCCGTGTACCTTTTTTTCAATGATTCGATTTATAATGAAACCGCAATCCCATCACTATGCATCCACTATTGCGATTCGTATCGTAGAACAATTCAGTAAATGCAATTCGTATCTCAACACAGCCGAATACATTATTATTATCATCTTTGTTCTATACGCACATTGTTGTAGATGCAGGTAATTATTTATGTACAATTACACGGACGTTTCAAAACGATCAATACGATTTTATAATACCTAATAGTCGACAAAATAAAAGTGAGATCGACTACGACAAGTTGAATAAAACGTATAAATGTATACCTTTGTTGGACAAGTAAAGAGTAAAGTATATGATCGTATTTTATTATTTATTGCATTACCATACACACATCCTGCTCGAGCCAATTTAGTTGCCCGTGCAATCAAAGTAACTCAGAAATAATAATAATAATGATTAAAAAAAAAAAAAGTTCAATTTTCTTATTAAAAGACGCAAAATCATGACCCATAAACCACCCTTTAGGTATCGACATCGGAGATGAAAAATAGACAGCGACCATCCCTATATTGTTTTGAAGTTTAAATGCACGAAATTTCATCAAGATCGGAACTTGATTTTGTATTTGTATTATGTATGTAGATAAGAAATGGGTTTCGCGATATCCTGGAAAACTAATTATCACGCATTTAGGAAAATTAAATTAAAAATGTAAGTGTCTAATGGGAATGTATGTACTATGGGTGTCTGCTTATTCGACTCCGCCGTGTGTCTTGTGTACCCATACATATTTCGAACACGTAAACTTAATGTCAACCGATTTTTTTTTTTTTTCTACGAAACCTATATCGAAAGCGATTCGAGTGAATGTCTTTTCTTTTAAAAAATCGAGAGGCTATAACATATTCGAGTAAACTATTCATTGTGAAACGTTTTCGCGGCGGAGGCGACTCGAGTGCGTTCGTTTTCACGTTACGACGCCCGAATTTCCACGGCGCAGCTGCGTATCGTACCGCAGTCGTTTCTCGTTCAACGCGAGGTGTCCGATAGGTATTTCGCGGTCGCACGCTTCTGTACGTATTATCGTAATTTATACGCGCGCACGGCGATGTAACGGACGGGGCGTAAAAATCGTTCGGGGTGTCGGCAGAGAGGGGAGACATTATCCGCGGCGACGGCGGTCGTTTTTGTGCGACCACGATCGATCCCGACGGCAATAATATTATTATTATGATTATAACAATGCGACGAAAGCCGCCGGCCGTTTCGCTGATTTTCCATTTAGATTGACTGCACCCCCTCCCCGCCACCCCCACCCCCCTCCGCGCTGGAGCCGGCTTCCGTGGCCCCGTTTTCCCCAGTGTTTCTTACGGCCGCGTGGTCCTGATCATCCGTGCCACGACCGTTCGCGTGTATAATTGTAAAACAACAAATTCGAAACATGGCTGCTTTTCGATACCCCGTCCCGCACACCGCACCGCCGAAATCGCTCTCCGACGACCGTAACGTTATCGTCGTCACCCTCTTCCACCCACTCCGCAAACAAAATTATTAGTTTTTCGTAAAATATTTATGCAACGCCGCGGTAAATAGCTACAATCCTGTATAGGATTTACCGGTAAAAACTGCGCACCTCCCGCCATCTATAAACAGCGTTTATGAAACTGTTTATCGAAAACTTTTTTTTTTTTTTTCGATATGTTCATATAGTATAATAATAAATATACAGTTTACAAACTAAAGAACACGCAATAAATGTTCAAATTGCACTTGAAATGTCATTTAAATTATATATACTTGGAAGTTTTAATAATAACTTATGTTTATAGGTACTGCAATAAATCAGTAGATAATTGAAATTAATTAATTGAAAAACTTCGAATTTGCATTTTGTTTCGTTTTTCACGATTTTTATTATACGGGCCGTTTTCGATGGTAACTTCATCATACCTCATAACCGATAAGTCATAAGCTATAAAACCTGGACATTCGCCGTCCAATTGAAAGGTATATGACCGGATACCTGACGGACACCAGAAATCCGAACTGCCCGGGAGAAACTATTGGATAGGGGGGACGACACACTAGTTCGATTTTCGCGAAGTAACCACGCGAAAAGTATAATCTAATAAATATAAAATCGTAAACCGAAATGTCATAATAGATGTGTTTTGGCGATATTTTCGGCGAACAAACCGTTTTGCCGATATTGTTTAATGCAATTGTTCGACAATTGAATGCACTGCACGTGTTGTTGACGACTAAACCTATGAAAAACTCTGTACAAGTCTTCGGTAACTGGTTATCCGTCGGTAAAATGTTGTACAATAGACGGTCCATTCACGACACCCGAGTACCAATGAGTACCTACCAGAAAGAACGCTACAAACCGTTTTCCGAAAACTGCATCTGGCGCCTGTGTATTACCCCGTCGATATTTTTTTAATTTTGTCAGGGGGACGGGGGAGGGGGGTGGGAGGTAGCGTCGTCGGTCGATTTCAATCGCGTTTTCCCCCGGGAAATGAGGGGGTAGGGGGGAAATTACCGGGACGAAATAATAGTATAATATATTGTATATCGCGAAACAACAATAATATTGTATATATAGGTATAAATTATTACGTTCGGTATACTATTTATTATATATACATATATTATATACAGAGGAGCGTGTACATGACAGGACGACGGCGGCCGTACGTATTTATTATACGTATATATATACATTGGGGAAACTCCTTTACGACGCACTATGACGTCATCGCGCGCGCCGTGTGTGCCATTAAAAACCGACAACGATACTCCGGGCGACCAAGGAGACCGCACTTCCGCACGGGTCGCACGCCGCCGCTCGTGTGTCTGGAACACACACGCGCGCACCGCAAACGAACACGAGACATCGTTTCCGGCCGCGAAGCCTTTTTTTTTTATTACTATTTTCCGCGCCTATAAACGGCGTAATAATACCGCTATACGCGAATATATTATAATATTAATAATTGCTATAATAATACATCGCCCCGACTCCCGAATACAGTAGAGAAAAAATAAAAGAGCCGATACTGCTGATGGGTATGTCACTATTGTAGGCGGGATTGTAGGTGTGATACATAATGCTATTTCTTCATACATCTGTACGCAACGATGAATCAACGCTGACGGGTTACGATTCTGAGCGAAGTTGGCTCGTGAGTTTGAAATGCCGTGATATTTTAGTAAAAATTTGAACTTGAAAGCTTGTGAAAAAAAAAAAACACTAATTACTATAACAATTTATAATGGATCTTGAATATAATTTTCAAAAATACCAGTCTATTCGGTAAAAATAAAACAAAATAAAAATAAAAAAACACGAAAGTGTCGAATGCCTAAAAATAGCTCAAAAACTGTTAAGAATGTTTTGAAAATTTTACCACGTCTAATGTTGGTATTTTGTGCAAAATTGAAATCGTCACGTTTGTTTTAAACCGAATCAAAACAAAACAACAATGAATGCCGTTAATGCCGTAAACTTTAGCGTTTTTTTTTTACATTTTTTCCCTCAATTTTTAAGAAACTACACGGAAAATCAAAAAAATGTTTTTCTTAAGCACCAATTTGATAGAAGTTTTTTTTGTACTAATTTTCTTGAAATTTCGATCAAGAAAAACAAAATTGAATTTAATGAAACTTTTCTTTACTTGGGAAATCAAAAATGACTCGTCTAATGCATTATCGACCAGATCCAAAATGCGTACACCATAGTAAAACTAATACGAAAATAAAAAATAATTCGTCTCGATATCATATTATTATTAATCGGGGGCGCCCGAGTCCGAGTGATTCCCCATAAAAAAAAATAATTTTTGCAACATAACCCAAATGTGTGTCCCAGTTTATTCAGAGTTACCCAGGGTACACCACGAGGAAGTGGATTGACTTAAACCCCAAAAATATTAGGTTATTTCATTATCTGTTATTGATAACACCCATTTAAGTTGGTTGAGTGTTATAAAATAGATAAGAATACACAGTGTTTAAATTAAATACTTTTATAGTATTTAAATTTGTTTGCGCATGAAAACATAACAAATTTTTATAATTTTTTAAAATGTTGAAAACGACGGCACTAATTCAGTACCGGAATACGGGAAAATTTACGGCGTTACATTCGTTAGCATTAGCTTAGTTACTCTAGCCGTACCCCAGAGTGTTACCGAGTTTTATCGAAAAAGTTGAAACAAAATGTCGTTTCTCCGCCGATCAGTTGATCGCTTATTAAGTTGATTAAGCTTTTAAACGGGTATAAATAGGTGTCTACCGATCGGGCCGCGCCGTTGTTCGGACCGCGGACGCACTCGGGCTATGAAAAATGTAAGAATTAAAAACGGGGCGCTCCCGGGACATCCCCTTATTGTTACCGTGTGCACGGTACGTAAGAGAGAATACGCCGAAAACCGCGGGACGGCAATCGTCGTCGTTTTTCTCTCCTCGGCCGGACAAATGGTCGTCCCCGGACCTACGTTAACCGCGATAATAACAATAATATGCCGCGTAGGCCCGGCGCGAAACCGGCGGGTACGCCGATTATTGTACACGCATCACGGCGGCCTTTGACGAATATTCGTTGCGTTCAATATTATATTAACCGCCGCCGCCGCCGCGTCGCGAGTCGGTTATGCGTTTACGTACGTACGATACACAACGCCGTCGTCGTAATATTATTATTATTATCGTTATTATCGTTATTATTATTATTATTATTATTATTATTATTATGTCGTACCCCGCGATCTTATAGGTGTATAATAATAATATTTTACGACGCGTAAACTACGTCGGCGGCGGCGGCGGCGGCGGCGACGGAGATTACGCCGTCCGCGGGCGCTCCGGCAACGTCGCGTCGGTGAAGGTCAATGTTATAGGGTGAAAAGAGAGCTACACACGCTGCCGCAGCCGCCGCCGCCACGGCCGCCGCCATTGCACCTAAACCTCCCCCCTCCCTTCCCTGCAGCTACCCCGTCTGGCCCACCGATGGGGTGACAAAGATTATAAATCCCGCGCGTACGCGTCCGTTCATTTACTACGCGTGTACACGTTTTTTGGCTCCGCGACGCCCCGCGGCACCGCCCGTCCCGCGAACGAGTTTTTGTGTAAAATATTCGCGAAATTTCGTATCGCGAAATTTTTCACTTTTTTTTTTTCTCCCTCTCTCTCTCTCTCTCTCTGTACAATATAACGTCGTTACGGCCGAATAATCGTGTCCGACAATAAATACGGGTCCATTGAAACGACGCGTCACGGGTTCGACGCGCAAAATAATAATTTTTATGCTACATTTTGTATTACATACGCGTATTACCCGTTGATCGTTTTGTAAATTATGTCGTATTTTAAAGCGCATTCGTGTACGTCGTGCCGTCCGCATTGGCGTTTTACACGCGCGTGCGTATAGCGTGCATATACGTCACGTGACGCCAATAAATTTACCGATACAATAAATCGTCGTAGATATAGGTAATAAAATTTCAGAATATTAATCGTGTCGCGATTTAGCGACGTAGTCATTTTCCCATTAATATTGTTGTATTTAATAATTTTTTTCAATTTCAAATTCAATATGCAATAGACACAATAACGTCCGCGTAATATTTAAAATAATATAATCGCACCGGGACCGACGAACTTTATTTGAAAACGTTTTTTTGTCGAGTTAAACGCTCTGAAAACACTTTTCGGTTCTAGTAAAAACGCTACAAAAAGTATTAGATTGTTTTGCCGGTAGGTACTCATAACTTTATTGTTGAAAAATAATTTCTTAATTCTCATAAGTTTTTCTTCACAATTTATAAATAAAAACACGGTTGTTGAAGGGTATGGCCCTTTTTATGGGGGAAGTTGAAAGAAACGATAAACCATTACTAAAGAAAAACGATTCTGTGCAGAGTATTATAAGTTGTATTTTTTTCCTTGTGGCCAAGGTATAATCCAAATTAACAAATATTTTAAACAAAAATGCTAATTTTTCCCGTTTATTAAAAAAACTACTTTGGCCAATTATAAAAAAAAAAAGAACATCTCAATGGACTAGATCGAAAATTACACTTGAATGTTTACATAAAGTTTTTGATTTTGAACAAGATTTCTGGTAGAAAATATAGACACCAGAAAAAAAAAACACATAGGAAACCAATTCGCTCCTCGCTTCACTCAGGATCTTAAACTGACAACAAATGTCGAAAAATAATTCCAGAGTTACTTTGCATGCTATGCAAGGGAAAAACACGTCTATAACGAGATTGCTCCGCTTTGAATTCTTTTTTGATTGCAATCATTTATCGTTGATTTCGATGTGTAAATTAAATTACTTTATAATAATATACATTATCCTAACCTTTAATACTGCAGTGGCCTACCAATGATATGGTGCAAAGTACGTCGTGCTTACGAGGACCATAATGTCTAGTGGGTCTCCACTGGGGTTATATCACTTATAATGGAGATTGTTTAATATTTGTATTGGTTATACGATTTGTTGTGTAGTTTATATTAATTGAAACCCGAAGAAACAAGAGATTATTATTATTATTATTTTTTTAGTAAATTCGGATTTAAATATGTCTCTAGGGAATATGTTTACACACACAATAGACGGCGTAATAATATATTATATTAAATATGCTTTTATTTTCTGTAGTGTACGTGCAGTATTAAATGCATATATTACACTCCAGGTGGACGTAATTCTATTGTTGTCACACGCACAACGTTATGAGTATTTTTTTTTTTTTTTTCATATAATATATAATATAATAACCATAATATATATATAATGTAGTTCAAATCCAGGTGGGTTTCGTTTTTTCGTTTTTATTAGTATTACCGCGATGGATTAATGAATCCAGGTGGTCTCGATAAAAAGTTTGTTTTATCGGAGTCGTTATATTGTGTACAGCGTATTACGCGTATACAGACTAAAATCGAAATACACGAAATATTATTGTATATTATGTATTGACGTTTTTGCTCGGGGTTTTTTTTTTTTTATAATTTGGCCCTTACCAACAATATATTATTCCGGTCTATATAATATTATTAAATAATTTATATATAGCGAAATAAATTTCGCGGAAAAACGAATTCTCGGTGGAACGTTACACGGTTTTCCGCGGTATATTTTTTTGTTTTCAGAAATTTATTACGTTCTGTCGGCAATAAAAATATGACCAGTTATATATTACAATGAACACCGTCGGTGTGCGGGAATAAACTGCGTATAATTTCGCTGTAAAACTACAATCGATTAAAAACGTATATATACGTGTATACGTACAGGACGCGGTTTTTTTTTGTGAAATAACGAGGTCGACGTGTAACAATAATAATAATTACTGTCCGGTGGGGTGAAAAAAACAATAACAAAATATTATTAAAAAAAAAAAAAAAACAAAAACAAAAAAATACCCGCTAACAATGTAGGTATGACAATGGAAATCGATGGAAATACCCTTAGCGATTACGATTACGATGACGGAATGAAGAAAAACCGCAATAATAATAATTATACGATCGGGGGGTGAGGGGGCGGGTGAAAACAACCCCTGTCTCTATATAGTGAAATCGACGAGGTAGACTGCGCGAGGGTCAGTAGTGACGGCGGCGGCGGCAACGGATGTACGCGGCTAGACAACATAATACTACGTATACAAACCGCAGCGGCGGCGGCGGCGGAGGGTAAAGGACGATCCCTTTGGCGGCGGCGGCGGCGGCGACGGTCCGTTCAAAGGTCCCTGACCACGCGCCCACGTCGTCGCGTCGTACGCGTCGTCTCCGCCCCTCGTTTAACCCTCGGGCCCCAGGAGGGGACTGTTCTACTACTACTACTACTACTACTACTACTACTACTACTACTACTATTACTACCAATACTACTACTACTGCTTTCGCTCCCGCCATTTATCCCGTAGTATACAGTTCGGCCCTCTGCAGCCGAACCCCGCGATATTCCCCGACACCGTCCCGCGGCGGACGACAAGTAGTACACCGCCCTCGTCTTGCCGTGTCCGTCTCGATGTGTCCTTGTCCAAGGCCGCGGCCAGAGACAAACTATACGGCGGCGGCGGCGCCAATATTTCTGAAGCACCGCGGGTCGTCGCGGCCGTCGTTTTTCCGCCCAGACCCGCGTCTTATAATTTAACCGCGACAATATTTCGTGCGCGTTAGAAAGTTTTCGTCGACATACGCGTCCGGTAATCGACCGGTTTACCGAAACGGCACGCCGTAACGTATAAAACACGAACTCTGTGACGCCGATGCCGACGTCGTATGTGCACACCGGTGAAATACCGTGTCGGCGATGTGCGGGACGGAGAGGAGCCGCTGCCGCCGTAGCCGCGACCCGGTACAAAACGGCGGCAGCTGTCGCCCAGGGATCCGCGGCGGCGGGCGCTCAAGGGTGTCTAAAATGCGCGCGCGTCCGTTGCGTTCCGGACCAGACGCGGTCGCCGCGGCCGAACGGTACCCGTGGTATGCCGTGGCGGAAGCGAGTTTCGCGAAAACGGGCTAGCGCGTTCTGAGCAGCCCTGGCCCGCCGCTGCAGGGTACACAACAACATAATGCACACGCGGCGGCGACGACGGCCGTATATACGCGTTACTCACACGCACTCACGTACACACGCGGGCACGCACGCACTCACTCACACACAAAAGGGCGGTGTGCGTAAGAACAGCTGTCGGTGTGTACAGCGGCGGCGGCGGCCATGTTGTCGATCCTTTTCAAAATGTCTCTTTAACCAACACTGCTGCACACGCACGCACACAACTTTGCGTACACACACACACACACACACACACTGTAACTTAACACCGCCGTCGCCTGGTTGCCGGATTTCCGACACGGCCGTGTATGTAATATATTATGCACAAAAAAAAAAAAAAGATATCCTAAATCAACGGTCTCGGTCGCGTACCGGTTTTCGATTTTAGTTTAGAAACTCGGTCGTCGTCACGTAATACACGATATTTTATATTGTTATTATTATATAGACGAAACCACGACATGACGACGTGGAAAGTCGCCGCGAGTTCGCGGCGTGTGAATTCGAAGGGCTTTCGGGTGGAAAATTCGACGTATACGCACAGAACCGGAAGAGGGGGGGGATAGAATAAAACTGCATCGACGTCTATTATAATATACCAGAGTATTGTTAAAATTTATTATAATTTTTTTTTCTATAATGCGTGTTTGTCGGTTTTACGTAAAACGTTCGTATTTTACAATATAAATATATGTATAGTGATGGTGCGGAGATGCAGAGACGTACGCGAAACTCATTCTATTTATTGTTTAATGCACGCGACCCCTGGAAAGGGCGATTTTTAATTTTAAAATAAATCTTGCATTATCCCGTGCCGGTGCAGCGGTGATGCATCATCAGCACATCGGGGGGGGGGGAGAAACGAACAGCGATTCGCTTCCCCCTCCGACCTTTTAACGCCATAATTGTTCACCGCCGCCGCCACGACTATTGGATAAATAAATAAATTTTTTTTTTATCAGGCCTTACAAGGGTTGTAATATGTTATATTATTTTATAGCGTTTCCTATCCGTAAATGTTGCGTGGTCCGCGATTTAATAGCGCTGCTGTGCGCAGCATACAATATTATTATACACTAGGAATCGCCGTTTGTATAGGTACTTTAAACGCGAAACAAATAACAAAATACGCTCAAAAAACTTTCGTCGTAGGCAGTGGCGTGTCCGGGAATTTTCAATGAGAGAGGCGATATCGATAGTAAATAATAAAAATCATGAGTAAATTGTAGAATCGTATTTTGTACCTTTATTATATGCTTAACCCGGTATGGTATTCGAAAAGCCGGGTCTAAAAAAGCCAAACCGTTAGTCAGGCTTTTCTTTGTAACATGGCTGCAATGTACTGTAAAATTTTACAAGATTAAAATACCAAATAAGTACGCATAGTTGTTGTATTTTTATATCAATGAGGGGAGAGAGGGGGGACATAAACCACAACCTCCTTCTTCTGCTTAAGTGCGTTCGCAAGGTAAGCCCACGGTAAAGACTGTTGTGTATATTTTCCGCAGGGAACGGGGTCAATCACTTTGCAAGTCGTCACACGGGTGGGGCTCTTTTTACACAAATCGACTAAAAATGTTCGCGGCTATATTAAAGCGTGTTCATAGCCTTTATAATATAGTATATTTTATGCACGAATTTCTATGTTGATAAATTAAGAGATTAAGGAGATATAAAGAAGATAGAAGGACAATTTATCAGTTGATGACAAAAGTTTTTCACATGGTCTCTATATGGTCAAATTAGACTTCTAGTGTCTAATAGTGACGATGGTCTACTGCTTTGTACTACAAAATAATACGATATCTGTATCGCACAAAACGTGTGAATAGATTATTATTTTTTTATTTATCAACAAATTGCGTCCGAATGTTCCGACACTTATTGTATGCCGGCGAAACGAAAAAGATTTGGCATTTTACTGCACGCCAATAAAGATAACGCGAGAAAAAGCGATTGGCATTGAACCAAAAGATTGGCCCTATTCATTTTGGCCATGCCGATATTGCGGATACCTATACGCGAAAATAATCCCGGTACTTTTTACGAACAATTAATTATAACGGATAATCATTAGGTGCGTTGGTGTAATTATTCGAAACTGATAAACACTGAGAACAACAATAATCTTCCGTCTTCGAGAATACTGTGATAACGTGCAGCTGTCGTTCCGTATCCTGTATGTCTTAATAATTCGTGTAATATCGTATACGATTATATAGGCCACTTTGAAAATCGAAAGTCAGCGCGTATCGTACGTTCTCGTCAATTTTTTTCGTAATTTATGTTTATAATACGTCACGTCGTGGTAATAATAATAACTGTCGTCGGTCGTAACATACTATTATTGTATTAATAATAATAACATTACGCGTACAATATTATTATTATTCGGTCTGATTTATGTACTAAGCGCGCGATAATTGAGGTCAAGAACGCGTCGCGGGCCAAAAGCGACAAAACAATAAAAATAATAAAAACGAATCAAATCTATTCGCGGCGGCGGGAACCTGACGACGCGCGGCGTCGGAGGCGGCGCGCAAGCGGTTCAATTAGAGTTCGTTAGAGGGTTCGACGCGACCGGCGGCGGTAACGGCGGCAGCGGCGGGCGCGCGAATCGTAAAATAAAAAAAAAAAACAAAAAACAAAAAAAAAAAATAAATAAATAAATAAAAACCGAAATTGGGTACACGCAAGAGCTAAAGGCGCATAAACGCGGCGTCGTTATAATATTATACTCTATGTACAGGGTGTTTATGATGTGTGTGTGCGCGTTCTAAACGATCTATACGACGACGATAATAATATTATTGTTGTATTATAGTGTACGCGTACGGGGAGGGCCGAGGGGGGTACCGGATCGATACGTGGCCGTTTATGGCCGTACCCCTGCCCCGCATTCACCCCCTCCCCCAATACACCGCCTAGTCCCTTTTCCAATCACGCGCGCCCGTTTATGTATCTCATTTATACACGCGCAATATAATACATAATAACATGTACCATTTTATAATATATTATTATTAGAACGGTTATAATATTATACGACTACGTACCGTATTGTATTGTAGCACGTCACGCGGATTCGTCCGAATCCTATTTACGCCGGGACGACGTTATAGTAGTATTGGTCGTTGGCGGGGTGGGGAGTGGGAGGGGACTGCGAGAGTCTGCGGCGAGCGATTAAATTTTGATTTTTATCGAGCTTATAATATTATTTTGTCATACGGGCCGCTGGCTGTTCCGTCAGCGATCATCACTACTGCGCCGCCGTCGTCGTGGCCGACACACGTTTTCGTTTTCATCCGTCCCGGCGACGACGACGGCGGTTTTTGTGTGTGGCGGCGGCGGCGGCGGTCCCGGAGACTTGAATGGTGGCGAAGACACTCGGTACGCCGCCGCCACGTTATGTATTATTTATTTATATATATACATTTTACTCGTTAATGTGACTGTGTGTGTGTGTGTGTGTGTACGTATAGTGTTTGTGTATACAGGCTGACGATTCCCGATAGCGTAGGCAAACACACACGCACACACACACACACACGCGCGCGTGCACGGAACGGCAGATAAACGACCGTATAGTAAGCTTATCGGGACGACGACGGCATACACAGAAACGTCGGTATACCTGTGCATACGTATATTATATTCTACAATATTACGTATAGGTGTATTGTAAATAAAACAGTCTAAAATGTATACGCGTAACATACGTACGTATACTCGTATATAATAATATAATATACAATATCGTTACGTATCGCAACAACGTATTTGTTGAGAAGCGCATTCCGAGATATTGAAATTCCCGTCTCGCGACGATGACGCTTTTTTTTTTTTTTTTTTCCGGGCACCGGACGGACCGTGCGCAACGTCTGCGCGTGATTATTACGATTTACAATAACGCAGCTCGTAATGTTTCTATCGCGCCGATTAATAACTATACGGATGTAGCCGAATCGGTTCCCGTCGTTCGCGGTAACACGGTCGAATGTAGCACATTTTCCATCCCGTTCATACAGGTTTAGGACTGCCGACTTAGCAGTAAAGTAAGCGTGGTTAAAAATGTGCGTAAAATGAATTCATTACCGGTCGTCTCTTAAACAATAATAATAGTTTAAAATGAAAAAAAAAAAAAAAACATTTTAAATTGTTATTTACGTTTAACGTTAAATGCACACTATATATTTTAGTGTTAAACGGGAACCGATTCGGCGTGTGGGGTATGAGCTCGGGAACCAATTCGATATCATCCAATTTGTACAATGTTATTCTCTTCTCACGCGCGCGCGAAAACTGCTCCCGGCCTTTTCACCCGGCGGAGCTCAGCAAAAATATCCAAAACGTTTTACGTTACTACTATTGTACACGTACAAATGTCGAACTCGTTTCTCAGGCGACCGTTGAATCTACTCTCGACATCTGTACGAATCGCTCCGTCGACCGTTGAATCGGCGCTTCCGAGCAACGTATTATTGTAATTTATTTTTAATAGGCCCCGTCAACATAGCATTTTCAACGAATGGTTCTCGAAATACGTGTCAAACACACGTCGAAAAAGTACACGCGTGACATTCAATAATATTTTCATTCGGATCGTTAACGGAAATCATGCAAACTGTTTGCATTTCGTAGTCCGGTATGCGTATATACACGTATTATAGCTGTTACAACGCTGTAGTAACACGCTGTGGGTCGAATGATTAACGAAAAGCGTAATTATACGGAGCGGATTAATTCAAACGCATTTCGATTTTCAAATTATTTTAATGTATAAGCGTGGGCAAATTTCGGTCACGCTTTCGGGCGGGAGGGTTGATATTTTTACCAATTTTACCCCACGCACTCGGGGAACAGTGTTCACGTTCTGCGCGTTCCGCAGCCTGTCTTTTTTTTTTTTTTGTCGCGGACAGACGTTTTAGTCTCTCCGTCTGCGGCTTTAGAACATTCTACGGACGCAAGAAAAACATTTCATTGGCGTTTCACCCACTCATCCCTTTGTATCCCTTAACGTTCGCTTAGTATAAATCAAACAATAATCTTTCGAACGATAATTTCGATAACCGACTCGTATACGAACAGAAATGTCGGTTGGGCCGAGATTCAGTGTACATAGACAAACATGATATAATATCGATTACACCAGGGTTTGTGTGACAGAACGAATTGCACCGGTTTCCACATATAATATTATAATATTCGTAATTTATTGTCGGGCGAGTGTAACGGCAATAATACACATACATAATAATCGAATTCTACGGCCGTCGGCCGAATCCAAATACAATATTACACCACGATCGGGAAAATTAATTTATTTTTATTCCCTCCCGATATATTATTTGTGTTATCCGCGTCCGCACTCGTAATAATAATAATGTATTCAACAAAACGTTGCAAAATTCGGTTTGCAGTTATATCGCGGTATAATGTTGCTGCCGTTTTATACGGAAACGGTCCGATCGGTGTGCGATTGTATTGCGCAAGTATAAATACGTATTTCGCGCGTGTATTTATTAAAACGGATAATGCGATATTAAATCAGACCGCTGTCGAATAAATGTCGAGTGCGTATTACGTATTGTATACGTATCTATAAATATATATATATATATATGTTGGTATACGTCCTATACATCTATTTATAAATAATATTTTTCGTGAACAAAAACTACGTACTTGCCACCTACCTGTATACACCTACTATACTATTACATTATTACTTTTTCGGCAAGACGGTGGGAATAATGAAAATCTTTGGGGAAAAAAAAAAAAAACAACCCGACCTTTTTCCGGTTACAAGTTGACGAAACGAGGTTAAACAGAGAGAGGATGTACCTCGTTGTGCGTAGGCGGCGCCCGCCCGTATTGGGTTTCCACATCTCGTGTGTCTCTGTCCTCTCGCCGTTGTATAATATTGTAATAATAGTGCATCTATCTGTATAATAAATAATAATGTATAGAAGTATCACAACGGTGCGAAACTCTTGTGAAACTATCTCGCGAGTACCCATATCGCCACGGAAATATTGTTAAAACATACGTATGCCCGCGCGGTAATGACAGTCGCGGAATTCACTACCGCGATAGCATAATGAACTATTCGCCGTGCGATCAGGTCGATAGTAACTATATTAAACTATCGCGAAAGCCGCCAATGCGGGAATCGATGTGGTATACGTATGGGCATTATCGTAGTGACGTTGATTCATATCGTATCGTGCTATTTTACTGTCGTGACAGCACTTTCACAGAAACGTTTCTATAACCGAATTCGCGAATACTATCGAAATTTATGTCATATATACAAATGTTATAATCCCATCACGTGGACGCTGTCTCGTACTCACTTGTGATAATTTACTATCGTGGCAGCAACTGTCATGGTATGCATAATAATAGGAGCGTATTCAGAAATGAATAATGGAGGGGAGGTATATATATAAAAAAAAAGAATACAAATAAATAATCGATAGTTTAACAATGTACACTTTCTATCGCAATAAATACAGAACAAATTCTTCAAAAACACACCACTGTATAGTAACACTATACTGTCGTGTGGAACCAGGCTTAGAAAACAAAATCATGTGCTAACTGTTCGCATGAAATCGGAATAACCAAATTGCGTAGTTATAATAATGTGTTTTATTTTTAACGATTGATTTTGAAGTGGAATGGTATTTTAAAAAGATCATATTATAAAATTGATTGTTATGAATTTTATAATATTCTCGTAAAAGACACGGAGTAGGTACATTGGCGAAAAAAATGTATGTAACTATACGTGAATTGCAGATATTAAATGATCAATTTGCATCAAACCATTAATTACACGATTACGAGCTGAACGAACATTTTTCGAAAAGTGTCGTACATTAAGTGATGAAAAAAACCAACAACAAAAATCGAAAAGGGTACATTGTAACGTGTATAGTATACCTGTGCAATATGGTGAATTAAAATATTTTAGATCAAACGGTCAAACAGTCAAACAGCCGCCATCTTTTTATTATATCGAATGACTTTTCGAGTGTACAATATTTTCAGTTCGAAGACAGTGAAACGTAAATCGTCGCAATAAAACGGACAATGATAATAATTTTAAATTTGTTTTGTCTATCGATTTTATCAACGAATTAGGGTTATCGATTTTATCTGCGGTTTGTCCTGTTAGATACCTACTATACAATAATGCAGAATATAATATTATCGTATTTATTATTATATAAAATTGGTACCGTTACAATATTAATACATAGGATTTACCTACAGTAATTTTTTGATAAGTAATTTATTTTTCCGTCTAGTGTAAAATACAATCAGTTTTCATTCGTCTTCCGATCATATCTGTTCCCTATACATTTAATTTTTTCTCAACAATTCCAATAGAATTATACAATTTTCAGAAAATTCATTATCCACCATTTAAACGTTTTGCTAATAATAATAATAATTAATTTTTCTGTCCGGCGTTTTTAATTCAATTAGTTTTTATTCGTTCGCCGTCCTTCACTGTAACCTATAAATTAAATTTTTTCTCAACAATTAAAATAGTTACCTATTTACAAATTTTAGAAAATTCATCATCCATCGTTTAATCGTTTAGCTAATAATCCAAAACGTGCCGGAGAAACTGCAGTGAAAACACGTAAAACGTAAATCGATGCAATTTTATTGATCATCAGCTACACATATCCACAACCATATTCACAAACGTATTCTACCAAGTAAGTATTAAATAGACAAATCATAATAACACTAATTACTAAATCCTTAAATAACTAAGAAACTTATTTGTTTCCATAAAAGATACTACTGACGAGTAGACTGTTAAAAAAAAATTTTAACTGGAATCTATTCCAATATTTTAAAATTGATAATAAGGCAGTCCGAAAAATCATTCCGCAATGTTTCTAATAATAATGTAATGACATTTATAGATTTTAAGTTTATTGAGTTTATTATATTAACTATATATTATATAGTTTTACTAAGATGTGTATTTTTTTTCGAAAAACATTGTTTTCGGTCAGCAGTTAAATATATCATGTTGTCGATGTAGAGTTTTTGATTGATAGAATTTTTATTTGAAGCATATTTTTACGGATTCCCCAACAGTTTAAAAAAAAAAAAACTAAAAATACTGACAATAAAACTTAGGTTTTATTTTTGTTGATTTTCGGATTACCTTGAAAAGGTTACTAGAAAAAAAAAACTAATATTATTATTAGCTCCGCTCAAAATCGTTTTTAAAAATATTAAAATATATTTCGTTGTTTTCAATATTATTACATACAAACCAAATATCATATACAACGTAGGGGTAAGGGATTAACTGTAAAAACCGCGTCGTATCCATAATAGTTTTATAGTTCAAAATGTTTAATTTTTTTCTTTTGAATTCCTCCCCATAAATCAGCTTTTGAAATGTTGTCTGTATACGTTCCCAGCTTCCTACATACAATGACGAAGTGTTTTCAATGGTAGTCCGGTATAGTTCACTTTACATTATCATTTTCGATCGAACATTATAATACGATCGAAAATAATACGTAAGCGATTTTATCGGGATGCGGTAATTTTCATTATTATTACACGAAAAAAAAAGTCTGTACGAGACGAACGACGATGCGTCACGATGTGCAGTGAACTAGTCGGACTACATTTCGGTTGATATACAATAATAAACGAAAAGAAAAATTACAATAATATTAGGAAAAGAAAAAAAAAACACAGAAAACCAGTTCTCGCGTCACGCATATCGTTATTATACCTGCGCATCATAATATATACGAGTATAATATTATAGTGGTTCAAATACAAAATTTATAACAATATGCGCGACCTTTCATTCGATGTACTCTGTAAGGTACGGCCCCGTCATTGTGTCTGTTACAGTGTAAAAGGATTGGGATTCACAACCCCTTTTTTTTTTCAAATAACGAACCCAAAGAGAGAGAGAGAGAGAGAGTAAGAGATAGCATAGAGGAGTTAAAAAATCGCGAATAGTAGTTTTTCTCACCCGTTATAATAAAATGCTAATGACACACCGCTACTGGTTTATTTTTTTGTGCACCCGATTCTTCTTCGTTATTTATTTATAGTTTTTTTTTTGCCGATGAGACTGTCTCTCTAAATATTACCCATATATAATTATATGCTTATTGAGACGGACCCACACATACGCACACGATGCTCGCATTTTTAATTTCGACTCCGCGAAATACATATACGTATAAGTATAATAATAATAAAAAAAAGAGGGTCGCTTGGGTACGGTAGTGTTATATATACGTAATATAATGGCTATATTTATAGGTACAGAGTGAGAAAAAAAAAAGGTGAGAGCAGGGAGAAGGATAGTCTTAACGGTCTCGAATCGTTGACCCTAATAATAGTATTATTATTCGTATAAATGAATCACAATAATTTACGACCCTATATACTCGTATTGTTACCTGTACGAATGTTATACATCATTTTCCCCGAAAAAGAACGAGTTATACACAATTGCATACAGTTTCGGGCGTCAGTGGCATATTAAGAATTTTGTCAGTATTGGATGGAGATATTGAGATTGGAAATTGTGTCCTGTATTATACGACGTGCACCTATAGGTCAAAAAAAATATCAATCTTTAATTTTTTTTTTTGGTATTCTTGTATGGATAATTTATAATTCAATCTGCTCTAAAATTATCGTTAAAATCGAATAATTAAGTACCTATTATAGTATTAGTAATTATTAGGGCTATGGAGTTTGTATGTTTTTAAATAATCATTCAAAACATAGACATGTAATATAGACCTTTGTTTTATAATATTAGTTAGATGCAATTTTTTTTTCTTCCATATTTTCACATATAAGTGCATATTTTGTTAGGTATATTTGTGTTTTAATGCAATTTTTCACATATTATACAATATTTAATAATATAATATATTTCTTAAAAGTGAAAAAGAAATCGAATAAAATAATTAAATATTATTTGATAATTTATCAAATGATAAAATACGACTATGTATGTACTATGTGTTTTTTCCCATTTATTTATATTTCTATGATAGTCTAACACACACATATCGGTCGAAATGGAGTACGGTGGTCAATTTAGTTCAAAAATATTTAAAAAAATTTAGTCACGCAATGCAATTTTTCATTTGAATCATAGTGTTACGTAGAAAAGAGCTTTTTCACACATTTCCTTCATTTTTCATCCGAATTTTCTTCTGAATTTTGTGTAAGTCTCAGATTGAATTTGAAATAACATATCAACCAAGTTATAAATGTTAAGATGGCTTGTGTAGAACGAAATGTTTAATACTGTTTATCGTCCGTTGTTATACTTTAGATTAGATACCAATTTTGATACGGAGCATTATAAAATATAATAGAATTATTTCAGCGATAAAGTTTCTAGATAAAAAGGGTCCCTTAGGCCGTAATTAACCTACAGTCAAAAGGTTTACCGGACCGGAATTCACCGGTTTCGACATAGAAAATAACATGCCGTGCTGTAATTGACTTATAACCGTGTATACGAGTATAGACTATAGACAAAATATTTTCGATTTTTCTGCAGATTAATAAAGAAAATAATTTCAAAAAAATAGGTTTTGGTCATATAAATATAACATATATCAAAAAAAGTCAAGAGGGGGGGGATTGATGGTATATCTCCCTAATGTCCACTTCTTCAATAGTACAGCGTGTTTTAGATGTTTTTATCATAAGATTCGATAAAAGACGGGTGAATTCAATATTATCTGTAATGTCAAAAATTGTTTAAAATTATGAGCGATGTTGAAAAGTAAACTTTTATATTTTAAATTTTACGGGCGCGAAGTCGGTATATAATAAATCAGTTGCGTAAATATGGCGCCACACTCTCAGGATGTAACACACGGACATACTACTCATACCGGATGTTTCATTTGCTCGCGTAAAAATTCTCAAACGAACTGTTTTTTCTTCTTCTGAATAATATTCAGACTTGTGTGTAATATATGTATATATTTATGTAGGACGTGATATTATGTGCCATATTCCGTTTTCGGATGACGGAGGGATGAAATATTTCCATCGCCATCGTCTCGAAACGTAAAATATTACGTTGTCAGATCGTATCTCTAGTGTCTACGTCTATGCATTTTGGTGACGCTTTCTTTTTTTCCTCCGAATCGGACCGCGAATAAAAACGCTTCTCAGTGGTGTCTTTTCGATATTTAGTTGTCTGGCTGATGAGAAGGGGGCAGGCAAACTTATCGAAATCGCAGATTAAGGAGAAAAAAATAAGAAGTCGATGGTCAAATAGAAAAAATCGTTAAAAATAATTGTCTCGAATATTGTATATAGGTTATAATAATATGTACATCGGATTTTCATATAGGCATTAAATATAGTTCTTTATTTTACTTTAAAAGTCGTGGAAATTGTTCGGAAAATTTAAAATTCGACCCCGGATTACGAGCTATCAAGTGTTAGTAAAAACTGTGTTCCCAACAGTCACAAAAACGCCGACTTATTAAGACACGGCTAATGGTTAGACTGGGGAAACAACGTCTAAATTGCATAACCCATTCCCTCCCCAATGACGCCGCCAACGACACTATATATACATTATAAAAAAAAAATAATATACACTACGGCGACCAGTTAAAAAAATCGTCTATAAAAATCGGGGCGACACACCCTTCCGTCGTAAAAATATTTCCTAATCGAAAACACTCGCGTGCTAATATCGTGGGGGTTGACACTCGTCGAAAAATCAAAAGTCGAACGCGCGCGCGCGCGCGCCCGCCCGTCGACCCCGTCGATAAGCGGCAAACAATTGAAAACCGTTCAACCCCCTAGATATATAAGTACAAGTCTATAATGCAATATTGTAAATATACGCCCCGAGAAACGTGTGATTTATTCACGGTAATATCCCGCGTACCTTATTAATATAATCGCCTTAAGTATAAAAACCAACTCGAACGACAAACTCGATAATTTCGATTGTTTTTTTGTGAATATCGGGTCAAAGATAAACTGCGTATTATATCCGGTTATGGCGATGAGTATAAGGCAAAGATTTATATGCCCTAAAAACCTAGTAAATGTGCATAATACAGTGACGTTCCGGTTGATCCACGTGGGTAACGGTCGAATTTGTCCTCGTCCCAAGTATAGTCGTAGTGGCTAAATTAGTAATATCAGGATACGTTTTTCTTGTAAATTGTCGTAAAATATATTATATACCAGCTGGTTACATTATTGCGAGCGGTTTTTCACCTTACTCTCAAAATAAAAAATTTAAATCTGGTTCCACCACTGTTATGTTTTATAAATTAACAAAATATCTCCTTAAGATATGTTCAAAAAAAAAAAAAAAAAAATAAATAAATAAAACTCAAATGCTATAATTTATAAGAGTTGAACGATTTTTCCGCACAAATTCTCGATTCGATTTCCAGTTAAAAAGAAAAACATTTATTTTAAATAGACCTAAAATATACCTTAAACATTTACGGAATTCACTTAACGTGCGAATAACATAAAACATGCAAACATTTTGTACACCAGGACTGTTGGGAACACGGTTTTTGCTATGATAAATACTACCAATGGGTGTTTTTTTTCGACAAACCGATATCGCAACTATGGTAAATGCGTAATTAATGCGTATTGTCTGCAGCCCTAGTGATGCGGGTAGAGACACTCGGGAAAAACGGCGGGCGCAAAAATCTCCGCGAAAAATCGAAGTGGGTGACTCGCCGCACGCTTGTCGGCGGACGCGGCGTGCGGTACGCGTACATCCGTACATCGTTTCCTGAACGCGATGCGCTTTGGTTCGGAACTTAGATCCGTGTTCAACCACGCGGTATTACCCATTCCGATCATTTTCGTACCTCTCGAGGAGCGCGCGAAGGAGGTGCGATTTATCGCATCGTGTCATTATCGTTATAATAACGATAATGCAATCGTATAATTCGACTAGAATCGTTTTGTCTTACGGCATTCAAAACAAACGACTCGACGACGCGCGTACCCGGTACCAAACGGTCTTGATTCTGTGCTATGTATTAACGACGGCGACCGCCGTACACCTCCTAGTAATACTGCGCGGGCACAGACGCGTGTGTATGAATATTTCGGAACTGTGTAACGGTTATTTTCTCGTCGATAATACCGAAAATATTATATAACATCCTTGCAACAACGAAATCGTATTGGCGGCTCGCTCGTCCTAACCAATATCGGTTACCTATCTATATATATATATATGTATATATATACACACTTTTATGTATACGCGCGTATGTACGGAAAAGGTGTGCGCGCCGTGCGAACAAAACAAACGCGCGGAAAAAAAAAACCGTTGGGCTTATATTATCTGCGCGAGTTTGTGTGTGTGTGTGTGTGTGTGTGTGGAGCGCGCGCGCGTTACGGCGGCGGCGCGTATAAAATTACACGGCGGAAAAAAAAATACATACGTATAATAATAATAATAATAATATAAAAACCATATAGACCTTATATTATTATTATTATATGTATGTATATATATATATATGTATGTATGTATATAATATGTAATACGGCGGCGGCCGTAACGGCGGCGGCGGATACATCGAAAACGGTGGCCAGGTGGCCCTCAGTGAAAACGATGATGAACAGCTGCATATATATATATTCGTATGCGTGTGTGTGTGTGTGTGTGTCGCCGCTGATGCGTCTGACAATAATTCATTTCTCACACACACACACACACGCACACACGCACACACACACACACGCGCGCGCACACACACACGCTCCCGTGTTCCGTCATTCTCCATCACGTTCGTTCGATCTCGTTCTATCTCGTTCTATCTGCCGCGGCTCTCCTCTCGGCGCGCGCGCGACCCCGCGTCACTGGTACGCTTAGGTCCATCGTCGCGTCGTCGTCGTTATAATGTTATAACTCGCGTGCGAATAATGCGATTCGAAACGTTTCCCGCGGTTTTTAACCGAAATTCGTGTAAACGGATTTTATAGAAAAAAAAAAAAAAACAATACCGACAACATCGAGTACGCATCCACAGTAAAATAACGACGAGCAGCAGATGCGTATTATTATCGGTATTATAATATAAACAGATACGGGACGGACGACTCTATAAACACACGTCTTGTGCAGTCCGCGGTCCGTTTTGGCCAACACGATTATAACCCATCGACATATTCGTCTTGACGAGCGTCGTGCTGTGTGTAGGTACATAGTATACAGTCTGGGGCGGACCCGGCACAAAAAAAAACGGTGGTGGGGGGATGAAAATAAAGCTCGGAGTATATTGGCGCTAACAGTACATTTGGGTTCTTATCGTCCCCCCCCTCAATTTTTTCATCGGGTATATGGTAGGCATTAGTCCGACGAACAGATCGATAACGGATACAATAAACGATTTAATCAAAACGAAATCGTCGTAATATCGACAGTTCAATATTTTCTCCTCGTATAATTAATAGTTTTAAACTTATAGGTGCGTTGATCGAGTTCAATTGTAGAGTCCTATCACACGGGAAACGCACAATTCGTCTCCGGACACAGAGAGGGATCCTGGGGAACTAGGGCCCTCCCCCAGGCATGTTATTTCTTCAAATTTTTATGAAACCTATAAGCGATACAGAAAAAATTACATTCCTCGCTTCGTTCAGCATCTAATATATATCTAATATATTATCAATTAATATTGGTTTTGTTAAAAACTTTTCAAAAGACGATATTTTAAATTATTTTGACGATATTATTTTGTCCATTATGACTTAACTTATTACTTAAATTATGATTTAAACTTTTTTTAAAGATTAATTTAAACTACCTATATTATAAACAAATTACCTATATTTTTATAATGCGTTTTTTTGTGTTTCAAAAATATAATCGTATAAGTTTAGTATTAAACATTTTTCGTGATAAGTGATAAGAAAAATGTTAGGAAAACAATGTATTAAGACGTAATCTTCTAAAAACACGCTGAAAAAAAAATTACCGGGGACGATTTATTGTCCTAGATCCCCGTCATATTATTCGATCTACTCCAAATGTATGTGCAAATTGGTATACAAAATTAGCGGATATCACGTCATTTTAAAATTATATTTGGAAGGCCTATTTTCGGACGGTCTGACGACGACGACGTCTCGAAGCTGTGTCTCGCGGAATATTTTTCGATTTTTCCGCGTGTTATCGGAACGCCTGCCATCGACAAGACGTCGCGTGGTGTGGTACCTATGCGTGCTCTGTGTGTGTGGTTTGTTCGAAAAAGTAACACATAACTAATGTCTAATACATTAAATGTGACGATATTGTCGTCGTACCACGGAAATCGACGACGACGACGACGACGACGACGCGCGACGTACGCATCACGAAATGACGTCATACCACACGGCCGGGGGAGGAAATTATATAAATACACACGAATACAAACTCACCCACCCACTTACCCGAACTAATGGAAATGCTTCAACAACAAATCCACCCAACTACCGTTTGCGAATATACAGGGTGTATGTATATATATATATTTATAATATAAGACTCGTAGGTACGCGTATATAATAACAAGTACAATACGCGTAATGTTGCTACGTGCGTGTGTTTGAACGAGCAAATCGATTTTTCAATTCCCTCCGAACGAACGTCCCGTGAGCCAGCGGCCAAACGCGGAAATGTTAAACGGTCCGTGTACGAAATATTTATAATTTATACTCCTGCTCTCGAGACCGTAATCGAAACGCGCGTATCGGCATTTGTGCGCGGAAAAAAAAATACATAAAACAAAACCGGGCACGTTTCGCCACTAATGTTGTCTTTGTGGGAAGCTGGGAAGCCGGGATATCACTATATTAGTATACGCATAGCCGTACAGGGCAATTATTATAGGCGGTGATTTATATCCGTATAGGAAACCGTAAATCGTCGCAAACTGTATAAAAAAAAAAAAAAAAACGCTTCTCAGTGAAATTCGGTTAAACAATGAATAAAAAACAAAACAAAAAATTCGTATTAATTTGTAAAACTAAACAAAATAAATAACGGTAATTAGGTAACGAATTTCAACGTGAATTCAAACGTGAAACGCCGATAACAATAATTTTTAAACCGTTATCGCGTGTAAATATCCCCGTCGTTTTCCCCGGTTTTCTCAAAATTACCGGAAAAATCGATAATGACCTCCCTACCACGCGTCGCGTGGACAAAACAAGCCCGAAATCACCCCCGAAGTCGATGATCCGAGTGAGATTTCTGGGAAAAAAGTCGCGTACAGACAGAAAAAAAAAAAAAGCACACGCCGTGAAACCGATGCATTATTATTATTCCTCGCCGTACGCTCAGAATGTTTTACCCGCGGCCGCTATACAATAGTTCATTTCGCCGATTGTCGACCGGTATTGATATCGGTTTATCACGACGATATCGTGATATCTAATTTATATTTCAACAATGTAATATAACGATTCATATTTCATTCTCCTGTACGGTAGGTACCGTATATTATTTTCTCCGGTCTTCCCGAATACTCCGCAGCACGATAATCACGTTCATATTTTTGCGCACGTCGTCATTGGCCGCATTGAACTTTTCAAACGGTAAAACGGGATGGTAATAATTATGGCGATGCCAGTGTTAGGAGTTCTAGACCGCAATCGGTTTCGTTATTATTAACGACGCGTTCACCCGCGGTGATATCCGATTTTAATCCGGCGCCGCAGGTATTCCGCGAATTCGCGCGAAAATCGTCGGAGAGTTTTGAGCGGGAACCGAGCGTAACACGATTATGTGTGTGCGCGCCGCGGTTTACCTTTGACGGTCGCGTCAAAGAGAGCGGCGTCGCGGTGATGTTGTTTACGGCCGGCGTCCCGTTTGTAAACAATCGCCCCGCGCAAAGGTTAAAGGGTAGGAACGCCGCGCGGGACGGGTGTTTATATTTTCGTCCGCGCCGCCGTCGACGTGCGTATACTATACGGTACTGCGTGCGTGTGTATGTATACACACGGTACGCGTGTACATTGAATATCCGCGTGTACACGGGGCGCGCGCGGGCGCATTCGCCCGTCCGCCGAGCGTCACGCCCGACAACAACAGCCGCGCGCCCGTTTTCAAGTTCACTCGGACGGCGCGCAAACGCCGGTGGCCGGGCGATTCGCACGTGGTACCGTCGTCGTCGTTGCCGCCGCCGCCGCCGCCGCCGTCGTCACCGAAGCCGACGCTGCCGTATCGTAGTCGTAGCCGCCGCGCGCTGGGCGGACACCACGTGGGCGCGGCGCGAGCGTAGTCGGCGTGTGCGTGTGAATAGCGTACGGCGTATAAAGTATTGATTTTGTGCGTGTCGGCCGCCCCCCCGCGCGCGCCACACCGCCACGGCACGCCCCGCGCGTCCACCCATCGTCCGCCCGGACTCGTGTGCGTGTGATTCATCGCTCCGGCGTCTCCGCTCGCCCCCCNCGCCCCTCTGCTCCCCCTCCGCCGCCGCGACCGCCAGCCGACGCGAGCGATCAATTTTTCTCGCCGCCGCCTCCGACGGCGATAATAACATCAACGGGACAGTCCCTCCGGCCGGCGCGTATGTACTCGCTAAAATGTATAATACATTCGCCGCCGAATTTAAGTCCCGAATGAAATGACCACGTGGGTCACGGTATTCGCACGACCCTTTTTCCTACGCACACGCCGGCCGTTTTCGTGAATAGTTTTCTTGGCAGTCATCGTTTCCGCAACGCATTTCCGTGTTTACAAACAACGTCGATGCACCAAAACGGTTTTTTTTTTTTTAGTCCTATCGACGAACGTTATTTAAAGAAATAATATTCATCGATAATTCGTTTACAGAGAAGCAACTTGGAACAACCCTTATTTACAAAATCGACACACGATATTAAACAAATCATTACATCGATTTACGCGAATGAAAAAAAAGGATTTGACCTTTGAAAAAAATTATATAAAATTGCTAAGCCTTATAATTTGTTTTTTTTAAGAAATGTTTGAAATTCGAAATATTGTACCTTAATTATAGAGTACCTTGTCAGATTTTTCTAACAAGTTAATTACACCCTCTGGAAAATGTTTGGGTCGATTGATTAAACTCTATAAAAATCGCTGATTACAAAAATGATTCCTTTTATACAGTAGTACGGCACAAGGGTACTCTAGTAATATTTTTAAAATTGAGTTTCAACCAGCACCCGTACGTTTAAAATTAAAATTGTATGTATTAGTTTTTGTGTGCGATATATTTATAGAATAAATCAGAATACAGCGGACACAGACAGACAAACAAATTCATTTGCACTCCGTGTTGAAATCCAAAACCATAATATTATTACGTCTTAATAGAAAAAAAAAAAAAACAACTTTCACATCGTCATAATTTACTTGACGTGATCACGATGACACGATAACATAATACTAAATTGAGTTCTAATTTACGGACCCGCTTAATTCGTTCTGTTTTTTTTTTCATTTCGTCCTTTAATTTACCGTTTTATAAACAGTACCTACTAAAAATTACACTTTGTAAAATTGATGTAACGTACGCGTTAAAAACCAAAATGAATAAATAAATATATATATATGAGTAGTCCCGCACTCGATTATTTAAACGATGGGACACATTACAGTTCCGTCCGGTGTTATTTCATTTCCGTCCGTTTTCACGTGTATCAATCGTATATGTTGGAAGTCGTTTGACTTTGGTTTTTTTATTAGCTGTATGTTTTCCTATTATTACGATCATATCGGGGACATGAATATAGGTGTTAGTGCAACCTGGATGGGGGAGGGTTATGAATTTCAAACGAATTTCTGAGCGGATTTTTAGGATAGTATATTTATACTAAATAGAACCGAGTGCATGACGTATTCAAAATTACAAGAAAATATCCAAAATTGTAATCTAAATTATACGACTATATTATATACTGTATCCGTTATTTTTTCCCGTTACTTTTAAACCTCCCACCGGATCCAATGAGCTCAAACTCGAAAATCACAGTTTTTTTACGGGCTGATTGAAGTGATAAATGTCGGGTTGAACTTCGCCGTATTGCTGTGGGATGAAGATGTATTTTTAGCTTCAGACTTTCCACCCAAATGAAGCCATGGGGACAACATGCGTGGCGTTAAAGTACCGGCTGTACGTGCCTTTCAGGGAGTTTCAACTTTCTAACGCGAATCCCTAGGATTTTTGTGCTGAAATTCTGCCGTTTTTTCGAAAAACATGAATTCCACAATACAAATTGGATTGCGGAAAATTAGCCACACTCTATAATATACACATTATAGTGTACAGAGCACGCTGCCGCTCACGGGTGATTATTTTTTTATTCGGGCCGGAATCGGTATATCATGCGAAAAAAAAAATAAAACAAAATGCCGTTAATATTCCGCGGAACTCGTTTGCAGCCATCGCGTAGACCACATTTTCATACACCCGGACGTCATTAATTGAACCGAATAACAAAAAAAAATTATAACCGCCGGCGTAAAACGCGGTTTGATTGTCGACTGTACCTAATAATAACAAAGGCGTATTTCGGACTTTCGTGTGATTCGCGCGTTACGTGTACGGTGTATTCTGCACAGAAAAATATAACGTCCGGTGTCGTTCAGTCGCATGGATCGCGGAGGCCGCCCTCCTTCGGGGATTCCTGCACAACATTTTCGTCGTAAACCGTTCCGGGACCGAACCGCACATCAAAATGTCTGTGTACGCTTTTGTGTTATTGTTATTATTTTTTTGTAATTCGGCGTGTGCGCGCGGGCGGCCACGGTGTGGGGTGGGAGACCCGGCGTAGTGTAATCGCGCCCCGCGCGGTCGTTCCGTTCGCGGCCGCCGTCGTTTAAGCCGCCGCTGCCGCCCCTACTGCCACCCCCTCCGGGGGGTTTTACTCGCCGGGTGTATGGTAGTGAGTCACGCGGCCTCGGAATGAAACAATAACATTATTAAATAGGTATACACGCGTAATATTTAAATGTACAAAACGTTTTCGTATTTCGAATACCTGCATAACAACTGAATCGAAACTATTACATTATGCTGCTGAACTAGACTTTATACTATACACTAAACGGCGGGATTAATCTAAAAGAATACAAGTTCGTAAAAAGAAAAAAAAACCCATATTCGATATTCTGAGTCGGCGGCGTGCCTTAAATTAAGGAGGGAGGCGGAAAAACGATTTACAACTATACAAGAAAAAGCACACTACTGTACTATACGGTGTTTGGAGGGAGGCAAATGAATCCTCCCCTGGAATCGATAACCGTTCTAAATGTAGCGAAGAAGCTATGTATTGGTATATAAGTTTTAATATTATTTTTTTTTTTCAAGTACTTGTCTACTTGTACTGTCTTGTACAATCGAATATTTCTCTCTAAAATCCATTTTGTACCGAAACGCGGGGTCGTCGTCTGAAAGTTAATATTGTTATAACCTTGACAGTATAACTTTTGGTTATCGCCGAATTGAACTTTTTACCTAAATCAAATGGTAGAACTGCATTAAGGTAAAAAAAAAAAGAATGTTTGAAAATTCATTCGCCGCCCAACTTACTGAGTTAATCGCAGGCGGGGAGAGAAAATATTTATTATTATTTTTTTTTTTTTTTTTTAAAGTTTTAAATTTTGATGGTTTTTTCGTTGGGACATTTTCGTCGACCCCGTGGGTTCTTGGCCCGACCAGTGGCAGTTCGCCGCGTTACCCGTTTTTAAACCGATAGCGCCGTTCGCAGTGTTTCGAACCCAACGGTACATTTCGAACGAAATATTTATAATTCGATTTTACACCCGCCGACGACGTCCAGTCCGGTGGCCGTCGCGCGAGCCGCCCGCGAACTAATAATTATTACGGTCGTGTTCGCATCATTGTCCGCAGACACCGCGTCGCATCGCGTATAATTAATTATATTATTATTTATTGTTATTTCCATTATTATTGTAACGAAATAATATTATACAATAATAACCGCGATGTATATAACGATAATATTAATATCGTATTATCGGGCGGCAGATGGGCGCCAGATGTCAAAATTTACTCGCGCGCGCGCGCACACACACACACACACACACACACACACACACACACATACGCGCGAACACACGTCACACGTACGCTTATACGGTTTTATTCGTGCGTGCGTGAACGTATGCGTTTTACCTATGCGCGCGAGCCGTGTACAATCCGATCTGGACCGAGTGCGACATGTGCTCCGGTACAGACGACGGGCGACGATATTACGTGCGTATATATAATCGTACGACCTCATATATAATACGTTAACATTGGTTCCGACGGCGGCGGCGCAGACGTTTTTTCGGCGATGCACCGCGGTCGCGACGCGCGCGTTTCGGGGACGGGACGGGCGCGTGAAACGGTCCAAAATTAGATTTTTGTACGCGCGCGCGCTTTCGCGCACCCCGACGGCGACGGCGACGACGGCGGAGCCGACGACGACGACGGAGCCGAGCGACCGTCTCCCCGCGGTCGTCCATGTCGCGGCAACAATCGCCGCGGAGCACCGGGTCTTTTCGCGGCCGCCGGTTTACGAACCACTGACGCGGACGGTTCGCGCGTAAAACCGTCTCCCCGAGACGGTCTTTCGGACATACGGGCCGGCCGGTGTTTGCCGGCGGAAATCGGCGCGCCTGTCAATCCGTCCGCGCAATAATAGCGCGTCGTTTTTAATTTCTCGGAAAGTATTTGCATAATACATTAGAGTACATTGAACGCTGTATAATATTATACGCGGCCGGCGTTTTCGCGCGGCCCGTTATTCATAAGCACTCGGGGTTTCGGCGGGGCGTAAAATTATCGTCTCCGCAGCGTTCGAAACGCGCCCCGCTCTCATACCACTGCGGTATTGTAAACTTTAAATTAAATTAAAATAATAATGATATGCGGTGTTCTATTATAATACAGTCTCCGGGAGGGGGGGGGGAACAATGGATAAACTCTGCGACGGAAAAATTAAAAAAAAAAAAATCGTAAACAACAAACTTTATTTCGCAAAAAAAAAAAAAGAAAATATAATATCTAATGCGTATTTTTCCGCGGCGCGTAAACGACACGGGGTTTTTCAAATATTATCCGTCGAAGTTTTGACCGTGTGTTTTTATGTATACGTATAATAGCGCGGAGTTCCCATGCGTTCACTCTCTTGGAATGATATCGCGCACTGTTCAGACGTCGAAGACCGCGCACGTACGCCGAATTATTATGTTCGTGTGCGCGCGCGCGCGTGTACGTGTACGAACGGGTATAAAAATAAATCGTTTTGTCCGCGCACCGAATCGCGGATCGTTTGAACCTCAAACACCCCGACGGAGTAAAAACAATAAGGGCCTCGGATAGGGCGCTATGAGCTCCCGATCGAACCGCGTTTATTGTCCCGACCGTCGCAATCGATGTCTACGGACACCCGGACACGTGGGAGGGAGATGGGAAAGTGGGGGGGGCGGGCGTGTGTGGGCCCGGTGACGACTTCGGCTACTGCGTCAATCAACTCGCGCGCCGCGGGCGTGCGATTCTTCCGCGCCAACCGATTAACGTTGACTGCGCACCGTCATGACGATATAAACGTCGTGAATTGTTATCGTTATCACTTTCGCGTTATTTTTTCGGGTCCCGGCGAAGAATCGGGGCTCGAGAAGATTTTCGTTACAATTTTCGATACAAGCAAATGCGTATTTCGATAACGCCGGAAACATAACGGGGGGAAGGGGCGGGGGAAACGTTTTACGGAATTATTAAAAATAATGCTAAAAACCTATTTAGGTAGGTGATCCCCTTTTCTCCGGGACCCTGGGATGTAATTATTATTACGTCGAATTTTTCGTTTGCATACAAATCGTTGTTCCGCACATATAATCCGCAGTTATCACCGTCGTCCATACCTATTATTTGCCTATTATAATTTTTGTATTTTTATTAATTTGTTATTGTTTTTTGTTTTTTTTTATTTGTTTCTTTTTGTTGATTATTTTTTTGTTTTAGTTTTTTTTTATTAAAATCACATTATCAACTATATTGTTTCAGCACCTCCTATACCTGACCAACGAATCCTATCCTCGAGGGGAAAATCGAAGAGGGCGCGGAAAAGGAAGTCGAGCGGTATGTTTTGTTTTTATTTTTTTGTTTTGTTTTTTTTTTGTTTTTCTAAATTTTTTTTTTATCGATCGTCCCGCGTGACGTATCGCGCCGGTTGTTAAGTACACCGATAACGATAGGCTGCCCCCCAAAAAAAAAAAAAAAAATTATTCTTAACGAAAAACGACGACCATCGGACCGAGACCGAATAATAATAGGTTAATACGTAATTTATCGTGACGACAAGGAAAATGTATATCGTCGTCGCGGTGGCTATGGCGTGCCGCACCATTGACGTACCGGCATCTAGTGCACCGGACGGTAACTACGCAAAAGCTTTATACGAAACGACGCCGAGGTTTAAAATATTCGGGTACGGTGTCCGCGGTTGACGGAGGACACGACGAAGGCACAATCGATGGGCTCGGTACACCGCGACGGCAAGTCGACTCCCGTAATTGTCCAACAGTAGGCGGGAAAAAAAAAAAAGGCCATCATATTGATCTGATAATATATACGCGACGATACTGCCCCGAGGAGTTCGACGTCACCGAATCGAAAACGCGAAATCGGATTTTTTCGCCCGCGGGTTTATTTGATTTCGCCGGAATTCCGCGACCGATTTTTAACAACAGTGTCGATGCGAGTTTTCGCGTTCGCGTTCGAAATGCGTCGCCGACCGCGGTTTTCTAGGTCGGGGACGACTAACCGCGGCGGCGGCGGCGTTGCAAGGCTTTCGGGGTTAAGGTCGAGCTACGGTGCGCTGGCGCGGTGCGGGGCGGGCGCGGGGCGGGCCTGCCGCAAAAGCCCGCGGGTTTCCTGGGGGGTCCCCTGCACGCTCGTCCGCGTAAACGCAAACGGGGTTATTAGGCAAAAGTCCTCTTCTCCGTTTCTATACATGCGACGACGGCGGCGGCGGGGCCGTGCAGGCGGCGGGTGTTAAAAGGGCGCACTTTGTTGTCGTCGCGCCGTTTTCAATGGGGACGCGACGCGGAAAAACCCGCGACGCGGCGGCGGGTCGGTCCCGCCGCCGTGGGGTAGGACAGTGACGGCTCGAAAACGCGCAGGGGTGTCTGTCTCGTCGCGGTTTATTATTTGACGCGCCGCGCCGCCGCCGCCGCCGCCGCGGCACCGCAGGTAACCGCCGTCGCCCACGCTCGGTGCAGTATAGCAGGTACGTTATCGCAATACGAACTCTCAATTTGCTCGTGTGATCGCCCGCCGCGGACGTGATTGCTGGGGGGAAACGCAACGGCGGACGCCCTGTAGGTCGCACCGCGGACTACTCCCAACACCTTTACAGCCATAGCCCCCGGGGGGAAGGGTAGGGGGAGGGGGAAAATAAACGTGTCGCGCGCGCCCAGAAATCTAGTGTCGGTTCTGCGCACGGCGGTGTTAATTTAATACACAAATGTGCGTTGGTTTTCAGCTGGGGTAGGAGCTCGGCGTCGATTTCGCATTGAGCTGTAGTCGAAACAATTACCGTTGGCCGCCGCAGCAAGACGCATAGTGATTGGTGGTTCATTTGACGTTCGCTGTAATGAATTTTAGGACGGGCACAGTTTGTATCCTATTTTAGTCGCGAAATAATGCAAAACCGAGGGCGGTGTTAACGCCGTTAAATGGAATTTCGAAAAAAAATAAAATAAAAATATCCCGCAAAGTTTCTAATCATTCCCCCGGTGGGGCTACCTAACGGGTATCCTGCCTAACGCCCAATCCCTTTGGACTGCCTCCTAATTTATCGTTGTGCGTTCGTTTGAATGAGTATTTAACCGCGTTAATACTCTAACACACAGTATACGATATTTGTTTGTTCGTACGCTATGCGCTAATTGCATAATTAATGATAAAATAATGCATTTACATTTATTCACTTGAAATACACACAAATATAATATTATCACTTGTATACGTACCTCCTATGGACACGGTATCCACAATATGACTTAGTCCAAAGTATCTCGGTAAACGTATCGTTTCCTAGTAAGACGTAATTATGCATCCGTCAGTTGTGTTAGTAGAACTCATTTTTGGTGGAGAATTTTCAATATCATTTTCACCATAATCAAACGTTTCCAATCGACTATTTAAAATCTCGAGAGATGCGTAGCATTTTAAATCAATCAGATAATAATTTTCCATCGGAATTACAATAGTTTATGTGAAACTGGCGTCAGATCTCGACGTCACTTTGCGTAGGAAATCAACGTAAATTAACACCGCGGACAGAATAAAACTTCACAGTAAACGCGCGAATATTGAACGCGCATTGTAGACACGCGATAATACAACACAAACGTAATATTATCTTTTTTTTTTTTTTTTTCTAATTAAGCATTTACAGGCTTCAACTGCTAAAGTTATCAGTCAATAAAATGTATTCGATTATTGATTAATTCGGGGAAAATGTCGTTGTTTATACATTTTTTACTTATGTGTTTTGTCCAGCGAGAGAACGCGGCGCGATCCGTGCGCGAAACACACGGCGGTCGACAAATATTTGTCGACCCTAACAGTTCATGCGTTTAATTAAACAATATGTTGATGTTTTTTTTTTTTCTCTATAAACTAGTGAATAATGTAGCGCTCAACTGCTCAACGTCTATTCGGAGTTCAAATAACACGAATACTTAATGCTGTTTTGAGTAAAGGTCTAGTATTAAATCATGTGCATTTCATTTTACACACGCTGCTGTCATTTCAACACTCCGAAGCGCATTGTTTACTATTTAGCTGGTTGACGAACTCAGTCAAATGTTAAATCGACCGCATAATTCTAACTGTGCATAAACAGATAAAACGATAATTAGACGCTATCATTGTTGAGATGCGCGCGAGTTACACGATTCGATAATAATCGTATTGTGGAACAATGCGTTTCGGCGTGTCTACAACCAGCGGCGCCGCGGAGTATCATTTCACTTCGGACCGTCGATTTAATTCCCTGTGCACCCCGAAATCCACAAACCGGGGATCGAAATAAAGCTTTATCCGGGGGTCTTTAATGAAATTTATCACATTAACCCGCGGTCCGAAATTCTTTTAGTTCTCTCGGAAAACCATAATCGTTTTCGTTATATTTCTGAATACGCCGGCACACACGACCCGCCAACCCGTTTTGTTTGTTCGCGAATCACGTCATCCGAGTATACGTTCGCGCCGCCATTGTCTACAACCGCCGACCAGGTTACGACCGCATATGGTTCGTGTAACGATAGCCGTTAAACACTGTAAGTCCCTTGTCACTATATTACCATCGCGTATTGTATTTGTTTAACGAAACCAATATTAAGTCATAACCCATGATCCGTATTATATCCGTATCCTGGATCGTCCGGTGCGCGGATATTCGAGGGCGCTTTTCCCGGCAAAAATATTCAGACAATCGCCCGTACACGCGTCTTTACTGCGCGAACGTCGGAACTCCGCGTGCGTACGCCACACGGTTACCACGCGCCACCGTTTACGCTTTTGTCACGGCTGACGCGTGGGACGACGGGGTGTGTTGACAACCGCATCACGCGCGTCACGTCACCAGTCGAGCGCGGATTTCGCACGCTTTGCCGAAATGATGTTGCAATATATTACGATTTTATTTTAATTTCGATTCCGAGCGTTCTATTATAATATGATTTTGCTATGATTTTTTTTTTTTTTTTTTTTTTTATCGTGCGATAGGCGGTTTCGGGTAAAGCGATTTTTCTTTAATATTTTCTTGTACAGCGTTCTTAACAGTACGGGAAATTCGGTAATATTTACGCAATAACGTAGGTTTGGATAGATTTTTCCGATTTTGAGCGCAGCAAGGAATTTCTCTACAATGTGCGGGTTTTTTTTTTTTAAATTGTTTCTGTCTGTGTACAATATTTCTACCAGAAAGCACGGTCCGATTTACTAGTGTATAAAATGAGAATAGCATCTTTCCCGAAACCAAATTTTATCTAGTATCTGTATTGATAAGGCCCTTTTTCCCTGGTATTTTTATTAAATAATTGGGTAACAACGCACGAATAACGCATACGATTACGAATTTACATCAAAAAAAAGATTTTATTATTTTTGATTTTCGTTTTTTATTGTAAATAAAGTTGTTAAAAATAATCATTTAAGTAGTTTTTCTTATTATAGACGTGGTAAAGTTTTCAAAACATTCCGAGAACTGTTTAGCTATTTTTAAACATTTGGCATTTTCAAGTTTTTTTTTTTTTTTTTACATTTTATTTGATTTTAATTGCCGATATGTTTGCCGAAATTCGAGCAGTAGTTGAGTGGTTGGTTTTTTCGTAAGCGTTTAAAGTTCATGTTTTGGCGAAAATCGAAAAAATCACGGCACATATCATAACATGTTCAACCGAATAAGAGTTATTGACGATTTGCCGTTGCGTACAGATAACTTTGTGTATCCTTTGTACCGTCCCAACTTCCCGAACCTGTCACCTCGTATCAGCGTTGTTATCCAATAAAAAAACAATGGCAATGACTTGAAACATCAGGCGTGTTTTCGCGAAACGACCCGCAGCGACCGGGCACCAAAGTTTTGCTAACAGTGTAAATAAGTGTTCGCTATGTTTGCCAGTTAAACATCATCGATTGTAACATACACGGGTACCCACGTACGTCTGACGAACGTAAATCATACATATTCGTGTAACATATGATTCGTCATAACATTCGTACAATCAACATAAATTTACCGGCGAACAAGCTGAGCAACCTGGTTGCTTTCGGCCGCCTTCGCGAAAGCGCCCCTATTCGTTCTGACTCATTTTATTTCTTATTAATTTTTCACGTTACTCTAATGCACGCCGTCTGTTTACCGTTATTTTAATTTCATTATATTCTCGTGGGCTATCGTCTATACACATAAATACGTACAAATATTATTACTAGCGCGTGTTTGTACTATAACACGTACGTTTATGGGGTGTGTGAAAACTGTATATTCACCCTCGCCCCCACCCCCGCCCCCTAGATATTCGATTGCCCCGGACGGTAATTACGCGAGCTCGAAACTCTATTACCGCGGCGGTGGCGTGGTGAGCGGTGTCTTCTCCCCCCTCTTCCAAAAAAAACTAATCACTCGTTTTGTACGACAACGTAATTAAATAATTCGGCGGCGTGTGTAAAATTGTACGGGGGGGAGGGGGAAGAGAGGAAAGAAAAAAAAAAGGTGTGACGCAGTGTTTCGGGGGTTCCGGAGGGTTTGCGTGAACCGTGGATTTTATTATAATATTATTATATTATATTTTTCCCGTGATAAATGCTTTGCGATTAGCGCTACCCCTCTGGCGGCGTCGGTGCCGGAACTACTATTTTTTATACGTTTATACGAGGAAACCAATTCCGCCCCCCCCCCACGCTTCAGATCGATCGTTCTCCCGATTATAATCCGATTGGCCACACTGAACCGTACGAGCACATTAATATAACGGTCGAAATTTCACTCACGAACGTTCAATAATAGCTGCCCCTTATTTTCGTTCGGTATAGGCAACTCTACGTACGTGACAGTACGCGTGGTTGTATCGGGAGTCGTATTAAGGATGGACATGTCAATAATACACATTTCGTGCCAACAACGGTAATTTGTTTTTTATTTTTTTTTTGCAACTGTAATTCAATTTTTTCAACTGATTTTTCCCATATTTTTTCGCGTTTACGTGTACGAAAAATTGAATACACGAAACGTATTGATATAGTAATATTCACGTGGTGGTATTGTGAAAAAATTAATATTTTAATAAATATTGTGCCCAACTGTGTCCGTTATAGATATTAATTTTGTTTTTTTCAACGCTTTTTTTTTTTAAATTTACGTTAATTTCATCCGTACCGGGATTCGAAATTTTTACCATCGACTATAATAGACTAATAGAGAGATAATATAGACAAGGTACGATAGCTGCGTAATAATTATTGTTATTTTTGTGGCCGTTGTATAATTTATGTTACGGTCGCATGCGTTAAAATTTAGCGACTGCTAAGTCCAATCAATTAAATCACGGTGTTTACGTTATAAGTCGACACGAAAACCCACGAAATATTGAATTTGCACTTAATAGATCGAATTTCGCGTTTTTCGTTTTAATAGTGTGATTTGACTTATTGTCAAACTCAACGGTAAGGACACGTGTTTTAATGTTTGCGCGTCGGGTTTTTTCTAATGTTTTAATTTTTAAGCGAGATATAAGCGTTTTCAAATTGTGATACTTCACTAAAATTACCACCGCGATTGGCTACGGCACAAAATGATTATAAACTTCGACTAACCGTCGGCGCCTCGTAATAGTTTTCGCGCGCATTGTTCAATGTCCGTTTTGTTACGTCATAATACACGTCGCAATGTATACAAATTATTATTTACCCGGAGCTTGTTTCTGAAAAGTCATATGTATTTCAAAGGTATTGTCCGCTCAATAAATGCCGGCATTTCAGATGATATTTCGTTGAGATTATATCGGTGTCCGGGGGAGGGTTCCAAACTACCCGGATCACGTAAATCCACCGCCGCTCGTTTCGAGATAAAACGATTTGTCGGCGTACAATGTCGCCGTGTCCAAAAACGCTCACTCGATAATATCGCGCGTTGTGTGCCATCCAGTGGCGTTCTCAGGAAGGAAGGAGGGAGGAGGGGGTGGGTGATGTGGGTAATATATCGGCCTCCGAAGATGTCTAGAATCCAGACGTTTTTTTTAAATTTTTTTTTTTCCGTCTGTTTCGCAATAAATTGTTAAGCACAACGCGTAGGCAATGAGAAATATAAGGCGCGAAACGTACCACATTATCAATAATTGTTATCGAGTTTATCGTTAATGTTAAATGTTAATCGGACCGTTCGATATGGTATACGTGATTTTTTCTTGATATTTTCAACAAATATCCGTATCACTTCCCAAAAGAAACGCCCATAGTCACGCCAATGGGTACGTGCACTGCAGGTACATCCGGTAATTTCATACAATGTTCGGAACGTAACACTTTTCGTTTGGATATGATATAATCGTTCGGCATGCGTATGCCATCCAGTAGGGCTTCGATATAATATATTTTTCGACGAAGCTAATAAAATACCGCGTGACAGGATGTCATTTCACGACTCGTCGATCGCGCGACACTGCACCATTATCGTCACCGGCACTGCTGCACGAAAACGGCACGTAAATTTTCGTCGGCGGCGTCTTCGGGTTTTCTCTTGTAATGAAAAACAACGTTTCGGTGGGTTTTTTTTTTTATTTTTTTTATAATTTTTAACAATTGATTATAACGCTTAGTCGATTGGCAACGCGCGTGTACAGTCCGAAAATCTGAGTTTCAACAATGTTTGAAACGGAATATTATAGCACCGACAAATGATTTTCATATATTATTGAGTAAGGGAAACTTAAGGGGGAAAACTACGAACTGCGCTCAACTCGTTTTAACATAATTTTATGATATTTGATGTAAGATTTTGTTTTGTTTTTTTTTTTCTTCTCGATAAACGGTATTATTTTTTTAGTTAGTTTGGGATTATATTGCACTTCTTATAAACAATAGATAATGAAATCGTGTAAAACATAAATTAAAAAGTGTAAACATTAATTTATCACATCCTTTCCCCATCCTCGGGTTACATTGAAACAACGTAAAATAATTTACAAATAAAAATTTGACTATAAGAAAACAAAAATGCAAAATGAAAAACAAAAACGTACACTTCTAAGACTATATTTTATATTAGTTTATAATATATTGTTTTTGTATTATTGGTAGCGACTTTTTAGCATAATCGGTTTGGTTGAAAATTAAACATTAACATTAAATTCAAACGAATTGCATTGTTAACATATTAAACGTTGTAAAGTATATTGTTATACATCTCATGTCCCACGATGTGCGTAAGTTTTCGAAAATATTTTACACATTTTTGCATTGCGTCTCTTGTAATTTAGTTTTACCCGATATTCGAAGACAATATAAACAGTAGGTATATTTAAATTTAAATTTCAGTAAATTTATAATCCCGTTTTGTTTCGACTGAATTGATTCGTGTTGGTAAAATATCATATTATTATTTCTATTATAATATAGAAAGGACTATTCGTTTACAAACGATAAAATTAAATTAATAAAACGATGAAATGTACAACATGTACAATTTTACACGAGGTACATTGTAAGTTGTACTTGGTGGTAAAAAAAAGTTTAGTGTAACGTAGGTAGTAGTTTTTTTTTTTTTTTATATTATAAGCGTTTTAATTAAAACTTTTGACAAAAATCAAAAATTACGTTTTTTTCAAAACACGTATAATATTTATACAACCGGACTTCGCTCAGTATCGTATTTCGTTAGCAATGATTTATCGTTCCCTACGGATGTAAATTTAACTCTATGCATTCTACCTTCCCGACTTCCCGTACTAGCAACAGCGGCACACACCCGTCAGCAGTATAAGATCTTATTTTTTAAATTCGAATGTCACGTGAATTATAGCGAGTTAAAATCTAAAGGCCTGCTTGATGCCTTGTTCGGTTCGTTGAACTGGGAAATTCAAAACACTACCTACCTCGCCCGCGAGTTATATATTATCATGGTAAATATCATCAATGTTCAAAGTTAATGCGAATAATATTTTTTGAGAAAACCCGAGCACGAAATTAAAATTTTAATGTCATTAAAAAAAAAAAAAAACACATTTATTTTTATTTAAATTGAAGTGAGAATTTCGAGATTTTTTTTAATTTTGCGACGATAATTGGAGTTGCTCAACGGTCCTGATAGTATTTTTAATGTTTACATATTTAATCCCATCGCGATTAATATATATACTTAATATCCGACGCTGATGATGGGTTTACTCGTCCCTGTCGGTATATTTAGTGGGCTTTTATAAAGACTCGTCAAATTAAAATGTGATTATAGTCTGGCTATACATTTAACTTGTATTTTAATGTTTTACAATTAGAATTTAGGAAAATAATTTAAGAGGATTGTTGACGGTTTTCAAAATTTTGAAACATTTTAATGACTACCTATACCGGTTCGTTACAAATCTTTTCCACTACTCTAATGTCCAGTACCGGCCATTTAACGGAACGGGTACATCCGATTTTTCCGGAGTCGGTAATTTGCGTCCCCCCCCCCAAAAAAAAGGATCATAACCATATAATAGCTACTATGTAAATTGCGTCCAGGGTGTATTGTATACATACGTAAATTGCGACCTGGGTATATTTTATGCATCCGTAAATTACGGTCCGGGCATATTTTGTATAATATTGTATTCCTAAATTGTTTTATTCATTCGTAAATTGCGTCCAAGGTTTAATCAATATTTTCCTTCCCGTTTTTCAGACATAGTACTGCAGGCAACACAATTGTATTAGTATTTTAGAAATTTGTGACGACGAAATTTGAATGTATCAACTATACTTACAACGTTTTATTCCTTTTGCTCTCCATAACGTGAATTTGTATTGAATTGAAAAAAATACATTGTCTTACGAATTTCTTAATTGTAAACAAAAATCAGCAAAACCAATGCGTTTAACCATATCAATATTAATACAATTACATTGCCAGTTCTATGTCTAAAAAACGGGAGGGAAAATATTGTTTTCGAAAAAAAAATCAAAGCAGTCTTTCAAATTATCTCCAATATTGCAAAACTTGATAACTGTTTTTTACCGCCTTAACGATGATACTTTTCCACTAGTTCACTGCTCGACACCGGTTTATTTAAGGAGAAGCAATCAAATTACAAAATAACGAAACCGTTCGTACAGCCGTACCGTAAACTTCCTCAATCTCTCCCCCCCCCACGGGTTTTCCCATTTATTACGGAAAAACTGCTCGATCGATTAGAAAACGACCTTCGCAATCCAAAGGTCCAAAATGCTACACGCCGCCTCGTCATTTTTTAACCGGGGCAATATGTCTCGTAGAAAAGTCGTTTACGAACCGGGGGAAGAAAAAAACGCGCGCGGTAGTAAAAACGAACGTGTTCCCCGCCGCGCCGCTCAGAGTTTAAAAACAAAAAAAAAAAAAAACGAAAAAATGGTATTCGATGTTCCGACGGACGGATAATAATATTGTGGACATGATAATTATCGTACCTATTGGATTCGTAACGCGGAGGGGACCGCGAGGTGACGGTGAGCGCGTGCGCGAGCGTGTGTGGGAGCACGCGTATTATTAGTCGTTTGTTTGCGTTAATGTTATTCGGTGCGCAATGTATACAGAGCGCTTGGAAATGAGTCGGATGGAATGTTTCGATAAAAAAAAAACACTCGCGTCTCTCCTATAATGACGTAACGCGCTTGCAGTCGTAGCGCGGTGTATTATCGTACCGCGTTCGTGTTGATTATTTCCTAGGCCCGTTTCGTGGTGAAGTCGTCGGTGTGACGGGCGGGGGGAACGCAATGAGAACGAATTCGTCTTGAAAAAAAAAAAGTTCGTTGCCGGCGGCGGCGACGACGTTACGGTTACACCGAGGGGGGGGGNGGGGGGGGGGGAGACGCGTTAATAATCGTTTCACACGCGTGCAGACGTGACCCAGATCGCCGCTGCCGTAATCCGGTGGCGGGCAGTGTAATAATATTACAGGAGGACGCCGAGGCTTTGAAAAACAAACCCGAACAAAATAAAAACGCTCGTAGGTCGGGAAATCTCGCCGCGGTTTCCGCGGTCGGTCGCGACCGCGGATTTTCGCGGCTTTCCCGCGGATTTCCCTCGTCGGTTTACCGCGGGAAACGGAAAACCTCGGCGCTCGCCCCATATTTACTGTGCGCCGCCGCGGCCACACTGCGCGGCGCGCGCCAGACGGCGGCGCGCGGCTCAGCGGTGGCCTCGACGTCGAGCGTGCGCGCGTGCGGCCGCGTTCGTCGTACGGCTGGAAGGGCTGGAACGGTGACGGCCGCGGCGGAGCCGGGGAAACGTTTCCTGATACTACAAACCGTACACACGCAAGTGTATACAGTCAGAACTCCGTTGACGTCGACCGTGCTTGTGCATTCCGTCGCCGTCGCCGCCGCCGCCGCCGCCGCCGCCGCGTTACCGAAAAATATTATCGTAAAAATTGTACGTTGACGGGGCACCCGTTGCCGATTGACGGGAAACCATCGACGCGTGCACAGACGACGAAAATAATTTAACACAATGTATCGGTAGTTTTCGCGGGAACACGGTGCGAAACAACGACGACGGCTGTAAATCAATAACGCGTAACGATAATATTATTATGATTCCTGCGGGACGACTGCGTTTCGTTTTAACCGCTACGACGACGACGACGGGTCCGCTACGAGACCGCCGCAGGAGGCGGACGCGCGCCGCCGTCGGAGCTCGCCAGTGATTTTCCCGTCGAGCCACCGGCCAGTTTTCCGGGTACCTATAAACTGTTTGGTAGGTACCTATTTATCCGGCGTGACGATATTTTAAACCAACCACTGTGCTAACGGTGTCGAACCGCGTGCAATATTCGTGTGGGTACGCCGTCGACGTTTTCGGACACAAACGTCCCGTGGGAAACGCTCGAAAGCGCCCAGGTACTTGTTATAAAACGATGACGCACTGTCGGCACGGCGCGCGCACAACCCCGACGGAGTAGCCGGTTTCGGGGGTTTCGGGGGTGTCGTAGCCCCCCGACCGCCTATTGCTTGTTGTAGCTATAGCCGGTCGAGAACGTCGCGGACCCCTTCTGTCTAATTTTCTAGGCTAATTTTCGTTAAACGAACCGTCCGGCGGGACATTTGTCGCGGCGTTTCCTCGGCGTTCTTGCGCGCGCGAATTTTCCGAAACCGACCGTCCAACGTCGTTCCCCGTTTCTCGCCCGTTACCGCTGTTGTTGTTCGGGCATTCCGTGCCCCCCCCCCCATCTCCCTCCCCGGCGCACGTTTCGGCGCTCGTGCGCGACCGTGATGTAAAAAAAAAAAAAAACTATACACGAAACGTCAGACGAAAACAATAATAACGGCCCATCGACCGCGTTCGGCCCCGAGGTCATATTCTCGTTTTTCTTCCCCTCTACCGCCACCCGTCATTCCCCGGCCCGTACGGTGCGTGATATTATCGGGTTTTTTTTTTTTTTTTCCTATTCCTTTTCTCCGTTCACGCTCGGACTACGCGCGCGTACGCCTGTGCCATTTTACGGCCATTCGGTGGGAAATTGTTGTTGTCGTATTGCCGTCGTCCCGGCGACTGCCCGTAGCTCCCGCCGCGCGAATTCGGACCGGGCGCGCGAACGTGCGGGTCCCGCCATTTGGCACGCGCGTTGTTTTGACCCGTACGTAATTATTGGTAACTTGTGAAAAAAACGCGCGCTCGCGCGCACACACGCACTAAAACAACGGCGGACCTACACGCGAATCCCGGAATGAAAGTCCCCGGGGCGGTAAACGAACCGACGAAATACCGAATCCCTGACGCGGTTTGCGTCGTCGTTCCGGTACGTATTCAAAAACCTCTCGTCTCGTCGACGCATTTTCCTCGTGACTAACACGACGTCCGTCAACCGATTTCAACGGACAGCGAAACAGTTTTTTCAAACGTCAAGTACGAGCACGAGCCGCAGACAAAATACCGTCGCTCGCGACTTTACTCCGTTACGGTTAGGTGAATTTTCGCGGCGATTTGAGAATTTTACGGAGCACCAAACCACCAGTTCTGTTCAACGTGGTAATATAACACGCTGGACGGTTGTGGTGTTATTATGGTGTAACTATAACGCGTATACGTAACTGAAGTCAGCTTTCTCCACCTCACCTTTAAATTACTTACTCGAGTCGGACAAATGGAAAGTATTTAACATTTAAGCGGGGCCTAATATCGACAGGTGAATAAAAAAAAAAAAAAAAAATAAATAAATAAAATAATATGGATTGAGGATTTTCGTGCCTTGGCAGGAATTTTCAACGCAGAAACGGTTGAACGTTGTATATGGAAATTATATACGCGTCTTAATTTGAATTAGGTACACGGAGATTTTTTTTTATTCCCGGGGTTATTTCGCAGAGCATATAATCGCGTGTACAGAATATCCTACAGTGTTATCCTTATGCTAATAGTTTTTGAACAATTTTGTCAATATTATTATTATTATTATTTATTTTTTTTTTCATCTCTTAATTATTGAAAAAAAACAACATTCGTTTATTCGTTACTTTTCAAAACGTTCAAAATATCCATTTTGTAAAAGACATTGCTCTGAACATTTAATTTTAACGTGCATTCATATCCAACCAGTGACCGATACCAGCAATAGCCGTTTGATTTCTAGAAAATTGGCGTTAAAACAATTAATTTCCAATCGAATAACACGTTGCGAGATAAGGAATTACGATCGGCACGGCAATTGCTTATCTTCTATTGAACATATTTAATCGGTTTCACACCTATTTTCTATAAATTAAGGCCACCAGGTACAACTTAGTAAGGATCTATTATTCGGATATGCCGTTTTTTTTTTTTTTCGATGAGCTATTTATGGGCATTTTGTAGTTGCGAGTTTTTATACGTAGTTTTTTTTTTTCCGGTAGGTAGTAGGTACTACGTAGATAAAATAGGGTGAAATTGTTTGACCAAACAGAAATGCTTGAAAATTTAATCGGTGGTTCATTATGTGCTGTACTTAATTGTTAAAAAAAAAAAAAAAAAAGTAGTAGTTTTTTTTTACACAAGAGTTTTGTATTCAAAATTCGACTAAAATCGTAAAAATTACGGCGTTTCAAAAACTGTAGGGACAACCTAGGCAGTCATCTCGAGACGTAAAATTTTTCCGGGGGGGGGGCTTACACGTGTGATATGGGCGATGGTGTATTGTCGAGTATTCGGCAGACAAACCACGGTAACCGGTAAATCGAAATTCACGTGCACGTCAAGAGCGGGCCTATAATGTTGTTCAAAAACGTACAAATTTATACTTACGCGAGGCATAAATTTCAATTTACTCAGTGTAAAATCAAAACGAAATTGTTCGTGCGGTAATGTGCGATTAGGCGCATCTTTTCCAAAATGAAAAACGAAATAAACAACTAAATTAAATCAAAATTTTTTATTTGATAAATTAACGAAGTTTTTTTCTAACATTCTGTTGGTTTTTTGTTTTGTAAAAAATTATGTTAGTTACTGCCCAAAAATGATTGTTTTTTTTTTTTATCATTAGTAAGTTTTCAGCGAGTTAATATAATTTATTATTGTAGCAATATTGATTTTTTTTTTTTTTCAATACGTTAACACGACCAATGTCTCCTCCCCCCCCCAACCCATTGCCTCATTACTCCCCAGGGTCCCCTGGACCCTGTTAGCCTCCTTTCCACCGGTTCACTCCGGTGCCTATCACAGGTTGTGACGTGTACACCGTTGTACGGCGGATTTTCTCTGTCCGTTTCTTTATCGCGCGGTATTTGGGCGCATAGTTTTTGTTTTTTAACGTTTTGTTTTTTTCGATTTTTGTTTTTTTAATGAATATTTAACGTAACATGGACTCGTGTGTGATAAATCGGTCTTGTCGCTCTTATCGAACGCCGTCAACGTTTATTACATAGGTACTTAATGTATATATATATGTGTGTGTGCGTGTGTGCATATGATATTATGTATTACTCCTCGATCGCACCGAAAAGAGATTACAGGCAATCGAATACAATTTCTACCGGTTGTCTGTCCTTCGGTTCACCGCGTTATAATAATTATTATCTGAAGAATTTCGAACAACGCGCGGACAAACAGATTACGTACAATGCAGGCCTAAGTGCGTTATCGTGACTGTTTCGTCAACGATACGATACGCAATGATTGTACGGTATTGATGACAAATGTTATGGCTGGAATATAGTCCGCGTTGTACCGCAGTTTGGTCTTGTTATTTATTGTATTATTTCCGGATTAGCGTACGTTATCATTAATATTGTATCGGTAACCAGCGTTCGGGACAGCTTGTAACACAAAAAAAAAAAAAAACTAGTAAAAAAAGAAGCACTTTCGAAATGCCATAGGTGGTTTGACTGATGTTCCGTTTTTAGTTTTTTTGAAATCATTATACTCATTGTGATCACAGTACAATATTTGACGGTATAATTGATTTATATTATATACGTAAATAGTGATTTTTAAGGTCAAATGCGAAAATAAAAATCAAACAACCGAATTCTAAGTAAATCCCTGTCCAATGTCAGTAGACTATCACAAATCGGTTTACCGAAAATTAACTCGTCAAAATATCATTAATGGCTAACGAGTATTAAACAACACCTGCGGTAATTATCGCTCGTAAGATGTTTACCGAATCCGGCGAAAAGTTTGCTGACAAGTGTGTTCGTGTATAGAAAACTTCAGCCTGGATTGACAGATGTATGGGTCCTTGGGCGAAACTTAAAAAAAAAAAAAAAAAAATATTGTTTTTAAAAATTGACAAAAGAAAAATATTAACAAAATATAGAGGTAAAATAACAAATTCCAAAAGCCACAAGTACTATAAAAACCAATAAAAATATCGAAAAAAAAAAAAATACAAAATAAACGATAAAACGCGGTAATAAAGAACGCAATGTGTAAATATAGCCGAAAATATACTGTAGCGAAAACTGAGGCCTTTGGAGTTCGATGTCCCCCGTCCGGGGGAATGAGCGAACTGCAGCCGCGTTTCAACGACCCCGCGCCAAAACACATTATCAAACATTTTGACATTATCAAACCGGCCGGCTATGCGAATACATCGACGAAATCGAAAACGCATTTCAATATCGGACTATTCGCGGTGCAAGCGTTACGCCGCGTACGACGATATTGTCTAGTTGACTTTTCGCCGACCGGCGCGCGCCGTCGGCGCGGATAGACGGTAAAGTGACGTTTTGTCCGCGAAACTGGCGTAGCCTCGGGTTGTTCGGGACAGATCACCGCCGCGCGAAAACAATGCCCTCCCCTACATCCCCGAACCGCGCTCCACCCGTCGCCCCGGCGTAACAAGTGCGTTTTCCCGCGTAACGTGTCTTTACGTACTTGTGTTTGCGTATTGCGTATATTCGTCTGCAATCGGAAAACCGTTGCGGAAGGTCGCGGTATTATAATAATAATATTATTGTACACACGTGTGTGTAGCCGCTGCGCGCTGCAGTGCGTGTACACCGCAGCGCGTCCGATTCACAATCGATTCCCTGTGCTCTTGTTCCGTGCCGTGGCCAGTATATCCCCCCCCCTCCCCTACCCCACCCCACCCCGCCACGATTGCAGAAGAGCGAAAACCCGTAGAAACGAAATCGTTTTCACCCCGCGACCTGACCGGCGGCGCGGCTCGGCACGCAGGAAATCTCGCGCGAAACCTCACAAACGTTTCGTACCGTATCCAACATATTTGAAGTCCAACGTGTTCTTTGTTTCCGGTCAGAACGCCGCGGGAGTTTCCGACCCCGTACCGGCTTGTCCCGAGGACAGCTCTTCACGCGCCCGACATCCACGGCGTTACCGGACATTTTAAACAATCGTCGGGCCACTCCGACTCCTCAACAACTCACCACCCGACAATCTTCGAACGGTATCGAATAATCAGTATTTTTCGATCGCGTACCTCCACTCACGAAAATCTGTATCTGTTTAACATTGGCACCGGTCCAAAACTGTCCGTGCTCGGCCACTAGCGTCGATTTCTATTATTAAACCCAGCGAACGACCGCTTTGTTTTTCACCATCACTTCCCCCCCCCTCTCGCCCCCATCGTAATATGTATGTGAATTTGTTTTAATATTATGTTTACGTTACGTTGTGGTATACAAATAGTAAATACGTCGTCGTTTATCATAAGGTCTATGGCACACTATCCATCACCGCCCAAACTTATGCAGTCCGTTTTGTACATGTTACAGGCTTACAGGAACAAGGGAAGTCGATCGATATCCGGAAACCCAGTCGCTCAACAACAGTCTCCCGGACCGTCGACTCCTCTTAACGGAGCTCCTGGATCGCCAGTGGTAATGACCGAGTCTCATCATAATCCGGTACGGACGCGATCTCGCGAAAAAAATTATAAACCTAAACAACTAATATACGCGGTATTCTGAAAATACTATAACGCATTTTTTTTTTCTTGTTCGTTTCCGCAGCTCTCCGGTACAACATTGACGACTGCCGGTAACGGTCCCGGGTTCTATAGCAACCAGGCGGTCGGAATCATGGAATCAGACCCTAACGGTATAGGATTCAGGGATAACAGGTTCGGGACGCCGGCCACGTTGTGGCATTCCACCGACGGAAACGCATTGGGTACGTATCTCGAAAAATATCCATACATAATTGATACACGATTTAATAATAAATTATAGGTTATGCGTATTATATGAACGCCAAATTACTAACGTGTTTCGTTTTGTATTTTTGTAGGATGGACGGCCGTCACCCAATCGCCCCAACCACAGTATGTCGGCCAGCAGATCCAGTTGGAAGACATCCGATACCATTCGCCTGCCAACACGTTGCATTATTCCACACACGCGCCCCCGAACGTTTACAACCAACCGGGATACCAGACGGTGAGTACAGCGCAGACCCCGACCACTGGGTTCATTCAGGTCACCAATGGTTTCGGCCAGCAACCGGCTCAAGTCACCAGTTCGTTGATCAACGGTGTGCCGAACGTTGCGCCCGCCATCAACGGCAACGTGGAATACTTGGAGTCTTCGGGCCGTACGGACTTTGTTAACGGCACGCCCAATTACAATCACATTTCCCAGACCGTACGTATTCGCCAAATTATTATTATTATTGTTAATACTGTTTTGTCGTCATGTGCCTGCATTTTATATTTTCATTACTATATCGTTTGTATAGGTACAAGAACAGTCGCCATCTTCTCAAACCATGGATTCGTCAAACGACACCTCTGTTAAAGTAATCGCTAACAGTTTCAGTCAATCCGGGGCGGGAAACGCGATACCTGGATACCCACCTCAACAACCTCCCCAATCGCAACAGAGTTTACACAGCTCTAATGGGTAAACATATTTTGTTTTTCTATACTCACGTGAGGTGTCTTTCAAATTACTTAAATATTATTTTCTTTACAATAGGTATCCAGGTAAGAACGACGGAAATTCCGTAGGGGAGGAGAGAAGTCGAGTTTCGGATTCTCCAGCAACCGGTGTATGGGGCCAGTCGAATAGTCAATATGATACATCAACACCGGGGGCCGACAAGAGCAATTTAAATAATCGAATAAAATCAATGATCCTTAACAAACAACAATATCAACAACATTACATTCAAGATAGACCGCAAGAACAACAACCAACCCAACAACATCAACAATATGCAAATGATCAGTATCAACAAAAGGAACACAATACAAATGATCAAAACGGCTTGCAAAAAAGGCACCAACAGCAACAAAAACAACAACAGCAGCAGCAACAACAACAACAACAGCAGCAGCAGCAGCAGCAGCAGCAACAGCAACAACAACAACATGCACAACAACAACACGTGCAAATTCAGCAACATCAGCAACAAGCTCAACAGCAACAGGTTCAACAAGCTCATCAACAAGCACAACAACAAGCTCAACAACAGGCGAAACAGCAAGCACAACAACAAGCACAACAAAGTGCGGCTCAGCACCAACAGTATCTTAACGATCAGTATCAAACCGAACAGCGGCATAGTCCCCAAGAAATAAATCATCAGCAAATGCACCATCAGCAGCAAATACAGCAACAACAAATACAACAACAGCAGCAGCAGCAACAGCAACAGCAGCAGCAACAGCAGCAGCAGCAGCAGCAGCAACAACAACAGCAACAGCAGCAGCAGCAACAACAACAACAGCAGCAGCACCATCAAAATTTGCAACAAACACATAACCAACAACATATGCATCAACAACATATGCATCGACAACAAATATTACAACAACATCAGGCGCTTCAGCGTCAACAAAGAAACGACGACGGTAGCGGTTCAAAGAGTCCGCTGAATCAAACGGACCATCAACAATACATGGTGGCGGACACTAAGCAAAACTTAATGAGCAATAATTTTTTAGTCCAAGGCCACCATCCTCGGAGCTTAGCTACTGAGGGTGGTGGCTTTTATTCGGATGTCCAACGACACCCGATACACAATCATCATCAACAATACCTTCAACACCATCAGCATTCACAACAGCATCCACAACAGCATCAGAGACATCACGAGGATAACTATCGTCATTTTTCCGATATCTCGGAAACCCAAAAAGGTCCGCGAAAAGTGAAAGAAGAGTTTATCGCCGAAATGCCGTACGAAGCGAGACTGCAACGATTGCCGTTCGGGATCGACCCCAGAGTGAGCCAAAAGCTTGACGACTACGTTTTTCGTGGCGACGGTGGACCCAGCCCTATTGATGCTGCTGCAGGGCCCTGGTGTTGTCGAATGGGCGGCACTGATACTCCGACGACAAAACATCTGTCCGACGGATGCTGTCGTGGATTGCAAATGCTCCAGCAGCCGAACGAGAGCGATTTAGATCCAACCGAACTGAAACAAGAGAACGGTCCATATTTTGCGGATAGTATGGACGATAAGTAAGTGCTTTTTTTCCCACGGTTTTTGTGTTTATTGGCTTTTTATATATAAAAAAAAAAAAAAAAAAAATCTTAACGCGAAAATCGTTTACAGAATGAAATCGAACGTCAGCGAAGCCGAGACGCCCGATTGCGATTGTTTTCCCACCGATAAAGCGCCGCCCGAACCGGGACCGTTTTACACGCATCTCGGATCGGCCAACAATTTAAAAGAGCTCAGGACGAACATTGAACAAATGTCGGGCATACCAGGAAAAGGAATACGAATGGAGAAGGTATTATCATTAACACCCGACGGTCTAGTGATCATAACACTGACACCGTCGTTTGTGCGTATTTATACTTAGGTGTTGTATACCGGGAAAGAGGGCAAAACGGCACAAGGCTGTCCGTTGGCCAAGTGGGTGATACGGCGTTCGTCGAACGACGAGAAACTGTTGGTGGTCGTCAAAAACCGAAAAGGACACACGTGCTGTCATTCGTGGATCGTCATCAGTATGGTGGCCTGGGACGGTTTGCTGTCCGACGACGCCGATATACTGTACACCATGCTCTCGCACAAGCTAAACAGGTGCGTAATCACATTATTCGTTACGCGTTGCGCACATCCGAAACTAACATTTCCTCCGATACATCGTGACCGCAGGTATGGAGTGCCGACGGCTAGACGGTGCGGCACAAACGATCCACGGACATGCGCTTGTCAGGGGCTCGATCCCGACAAGTGCGGCGCTTCGTATACGTTCGGGTGCTCGTGGTCGATGTATTACAACGGTTGCAAGTACGCCAGGAGCAAAGACGTACGGAAATTCAGACTCTCCGTGCGGACTGAGGTATGGCGGTTGTATCATATTGAAAACGGACGATGCGACCAAACCGTATATTTTATTCTCGTTATTTCGTACAGGAACAAGAGTTGGAAGAACGGTTGCAGACGCTGGCGACAAACTTATCGCCGTTGTACAAGTCGTTGGCCCCGCGGTCGTACGAATATCAAATACAAAGTGAACGCGAAGGGCCGGACTGCCGGCTGGGTTTCAAACCGGGCCGTCCGTTCGCCAGCGTCACGGCGTGCATAGATTTTTGCGCTCACGCCCATCGAGATATCCACAACATGATCAACGGCTGCACGGTTGTAAGTTTACACATCGCCGGTTTATTAGCGCACCGCGTTATGTTCAATTTCCTCGATGAAAACTATTATAAACTCGCAATGATGATGTATTTAGGTGGTGACGTTAAACAAACACCGCGGCGTGCAAAAACCCGAAGACGAACAGTTACACGTTCTGCCCATGTACGTAATAGACGAATCGGACGAATTCGACGACAAACAAGCTCAAAACAACAAATTCCAAAACGGATCCGTCGAAATGCTTTCCAAGTACGATTCCCCAGCGAATCGAAGAGTATTTTCAATATAAATACGGTGTACATAATTTTGCGTTCTCGTCATTTCTGTAGATTCCCGTGCGAGGTAAGAGTCAGATCGGTGCCGTTGACACCGTGCCGGCGAAAAAAACGCAAGGGCGACGATTCCGAATCGGCCAAGAAATCCGCGGGCAAAAAGGTCCCGCAGCCGCCCGAACAGAACCAAGTACAGAGTTCACAGGTATGTCGTTCGCGGCACCGTCTCCGCCTCGGGGTAATGCGTAATATTAATTTCGAATACCGCGGGAACAATTTTGTAGATCTCTTCGACGGTGATGGACAGCCCGGCGATCAACATTCACCAGCGCTGGAACCGACAAAGTGTACCGGGACAAAGTCCGGCCAACCGCCACAACGTCCAAGAGTACAGCCCGTACAATATAGGTAAACTGACGACACGTTAATAATATTCTCGGACCGGTCGAAATTGTGATATTTGTGTTAAACGATATTCGTTGTTCTCCCTTTGCCGCCGAAACAGATAACATAATGTCGCCGAGCATGGCGATGATGGAGATGAACAACGCTAAGGCGAATCAACACCGCGGTGCTCCTCCACCGCCGTCCGACCGCCATCACGTCCGCAATCTCTGGCCGTCCGTCGGCGGCGGTCTCCCCGGCGGCAAGCCGGTCCAACCGTCCGCGCCCGCGGCCGCCAGTTTCACTCCGGTAATGCAGAAGCAAATGTCTTTGATGCCGCCGCATTATTACGACCAGTCGACCAGCTACGCGACGAACCGGCCCGCGAACGACGGCGACACCGGCAACGGCGGCGTTTGCAATAACATTTTCGAATCTAGTCAAGCCCGGCCCGGTCCGTCGACGGTGGCCGCGAACGGCGCAGGAACGCTCGAGTACGCCGATCTATACGACCGGCCGCCAACGTACATTCAACCGCACCCGACGATGGCCCCGCCGGACCCCGGCCGCTGGTATCCGTTCACGATCCCGCCGCCGCCGCTGCTGTCTCAGCCGACGTTTGAAACATCTCGATACTATCGTCCGGACCCGACGGCTATGGTCGATCAAGTGAGTCACAGACGCACGGTCCACGCGACGACGGCCGTGATCGCGCAACAGTATTTTACGAACTAACCTAACCTCCGTTTCGCAGGGAACGTCCCAATATCAGTTTCCCAAGTGGGATTTATACGGACCGACACCGTACTTTCCTTCAGCCGTCGTGCCGGAACCGGTGGAGCCGCCTAAAGTCCGGTTGATCGGCCAGGTGACCGATTTCATTGAAAACAAAGAATGCTTTAAGGTAATATTTTAGGATATTAAGGATTTTTTCCCCCGTGAAAATCCATTTTCCACCGCGGCGTAAATCCGTTCACGTCGTAAAACCCTGGCGCGCGCCATTTTTTTACAGGACCCTCAGATGGGCGGCGTTGCCATCGCGCTCAGTCACGGTTCGGTGCTGTTCGAGGTGGCCAAACTGGAACTGCACGCCACAACGGCGCTCCGGAAACCCGATCGTCTGAACCCTACGCGCATCAGTCTGGTGTTCTACCAGCACCGGAACTTAAACAGGCCCAGACACGGATGGAGTGAATGGGAAGAAAAGACGAGGGCCCGCAAGTTGGCCAACATGCCGAGCTCGGCCCCGCCAACGGTCGGTGTAACGGATGCCAACGCTTTGTTGCCAGCGGCTGACGGACGCAAGTCGGCCACCGTGACCACCACCACGTGGACCACGTTATTCCCAAAGTTCCCGTGCATGGTCACCGGACCGTACCAAGAAAATCAATGTCAGTAGTAAACAGATATTGTGCTATGGTGATTTATTTATTTCTATTTTTATAAAACCATGTGATTTTGTAATTTTTTCACAACCCTATCCCACCTAATTGTTTTTTTCATTTTCTATTTCTCTCCCTCCTCTCCTCTCTCTATATCTTTATGTATGCATGTTATCATTACAACACTCACTTCTCAAATTCCACAGAAAGCCAAAGAAGTTATAATATATTATTGATTATTTATTTTTTACTCGGATATATGTAATTTTTAAGCAATCATTTTATAACATTATCGAGATAAGGAAACAGTAGTTTTTAAGAATCAATATTTTTGAATCACAATTTTTGTTATAATTTGTTTTTTTTTTTTTGTTCTTTATTTTTTTCTGTATATATTTATTATAATTTTGAAAATTTTTTTTGGATTCGTACTGAGTACGAACGAGTGTACTATTATCGATAGACAAATTTTTTTTCGTGTACGGGTCCAAAACATTATATTTAGTGATTTATTTTTGTACTCTTAACTAATCGCCTACATAATATATGTATACATACATATATATATATTTCAAATATTATATTATATTGAATATTAAATATTTATTCGTATAGATTTTATATACACGACGTACGAGTATATATGAATAATTTTTAGTTTTAACAATATCCGGGAGATATTTTTTTATTTTGTTTTCGAATCAAAAGAAATTCTGGTCTGTTAAATTCACCCACTATTCATGCCCGTGAGTTTTGGGAATGACCGATTTTCTCATTTTTACACCATTTTTTTGATTTTCCATGGTATGATAATATTTAAAATAAGATTAACGATAAACAATTTCTTTGTGTTCATTTAATAGATCTCTCTACGTAGGTAGAAGTTCCATCACACTGGAAAATTCAGAATTAAAATGTAACACCTAAAAATAATAATAATAATATTATTTAAAACAAATATATATATATATGTATATAAAAATATATCAAATTCGACTGATTAGTTAGGTATAGCTATCATAGGAGGTAGTGTGCGACCTACTTAGTTGTATAGGAATATTTTTTAATCATATAGTAATAATTAAAAAAAAAAAAACAATGCTCATAAAGTTTTTGAAAATTTATTTATTTTTTTTAGAATGAATCAATGTATAAATTTGTATAAAAATACTATATTACAAATGAAAAAAAAAAAAAACACATGTGTTACATACATATTATGATAATATGTAAAAGAAAAATATATATTTTTGGAAGACTTTTTTTAGGATAAAAATTATAAGAAAATTTAATGGCGCGTTGAATTTCAAATAAATATTTTAAGATGTTGCAATTTTTGTATTCTAAATGAAAAACAAATAATATTTTATGTAATATTATTATTACGATTATTGATAATAAATTTTGTGTTCCATAAAATTGTAAGTTTAAAAGATAAATTATTTTAATAAATGAATAAAAGACATTCGTATATTATATTATTATGAATTGTATGAGTTTAACCGTTATATGAAATTATTATTGATAAGCACTGAGCTTTTTTTAACGACGAGTACAAAAAAACATGTATCTTAATTTTAATGCAAAATTTGTATATTTTTTTTTTCGTATCATTTACTCCCCGCATAAAAAAGGCCCGTCTTCCAAAATGTTTTTTTTTTTTTTTTGTTTATTTGTATCCGACTTCATCATCGAATGATTTTTTTTTTCGTGTATATTTATAAATTAATTTAATTTATTTATTTTTTGTATTTATTATTATTATTTATTTATTTAATTTTTTTTTTCTATCCCTATACATATTTATTTTAAGGCTTATTTATATACACCGTGAGAGACGTATTCAATTTAGTGTTGTAAGTTAATATCGAATGTACCTACCGATGGAATTCTCTCGAATAAAAAGAGTTTGTACACACTTTTCAAATAATTATGCACTTATTAATGTTGTTGTTTTACCTCATTTCACTCCTTATCGTACTAATTATTTGACTGAATATTTTTAGTCTATTAAAATATACGGAACAACCGATATATAATTGAAGATATTGAACTGTAGGTAAATATTATTTCATACACTAATGTCATATTAGGTACATCCCAAGTGACATCGTATGGCGTGGGTTTTTTTTACCCATGACACTAATTTTGTTTGGTAATTAGGACACCCACCGTACCTACCAATATAATATAAAGTAACATCTGCGCCCGTAAGGTAATTTCAGGGGAAGGGGAGAGCAATGTGAAATTTATTTCAAAAATATAGGTAGGTCTTGGTCAACCACATTTTTAAAAGGGTTTAACATTTGTCAGAGGAAACATGTGTCCCTTTATCTCTTCTATGGGCACCCCTATTGAGATGTGGTTATCCCATAAGTTATTCTTTAGCCTCTTGAAAACATATTGTAAGTTTTTTTTTTAATTTTAAAACCGTTTAGGATAATTTGTATTGTTTATAATACGTACCAAATAAATTATCTATTATTTTTTTATGTTTTTAACTGTAATCAGATTTGAGATTCTTTAAGCATCCTTTAAGAAACCTATGGCACGAAAAAACCGGAGCATTCATACTCTCTCTGAAAAATGTTTTCTTGGGGAAAAACTCAATTTACAATAAGGACAATAATAAATACTATAAAAAATAATAACAATAATATAAATATATGTAAATAAACACCACGATCAAACGGTTATATACTTTCGAGGTCGCGCGTACATCTAACTGTTGACATACACGTTATAGGTATTATCGATGTCGATGTGCATACATTTTAAAATATATGAATCAACTATCAAATTATACTACATGGTGAGATTCGTTAGTTTCTAAAAGGAAATATTTCGGAAAAAAAAAAAAAAACCAAGAAAATATATTAATTGTTAATTTGTATTCCGAGGGAAATGTTGAGTTTTAAAATTCCGTCCGGAATAATATGGTATGGTACCTATATATATATAAGCGTAATGTTTTCATAATAATATTCCTTTGAAATATACAACTGTGCAGTATGTTGTACGTACAGGCTGTCCCGCGAAGATATAACCCTCGAATGTCTCCGGAAATAATACACGCAATTAGATTCTGATTTTTATATAGATACATAAAAAAAAAAAAAAAAAAAAAAAAAAAAAAATTAAAAAAAAAATTTTTT